GAGAATGCAAGTATTTTTCTCTTGAATATAGATTTTTTAACACAAAAGAAATCAATTTCCAATGTTTCAGAGCTGTAGTGGAGATAGTTGTGTTGTGGTGATCAGACAAAGTGTCTGAGTAGCCAAAACTGATGACTCAGTCTTTGATGTGAGATTTTTCACCCACCACAGTGAATTGCTGAGTGAGAATGGAGAGAATAACTAAATGAAACAAGAGCTTTTCAATGACTATATTTTCATTAAATTTTACTTAGAATTGATGGTGTTCCATATCAAGTGCTGTGATTTGACTTATTAAAATAAAAAAGAACATTGTTGAAAAGAAAAAAGAAAGATAGAGAGAAAGAAGATTAAGAAAAAGATGAAGATCTTCTGTCAAGTCAAAATTTTGAGAGAGTGAAATTCAACTGTATTCTGATCATTGTGAACTGATTTACAAAGATGTCTCACTTTGTTTCAGTCAGAAAGAAGCTGACATCTGAACAACTTACTGAATTAATTATGTATGAGCTAGTTAGATTGCATGAACTTCTCTCAAGCATAGTTTCTGATCACAGAACAATATTTATAAGTGAGTTCTGAAAAGATCTGTTATATCTTCTCAAAATTAATAGAAGAATGAGCATGACATTTCATTCTCAGACAGATAATCAGACTGAAAGACTGAATAGTACTCTTGAATAGTACTTACAAAGCTTCATCAATTATGAATAAGATGACTGAATTAAGAAATTGTCTCATGCAGAGTTTGCTTACAACAACTCTAGACAATTCTCAACTGAGAAAAGTCTCTTTGAGCTTTTGACAGTAAGTCATTCATAAATGAATTTTCTGAAAGCAGAATTATCAGTGTCAGTCACAACTGAGTCTCATAAACTAACAGATCAGTTGAAAGAGCTGTATAAAACAGCTTGAGAGAGTCTTATGAAGATGTAAGTCTATTAAAAGAGCTACTATGACAAGAAACATACTGCAGTATTATTTTATGAAGATGATCAGATGTGATTAAATCTTTATAACATTAGAACAGCACATTTTAGCAAGAAGTTAGATGTTCTTCAGTATAAATCATGTCAAATTGTGAAAAAATTGAGACTCCAAATCTATTGATTGAAACTATCATCAGAGCTGAAAGTACACAATGTGTTTCATGTGTCTTTTCTAATCAAACATTAGAAACAGAAGAGAATAGTCATTCACATCACTCAATTTGTGAGACATTCTCTGTGAAGCAAGAGTATCAGATATAGAAAATTATTGACTTTAATAAGAATGACTAAGCAATTGAATATCTTATGTGATGGCAGAGATATAAGAAAAGAACTTAGAAGTTTTTAAAGAATGTGAGACATCTAGATAAAAAGCTGTTTCAGTTTTATGGAAAACACTCAGACAAGTCTGATCTATGCTGTATTTTGAGAATGTGCACTTAGAGAGATCTTGTTGAATTTGTAAAGACATTTATAAAGTAGTTAGAGAATGATTCATGAAGCAGAAGAGTAGTGATCTGAGTAGTGAAGTGATTTAGAAGAAAATTTCAAATTCATAAAAGTACTTATAAACTGTTAAGAAGTGATTCATGAAGCAGAAGTAGTGAATTGACTCTAGAATAAAAGAAAGAACTAGACTATTAATGACTGAAGTCTGCAAGAAAAAAGAGAAAACTAGACTATTAGTAATCAAAGTCTGCAGTAACAGAGAAAAGAAAATAAGAAGACAATTCTAAGAATTGAAAGAATAAGTTTTGTGTGTCTGATAGATACAGTTATTACATCTGTTTCTACTCAGAAGACTTGTAACACACTGTTTCAATGAAGAATTTAAGTTATTTCAGCATGCTGTACATGACTACTAAAAATAATTATCTGTCATGATGATTAGAACTTTCTCTCAGAGCTTAACTCTATTTCTCAACTGAACAAAGTTCATTGAATCAGTAAAAACTGCAGACTGAATGAGAGAAAAACTAAGAAGTTGTCTCTCATAATCAAATAAATTCTGATCTGAAATTAAAAGTGAAAGATGACTCATGATAACTGATGTTCTGACTGATAAGTTAGCAACTGGAGCAGATGTTAGAGAAGTGACAACAGAAGCAGACACAATAGACAGAAAAGAATTTAATAAGACTGACTTCTGAAAAAGAAAAGCATTAGCTGAAGCTCTCAATATCACTTTATAAATGAATTTACAAAGCAGAAACTGTCTTATAAGTCATGTTACAAAGCAACTCAACATATCTTGAGTGCATCAGAGACAGAATCAATGCTTGAGAATGAGTGCAGCATAGAAAAAAGCATGAGCTGAGAGCAAGAATGTAATAGAAACAAATCAAACTGAGAAAAATGAAGTGATGCATTATTAATAGAAGTTTCAGATCTGAGAGATGAATGATCACTCTCTCTCAAAATCTGATCAATCAAGATAATGAAACTAGTAGTTGAAAAAGAATTATTATTAGACACAGTAGACATCATTAAGTGTTTCTGTTAAGTCTGAATATTAGCACTCTGAATAAGTCATCAGTCATGCACATGGAAAGAGAATTATGGAGTGAGAAAACACTTTATAAAAGACATTTCAGACTTTGTAAAAGTGATTATGAAGCACTAAAAGATGAAGAAACAGAAAAAAATCACTTACATCATTCTAATCAGAATCAGACTAACTGAATTATGACATTTAAGAAGAGATCTTAAAGTCTTCAGAAACATAACTCTCTGTTGCATAAATAAAAACTGACAGCAATGATGTCTCTTCACTTTAATTTTCTGAAGAAATGACAGTGACTGAGAATTTCACTTTAAATGAAGCAGAAAATTTTAAAGACATCTCTCTTATTGCTTCTAAAAAGAATCTTAAATGATGACTGATTAAAATTTTATTCTTAAACTTACTGAGTCATTGTTGCTCATGTTTTGACATTTTATTTTTGAACAGAAGAAAGACACAGCAAAATTTTCTCTTTGCATGATGTGTTAGCACTAAGAAAAGTCATTTATGAAGTCTCTCAGAATTTATAATTATCAAGAAGAAAATGCTTGTCTGAAACTCTTATCAAAATAAAGAAGAATGTTGTTGAAAAGAAAAAAGAAAGAGAAAGAGAGAGAAGATTAAGAAAGAGATATTTATATTCAAAAAATTATTAAATATCACTAGATGAATTATGAAAAATGATAGTCACTTCATTACATTAAAAAGAGATTTTGTAAAAAGTTGTTATAATCACAGTGAAGCTGTCACTCTTACTGTGATCTTGATCACATCAACATCTTGAGAATCAAAATTTATGAAGAAGAAGAAATCTATAAGACTCTGTATTGCAGTCTTTTTACATTCATTTCATCATCTAAAAGAGATTTATAAAATTTTCTTGATGCTTAGATGATCATACTTCATGTCATCTGAAGTTCATAAACTTCATAACTGATTACATGATTTCACTAGTATATACTCTGTGTCATCTAAGATTCATAAATTTCATAATTAGTCATATAATCTCACTAGCATAGCTGAACACACAAAATCTGCCACAGACACTTTCTTATGAAGATCAGTGACAACATATCTAGAGACTCTAGATACTATTGTAGCAATATAAGTTATCTCTCTCTCTCTTATGCTTGAATTTCTTCATAACCATCTCTCACCAGACCCCATCTCATTTACAAAGACTGTAAGTCATTGCCATGTTACTTGCAACCACTCAATTCTCACATTTATGAATATTTAAATTTCTGTCTAGATAAGATTTTTGTTAAGTCATCTGCAGATATATTATTACTTTCAATTCAGAATTTCAGCTAATATTCAATTTTTTATTAGTAACTATCTGTCATAATCAGTGATAATAAACATTAATGTAATGAAGCTTAATAATTAATTGCAGAGCTACTAAAATTAGACTGATCATTGAAATTTCATTGAAATCTCAATGAAACAAGACTTAAAGTCAAATTCAATTGAGTTGATTCTCATCTTCTCTCAAAATTTAAAAGTTAGTTTTAATTTCAGCTTCAAATATGAATAAAAGTCCTATTTTCTTCTCAGTTTTAAATTTTATATTTTAAGTCTCATTTCTAGATTTTTCTATTTCTAAAACAACTTTAATTTTTTTTCAAACTTTATTTTGAAAGTGTCTTTTTACACCAAAATATGACAAAATAGAAAAATTGACAAATCAAGTCAAAATGCATATGTACATTTATATATGATTTTGATACTAAAAATAGTATAAAATAAGATTTTTTTTAAGATTAGAGAAATTGAAAATCTCTATCTTTAATTCAATAATTTCATTTTCTTTAAATTAAGTTTCATTTTCATTTCAATACTTGGAACTCAAGTCTCAGTTCCATCTCAGTTTGAATCAACAAGCTCCAGTCTCATCTCAATTTTCCATTAGTTCATTAGAAATGGGATTTCAGTTGGGAAATTCCTGTCCCTGCAGTCAGTCTAGATTAAGCTATTAGATCATTCTGTCAATTTTTGAATTAATCATACTAATTTTTATGTTTTCTTTCTTTCCTACTTGCTGTAACTAATAGCTTAAGTAAATTTACTATGTGATTGTTGAATAATCATATTTTGAAGGTAGTGGTAATTTCATAAGAAGCAGTCATTGGGTGAGATCAGGTGTTCGGTGAGGAATTACGTTATATAACTTTTAAGTCGACGCCAAGCCCCAGAGCTGATCAGGCGGCTAGTTAATAATAACTGTCCACTCACCAAGGAGTATGGATTCAGCTAATTCTCTAAGTTGAAAAGAACAGCCTGGCCTTATCTCTTGCATCAAGCCACAGAGTGCAAGCTATAACAACCTGCAAATTCCTCGGCCTTGTGAGATATATTGATTTTTCTTACTATGCTTGACTAGTTGTAAATTCTCCTCAAATAAATCCTCTTTGTTTGGGTACGCTCCACTCCCTTCACCCCTTATTCGAATGTCACCTAGGTGTCAATGAAATTTAGTTGATGATGACTTAGGAATCTATTCCACGATGTACCGACTGCGACACCTTGCACTTGGCTTAGCTGGCATATCCTTTGCTACTTCTGCACTCGCCACTGATGCCGAGTCAAGCGTTCATTCTCTGAAAGCTGATACTTTTAAAGAGTTCATCTCCGAGCACAACTTAGTTTTGGCTGAGTTCTTCGCGCCATGGTGTGGTCATTGTAAAGCCCTTGCTCCAGAATACGAAACCGCGGCAACGGAGCTCAAAGAGAAGAATATCCCGCTGGTAAAGGTGGATTGCACTGAAGAAGCTAGCTTGTGTGAAGAGTATGGCATAGAGGGCTATCCGACTCTAAAGGTTTTCCGGGGAACAGAGTCTATTAAGCCCTATAATGGTGCAAGGAAATCCCAATCGTATGCAGAGTAATGAAAGCATATATTTACCATCGCTAACTTGCATTAGGATTGTGTCTTTCATGGTTAAACAGTCACTTCCCACAGTATCCAAGGTAACGTCAGATACCTTGGAAACTGTTATAGCACTTGATAAGATAGTCATCATTGGCTTCTTTGAGGAAGGAGACAAAGCATCCAATCAAACCTTCGCTGCCATTGCGGAGGAGTTGCGTGATGACTACCTTTTTGCAGACACAAATGATGCTGCATTAGCCACCGCTGAGGGCGTACCTCGCCCTGGGATCGCTCTTTATAAGGATTTCGATGACCGAAAGGATGTTTTTCGCAAAGAGTTCAATAAGGATTCTATCACAACTTTCATTAAAACTGCCGGCACTCCACTTGTTGGTGAAGTTGGGCCCGAGACCTACTCGGCGTACATGGCTGTAGGTTTTTGCCCTAACAATACGTCGTTGATTGACTGACATTACCATTTACTTTTTTCAGACTGGAATTCCTCTGGCATATATTTTTGCTGAGACGCCAGAAGAACGTGAACGCCTTACCACTGAGTTCAAGCCACTTGCTAAAAAATTAAAGGGCTCCATCAATTTCGCAACAATCGATGCCAAAGCATTCGGTGCTCATGCCGGAAATTTGAATCTTGACCCAGAGAAATTCCCTGCATTTGCCATCCAGGATACGGTTAAAAACACCAAATTTCCCTACAGTCAAGATAAAGAGATTGTCGAAAAGGATATTTCAAAATTTGTTCAAGATGTTCTCGACGGAAAGATCGAACCTAGCATTAAATCAGAACCAATCCCAGAGTCACAGGAAGGCCCTGTTAGCGTTGTCGTCGCACGCTCCTACGATGAGATTGTCAAAAATACTGATAAGGACGTTTTATTAGAGTTTTATGCCCCATGGTGTGGACATTGCAAAGCGTAAGTTACTTTAAAGCTAGCTTCATTGAATTTTTGCTCCTTCCTGTTGTACTAACTAACAATTTTTTAGCCTTGCACCTAAATATGACCAGCTAGCTTCCCTTTACGCAAACAATCCTGAGTTCGCTTCAAAGGTAACCATTGCCAAGATCGATGCCACTGCTAATGATGTACCCGATGAAATCCAGGGTTTTCCTACAATCAAACTCTACCCGGCTGGTTCAAAAGATTCCCCGGTAGAATATAGTGGGACCAGGACTATCGAAGATCTAGCTAATTTTGTTCGTGATAATGGAAAGTATCACATCGATGCTTATGTTAAGGGCATGGAAGAGGGTGGTGATGTCACTTTTGAATCAAAAGCTGAGAGTGCGACTCCAAGCGCGGAGTCTAAGAGCCAATCATCAACATCTTCGGATCGTCCAGAAGCTACTGTGCATGAAGAATTATAAAGGAATAATAAGGTCAAAACATACAATTTTTCAACTTTCAGAGCTGTTTTCTTATATGATACAGGCGTTTTCTATGTTGAAATTGGTCAGGTTCTAACTCAGTTATAATTTACAGAGTATTGTAATACTCATGTACTTTCGATCAAAGGTTGATAGCCATAGTGTGAAATATCTGTAACTCTCATTTTCAATATTTCTGCTTGAAAAAACTATGGCTGGTAGTATATTCTTGTTCATAATGAAACAATGAGCTTGCTTTTTTAAAGAAAACTACCCTAAAACATTTATCTGGGTTGTGAAAACATATTCACAACCAGACCACTTTTTTGGAGGCAGCTCTTGACATCGGAAACTGTAAACTCCCCCCTATGAAACTAAATTGTGTTAGCCAGGTATGAAGGCAAATTAGGTATATTGGAACCTACCATGCCGGCACCCAGAGCAGCATCAGCTTCTGTTCGTTCAAATACCTCCTGAAAATGGAGCGGCTTTCCAGCACCACTAGATGCGATTATTGGAATCGTGGAGAAAGATTTAACATCCTTTATTAATTCAAGGTCAAAACCATTGCTTGCACCATCTTTGTCAATACAATTGAGTAGTATCTCCCCAGCACCCATGGCCTCAACAGCCTCGATCAATTGCCGCACATCGACATCCCTCCGTTCGCGGCCACCCTTTATCGTACATTGATACCAACAGTATTCATTGCCGGCATCGTCCGGGAAATCTGTTTGAATCGTATGGTGCCCCGTGTCCGTCGGTCCAGAAACATATACTCGAACGGGGTCGACGCTGACCACAACTGCTTGCTTTCCGTATGCACCTGATATTGCCTCAATGGCTGTAGCGCCAGATAGCCGCTTTCCAGCAGCGTAATAATTTTCAGCAGCCGTCACCGCATCCGAACCGATGCTTACCTTATCTGCACCCGACTTAAAATAAAGTGTTGCAACATCCAGGGCCGAAATATAAGACCCATCGGCGTCGACGATATCTCTGATACCTCCACCAACCGTCAACGGAACGAATACAGTTTCAGCCGTCCGACGAAGAATCTCAAGCATTGGTGTATCCGCCAGCGGACAATTGCGAAAAGAGGTAATGTTTAAGAAGACAATTTCATCTGCTCCTTGTTGGTAATATTGCTTGGCCAGATCAACTGGATTACCAAGATTCCTGACATTCCCCTGGGCAGCGCCATCCTCCTTCTCACGTACGTCATATTGATCTCCTTTCGTCACCACAAGATCGTCCTGATCATTAGCGCGCACATCCAAGCAGGCGATGACCCGCCGTGTAAGACCTCCCGCCGCCATAGAGTGCAGCTGGGACTTCACTGAACTCTTATCACCGGTTAGAAAAGCACGCAACGTACTCAATCCGGCCGGGCCACTTTTCTCGGGGTGGAATTGGGTGGCAAACACATTTTGTCGGCTGATGGCACCGACGAAGGTTTCCTCTCCATGCATTGCAGTCGCTACGTCCCATTCGGCATCAAAAATATTCCTACTGTAAGGAATTGCATACGAGTGTACGTAATAGTACTTGTTTCCTGGTTGCAACCCATAAAACACGTTCTCTTGTTCGCACTTGGCGGAATTCCAGCCAATGTGAGGCACACTCTTGGTGGAAGAATCAAATTTCACCAGGGTCGTAGGAACCAGTCCTAAACCTTTCACCCCAGGGGCCTCAGCTGAACCTTGGCATAGTACCTGAAGACCGACACAAATTCCCATGAATGGTTTGCCAGACTCTATATGTTCGCGAATGGGCTCAAGAAAGCCACCTTTAGATAGCTGGGTTACGCAATGCCTAAAATGTCCGACACCTGGTAATATCAGTTTCTTTAACAATTGGATGAACGTCAGTACACTACTTTCAGCTTCAGTAATCTCGTTGCTCACCTCTGCCTTCTTCACATCTGCTGGGGATGTAACCCATTCAACTTCATATCCTAATGTTTCCACTGCATTCACAAGAGATCTGACATTCCCAGCAACATAATCCAGCAAGTGCACTTTTGGCATTTTTTTTTCTCTTCCTACTGGATTTGGTTTCATTGACAGAATTTTTTGGTAGGCCCTATAAAGTTTTAACTAACATTTAACGTATTTAATCCATCACCAAACACAACTCCCGTGCTATGGGCAGGTGCATGAACAGGCTAGAAGACTTGGCAAGGTCACGGGGGAGTTGTCATAGGTGAGATCGGCAGATCGGGCGTTTGGTGGGGAATTACGTTACATATACTCCGTAACTACAAGTAGTTATTTATTACGCCCAACAACGCGTTGGAAAACTACGCGTTAGTTATGCACATATCACTTTGAAATTTAGGAACTTGATTTGTGAGGGAAAACATGGCGAGCCACATTGACATCGGGGCTCTTAGGTAAACTCCCAACAATTATTTGCTGTAATACCGGATAGATTTACTTACCCTTGCAGTGCGATTTTCGACGATTCAAAGCCCAAAGTGCCTAATCCTATTGTGCAGTGTCTTCATGTGAAGCTTCTTGCTCCTCCATCCGGGGGAAATGATAGGTATAGAGCGGTTTTTAGTGACGTGTCGAATTTTGTGCAAACCATGCTAGCAAGCTGTATGTGCTGCGACGACGATGTGGAATATAATCTTCTAATCTAAATATGTCCTATAGCTCTGAACCATGTTGCGTCCAGTGGAGCTTTGCGCCGTGGATCATTCGTAAGGCTAAAATCGTTCCAAGCCAATTCTGTCAAAGGCAAGCGGTATGTGTTCGTCTTATATCGTACCTAGGCCGTGACTGACCCTTGCCAGAATCCTGATCGTGTTAGATCTTGATGTTCTCGAAGATTTGGGAGAATGCGACAGGGTTGGGGAACCAAAGGCACTGGAGATCACTTCCTCCGAAGCAGAAAACTCCGCTTCTACGTCGATCTCTGGTAATGGGTTCTACGGCGCGCAACGACAGAATCCACCGCCACAGCCCCAGCAACAGTACCACCAACGGACTGGTATACCGACAATGGCCCCTGTTCACGCCAATATCTATCCGATTGAGGCATTGTCGCCATACTCTCATAAATGGACCATTAAAGCCAGATGCACGAGTAAATCTGCGATTAAAACTTGGAAAAATAGGAATGGTGAGGGAAAGCTTTTTAACGTCAACCTTTTGGATGATAGTGGAGAGATACGAGCTACGGCATTCAAGGAGCAATGCGATTTGCTTTATCCACTTTTCGAAGAAGGCAGTGTATATTATATATCCAGCCCATGCCGTGTTCAAATGGCAAAGAGGGAATTTAGCAATGTGAATAACGACTATGAACTCACATTTGAGAGGGATACCGTTGTTGAGAAGGTAAGATTCCTTAGTTTAAATGTGGGGATTTTATAGCTTAGTAAAACCTAACAAAATTATCTAGGCAGAGGACAATGAAGATGTCCCTCGGTTGCGTTATAATTTTACGAGCATTGCCGATTTACAGTCCGTGGAGAAAGGAACAACCATTGACATATTAGGAGTTTTGAAAACCGCGGATCAAGTCACGGACATTCCATCCAAGTCAACTGGCAAAAGGTATACCAAGCGAGAGCTTACGCTGGTTGATGATACTGGGTACTCTGTTCGGCTTACTATCTGGGGTACAATGGCCACCTCTTTTGAGGAGATGCCTGCATCAGTCCTTGCCTTTAAAGGCGTTAAAGTTTCTGATTTTGGGGGGAGATCCCTAAGCCTCTTGAGTTCTGGCTCAATGATAGCAGATCCAGACATCGAAGAAGCTCACAAGCTCAAAGGCTGGTATGAAGCCCAAGGAAAATTTGACCAGTTTGCATCCCATTCATTCAGCGATCCAGCATCAGCAACTGGCTCTCGACAAGATCCATTCAAAACAATCGCTCAAATTAGAGACGAGCAGCTTGGGATGTCCGAGAAGCCTGATTACTTTTTTTTGAAAGCAACTGTGATTTTTGTCAAGCAAGATAGCATGTGCTATCCTGCTTGTCTTCAAGAAGGATGCAACAAAAAGGTTATTCAGCTTGACTCTGGACAATGGCTATGTGAACACTGTGAAAAGTCGCATACTAAACCTGAATATCGATATATCCTTTCTACAAATGTAGCCGACCACACTGGCCAACTGTGGCTAAATTGCTTTGATGATGTGGGACGTTCTATTATAGGAATGACTGCAGATAGTCTTATGGAGTTAAAAGAGAACGATGACAAGGCCGCGAGTGAATCTGTTCTAGACGCAAACTGCCAGACGTGGAATTTCAAGTGCAGAGCAAAACTCGATACCTACCAGAATCAGCAACGGTGAGATGTTCAAAACCATGAGGGCTCAAATAGTGTAAAAGCTAACCGTTTGGTAGGGTTCGTTATCAAGTTTTGACTGCTACTCCGATAAACTATTCAGTCGAAGCTTCTAAAATTGCTGATTTAATCGCCATGTATGATATCTCTTAAAAGAGAAAGAACTACTAAATGCAAACGATGAATCGGAGTTTGGGCCCTGAATGAGATACGACGTAATGATTCTTGACCCAAGAGAATTTGTACTGCTTAGCTCAGAGTGAGGTAAATACGTTAGAAATGTATATGCACCATGTCCTTATAAATCTATTAATATCCTTAGTACCTTCCAGATATATATTATATATATAGGTAAGGCATACGGGGCATATACAACTCTTTGATATCCAGAGAGAATTTGCATTCCACTGGGTAGTACAATCCAGAAAATAGAATAAGCTGAATTCGAGTATTAGATAATATCAAGTACGCCTCTAGTTGGGCTTCTCCCCTCCCTACCCAACTAGAAGAGCTGTGATTAATTGATATACCTAGCCTGTGGACCATGGCAAAACTACTTTGCAGAAACCTGGCTCCCTTGAGTTTCAGCTTGAGGCTCTTCTGGTTTCGTAGAGAACAAGGTTTCTGTGGTATGATTCTCAAGCTTGATAGGTCTAGGAGTAAGGCTCCAATCTATGATACCTTCCGCACCATACCTATTTTCCAGCCACTCATTGGCTTTCTTAAAATGTCCACTGTCAAACTTAGAGTTCATCAGCGAAAAATGAGATGTGAAACAGTACATCGCAGGAGGAAACCAGATGAACCTACAAATCCATTATGCGCGCTTAGAGGGCTTGGATGAACAGCATGCAGCACGCAATGTCGTTCTCGATTGACGTTAGCGACACGTTTCGCGGCCGGGTTGCCCCAAGCAAGAAAGACAACGCCGCGAGTACGAACTTTGGAAACCAGATCGATAGCCTTTTGTGTAAAATGCTCCCAGCCTTGTTTAGCATGGCTATTGGGACATCGGGCGCGTACCGTCAGGCAAGTATTCAGCATCAAGACACCACGATCCGCCCATGGGGTAAGGAGTCCGCCATTCTTCGGCGGCGATTCAAATGAGGGATAATCCTTTTTGAGAGCAATGTATATGTTCTTGAGTGATGGAGGTGCTGGAGTGGGAGGACGGACTGAAAAGCACAATCCATGGGCTTGGCCAGGCCCATGGTAAGGGTCTTGACCAAGAATCACGGCTTTGACCTTGTGTAGTGGTGTATGTCGGGACCTGATGCGAAAAGAACAGAAACAAGTTAGGCTATAAAGTTATGGAATGTATGCATATTGAAGAGCGCACCAAGAATAGATGTCAGCAAGAGGGGGAAAGACTTGTATTCCCGAGGCTATATCCTTCTGGATAAAAGCCTTGAGTTTCAAAAAGTCTTTAGTAATGAGTTCATCTTTCAGATGAGCCAGCCAACTCTCGTCCAGGGTGTCAATCTCAAGTTGAAGTAGTTCTTTCTGTTCAGGGGTCAGGGAAGCAATCCATTTTTTTTTGTCGAATTTCGAAGGGCTAGAAATAGGATTTCTACAATCATCTTCACCGCCTTTCGGAACACCAAAGAATGATGTGAGAGTCCTGTTTGGTTTCGGTTTTTTTGCGTTGGTGGAAACAGCCAAATGGCTTGCACTTCGCTTTAGACTGTTTGAACCTGGCATGGTCAAATGGACTTCTATTGAGAACAGATAAAAAAGGTCAAATAATTTTCGAGGAAGAATTGTTGTTGAAACTGAAGGAGCAAGGGGCTCCCGACTTCTTGAGTTGTCACTGGGAAACATGCAAGAAATCGCGATACAAATGTAAGGAAAGAACTTCGTTAACCCGTACTCCGTACAGGGTCTGATGAAGGTCCCAGTATTCCGTAAGTAGCCTTGATTACATAAATACGTTGACCCTCCGTACTTCGTATGTACTCCGTACAGTATGCATGTTCTGTCTATGAACGTACAAAGGGTGTGACGCGGCTCCTGTTCCATAGCCCGGGGGTTCTATGGACGGAGTACATACTTTTGGAGGCATCGGCTTTTAAGAACACGCAGCCCGACATATCCACCAATTAAATATACTCTGTACGGGGAGTACAAACCCCTGGCGTCTGATTTTTCAGACTACGAATTGTAGCCCTTCATGCAAAACCAGCGTTAGAGTGAAATCAATCTTCAAATAAATGCTGAAAAAGTATACAATACAACAGGGTAGCTATACTACCTAATTAGACTTGCCACCCGTTTAACTAAGCGACCATTGCCCGAATACTGCTTTCTGTGGACGGGAGGAGATAGAAGGGAGGCGCCAGTGCGGTTTTGATAACCCGAAACCGGATTTTCTTCAACTAGACGAGGTAAATAGAAGAAACTACATAGGCCAAACAAATCGAGTTGCCTTGATGAGAAGCAGGACGGGAAACAGCTGCTCGCCAACGGGACGACAGCAAAATAAGGATAAAAACCGGATGGTTCGGGAGGCAACCGTCGTAAACACCGCCCTGTATTGTGAACGTATCTGACCACAGCAGAATATAGACCTATTCCGCCCAAATTTTTTTGGTTTCAAGAGTAAAAAAAGGCACATACAATGGTGGGATGCAGATGGGGAAACAGAACTTAGACAGGTAAGGAAAGAAACGGGGCATGACCTGTATAATATGTATCGAAAAATCGGTTCCAGTGGCTCTGCACTGATGGGCATTGAAGGCAGTCAGGATTAAAACCGGCACGCGATTTTCAGGACGGCGCTCTAACCCTCGAACGGAACTAGGACACGACTACCACTTAACCGATATGGCCTACTCAGCAGTATCTAGCTCATCATGAGCAGGGGTGGGAGAATCCAAGGGAACTAGTCACTGGTTACCAACGCGAAAAAAAGCAGGCAATTCTTACTAGGAATTACCTTTCCTGTCATCGTTATTAGTTCCGTTCTCGCGATCCTCATCTCGCCTATCACGGTCATCCCGATCCCGATCCCGATCCCTTTCGCGATCACGCTCACGCTCGCGATCATCTGGGCTACGAGATCGATCGCGGTCTCGACGGTCGTAGTCACGGTCGCGACGATCATCTTTACGTGGGGAATAATCTCCACGGCTGCGGCGAGGTGAAGGGGATCGCATGCGGCGAGGTGGGGAGCGGTCGCGGCGGCGATCACGGCCAGAATCGAATCGCCATGAAGCAGATGGGGGAGTACGGGCCCACTATCATTAATATATCAGAATCCATAGTCAAGATTGTTAGAAAGGGGTGGGGTCAATGCAAGAAAATTCACCTCAATCTTCAAAACATCATCGCGACCAATTCGTTTGTTGTGCATTTCATGATATGCATCATCTGCATCACGTCGACTTTCATACTCAACAAAGGCGAAGCTAAAAAGTAAATTAAAAGCTATCGTCGACTCCAATTCCCAGGAATCTTACAGGCGGCTAGCAGCAGTTCGAGGTGCCGGAATATCACAACGAACAAGTCGACCATACCTTCAATCGGGAAACGCTATTAGTATGATAAGACAAATCGCAGGTAGGGCTCGGTAAATGAGAGGTCAATAGGGGTTCAAGTCGAGATGCGAGGCGTGAGGGAGCGAATAGACAACCGCTATTTTGGGCGAGCTTTTATACACATAGGATTTTTAGGTCATAAAGTCGTCGATGGACTACACGCGCTCGAGAGGTACGGGGAGGAGAGATTGATATTTCGCGAAATATGACGTTTCGAGATGGGGGACGGAAAGAGGATCGTTCGTGGGACATCGATGGAGGAGAGCATCCACGACTGGGACGTACCGTTCGAATTCGTACGCAAGTTCTCGTGCACGAGTACCGTGGCCAAAACCGGTGACATAGAGGGTGGTGCCGCTGCGAGACATGACTGATAGTTATAAAAACACTGCAGAGCTGTTCTATGTGAGCTGGCACACAACCAGAAAGCGGTACAAGAAAAAAAGGCCGAGAAACGAAACTAGCACAGATAGTACACAAATAAAGACAACTATGAAGATGGAACTAATGTCGTGGAATGTCTGATGACAACCTAGGGCATGTGTGTTGATGAAGGAAAGAAGGCTTTTCAACTTCTTGATTTAGCTAGACTCGATTCGTCTTAGGTTACCATGTACGGAGTAAGGTTGGTTGTATGGAGTGAGTACGGAGTACGGAGTACTCCGTTCAATACCTTTAGACGTAGTATTTACATCAGGGGGTGGTAACGGAATGGAGAAACAATGTCTCCGGGGAGGTAGCTATATTATGTAATCTAAATATGATTACAGAGTGGAAAGGAAATCCATCAAATAATACTACCCTCATAACACTACTACACTCACATATCTTTGTGAGGCGAAGATTTATTTCTTTCCCTTTTACCTAAGATTACCATTGTCTTTCAAAGTGGCTAGATGGGCCTGTTTTACTCCGCGTTGACTAGAATATCAGCCCTTACCTGACCGTCAAGTCAAATTCTATACTGTACTCCGTACCAGCTCTTTCAATTAGCATAATTCTCCCATTCATATCAGTTTGGCTTGGCTATGTTTCTATATCTATACTACCTTCTTAGATTATTCCCAGCATACTGAATCGATCTCTCCATGGCCATTTTGGTAATGACGACATTCAACCAAACGCCCATCGCCAAACCCCAAACCTGCGAATAAATATACTGTGAGGACAGTCGCTATCAGTATTATTTTTGGTTGGCTACCTCTCTGAATGGTCAAGGTGCGTTTGCCCAGACCTTGATAGATGTTTGTCTCACTCCTTATCACATAGTTGTCACCTCGGCCCACCCATTATGAGTCTCGGTGGCAAGGAGAACCCTCCTCCCAACCGTCCAGCGACCAAGACACACAATACGTTCCTTAAAGCTCCATTGTCAGGAAGTCCGCCTTCGCAAGAGGTATGCACTTCTCGTTGACTCACTTGCCCCGATGACTTATTAACATTAGAATGGCACTCAGGTACCACAAAATGCCCATTCAATTTGGTACCGAGACCCAGAATCGTTTCTAAGGGACCCTGTCGTTGCTGCGTTCATAGCTGGTGGAGTAGCCGGTGCAGTTTCCCGGACAATTGTTTCCCCTCTAGAAAGGCTCAAGATTCTCCTTCAAATCCAGAATGCCGGCAGAAATGAATATAGATTATCCATATCCAAGGCGTTGATAAAGATGTGGAAAGAGGAAGGCTGGCGAGGTTTCATGCGCGGAAATGGGACAAATTGCATTCGAATTATTCCATATTCAGCCGTACAGTTTGGCAGTTATAGCATATATAAAAAGGTATGTTCCCGTGTGTGTGAACATATGTTGCTCGTGGTAGATAATTGCCAATTACATTTACGACTAATATCGGGCCTCCCTAGTTTGCGGAACCGTACCCTGACGGTGACTTAACACCATTAAGTCGCCTGATTTGCGGAGGTTTAGCCGGAATTACCTCTGTCACATTCACGTATCCTCTAGACATTGTCCGGACCCGTTTATCGATTCAATCGGCGTCGTTCTCTGAGCTGAAGCACGGTAGTGGTCAAAAATTGCCTGGCATGTTCCACACTATGCGGCTCATGTATCAGACTGAAGGAGGGACAATAGCGCTTTATCGTGGAATTCTTCCCACCGTTGCTGGCGTGGCGCCTTACGTATGCTCGACCCCTGATCTTCTATTGGCATAAAATACTTCTGATTGCTAATTAGGTTCGAAGGTTGGGCTGAACTTCATGACGTACGAATCGGTTCGGAGATATTTGACTCCAGAGGGAGAACTCAATCCAAGTCCGTCCCGAAAGCTGTTAGCAGGTGCTATCTCGGGAGCTGTCGCCCAAACATGCACCTATCCTTTGTAAGTACTCTTTGCCGTTTTCCTTCTTTTTTTTGCGGGGGTTCTTGTCTGATTTTTCTTCCTATAGCGATGTACTTCGGAGACGATTTCAGATCAACACGATGTCCGGTCTTGGTTATAGATATACGTCAATTTGGGATGCGGTCCGGATCATTCTTGCTCAAGAGGGTATCAGAGGTTTGTATAAGGGAATTGTGCCCAATCTACTGAAAGTGGCTCCCAGCATGGCCAGCAGCTGGCTCAGCTTTGAATTGACACGCGACTTTTTTCTCGGTCTTGGTAAGAAAACCGCCTAATTTTGGGTAACTGCACTTTGAAATACGTTGCACGAAAATAACAGCTGTACGGTCTCAAAAGATGGTGTTGGCTTCAAAATAAATTTCAGACATAGAATTTTAGACACTTTTTACCAAAGCATGTAACATTAATATGCTGAATATTTAATGGTAAAGGCCTCAAGTAAACTTCTCTGTAGTATATATTAGAACTTGTCTCGTCATATGTGTTGACACCCTATTTATAGTACTTCGACTATCTACTGTATCTTTAATAATTTAATTCTGACTCATTTTCATGAAGAGTAGAAGAGCATGTAATGATAATTTTTAGTCATTCAAAATCATTTAAAAAAATCAGCATCAAAGTATTCTTCTAATTATCTACAATTTATGTATTAATTGATATGGTACAATATAATCTTGTTGAGCAATGTGATCGTGAGAAGTGTTGGGTTTGGTGTAAAAGCAGGGAGTGGTGCCATCATATTTGGCCTAGTACCATATATGAAGCTCATTTGCATGTGTTGAAAACGGGGAACTTAATAAAGAGCTTTAGCCACAGTCTGATCTTAGTGATGTAATAAATAAAGGAATTCTGTAAAGAAAAAAAAAGAATGAATGTTGTATGCATTGTGTATTAGAAAAGAGAAAGCAGATCTTAAGCAGTTTGAAAGACCCTATACAAAATATTTCACAGCCACTCAACAAAGGGTCCTTTTTATTTAAAAAGTTAGAAAATAAAGAAGAATCTCCTACTCTATGATACTAGCTACTCACATTTTTTTAAACATTGCTGTGTGGCTATTTATTAATTATTTAGTAGAAATCCGAGCAAAAATATACTTTGGGATGGCCAGCGCCCATTAAAGGGCGCGTGGCGCGGATAGATGACTTAAAGAAAAAATATGTACGTACGGAGTACATAAACAAGCATGAAGACATATATAGGATCAGAGACTAAATGAGCCATACAGATCTCTATATAATAAACACGGGCCTTATTGAACTATGATTTTCAGTGCTTGCAATATAACGGAACAGACAAATCCTCTTGCAACCGATTCCACCTGAAGACAGTCGAAAATCCGCCCAAGAGCTTCATCTGTTGCCCCCACACCCATACAACCGACTAATGCCGGCGGTAGGCCATTTGAAATCAACAAGCTGCGGGCGCTATCCCGCAAACTGCTCCGATCTGCATCTGCTGGGAAAGATTTCGATGGCTCATCAGCTTGTGTGGCAAAACAAGATTCACGAATTGTATTGATGAAGCCAGCAAGAGCTTCGTGGGTAGTATTTCGGCTGATCATGCCTTGAATAAGTTGACGAATGGATTGGAGGCTTGGGTTGCCAGGCCTCAGAATATACGACTTTGCTGCTTGTAGGAGCCGTTTTCTCAGTGTCCATGCAGATGAAAGTCCATATATTTCGTTCACAACAGCAAACAATAATTCGATAATAAGGATAGTCTCTTCTTCTGAAAGGGAAGAGTCGACTGTCTTGTTGCTTCGTGTATTAGAGCAGGTAGTTGATTCTAGTGATTCACTGGAACTCTCAGATATGGGAATTAAACCATCACAGGTGCCCCGGTTTCGGCTTGAAGCCATACTATCACTTCTATCTCGCTCGGGAATAGTCTTTTTATTATGCGAGGCAGCGTCATTGGCTTGAAATGAAAGTGATTCGGCGGTACGGTCATCATCCAAAATATGGGATCTCTGTACAGGAGACGATTGGGTCAATTCAGTGTGAACGAAATCATCAGGGCGAGATTCATTCAGTATGGAAATGTCATAGTCTGTTTTCGATTTTGTGGATTCGGTGCGGCCTCGAGAAGTGTAACCCTCCATCTTTGCTCCCATCGACCCATTAGCAGAGTTGCTGAAAAGGCCCGTCACTCCACCGAGCATAGCTTTACCACCTTCAGCAACACCTTTAGGGCTTATGACTCCCATCATATTTTTCCCCATGGCCTCAAAAACGGCAGGGTTACGAAAACCAAAGCCTGTTCTTGTGCCTGCTTTGTTTTGAGAAGCCGCTCCCAACCCTTTTTCGAGAAATCGTTTCATTCCTTCAGATTCAGCAAGATATTTATGGTGTAAAGCATCCTGTAGATATCGTTCAAGGTGTGTGCATAATTCTTGCGGTCTTCGGTTTCTCCAGTCTGGCAAATCTGCGTAGCTCGCCGAGAACTCGGTGGTCCCTGATATAACTGATATGCGACGCAGAGTTTCGTGAAGGATTTCAAAATCGACATACTTTCTCGCAATCATCCAGCCTGTAAGGTGCGCGCCACTCGGCTCGATTTGTATGAGATATTCTGTCGTTGGCTTTGAGCGTAATTTGGCTTCCGCGTTTGGGGTGGAATCATCCAGTATCGATATTGAAGCATTGTGAAAGTTAGCTATGCTCTGTGTTGTATTAACTATATCCTTTGGACAAGGCTTAGATTGAATGGACCTTGGGAGTGTTACTCCGTGATGACTACTCATGTCCTCCAAAGATGTATCCAAATTTGGTATCACAGTTGACCCTTGCGGGTTTAAATCCTTGAAACCAATCTTGGTATCAGATGTTGACCTTGTTGACGTTATCGGACAAGAAGCTAAGTAATCGGAAGTGTTTCTGGATCGACGTGCCCCCTGTGGACAATTAGGGGCACTTTCGAAGCTGCATTCTTTCACCCTTTTACTCGACCTGGAGCTCGAACCAGAGTTAAACAACAGCTTGTCTGAATGCCCTAAATCGTCGCGACCTGAAGACTGAATTGAAGCCAGACTTGAAAATGAATTTTCGGAAGCGGATAGGGGATCGGCAGAAACAGCGCCTAGTTCGCTCCCTACTCCTTCTAATTCATCCAGGCCAGCATCGATAGCATTTACTAGTTCAGGCTCCCCTTCCTTAAAGAGGTGGACAATCCAGCTATTGAGATATTCTGGCGCGGAGCAAGTATTTATAGTCGCCTCGAGAACAACTCCAGTAAGTATTTCTCGTAAAAATATTTGTGCCAGTTCACAGTCATATGTGTTAGAATCGAGAAAACCTTTAAGTAATTCACTAGTCAGAAGACTTAAACGTTTTCTTTGTTGTTCTGTGGACAGGAGATTTGAAAGTCCGCTATCCGGAAATTGCCTCAAATATTCATTGAGGGCATCGGCCACAGAAGCATTAGTATTTGAAAGATTGACAGCCATTGATAATTCACTGAGGAATACAATCATTACCGAAGACGAATTCATTGTGAATTGGACAAAAAGTTCGGCAGGTCTCTTGCGCCCGAGATGAGCCGAAAGCGAAGAAACAAAGCGGAGCATCAAACGTCGGCACGTATCTGGAAATGCATGTTCCGAGGGCAAAATAGGTTCGTACCACCATCTGCAAGCCTTCAGCGATATCATACAATTCTACGGGCTGTTTGTCAAACTCACCGTATATAGTCTTTAATCAAAATATCAATGAATCCTTCTATGGCAGAAGCCATCGGTTCATTCGAGTTTTTAAGATTTGTTTCAGTAGTATGGGCTTCAGCAGTAATGCAGACGCTTGCCCGTGTTCTTTCTGTTGGAAGTTCTACACCAGCCAACAGCCTTCTTACAACCTCGACACCAATTTCTCGCTGCCTTCGGGTCGATTCTTTAGCTTTGTTCTCATCAGAACCAATACTAAATGCTTCCCACCAAGCATGCAGTATTACGCCCCCAATAACACCAGTAAGAATTAAAAAAACTCGACCAAAAATTGAATATAAAATTAGAAAAACAATGCTAGCAAAGGCAGCGACGGAAATTAAGTTGCATTGAACGAGAAAAGGAATAGCTTGTTTAAGAAAGAAGGAAGTCAGTCGGTTTGATGCATCTTTTTGCTGTGGTGAGGACGGGAAAGTATTCCCCGCCTTGCTCAAAGGCTCCCTAGGCGCCTCAACCGACGACATTTTTTATTGTACGCGATAAGAAAACGAAAATTTCCCTGCAAATATCCGTGGGCCATATGAGCAGGAAAGCTGATTGTTTTGGCTCGCACTTGACAGAAGTATGCACTAGGGTATCAAGGGAGAGGGAAGAGATCTAATGCAAGCTTATGAGACGAAGGGTGTGTTGAGAATAACACTTTGGATGAGTGTAATGGTAACAGAATTATAATTCTGCTTTGATTTGATATACGGACAATCGGCGATCGGGGACTCGAATGAGGTGAGAGATTTGATCTAGTCAAAGGAATAAATTAGTCAGCTCTCATTGGAACCTTAGGTTTCGAAATATTATCTGGCCCTATAAAGGCCGGTAGGGATCATACAGGAAAATTTCAATTTATCTATTTGAATTAACATCTAGCTATGTTAATGATTTGGCCTCAGAAGAGGATCATGTTGTGTAAGTGGTGAGACAGCCCATATTTGGTTTGTAGGTACGGAGTATGTACGGAGTATGTACGGAGTACGGAGTACTCCCAAATAACCACTAGTTAGCCGCTGAGTCAGCATTTCCTGGAATCAACCCAAATTTTTCCTCGGTCCGATTTCGTGAGATCGGATCTCCATTTCACAAGTCACTTATTGCCTCTGGCTGGCCCCTTCACTGCTTTTTATTAATGCCCGTAATTTGGCCTGTTATTTTTGTTTTTGTCAATCTGTTATACTCACTTTCTTATTTCCCCAAAATTCCCTTTGTCTAATCCAAGGTCTATATCAGCATGAAAGTTTTTGCTTCGGAATGTACATTTGATTATTCCTGGGAGGAAGTCTCTACAGCAAACTGGCAGAAATATTGTCCGTGGAACAATAAATCCACTCATGTTGTCGCTGTTGATGTACTATCGCGCACGCTGGATCCTACATCTGGAATAGTATGTCTGCATGACTTCTTTCAGCTCTTCTCTAAGAAAGACACTGACACTCAGCTACCTAGCTACGGACAGAACGTTTAATCACCTGCAACCAGTCTGCTCCACAATGGATACTAAATCTTTTTGGGGGCTCTTCGACATCACATGTATACGAAGTCTCCTATGTTGATGCTGCTGCCAAAAAAGTTACAATGTCTTCCTCAAATCTCACATGGTCAAACGTCCTTAATGTCAAAGAGACTGTTACCTACCAGCCCTCTAAATTAAGGCCGACAATAAAAACGGATTTCAAACAGGATGCTCAGATCACCGCCGTTTGCGGCGGCTGGCAAAAAGTCAAGAACAAGATAGAAGAGCTTAGCATTGAGACCTTTAGTCAGAATGCTAAGAAAGGGCGAGAAGGGTTTGAAACAGTTCTCGAAATGAGTCGAAGGGTATTCAGGGAGCAAAGGGAAATGGAACTTCTACGGAATACTCATCAATAACATCAACCTTCGCATCCCAATATCCAATTTCGCGTGATGGATTATTTCATTGACATTGCTTCTTGATGTAAAAGGGGAAAAAGCTGGGAGTTTGGAAATCTGATATTTCTCACCCCACATTTGAAAATTTACCAATGGCGGGCGCAATAAACTTGCTTTTTACTCACGGCGTTTTTCTGCAGCATACTTAGCGCACCGGGACATGATAAAATTGCACTTTATGTATATACTGCACCATTGTATCATTATACGAATGAGCATCATATTGCCGTTACATGAAGCATTACTCCATACGCTAGCCATACTCTAGAACACTAAAGAAAACGAATGAAAACCCTATGATTTGCTGATTGGAATATAAAGAACGCTAAAGAAGGTATAACTTGTGAAATACTGAGAATGGTAGAAAAGATTCAAACTAGCCTACCAGGCCTCCCAATATTACTCTGCCAACACCAGCAATTTCGCCCTTTACGCTGCTGCGGCTCGCGTCCTCGAATTCTCGCACAACGCTTGACATGATTACTTTCCGTAACCGGGAATCTGCCTTCGCAAATATTTCGCCTAAAGCGGCTGTACATATGGAGGGACTAGATACTAGAGCCATAAGTCTCGTATAACAATCTATCAGGACATCGCATAGAGTGGAGAAGGTCTCAAAGAAGTCAGGATCAAATGGTAGCGTGGGAGTTAGCAAATATGTATACTCCTCGCCCGGGAGAAGATCCGAGGATTCGGCGATGGATGGAAAGGAGGCAACCGTAGAAGCGGCATTTGTAGAAGAAGCTATGTTGCCCGTTTTTGCTTTTAGATCCGATTGGTCACTCGACAGCATCGGGAGGCCTATCTCGGTTGCTGAGCTTGCTCTTCTGGCTTTGGTGGCAGTATGGGTTGATCGCTTAAACATTTGAGGAATTCGGGCACGGGCAAGGGTTGAGGCTGTTCCACCATCGACGGGGTGTATTTGCTGAAAGGCCTCGAATTCGATAAGCAGAGCGTTTAAGGAACGGAGATACTCGAAAGAATTTGAGCTGACATCTAATATTGGCGGGAGCGACAACCCGAGCAGCAAATAATTGATGGCCCGACGGGCGAGCTTCCGTTTCTCAAAATATGGCAGCCGGGAGATATCTGTTCTCGTGAAATGAATGGTATTGAACCAATAGACTCTTCCTTCATGGCTTTCATGGTGGTAGTCAGTAGTTGCAGTCTCATTACACTGAATAGCAGGGAAGGGACTAACGCCTTTCGTAAGTAATCTAATGTCTGTATTCGCTTGCTTGAAGTTTCATGGATATGTATATATATGGCACTAGCATTTTGGATACTGTAGGATGTAGTAGGAACCTGCGCTGGGACTTGTGCCATGCTGTAGGTGACATATGAGTAGAATACCTAGTAGTGAAGGGGGTGTTGGGTGGGGGAGGGGGCAAGGTTACTCCGTACTCTCCGTACAACTAACTAAAACATCCGTTTTGAATTCAACAATTTCAATGTTTATACATAGTTAACTAAATATGTACACAAGCAAGGCTCACCTACTCCACTCTTGCCAATAGCTGCTAAGCGCTTCTACTGCAACTTTATAAGCAAAGGCCAGCCATTGATATGAAGGGCGCAGAGCTGCACATGCATGTCCCCTTAATCTGAGTCATGGGTGAATAATCAAGCCAGTTAACTAACTAGTTATAAGTAGTTAGTTTAACTCCCTTTGTACGGCGTACGAAGTATGCCGATCTAAGGAGTACTGAGCATATGATTACTTTTATAACACCTCTAATTTGACCTACCAGGTTCGTTAAGACGCGCTCCGACTACAGACGATCCGTATCTTCCGTGTCGAATTCAGCCCTGACGAGAAATGCGTTCACTCAAGGCCTCCAAAGCGTGTATCACGCTCGCAACCCCTTGCTGTGGCCGATACGGTATTCAAAGAAGCGCTCAATCCCTTTTATCTGCGCCGTGGCTACAAACAAACCACAGCATAAAGCGTGAGTTATCACTGCCACCCATGCTCCGAGGTTGCTGAATAAATCATAGCCATCACCATTGCTTTTCGTCCATCGACAACCTCCGTAACCCACTTAGGCCCAACGTCCAAGCCCTTGACCACAAAATATACACCTCCAACCCGCGGCCTCATTGCTTTGCTTCCCACGTCATGGATACCCTATGCCGAATTGATGCGACTAGATAAGCCAACTGGTACATATTACCTACTTTTTCCTTGTCTCTTCTCGACCATGCTTGCTGCGCCAATGGCCACACCCATGGCAGCACCACTAGAAGTCGCATCATATTCGTGTTTATTTATCTTGGGCTCCTTGATCATGCGAGGCGCGGGATGCGCAATCAATGACTTATGGGATCGTAACTTGGACCCCCACGTGGAAAGAACCAAATTCCGACCAATTGCAAGAAATGCAATTACACCACAAAAAGCACTTGTATTTATTGGCGCTCAGCTCCTTTCGGGCTTAGCAGTTCTCTTACAATTTCCCGCGGACTGTTTTTGGTATGCAACACCCAGCCTACTTCTGGTGGCAACATATCCACTTGCTAAACGAATCACAAACTACCCTCAAGCGGTCCTGGGCTTAACATTTTCGTGGGGCGCCATAATGGGGTTTCCTACCTTGGGCATCGATCTACTAGTTAATGACAGCGCCGCAACAGCTGCTGCGGCCTTATACTCGAGTTGCGTTGCATGGACCGTACTTTATGACACAATATACGCACATATGGACGTAAAAGACGATGCTGCTGCTGGGATCAAATCGATTGCATTAAAACATAAGAGAAATACGAAATCAATATTGTCCAGCCTAGCAGCGGTTCAGGTAGGTTTACTCACTCTTGCCGGAATTGCAGCGGGCTCTGGCCCCGCCTTCTTTGTTGGGAGCTGCGGCAGTGCATCAATTGCTCTTAGCGTCATGGTTTGGCGTGTCAAACTAGATGATGTCAAAAATTGCTGGTGGTGGTTTAGATATGGCTGCTGGTTTACCGGCGGTGGTGTTGTTACCGGGCTATTTGCGGATTACCTTCTCCAGGTATTCGGAATTTACAGATCTGACCATCACCTAGTATACTGCGCCCCGGAAAATTAATTCATAAATAACCACAAGAGGTCTACTTATCTCAAAGATTTCATATAGTTACCCTGAGACGCCTGCAACCATACCTGAGCATGTGTGTCCTGTGCGTATGCCCTGCGACAGCGCCTACACATTTTTTTTAATAAGGAAGTGATGACTTGAAACTTCGGATTCTGTCAAAGATTATCGGAGTATTCAGTATCATAGATCTGTTACATCTTTCTCCACAAACAACAATCCTCACATTAATATCTATGCATCAGAACAGAGAGTTAGTAACGCTATTAGACAAAAAAGTGTTCTGACTCTGGAAGAATCTAAAGTTAAAAGATAGATAACATTTATTACCTTTCCAGTTCAAATATATCTAAGTATTATACATACAGTACAATGCTCAGACCTCTGCTTTTCTCTCTGTATACTTGAATTTCTTATTAATCTTATATTTGTTATTCTCTGTGAGCTATGCAATTACATTAGATACAAGACATAATCTTCTATAACTGTAGATTCGCAATGTAATTCTTTCTCTGGTACAAAGGCAATGGCAGTTGGGTGTCCAGAGATTACTTGTTCTCGTGATCGGCTAAAATAGGAAACGGCCACATGTATTGGGGACAGGTCTCGCTTCCAATCTACATTTCTGCCAAACTTATGTAGCAGAACCTTCACAGAGAGTGCGTTCGCAATTATGGCGAAAACCAGATTTCAGAATCAAGTCTCCAGGAAAGCCTCCATATGCAGATCAAGAGTCATTCGAGGGGGACAGCAGTCTCGCGTCCTAGGCCCAAAAAACAACATATTACTACAGAAATCAATTACCAAACATGAGCACACAAGACGTGCCACGAGGCTTCTCTTTAAAAATAGCCATCTACCTATCTGCCGAAGCTCTCTGCATGATTTCTCCAGTAAGATCACATCCTACTGCCCGGTCCTTGCCTTAATTAACTCTGAATTAAGAATCTCTCGAGGGTACAAGAGACGAAATAGTTGGCGATGCTTTTAATACCCTTATCAACGCTGAAAACCTTCTTGCCAGCAGGCTCTCAGGCTTTAGCCTGATATCTACAAGAAAAATTAAAGAACTGAAAGCAAATCATGCAAATATTCTTGATATTCTTTCGGCTTCAGGCCCAAAATGCCAAACTTTTCATAGAGAGCAATCACTCAACCTTGATTGGGCACGCTATTTAGATCAAATGGTAGATTTTAGCTGGAAACTGAGATCTATGGAGGGCGAGCTAGAAAAAAAGTGGCAAGAATGGACCAATATTAAAAAAAAGATCCTATGTCTGGGGGTAGAAGTTCTAGGACCCCACTGCATAGACCATATAGGATACAACCTTCAAGAATCTAAGAAAAAACATAGTCAGGCCATTTTCAAACATGGCCGATTGGCTTCTCGCTATGGGGAATCACAGAGAGTGGTGGAGAAACAAAAAGAACTTATTTACTTTATGGTAGGGAAGATTCTAAAAGAATTGGCAATGCAAGAAAAGGTGAAATCTCAATGAGACTTTCCTCGGTATGGCTACGTATGCTTATCTTGTACTTCACAGAAATGGAAATTTGATGCTCGACGACAAAGTGGAGAAGTTTGCAAGCTGGCTAGGAAAATGATTGTGGATTCCTAGACAGAGAGCTAAGGTGTTGTTTGAAGAGTGAGGAGTATCTATAAAGAGATAAGACTATGTTATGTGGAATGGGATGTGGGCAGGAACATATATAGAGATGTATACATATGGAAAAAGGGCTCCATATTCATATTCTTCAACTCTAACAAAACAAGCACCTAAAGTATGCCAATGCCAGGCTTGGTATCCCAAGGAAAACGTAGAGCAACCTGTGTTTACTGAAAAGCCCAAAACCTCCAAAGTTGCATGCTTGGCTGTTTTTAATATGAAAAGAAAAAGCTAGTTAGAAGATCGAAGTTCGATGTTTTGTTCTTTCTGCTTTATAGTTTCCTCGCCGATAGATTTCAGGAGCTTCGTTTTCTGTCGTACCTCAAACGCTTCCCTACTTTTTAGGATTCTTTGGACAATTTCACCTGCATTGACATGTTGAAATTGGTGGGAGCCAATTTCTTTAAAGATACCCATCCTTTTTGGGTCAACATAAGGGTCATAAGTGAGGGGAATGAAAGTAGTAGGCCCATGGTAAACAGCGTTAGGCATTCCGAGCGGGAGAGATCGTAAAAACGACTCTGATGGTGTAAATGGAGCCCCAAAAATGATGGCGTTGATGTACTGGTAGTAGGAATTAGTTATGAAAACAAGGGTTGGAGAATCAAACATTCTCGAACCACTCACACGACACTGGAGAACACAAAGCCCACGCTCAAATATGTTCATGATCGGGTAGTTTAGGCCTTTCCAACTGTTGATAACTTCGTCATCATGAACGCCGGCTATGACATATGCAGGGGCGTAATCTTCGCCGAATTGCTCTAATCGCGCAGCGACGCGACCCGGCGAATACCACTGCTGGCGAGAGCCTAGCTCTTTTTCCTCTTCATGTACACGCCGAAGAAATTCTATGTGACCTGAAGAGAACAGATCAAAACCACCGTCAACATAAACAAGGCGTTGACCAGGTCGAGGCCCTTTGCCTTGGAATATTTGTCCAAAAGAACCCGTTGGTAGAGTAGGCAGGCTGTCATTATATCCTTGACAACTTGTCGTCCAAGTCCATACCGCCGGCCCAGGCTTAAGGCCAGTTTCATCAGAGGCGTAGTCTTTGATTCGTTGAAGGGATTGCTTCGCATGCTCTTGAAGTTCCTCACGAGTGCCAGGACCCTCATTACCAGCCAAAAGAGCAGTCAAGGACTTAATAAAGTGGCTCCGGGTACAGAGGAGCATGCGCCCAACAAGATCGGTGGTCGAGATTCCTGGAGTCCTCTTCACGACAAGAAAACGCCCTGCGCTCTTCACGAATCTATAACAGTCATTTCCGTCGCTGTCTGAAGTGATGTCGTCACCATGAACAACGTAGTGGCAGCCATAATGAGAGATCCAAGGCAGCGAAGTTACGTAAGGGGCATGGGGAACCGACTTTGTAACCCATCGACAGGCGTTCACAGCTGCAACTCTTTGCAAATGTAAGTAACGGAATTGAAGGCAAGGGGGCGACAACGGACCGTTCAGCAAGTGTCATAACAGTCGGGCCTTTGTTCTCTAGAATTTCTTCATCCGAATGAACGCCGACTAGAAGCTCCTTGCCCAATTTCCGGGCTTGTAATATCGCTCCGGCATGACCTGTTTATTTGATGTTAGCCACGGCACCAAGGGCAAGACATACGGAAATTCGCCGGCATGGGCTACTGACCGTGGTGGCTGAAATCAAAACAGCCATCCACCCAAATGCGGTCTTTTTGGATAGGAATGTCCTCCTGCGGGTCAACAGGCCATTCGCCGAAACGAGGAACTGATCCATGAGTGAGGGGTCCCGGTTCCATGCTGATTCAGGTTTAGAGCTGGTATACTCCGGACAGGCAAAGGTAAGTTAAGGCTCAGGCGCCGCAGGCTCGGAGATCAAAAGCGTTAGCAAGAGATCAATTTCTGGATTGCTTGACTCGTTAGTTGGCACTCTAATCAGATGGTTGTTTTGTCAGTGATAGATGTGCAAAGGCGCTTGGAAGAAAATATCCAGCAGGGCGTCCAGAAGGCTAGCAGCCGATTTCAGGAGTCTGTACCTACTTCCATACCATAAAATCAGTTTCTCTCAGCCTTCTCTGTAGAATCCATAGAAAACCCTGCTTGTCGGCATGTGCATGGCCACATCTGATTATTATCAGTAAGATATTTACTAATACTAGATTTACTTGGTTATATTCAGTAGCTTAACCTGATTAACTATACAAGGTCAAGACCTGCTGAGCCACTTTGCAACATCTGGGGACAGTTCAACCCACATCAGCCCAGTTACGCACCGGCAAGAACAGTGTCTGGCACCAGTAATTACCATTTAGAGCACCTGTGGACCACCCGCATGGGGACCTGCGAACAGTCGGGAATGAGTCTTGTATGTACGGCACTAGGTGTGGCGTAGTTATCCGTGGGCCAGAAACCAACCAATCACGGGCGCTGCGTGCTGAAACGGCGATGAGGAAGCTTCGTCCAACGGGTGCCATTCGCCCTCAGCCTGACTTCAACCCTTCCACCACAACGTTGACGTCCACCCGCGGTCACCACTCTCGTTTTCCTTTCCTTAATGTCTTCTGTCAGTCATTATCTACGCACCTTTTAATCTACGCTCATTCTTTTTAACCCACTCCAACTTCTTTCACTCATTGGGTGATCAGCTCTCCACCCCCTACCTCCACGCTCCCTTCTGCGGCTCTGAGTAGCCTGTTGACCTGTCTCTTCCTTAAATAAATACTCAACCTGTCGCTATTTGCCCCGATACAGCCTACGCAAAGGTTTTATTATTTTTTATTTCGAATATCTTTTTTGTGCCGGTCCCACCACGATATCTGACGCCAATGAGGTAAATGTTGACGCTGGGATATGCTTTCCGAGTAGCCACACTTCTCCTCATCGTATTGTTTGCTTATAGTTCACGATGAACTACGTTAACGACTCGTCCCCTTTCAACGATAACTTAACCGCTCCGTTCCACCAGCCTATCGGCTTTGGTCCTCCTGTCTCCGTCTCTCCATATACCCACCCGGTTGGGCAGTATCTTGTCGCCTACCCCTCGAGCGAAGTTGCCGCTTTCCCCGGCTTCTACCCTGGCCACTCTGGGCCCTTTGAAGACTATGAAGAATATGTTGAGAATTTGTCGCGACCTCGCTTGACTAAGGAGCAGGTTGAGACCTTGGAGGCGCAATTCCAGGCTCACCCGAAACCTACAAGCAACGTAAAGCGCCAGCTGGCGGTACAAACTAACCTTACTTTGCCCCGAGTTGCTGTACGTATCGAGACACGGTGTGTTCAGGAAGCTGGAACTAACTCTCTTAATGGCGTAGAATTGGTTTCAAAACCGAAGAGCAAAAGAAAAACAACAGAAACGACAAAGAGAATTCGAAAGAATACAAGCTCTAGCAAAATCCGACCAGGCGGAAAATGAGATTTTGTCTACCGATCTAAATTCGGGTTGCGAGTTGGACAACGGATCGCCTTCTGAAGAAATAGATCGAACAACTACCCCGTCTGCAGAAGGCGAAGCCGCTGTGTCGCCACAGCAAACCAAGGCTACTTCCGGCATAGCCATATCCCAAGATTTACCGAAACCAGTGGATCTAGCTGTGAAGGGAGCGGCTTTTTTACTTCCGAAATTGGATTTGGATTTGCATGACAATCATAGCGACTGCCACACAAGTATACCAGGAAGCACGGATCAAACACCAGATTATCCCACTCAGTCCACACCCTCAGAGATCAATGGGAGACGCTTATCAAATGTTTCGGAATCTCAATCAGTCTCCCCTCCACCGGTTTGGGTAAATGTTTTTAACCAAGATGGCGTTATTGATAATCAGACTGGCCCGCAGCAGCACCTTTTCGACGCTTCTGGACCCTGGTTGCAAGATTCGAATATCTCAGAGCATTCTTTGTTTGGTGCATCATACAGCAGCACTTGTGGATCTCGTTCAATAAGAGATTTCCTCACAGCCGATATTGCTAGTGAGCTCTCACATATGAGTTCTCACCGACCGGAGTCCTATCGTTCGGAACCGATTGAATTCCCAAATCATACTACTCCGCACAGAACTATAGCCCTAGCCCGCGATATTTCTGGAGGGTCTTTTCAAAGTCAGCAAATGATTTCCCCTAACGATCATACCTTCCCACGCCTTCGCGATAAGAAGTTGGATCTTGCAGCCCGTCGCAAACGACCGCGTCCCCCAGCTATCGGTGTGGGGGCCCCAAATCGTTCCCTCATAGGTCCTTCGTCAATGTCCCCAACCACAAGGCCACCCTCCCTTGGGGTTTCTCACTCATTGCGACATGTAAAGTCTTCTCAAGCCCTTGGGTCAAGCCTCAGCCCAAAATATGCGGGGGTACGGAAAATCTCTGCACCGCTTCGCTCTCCATTAGGGATGCCAGCTGCGTTGGACGTCTCTGGAGCCTCTAGCTCTAACTCTGATTTTGTTGTGTCGCCTCTGATTACTACCACCATCGCACCGCACACTCCGTTAACCCCAGATGACCTGCAGTACCTTTTTCCGCCCACTCCAAACGACGCACAGTATTGCCACTCTCCTACAGACGAATTGCGGTGCGCGCGACTCTTCCCGGCCTCGTACAATGCTGACGGACACTCGCCTCCAAGAACCCCATACCATCCTGAGAATGCGTTGCAGCAGCAATGTAATTCCTTAAGTTCGCACCTATCTGCATCCTCGTTTGGGACGGCATTTGAAAACCATTCTCTCCCAGCGCCCCAGGATTCCATGACAAACCCGACATGGTCTGAAACCAATTTCGTCACAGAGACTCTATCGGTACCCGATATTCATGTGCCCAAATCCACTCATATATCACCCATTACCCAATCTATTGCGGAACAGGCGGAAGTGACTACTAGGAACAATTGGCCGGCTGCATTTTCATCTGTTTCCAGGTGGCAGTCGAAAGAACTGGGCTCCACCTTATCAGATCACGCTTCTGCCTCATTTTCGCACCTGAATCCCGAATTCATGATCGAGGAGTTTCCAAATCAACAAACCCGTCATGACCCTTCGCAGCTTCTTATCTCTGAAAAGCCGAAAGCTTATACGTTTACTAACCAGACCCCAAACGATTTTTAATAAGCGAATGTGCAGTGCTACTTGGGAATGCTAACTGAAGTGGCTAATATATATACTCGTCTCTGTCTTTTACTGCCCGAATTTGGTACCGAATGTGATCTGGAGATTCCACGGCTACATCCTATCGGCAAATTTCTCTCAATTTTTTCTTCTTGTCGTCTTGAAACTTGATTCTGCGAAATGTATATGACCATGTGACGCGGGAGGACATGGGTCGGGTCTTTGTTTTATGTTTGTGTCCCTGTACTACGTACGATACCGCGCCTAATACTAGTCCAAATTTTCCTTTCATCTGCTCGAAGTCCTTGAGCAAGGCATGCTTTTTCCCGTGTAATGCTAGTCCTCTGATCTTGTCTACTCGCTTCCTTTTTTCAAGTAACCAATTTTCCTTGCCCCTTCCTTTGAGTGTCCCTTTATTGCCACATAGTTTAATATCTCTTCGTTAAATTGAGATCATTGCTACTTTGATAATCAAATTTTTGATTGCATATGAATTGCTACAATGAATGTTGAGCACATCTTGTGGCTATGTACTGTAGATTTGTAAGTACATTTATTACTCCTGTGCAATTCCTATTGTTGCTGCCTGCCTATAACCTGTAATATGAAGCACGTGTTTACAAGCAGAATGTATTTTAAGGAAATAAAAGAGAGGGACAGAATTCACAGAGAAAAATCAATATATTGGGGCCATCACCTCGATCTCCTATTGGTTTCGGAGCCCAAAAATGCTACATTTTATTCGTCAAATGATGACAAGCATGGACTACCTAGAGTATACAAGGTCAATCATTGTAACAACCATTTCAGGCTCTGTGGGGGGGGGGGGGGGGTGAATCAGCCAACTCCGCTGCCAAAGGAAGCTCATCCATGAATGCATTAAATGAATGAAAGGCATGATACATGAAGGCAAGGGGTATCACATCAAACATAGTCCTCTTGAATATTTTGGGTTTAGGGTGGTGCTGTGCTTGAAAGAGGAAAAACATAGAATCCTGAAATTTTGCTAATAGCGAAGTAGAAGCATAGAATAATACAGGGTTAATGAAGAATGAACTGGAGTCGAAAGAACACATAAAGTGTGCGAACAGACAACTTATCTCAGGAACGGGGGGTAATAAGGTGTAGAATCCAACAAGGAGTTTTTTTTTTTCAAAATGAGAGTATTGACATGAACTGGCGAATAGAAAAAAAAGTACGAATCAGGCACAGTGTAGGACATTGAAACCCTAGAAATGTTATAATCGACCAAGTAAGCCGGGTTCCAGAATTCAACGAGCAAAAAAAGGTCCTGCACGAAACTAGAACGCACCAGGCCAACCGCTATGTGAGGCTCCTGGCTGTGACTGTTGGGAAGGCGGGAGTGGACCACTCGAAGAAGGCCACCCTGGCAGGGTCGCATTTGTTACCATGCCCATATTCAGGGCATTCTGCGGGGTATGATAGATATTTGGACCCCCTGGAGAGGAGTATGCTGCCCTTGGAGCGGCCATTGGCGGGTAGGCGGATGCGGTACTGTTGGGATAACCGACAGCAACTAGATTTTGGTTTTGCGGCTGCGGGTGCATTTGAGGAGACGGAGCAGGGTGGCCTAGATGCCGTGGGGATTGATGGGGCGCCAGGTGCGGAGAAGGTGACTGATGTGGATGCAGTGGATGACTGTACTGGGCAGGCCCCACGGGTTGATTTGGGACTTGGTTCCACATATGCTGTGTCTGAGGGTATGAATACAGCGAGGCTTGGCTCGTGTTTGTTGATGCTAATGTGTTAGTAGAGGTGCGATGATGTAGGTGGTCCGGCCGTACGCCTTGCAGCATTCCACGCATTGGAGGTGTCATTGAAGGCTGGGGGAAGGAGGAATGGGGTGTAAGGGAGTGCGGTGGTTGTCGGGCGATTGGTGTTGCTGACAGCATGGCGGAGGAATTTAACTGAGGAGATTGGATTGTTTGAGATGGCGAAAGGTTGGGCTCCAGTTGTTCGGAGAGCGATGGCAGTCCTTGATCGGAAGCTGGCAGGTCGCGCGATTTGAACCAACTATCCTCCAAACCACGTCCACGAAAGCCCCGCTGGTGATTCAATGCCTTGCTAAATTCGGTGGTCAGAGAGGCCTGACTCAACAAATCGGGTGTGTTGCTAGATGAGAGGCGATCATTGTAAGGCTGCCCGGATAGTTCTTGCCTAGGTCGCGGCATGCTGCTATATTCTCTCATCCGCGGGTCATCCACGGGTGCAGGATTTATCATTGGCAAGGGCGCTAGGCTGGTGGCCAGACCAGGCGGCAATCCAGGGGTGTGTATCAAGCCGTCCGGGGGCGCTGCATTGCTGTAGATCACGTCGCCATGGCCGAGCGCGGGAAGCGACCCGGTGGAATTCGCTGCTTCAGCAGCTTCTCTAGCCTTGGCTCCTCCAGGCCGCTTTTCCCCCGCTAGGTCCTCTTCCGTGAACCCTTGCTTCCTAGCCTTGCCCTCCCAATAGTCGTCTCGTACTCGCCGACCGTTGACAATGACTCTGCTGCCAAACTGCCGAAACATGGACTTTGCAGTGACAATGGCGATCTGGCGTGATCGGTAGGAGTAGGGAAGAATATCTTGGCTGATTAAATCGTCCTTTTCCTCCTGACTAGCGATGATCTTATACAAAGACCGGTTTTTGTTGAAGAGCAGGTAAGAGTCGCGGTATCCTAGGACGCGAGCACATTCTGTAGCCAGCATGAAGAGTCGTTGGCCTCTGTTATGTACACGAAAAGTTCGACACTTGTAGGTGCGTCCATCTTGAAGATAACCCAGGTCATCTACTTTGTTATCGCCGCTGGGGTCGAACTCCTTGGCAATGTATTCATCGCCATCCTTGTTAAGCTGATCGGTTGTGTGGTCTCGTACGGTCGGCAGTGCTTTTATCACCGGTTTGGTAGGGGTGGTGCGGGAAGGTGGCGAGGACTGGGAAGTCGGTGTGTTTGGGATGGGCGGTGGTCGCTGAGACATTTGGGGAGTTTGGGGCTGAGGGAGTGGTGTCCTGATCTGTTTTTGCGAAGCCAGAGGGCTCGAGGTGGGCGTGGTTCCTGATGGGCGCGGGTGTTTTGGCGGCCTTCCTCGTTTGCGGCGAACTTGCTCATCTAAGCAATCGAACACCGATGGTTAGCGAGTGGAAAACAGAATGGAAACGCATTGCAACAGCGCAGAATGGCCACGAGCCACCCCGAACAGAAAAATAAGGGACGAAAAACAAAAGAAAAAAAAGAAAAAGAAACAAAGAAAGAAAGAAAGCAAGAAAGAGGTACAAAAAGAACCTTGGCGGCCGGGACGTTTTTTGATGGGTCGTAGTTAGTCGAAGTAGTTATGTCACTAGTGAACGCGCTTGGAGAATCATCAAAAGAACAAAAGCACAGATTGCCAAAGGGATGGGGTACTACATGTAGCCGACATACCATCCTCGACACCGTCATGCTGCTCGTCATACTGGTCCACGGACCGACCGCGTTTTACGCCTCGGGCGAGCGAGGGGCTGGGAATGTGCAAGCTTCCGGGAGACGTGGCAGCGGCGGCGGCGGGGATAGACCCGTCGCTCACGGCCGTGCAGCAGGGCGTGGAGGTCAACGGCGAGCTATGAACGGCAGCTAGCAGGCGCAGCAGAGATTAGTTACGGGCGCGACGCGCGAGCCAGCGGGCGCGGAGCGACACACCTGGAGTATTGAGCGCGGCGGGGTTGATGGTGCCGTCGATGTTCCCCAGGCCATTGATAGACCCGGGACCGGAGGCGGAGTACATGCTGGAGGGCGGCAAAAGGCACGGCCCGGAGAGCGGGCGCGGGCTGGGTCGATGGCGGGGCGCACACCGGCGGGAGCTCTGCAGGGCGCGGCAAGACGGGTTGGGAGAAGCAGCGCCAGCGACAGATGGGACGGACGGGCGTAAGATGAGCGCGACGAGCGGGGCGGGGGGGTGTCTGGTCGACGGCGGCTGGAGAGCCGCTGGTGGTGGCCGGGGAGGGGGGTGTGGGCGAAGCGTACGGTGCTGCAACGGTGGCTGGATGGACGGCGGACGAGGCAAACAAAGACGCAGCAGATAGTTCGATAGATAGCAGGGCCACGGGGCTAGACGTAAGCGCAGGGCCGTGGGCGTGCGAGGGGAGACGGACAAGCGAGGGAGCGAGAGGAAGCGGTGGAGGAGGAGGAGGAAGTAGTGGTGGTGGTCGGACGGGTGCTGAACAGCAGCGGCGCTCTCAGCAGCAGCAGCAGCGCGGCGGCGGCGGGCTGACTGTCTGCAAGCACGGCGGCGCCGCGTCTCTCTCGCTCTCTCGCGCGCGGCTCGGGCGGGGTGCGTGGCGGCAGCGTGGCGGTACGCGGGGTCAGCCGGCGCGCGTCATGTGCCCGCCGCCCGCGCTACGCCCAACGCGGTTACGCCGCGCACGGGCCGGCGCCGGAAAAACCAGTCTCCGCCACCGCCGGCCGATCATCCGCGCCGGCGCTGAGCTCGTCCGTCAAGATTCATTCGATCTTCAGGTCACCGTCCTCCGCACGGCCAGTCACCGGCCAGGCCGGCGGCGGGCCTGGTCTGCAGTGCCGCAGCGTACGGAGCAGGCCACACAGCTCATGCGGCTGCGCGCGAGTCGTCCTGCGCGCCAGCAGTTGCTTGCATGTGAACGCCCGCTTCCTGTGCGACTCCGCCGGCCCCCAGTGCCGTGCGCAGGCAAACAACCGCCCCGCGCGCGCGCCGGACGACGGAGGGCCGGGAGAGTGAACTACCCACGCCGATGTACTACTCATCCACAACTACATCGGTTAGTTACCTGAACCAAGCCCTACAGCTCGCAACCGCACGGCGCCGCGCCCGCGAGCCTCCAGCGCGCGCCGACGCCAAACACCCGCGATCAGCAGCTCTCTGATGCATCAGAGCCCAAGCTGATCCCCGTCTGCGAACCTCGCCGCCCCATCCACAGCGCCTGGTTGGCGTTCTCTGGCCGGCGATCACCTGGCGGGGGGGGGGGGGGGGAGGCGCAACAAATTTCCCGTCTTACACGTCCAGCCCCCCTTGCTTGCTCCCTCCAGCGCAGCGTTTATCAGATCCGACACTTCCCTGCCTGCAGAGTCCCTCGAACTGGCCTGCCGCTGCGCGTCGTCTGATTTGCACGACGATCCGGCCTCGTGACCCCTCTGGCCCTGTTGCCCTCGCCCGGCCGGGGTTGCGCCCACGCACGCCGCCGATTCACACCCAAAACAAAAGCGCCGTGGTGGCCCGGTGACTGCGCGGGGCCGTCGGCCCCATCTCATGGCATCTTTCGCCCTGGCTCCTCTCGTTCCTGGCTTTGCTGTTCGACCGGGCGTCGATGCGGGCTGTGGCCTTCAAACCCAAGTCAAGGCCCTGTGTAGCCACGGGAACCTGGCCACTGCGATACGGAGCCTGAAGAAAGCGGCCTGTGTAGAGTAGACACGCATACCGTAGAAACTATATCGAGTGTCCTATATGACACCGCGCACTCACGCCCTTCCCCTGCAAACCATGTCTGGTTGAACAGCTTGGCGCCGCAGTTAGAGTTAACGAAGGTTCTTGCACGATGCGATCCTGGTCCGCTATTATTAGCCATGAGCTTGGTCTTGAGCCAACGAAACGACAGGCCTGCTGCGGCGGTTTGGAGCCCGGTGGCGCGTTGGCGACGAGCATCCGCCTCGCAGAACAATCCGCTCCGGCTTCTCGAACCTCAGAAGAACCCGAGCACCCCCAAACCGCTCCAGCAGCCCAGTATTCGGATTTTGCCTGTGTGCCACCGCGCTCCAGAAGCAAAATCCCGCCTCCTTTCTCGAAAGGCGTAAGATCTGAGCAAACGGCGCCAGCCGACACGGCCAGCGCTGGGAGGGGACTGCGGAACGGACATTCTGCAATCCCCGGCGAGGCGACGAGGTCCAGCGCTGGCGGCGATGCGCCCGACCGACCCCGAGAAAACTCCATCTCTGCGGGAGCTGCAGCTTTCCTGTCGTCGAGTCATGGATGCATATTGATTGGCCTAGACTGCCAGCCAAAACCCTCCCACGATCTCACAAGCAAGTGATCGCCTGGGACTAGCGAAGCTCATGGCCAAAACTCGGCCCTCGAAACTTGAGGGCCGCGCCTTGTTATCCGAGCCAACGCCCGGGCTGCATATGGCCCGGATCGCATTGCAATTATTATTCTCCCCATGCTGTACGGAGTACAGAGAACCCAGAGTCTGTTCGGATGTATCCAGACATATAGCTGCCTGTGGCGCCAAATGTCGACGCACAATATTATATCATATCATTATCCCGGCCCTGTACAGCTTCGACTGCTCATGTCTGGCCTTTTCTGTGCAACGCGCGCCGTGCCACACAGTCTCATTGCCTTGCAAAGTCGGGTGGCACAAGGGGGCACTCTCCCGCCCTCTTGGTCTCACCCGTGTGCAAAAACTGCGGTCGTGGAAGCAGAGCGACTCCTGATTTGCAATACGAAGTCCCGCGGTGCATTTTGCCAGCCAGATTCAGCTCCGTTTGCGGAGCTTAATCGCCTGCACGAAACGCAGTATCAGTCGTGCCAGGTTCAAAATTCGACTTGGATTATTGGCTTGCGAGCCGCGGCTCCGTTACAGCTGTATTAAAAGAACCAGAACATACAACTGGGCTTGTGATCGCGCCAAAAGAGACAAAAAAAAAGAAATGAGAGGTCAGCCAATGATTCAGTCTGGGGGCTGTGACAGATGGACATCCAGACGACAGAAATAACCCCGAACAGCGTGTGCTCCTCCTTAGCAGAGCCGAAGGCGTGAGCCATGGAGCGTTTGAAACAAGCAACTGGGTGTGCCAGACTTCTTCTTGATGTGGAGGGGGAAACTTCACACCACCCTCCCGCCCCCCCTTGCATGAGCCTAGTGGAAGCCCACGAAGCGGTGAGTCCCGGGCCCAAAAGGAGCCAAATGGGCGAGCTTTCCCCAGAAGAGGCTATTGAGCGTGATCTGCCATCCATCCTCATTGGATCTGAGCAATACCGTTCGTATATCTGGGGGGGGAAGCCCATATCGTTCACTCCAATTCTGAAATTGGTAAAGGCTCGAGCTACATCCTCGGCCGGAATGAACCGTTTCGTGGTGTGGAAATAAAGCCCTCACCTCACGGTCGTGCATGCCGCGCAAGTCTTCTAGCTCTTTGAGGTAAATGGGTCTTTTCTTGATATCGTCATCCTCATAACTACCCCTAAATTTGCGGCCGCTTGGTGCTGGATTCGAAGCCGTTCCTGTAACTATATCTAAAATTTGCGTTCCTCCACCGAACCGGTCGCTCATGTCTGTCCTGCCCACCGCGACATAGCTCTTGGACGACGTGAAAACTCCTCGTGACTTGTGAACCCGTCCGTTGATCTACCTCCGTCCTATCAATTGTCTTCCATACCCCTGTGTCTGCCCCTTCTTGCATCTCTCCTTGTGGGTTCTGGGGGTGTTAGGATAGCGAGACCATGGGATTCGTCTCCTGACAAATAAAAACAGTGGCTCTCTCCGCCAAAACCGATATAATCACCATGACTTATGAACCCGTCCGTTGATCTACCTACGTCCTACCAATTGTCTTTCATACCCCTGCGTCTGCCACTTTTTGCACCTCTCCTTGTGGATTCTGGGGGTTGTGGGATATCAAAACCATGGGATCCATCTCCGGACATGTCAAAACATTGCTTTCCCCAAAACAAGTATATTCGCTGCGGCGATAGCTTGGTTACCCTCTTCCCCTCCTGGATGGGGGGGGGGGGGGGGGTATCGGAATCATAGCCGCCCAGCAAATTCGTTGTTGTGCAAAGGGAACTCGCAGATGATATTTGGTGCCTTAGTGTCGTGATAATAGTCGAAGCTGTTGATTAGCAGTGTCAGATCCCTGGTGAACTCGTATTGCCTCGTTTTTGAGGCCGATTTTTCAATGACCCAGACAAGTCTTCTAAATTCAAGACTTTTGACTAATACTGTAACATGGATAATACCATAGGGCGCCGTGTATGTCCTGGGGGTTTCTACACCATTGTGCTCCAGGAAAAGCCGTGACAACATGAGCCTTGGTATTGATTTTGGAAATATACACGGCGAAGTATCTTCAATGCTGTGACTGCTATTGTAGAACATACAAATACGCCGTGTTTGAAACATGCCTGCATTCTCGCATTTATCTGGTGACATTACCATTCCAATCAGGTACGATAAGATTGACAGTGTGAGTTTTATCCTAGATAATCTGATAGCTGCCACTAAGCTACATTTTCAATATTCGGAATCATCACAATCCTTAAACCCTCATCTTTCTTTCTGTTGCTTTTTCCACATCTAGCTAGCTGTTTTCACCTTGCTGTTCAGGCTAAAGACTAACACTACCACCAATTCCCACGATGGGGCTCAGCACTATCTATCGTCTTATCTATCATCTTTTACACCTGCAAGTCTTCATAATATATGAAGACTTCCTTACATCCAGGGAGCTATCTGTTCTGACAGTAAAACTAGATATACTAGAAACCCTAGTGACCTGAACCATGAGATATATCAGTTAACTTACTTGGGTAAGGCCATGCGTCGCCGGCTCCGAATTTGCTACATGATAGCTATAGGCAACTATGTGGTTTTTAGAGCTCCAATTTCGCAGGCGGGCTTTCTATACGACAAGTCTTGTTAGAAAATGAGCTGCGAATGTATGTACCTATTGTTTTAGTTGAGTTCCTTCACAGGTGAGGCTGTAAGGTGATTGATCACAGTGGGGGCAAATATCTGAATTTCTATAAAATGTCCTAAACATGATTTCATATTTTCCAAGTGAGCATGAGCTCAACATTAATCCTATAAGAAAACAACCTTGCATACGGTTTGCTAGAGAGCTGTTTGAGAGAGTTGAGCGTTTGAGTGATGTTAGAAAAGGAGACCATTGGATATCTGCCAAAGTCCGCTATGAAATCACATTAACCAGTTCGCCAAGTATGATTGCATTCCAAGCTGCGTAAAGAAAAACTCCGATCTAACAAGGTGGCTGTATCTTGTGTGATGAATCCAATCTGAATACAGGGTACTTGCTGGGTTTTTCCTGTTAGCCAGTTGTTGTGAGCATCTCAATAAGAAGATTTGCGGCTATTCGCGACCTTCTCACGACATCTTTAACCGCTGCTACACTGGTGAGGCTGACCAACAACTCCCCCGAAGACAAGGCAGACGTTATATCCGACGCTGTCACTATAGTGCCTTTTCTTTTGCCAACAACAGGCATATTCTGCCCGAGAGCCGTAGTCCAGGGTGTGCTGAAAGTGAACCAGGAGTGGTTTTGACATGGAATCCAATACACCCAGCTCAAGCCAGTTCCGGTATTTGAGGATCCTTTCGGAAGAAAATAGCTTGACAAAGTGGACTCTGGATTTCCTTGCGACTCACCGGGTATGTTTCCGGCTAGAACGCGAGCCGCTGGCACTAGAATAGGCCCACTGGTGGTGTTAATGGCTAAGATACAAGAATCGTATAAGTCCATTCCCGTCATGGTGGCCCCCATAATCCAAGAAACACTTGAAAGTAACGTATCACCAATGACAGCAGTGATTTCAACTTCAACGGTATTGCCAATCACAACCGGTCCTGGGATTTTCAGGACGTCACAAAACCGTCGGTCTGTCTGAATCAGTAGATCTTGGATTTTGGCAGGATCTTGCACATCTTCGCCGTAAGAGTATGCACCGCGAGGATAATCAAGCACCTGGTACTTGGATAAGGCGACGGATAAAGCGAATAAGCGAAAATTCAGCTGTATGGGTCGTCGATCGTTGGTAGGAGAGGGCGTCACGACGTGGTTGGTATTATCCGTTTCCTGCCAAAAATGGAAGAATATGGAACGCAGAACAAGCCAGAAAATTTGGAAGCATAGCCAGACCAGAAAAGATACTGAATCCTCTTTTGCAACAAGTACATAGGTTACAATAAGGGAGGTAGCGCAAATAATGGCTCCACCGACCCAAGTAGCTTGCCATAGATGACTTGTCCTCGCATTCAGAGGAACATCGAACGGAATTTTCCGCTCTTCTCCGACAACAAGCGGCGTGGGAAGTTTTCCAGCAAGGATGTCAAAACATGAGCTGCTGTCAGAGGTAGTATATGCCCTTCCACGCCCATAAAGCTGGAGCATAGAGGCAGCGAGGAAGAAATATATCCATGGCACGCCGGTCATCCAGAAGAGTCTCACAAACCCAAATCGGTATAGCAGAAGTACTTCTAAGATCTTGATAAGAGTAATAAACGTGCTTATCCAGTCTGACCGAACCTGCGAACGATGTAGGCCCGTTCAGTGAGAGTCTCGGATATATAAATGGGTTTGAAGACGATCCGTAGGGCCCAGCAATGGACACGAGCGTAGCGGGCCAGCTAGGTGCTCATCAAAGGCATAAACATCCTCGAAGGCTTCGCACTGTAAATTCGGGGTGTCTGATGTTTTGTCTCCCTTGTTGTGGTATAAGAACGAAGAAACACATTTTTCGCTAGAGGACTGGTATGTGTACTCGCAATGCACATACCTTACCAATCTTCACCATAACACCCATGGCCTCTCCGACGCTTCTTAGAGCTTTCTTGCTTCTTCGAAGACTGCCAGTCACGCCAACGGCCCCATCAGAACCTTTCGTCCTGACGCCCATCGTGTCACGTAACCAAACTGGAGTAGATGCCGAAATACATGATTTCACCACTGACATCAATCCGAAGGAGCTCAAGACAGCCCAAGGCAGGCCACTGGCTCTCCGGGTGCCTAATCTCAGGCTCTCTGCCGTGGAAGCACCGACTAGTGCAGTTAGGGCTGCGATCTCAATAAGCCCATTACCGAGAACGTTCGCCATGGATAGATAGCGTTTCAACTACCAGCAAAGATAGGTGGTTTCAGGTATTGATTCAAATTGGGAGCATTAGAGAAAAGCCAAAGCCTATGGCAACATCGCCATGCTATCCAAGAGACGCCAGGAGAATTTTTCCAGCAGATACTGACGAAGAAGGTCATGGGGCTGTGTTCTCGGCTGCTCAACAGCTATCATGAAAGGCCCATGTCGCCCAAACAGTTCGTTTTCAGTGCAGCCTTGTCAGTCAGAGGGTAAGGGCCCTGGTTGATGCATGCCCGTTCATTGGTTCTTTCTGTCAGAAGTATGGCCTGTGGTATGGCCCAACTGGCGATGTAGCTCTTGCTCAGCCTTTTTGTGTCTGCGATGATGCTGAGCAGCAAAAAATCAAACTGTACTTTTATTTAGAGGGATGTCAACCACTGAAAGTGAATGTGAACAGTGTTATCACAGACAAGCCAGCCACTTGTCTCTTTGTTATGTAACCAATTCAGGAGCCTGGTATATAGGCTGTTAACCTTTAACTGCCTTGGACACGAGATTTGTTGTTAAACCCGGATGGCAAAATATTGGGCTAAGTGGCTGCTAGTAGACGAGGCGGAGAACCCTGCCATCAACGACCTAATTCACTAATGAGACAGGGGATAGTCCGCTATCACCATGATTAATATACAACCCTGTGCCCCTGTGCGCGGCGAACCCTGTCATTGTCCATGATGCATGGTCTGAAGAAAACCTGGAGACTGCCTTGCCTTAACACCCTTGCACAACAACTGTGGCTTAAGGTATAAACCCAAGTCTGCTTTTCTTTCCAAATGGGCGCATCCTGGCTGCAGGACGCAATCATCAACATACATGACAGATTAGGGTCATATTCTCCATCTCCTCTCACTTGCTGCAACAGACAGTCTATCAGTGAGAAAATATCATCTGGTAATCCTGGTCATAGCATCCTTATTCCTTATCAAGAACAACTTGACACAAAGGTTGGCTACCAATTAATCACCAACTCTCCCACCACAACTGGGTGTCATTGACTTTCGAGCCCTTCTCACTTGCTGCTCTAAAAGTACTTGGTAAGAGCCATTCTTCACCCTTCTCAATTGCGCATTAGATTGAGAGAGTCGTTGAATTTCTATCATGGTGTCATTCAGTCCGATATCATATTGAGCTCACGGGCGAGGTTAAATTGTTATGATCTTGACATTAACCTTGGTCTGGGGAATTTGAAGCTGCATGGCGGCCACAGTTTTATAATGTGAGGACTTTTCAACGAGAAGAAATATATGTACATACATACATAGATAGGGTTCGTATTTCAACAACTAAGAAACCGGGCAGCCAAGATAACATCTATTTCAAAGTGCTCCAAGGTACTGCAAGTTCATCGTCATCGTCTTCGTCCCACCCCAGTTCATTGTATATTGAATTTTCCAACTTGGGTTGGGACCCGACTTTTCCTTGAACGACTGGGGAAATTCTATTCAAAGTTGAACTGGCTTTTCTCACGGGTGTACTGAAAACTACGGAACTTGCTGGCGGGCGTGATAGATCATTTTGGCTCTTGGAAGTAGTTGGAGCACTTGGTCGCCATGAAAGGGAATGAAGTGGAGTCTCCTTTATTCCGGGGGAATGCTCAATGCCATCCGAATTCGGAATCTTATAGTCGCCTTTAGAGCCGGAATTCAAAGGTTTTGTAGGCGTGGCGAATGTAGTGGCAAGCGGATTGGTACCTGATAATGATGGTCGTTTGGAGTCTTTGGGTGGGGTATCTATAGAAGCTGCACTTAAAAAGGAGGATTGCCCAGCGGTATTGGAGTGACGGTAAAGATTAGATATTTGTGCTGTTGGCTTTAAGGGAGTTTCTTGCACAGATACGGAGACATTCTTTGGTCCACTAGATCCCATTTGAGGCCGCGAAATGGAAGAAGGAACAACTGGATCTTCTGTATCAGATATTGAGAGAGGGCCTTTATTGTTTGACTCGTCCCATTTCTGCGAAAGAGAAGACACTCTAACCATTCCGCAATCCTTCTTCCTGACAGTCCTGGGGGTCACCATAACTTGAACTCCTTCACCTAATGGGTAGCGTCTGGGCTCTTTTTGTTTTCTTGAGCTCTCAGCCGATGATCTTTTGGCTGCAGAATCCGCCCAGTCCCGTCCAGCCTGCTCTCTGTTGGGTTTTCTTAAAGCACTGATGGCAGCGTCTAGTTCTTTTTTCTGTTCTAAGAACATATTGACCTTTTTCAATTTTGTCTCGTGGGTTTTAGCTACGGCATCGAGGTCTATTTCTCTGTTGTCCTGGCGTTTGCGTTTCTGAATTGCACCTCGGCCACTTGATATCAAGGAGAGACAGACCGGTTCGCTTGATTCTCTCTTGATGTCTTGAATGCCTGTGGTACTTTTATGCCGGACTAGAGATGGAATGCGTCTCTTTGCAGCCGCTTTCTCATCTGTCAAGACACGCTGCAATGTACGTCTGGGTTTTCGGGGATCCTGTCTCTTAACCGTTGTGGTAGAATTTTCCACCGTACTCTTTTGGAGTAGCGTTGTAGGGCGTTTGGGCGACACTGATATCGGGCCACCCAATTTCAAACTAATGGCCTTGCACTGCTCTGGAAGGCGGGGTGCATAAAAAGGTATAATTACTTCCGCACAGAAGTCACGCAATTTGTCATTCTCTGCCTTATTCAGCGGTTGGCCGTCATCTCGTCGTTTACCCGAGTCGAAAGTGGAGGGCTCATCGGAGCCTACAGTGTGCCAAATACATAGTCTATCAACTAGTAGCTCGAGAATAATGCCCAGGTCTTGCTTTTTCTTTTTTGAACATTTACTAGGTGGTGGGCTCTGCGATTCATCATCTGCATTTAGCAGAGTCTCGATAGACATGGTTTCGAGAATTAACAGTATTTGGAGTTGTGTTTCGCGAAAACGAAGCTCAGCCACAAGCTGCTTTAATTCTGTATCTGCTGAGCGGTCCACAAGGGGTGTTTCCGTAACACTCCGTCGTGCCCACCATTTCAAAATCATATCCTTTTCTTCCGGGTATAAACCGTCTTTACCTATCTTTCTCTTCTTGCTTTTGCCTTTGTTCTCTCCCGATGTACAGGGTGCCAAACAATCGAGCCTGTCAGGAGCCAAGGTTCGCACGACCTCTGGAATAGAGTCACGATACTTGACATCTACTTTTTTGATAGGAACAATGCTTTCCCGATAAAAGTAACATAAATCAGAAATCCGCCTTGCACTAGAATTCCCAGGGCATTGGAAAGCGGTACGAGCACGAGAGAGAGGTCCTTTGGCAAAGTAGGCAACTGAGGTCTATTGATGGTAAGAAACGTGGCTGATGCATGCTGGCGTTAGAATAACGTACTTTTGAGGTGTAAAGGGCTTCCAGGTACTGTGTCCTTAAGCCTTCCAAGAGAACCCGGGGGTTCTGTAGATCTGCCGCAAAGTTAATCAGTGCTTCTGCATTTGCACGGGCAAGCATACCTTCAGCTTTTCTTTTGGAAGTGGGAGTGTCAACAACGGGTTGCATTGCTTCATAGAGCGATGCTAATTCAACTGTAGTTGTGTCTTCTAGGGAGGCTACATTTCCGGTGTTAGAGGAATTGTGGTGCCCTCTCTCGCTTTGCTGTCCAAAAACAAATACCACGCCATCGGTTGTTCGCGTGTAGGTTTGTTCAAGGTCTAGAGAGCCGGGAATCTCCGCATTGCTAAGCCAATTCTCATATATAACAGCTGGATTGGGGTCTAGTATTGTATCATTTTCAAGATCAGGTTTCCAGCTCTTTGCTGTGACAACCACATCTCCCTCCCCTACGGATTGTACCAGGCCATATATTGTGTATAGGCCTGCTTTCACTCTCTCGATAACGTACAGCTCATCTTGGCTAGCATCACCACGTGTCAAAGCCCGAGAATTGGTAGTCGCGGATTTTCTAGGTTGTAAGCGCGCTACTAACACGACGCGCTCTCTTTTACACTGCAGTCTTGTTTCGAGAATGGATATATTCGAAGCAAATAGCATCCCCGAAGGGATGCTTCGTTGAGTACCAGGACACAGATCCAGCCATGACAGAGGTAGCCGAGAACGAGGAAGAACGGCTATTGAGGTCAATGTTTGAGGCTTGGTTGACGACTCATCATGGGGCTATTATGGACATAATGGTCAGCGCAAGGTTCAAGGCGGACATGGAATAGCAAAGGAACCTCACAAGGATAGTGAAAGTAGAACCCAAGTCGCACTTTGTATTGCCAATTTCGGTTTCGTGGGATATCTTCCTTCTTTTTAGCTGCGGGAACGAAAAGGTGTGATTTGCATTTAAAGAGGATGCCGCTGCGGTTTCAAGTACTGTGATATCTTTGGATGCCATTCAACCAGGGGTATCAGTAGCTGGCAAGGCATGCGGGCTTGGTAGACTGTTTCTATAACATATTGCACGCATGCCGCTGGACTTGAAGTCGCGTCTTGTCATTACGTAGTTTGTGTATTAATACGACGTAATGACTGATACCGCCAAGCCACTACGTTATATCAAGTCACATGATGCCTTTTTTACTTTAGGCCCTGTGCCAAGTACTTTGGATGCTTGCAGCCGGTAACAGTAACAATAGATGCTTGAATCGGATTGGCAAACAGTAAGAATATATTCAGGTAACTATCCTGTCTAGTCTACTCCGTACAGAAACTGTTTGCTCCTTTCCAGGTTCCTAACCCCCCGCATCGCTTATATCATCGCAAACCTTCTCGACGCAACGGGTTTGGCACGCCGGACATTTGATGCAGCGATAATGCCTCCACTACCGACTCCAAATGAGTCAGTCAAAATTAGGTTGTTGAATTCTCTATGTCCCGAAACCCCAGACAATTCTGTTGAACTTTTGCCCCCTTCCATAACGCCGTCGACCAGAAAGAAAAGTGGTATCACATGTTGAATTTTTGCCAGGCGCCGGTGGTTATAGGCCTAATGCAATGAGAAATAAAAATAAAGTTGCTGAAAAACCATCCATCTAACAGGCTATGCTTTGAATTGTTGAATGCAAAGCAAAATCGTCGCAATCATGAACCATTCATTTCGTACAATCCTTCAAAGGTGCATTTAGAACTTAAGAGTCTTCGGTTTTTCCCAGGCAAAATCCTGGCTAGTGAAGTGGCCGTTCTTGGCAGTTTGATAGTAGATAGGCTTGGCCAGGTCGAGCTCCTGAACGATGACGCCGGGTCGAAGGTCAAAGTTGTCTCTGATGATCTTCACCAGTTCATCCGATGACTTGGTAGATGTACCGTAGGTCTCAACAAAGATCGAAAGAGGCTCAGCAACACCGATGGCATATGAAAGCTGGACAAGAGCACGACGAGCGAGGCCAGCGTTGACCAGAGACTTAGCAATCCACCGTGCGACGTAAGCCGCAGAACGATCAACCTTGGAATAGTCCTTGCCAGAAAACGCACCGCCACCATGGGCACCCCAGCCACCATATGTATCGACAATGATTTTTCTGCCAGTGAGGCCGGCATCACCCTGAGGTCCACCAATGATAAACAAGCCAGAGGGTTGAATGTGGTAGACAGTGCAGTCGTCAAGGAGGTGGCTTGGGATGACCTTTTTGATAATCTTGTTCAAAATTTCCTTTCGCAGTTCTTCAGTAGTGATATCTTCACTGTGCTGAGCGCTGACGACAACGGTATCGACACGTAGAGGCTTCACAGCACCGTTGTCATGGGCATATTCAATAGTGACTTGGGTCTTGGTATCTGGGCGGAGCCAAGCAAGGCTGCCATCCACTCTAGCATCTTTCATGGCGCGGTTAAGTTTATGCGCAAGCTGGATGGTCAACGGCAGTAACTCAGGAGTCTCATCGGTGGCATATCCAAACATGATACCCTGGTCGCCAGCACCCAATTTCTCAAGGGCCTCATCATAGTGAAGACCCTGAGCGATATCGGGAGATTGCTCCTCGATGGCAACGAGGACATTGCAGGTCTTGTAGTCAAAACCCTTAGAGGAATCATCGTAGCCAATGTCTTTGATGGCGTTTCGGATAACCCGTTGATAGTCAAGGTTGGCTTTCGTGGTGATCTCACCAAAAACCATGATCATACCTAGCAAGAGATTTAGTGACTTGAAAAGAATTGGAGTATAGGAGAGTCTGCAGATCTTACCAGTTTTGGTAGCAGTTTCACAAGCCACCTATCGTGGGACTGCTGTTAATCATGTTTTTCAGACGTAAAGAGGGGTAAAATCACCTTTGACAAGGGGTCTTCAGCAAGACAGGCATCGAGAATAGCATCGGATACTTGATCGCTGCAGTGCTCGTCAGCTCAATGGCACAGAAAATGATCGGATACCAAACAAGAGACCCACGCAATCTTGTCTGGATGACCCTCTCCGACAGACTCGGAGGTGAAGAGGAAAGTTCCCCCCTGCCGTTGGCCGTTTGCGAGAGAACCCATAATAGCAATTAAACGGATGGAAAAATGCAAGAAAGGTCGATTAAAGTTCGTGGAAGAAGATAATAGGAGGATTCGTGGTTGAGGGGAGTGGAATCAAGAGGGAAGAGGCTGCGTGGGCGGGGGGGCGGTCGGGTTTTTTGCTGTGTAAGAGAAAAGATGCGGCTGTTGGTGGGGGGCGGGATGGGAGGAAACACTCGGGTTCCGACGCGCTACGGCGGGAAATTGCGCCATCGAAACGTGGGGCGGTGGCGGCCGGCAGAACGGTTGCTCGTGTCGGCACTCTGTAAGGAGTACTCCGTAGGCGAGCTGGAAACCCGCACACCACAATGAGCATAGCAGTCAGCGACCTGGCTATCTTGGTCTGACCATTTCTTTGGGAAATGTGCGCCTTTACAGTGATCTCTCTTCCGCTGCCCTTCCTTCAGCCCTCACGCCTTCTAATCCGGTAAAAACGCCGCAGCGAAGCCTAACATAATACAGCTAGCTACTCTCTCTACCAAATCGCCCCCATCTATCTTCCCAAGTCAGAAATGTCTAAATTCGGCGTTTTGGTTATGGGTCCGGCTGGCGCCGGCAAAACGACGTTCTGCACCGCCCTCATCCAGCACCTTCAAAACAACCGCCGTAGCTGCTTTTATGTCAATCTTGACCCTGCGGCCGAATCTTTCGCCTATGAACCGGACCTAGACATTCGGGAATTAATCACGCTTGAAGATGTGATGGAAGAGTTGCACCTCGGCCCTAACGGCGGCCTAATGTACTGTTTTGAGTTTCTACTACAGAATCTCGATTTTCTCAACGATGCTCTTGATCCGCTTACTGAGGAATATTTGATCATTTTTGACATGCCCGGCCAGATAGAGTTATATACCCATGTCCCATTACTGCCATCACTAGTTCAATATCTCTCCCGTGCTGGGCCGTTGAACATTTCACTTTGTGCTGCGTACCTGATGGAAAGCACCTTTGTTGCGGACCGGGCAAAGTTTTTTGCTGGTACTTTGAGTGCCATGTCTGCTATGATTCTCTTGGAAATGCCGCACGTCAATATATTAAGTAAGATGGATCAAGTCAAAGGGTTGGTGGGGAAGCGAGAATTGAAGAGATTCACCTCCGTGGATGTGAACTTGTTGGCTGAGGAGCAGGGGGAAGAGGGAATCCCAGTTGATCCATCATCTACTGGGGAGCTATTAAGTGGAGGGTCTTTCAAGCGGCTAAATCGTGCCGTTGCGCAGCTAATAGATGACTTCAGCATGGTCTCATTTTTGAAACTAAATGTGCAGGATGAAGATAGTATTGCTGGAGTTTTGAGCCACATCGATGATACTATTCAGTATCACGAAGCCCAAGAGCCAAGAGAGCCCGTTGATGAGCAAGAATACGACTTGGAATGAATCTTATTTTGCATGTATACCAAAAGTACTGAGATGAATCCTATAAATTTGAAAATCTTTGCCTTGAGATTCAGCGCCGAACAGCACTCCACTAGTTCATTCAATAGTAAATATTTGATATGAGGCAATTTATCCTCGGCATTATATTCAGACAATTACTTTTGAAAGGAAATACTAACTCTGGCGAGGGGATAAAAAAATAATGAAAAACAGCTCGCTCATATATCGATACTCAACACGAACGAAGTTGCCAATGAGGCATTGCGGTCGAATTCAATTGACAACCAAGAGAAGTGGCTCTGGGAAGAGATAAGAATAGTATCCAATTTTATGATTTAATGAATCCGAACTCATACTCAACCAAACTTCGGAACCTACAAAAATACTCTTACCAATTAATGCAGAAACAACCATGACCAAGGCACTTTATTTCAGAGAGCGATGCGCTTATCTCCAATTTGAGCGTCTACCCTGCCCATTTCCAGTGCTTCTAGCCCGGAAAGAGTTCCCGATTTTACTAGCTTTCCGCTATTACTTGACGGATAAAGCCTTCAAACAAGCCAAGTATCCATGCCGCATCCTGGGAAGCCTTCACCCAGCCGACTTGGTACACATAGTATCCCCCACCTAGGATGGCTGACCAAAACAGCAGGCGAAAAAAAAGCACGATCCAGAAGGTTATCACCCGCCGAGCATAGTCCAAGATCTTGAGTGAAATGACAAGAACGAAGAAGAGTATGAGTATGGAGTAGAGATCCGGGGGCGAGTTAATTAGAGTGTTCAGAGGGTTTATGAGGTAGGGTTCGGCGTAGGTCACCCGAATCTCCTGAAAATGGGTGTGGGCTAAGGCGGCATATGATGCCATCTGAAGATATAGAGATGGAGGGATGTTTTGCCGTATAGTGTGAAAGGCAGGGATAATGTAATCTATAAAGATGAATGGTTAGCTGCCCATGAATTTTGTAGTATTTAACGGTTGGGGCTCACCTTGAACAGCCTCCATTTTCAGATAAATTCAGCTGGGCAAGGCGCCAGCCAGCTATACTAGTTATACGAAATTGCGGTAATATATGGAATGTTGGAAGCTATCACTGCCTGGATGTCCTGAGAGATTGAATTAACAACACGGTATTGGAAATTCTATATAAAGTACGGAGGCAAGCATTCAAATGTTTTTTGTTCTTGCTTCGTATCAATAATGCAAGTTCCTCATTCACGGCAGAACTGTTCAGCATATTTGTTGTTTTGATGATGACTGCGCAAACAAAGCAAATATGCCAAGCCGAAGTTCTACAAGGTTTGTTTGGTTTATATATGCAAACATAAAGGCAATTTTTCATATGTAACAAGTACAGCATTGGTGGTTTAGTGGTAAAATCCGTCGTTGCCATCGACGGGCCCCGGGTTCGATTCCCGGCCGATGCAAATACTTTTTTCTGTTCGACTTAGTCATGCCGTCAAGTGAAAGTAGCATTTTTTTCATCCTGTTCCTTTTAGGGTGTGATAAAGTATTCAGGCAAATTATTTCAATTTCTGCTGTAATTTTTCAATTGATTTTTCAATTCAAAATTATATGAAAGTCTCAGTTCTATCAAATTCTATGCCTCTTTTTCCCACGCTAGATACGCCGGCCAGAAAGACGCCCTGCCATCTTTACCAATTAAATGCTTCCTCATAATAATCAATTGCCCTATACCCAGCTTTCAATGCTCCTCGAACCGCAGCCCTTGTTTCATCAGCCATTGCCGCTGGCCCACAGACCAAAACAACCGTTTGGGTACCAGCCCCACGAAGAGAACGATCATTCCCAAAAGTATCATATAGCACTTGGCTCACTGATTTCTTGATATCCGGACGGCCATGTTTCATGGCAATGGAAATTGAAGTGCGGGGCCCGTAGGTGTCTTGAGCTTGTGATAGAAGCCCGGTGTTCTCGTCTGCTAACAGTGCCGGTCTGTCAGATTGCGACGTAGAGTAAAATTCAATCTTGACGCCTTTTTGCTCAAGTAAAGATAGTGTTTCACTACAAAATAGCTCGTCGTTAAGCGCCTGCTGCCTGGAGGCAAATATCAGAGTTATATTTTTTGTGCAAGTTACCGCGCTCGGCAGAGATTCAGACATATCTGATGTTTCTGGGCCATGCTCGGTCGCTAGGCCTCTCGCAGATACATATGAGCGTCTCATGTGTTCCTCAAGGTGCGGCCATACTCCCGCTATTCCGGTACCCCCAGCAATTAGGATTACGTTTTCATACGTATGAAGGGATATTGGGTTTCCGTATGGGCCTTCAATCAGGAATGTCGAATGAATAGTATAGTCTTGGGAGCGTAGGCACTCGGAACGTAATCTCCTCGTCCAGCCGTTGAAAGGACGAATCCAAAATATTATTTTGCGTCTAGCAGCCGCCCTGTCCTTGGTCATCTCGGTGTTGAGATGCGTATACATCCCATCCTGCACAACCTTTGGACTCTCGGCCCAGCTGCCCGCGGTAAATGGATGACTTTCATAACCCCTCCATTTCAATGGCTGATAGATATAATAAAACTGCCCTGGCTGTGGAAGCAGCGTCGAAGAGCCGGGGCTGATTTCGAGGCGTATGAGATTAGATGCTCGATCGTAATTAGCTCGTCCTTTTGATGTTATCAATTTCATACCATTGCGCTGGACGTGGAAATTGCAGCGTGCTAGTTTGACGAGGCGGGCAATTCTGTCCACCACCCAAACAACGACAACAGGCCATAGATAAATATCATAAGCATTATATTTCCCGACGAAAATACTCGTGTGACTTTTTTTAATTAGCATGTGAATACGAATGAGAGAGGGAGATGTAGTACATGAATAATCCAACCAGGACCACTACTGAAAGGAGGATATGAATAAGCAGAAATACTTCGTAATAGTTGCGCCGTAGCCAAATAGAAGAAAATCCTAACAAGAGGCTCATGCCAATAGTTCCCTACACACCGCGTTAATTAACTTCTACAGCCACGAGGAAACCGGGGCTTACCACTGCACCCATGTACCACCAGGCTGACGGCCAATATACAGAGTAAGTGTTCGCTGTAACGAGAAAGAGACACGGTCAGATAACGGGGGTCACAGGGGGAAACTAATAAAACTAACTATTCAAAGTCAACACAGTATATCCCACAGAATGGATTATTGCCTGTATGGTGGCAACTCTTGCAATGGCACGATGGAACAGATTAAATGTCCCAAAACTCCAGCCCGTAGCCCAAAGAAAGGGGTTATTTCTACCACCAAAAAGCCACAGGACAACTAAATTGGCGTATGCCATTATTCCTGTCCTATCAGAGAGATAGCGCCATGTTTGCGTGAAAACATCATCCCAACTATAAGTCATATTAGTTCCGAGCTATCCTAGACATGTTCCTTTAGGTAGGACCTACTGGAGATTTCCTTTGAACACATCATGTCCTATTACTGTTAAACCAAGGCTGAGTAGGTAAAATGAAACAATTACCATCGCTTCCATGCGGGTTGGAATGGTACACCAATATAAGAGTCGTTGATGATAATCGCCGACAGCGGGAGGAAAAAATAGATGGGCTTTCGCCCAATCGCGGCCAAACTCAAGAATCACAAGCCAGCGGGGAAGCTTGGTTCTCGCGCACGAGTCTCTTTCCTGGTCATAGACATTTTCTAGGGCCCTGCTGGCCAGATAATGTTCGTATAAACGACTGAGAATGCCACAGAATAGAACAGTGCCCCAAAACAGGTAGGAAGCAACCCTAAAAAATATAGTAAGTAAAGGCGTTGATATTGCAAATATTAGCGGTAAGGATAGGGGTTACCAACCCAAAGGCATGATGTGCCCATGTCTCCAATGCCCATGCTCTCTGTGGAAGGATACTATTAGTTCCCTACTCCAACAATATAAAGAAAGCAAAAGGGTAGTCCCTCACATTTGTCCTAAATGCCCTCTGAAAATAATCTTTCGAAATGAGAACCGGTTCTGGTAATTCCGTCCCTTTATTAAATTCCCCATATTCCACACGCTTCAACCCAGCAAGATATTCGTCAGATAACTCTGGCTCAACATCCTCATAGGGTATCCTCGTTAAGCCCTCTTGCTCACAGTCTCTGTCAATAACCCGTAGGCCATCATATATTTCAGAAGCAGTGCAGTAAGTTTTAGAAGCAGCATACATCGAATAAACATAGAGCCGATTCGTGCAAACGTATGCTGTGTAGGAAGAGTGGGAGGGGTTGAGGAATCTAAGGCGGGATAGCGCTTCGCCGATGGAGATGATGCAACGGGCGGATTCAGGAATACCTAAACCCGCAACCACCACGCCCGGCAGCGTAATGAGAATCGGTAGGAGGCGCATAGCTTCCGAATTCGTGGGGGTAAGCTCCGAGCAAAGTGCGGAATTATTGCAGGCGTGCTATAAAATATGCGTCTCTCTGACGGACGAGGTCCAGGATAACGAAAGCATTTAGAACCATTCAAATACCCCGCAAAACAGAAAGAAAGAAAGTGATCAAACCCGCAAACCCATTCGATTAGAGAAGAGAAGTTGCGAGGGTAAAAAAAAAAACATAAACCCGGATAGAATCGTCGATCCGAGCTTCCGGCGGCTGACTAGCAATACACACTCCGTGCAGGGTCAAGATAGAAAGAAGAACGGCTCGACTACCTTCAAGAGGCTGTGCCTCGGGGCTCAGTAGGTATGAGGGAAGGGGGACTGCATGACCGTCTTTCAAGGTCAGAAGACGGGAATCGGATCAGATAAGACCAACAACATTCCGACCAACCCCACTTCGGGGGTCTTGGCTTGTTCCTTTAAAGGGCGGCGTGGACGTTGGGGTTCTGCGAGAAAAGGGTTGGAAAACCATATTTTGGTGAGAATTTGCACCGAGAAGTTTTAGGAATTACCCTCTTCTTTACTTTGACATGTAGTAGCGACGGTTTGACTTCCAAGTGCTGTCAGTAACACCGTGTAGCCAGCGGATATGCCCGCCGGCTTCATCGGCCGGGACTGTCCAGGGGTGAACGTTTCGCTAGAAATAAGAATTGGCATCTGAGAAAAATGCTGCCGCTATACAGCCTTGGCAGATAGAGGGACTCATGTTCATTGGCCCACACGTGCGAGAGCATAAAAGCGGCGACAGGCCAAATCACCACGGCGTTTCAATTGGCTGAGATTGAATTAAGGTTTTGATCTAAGATTATCTGATAACTTTGATCTTGATCTGATAAGGCCCATGACCTTGGATGGGAAGGAACATTTACCCGCCCCAGCGCTACGCTCCTTTCCTGCGTCGTAGCTTCTGTTGCTGCGTTGTCTTTTGTCTCTTTGTCATTTGACCTTTTTATTATACAGTCCTACCGGGTAACGAACGGGTTACTCGGCGTCTCTAACCACAGCAGAAATTAAGTAACAAGAGTAAGTATCGCACTGAAGAGCAGCCACAGCGCTTGTCAGCGTTGGCGCTGATGATATTACAAAATAAAAAAAAAGACAAATAGTGCCCATCTAGCACGAAGAAGAAAGAGAATAGAAAAAGAAAGGGACGCATTCCAGGTGTCCAAATACAAACACACCAAACCTGGTATCAAACTCCATATGCATATGCCAAAGAAAGCGCCTTTACACCAAAAGGTACTTCTCAAAAAATGCGATTAAAAAGAAAAGAGAAAAAGAAAAGAAAATATTCAAGCAAGCGGCGAGAAAGCCCGACATGCTACTTGGAAATTTTGATCTTCTAGATCGTCAAGAAAATCAACACCTGGGAAGGTGGGGAAAAGAACAAGAAAAAGGCGCCCCGTAAAAGTACAATGGAGACCATAGATGCTGTTGGACTCGGGAAAAAGAACGATGCTGTTTTTCGTTGCCCGGAGTGGACGCATTACTTCGTTGATAAAACAAAGGGGGCCAGACGCGCGAGAGAAAATCGACTAGGAAGAAAAGACACAGGAAAAAAAAATAAAAATAAAAATAAAGCCAGTATAGTACAAAATTAATAAGAAAGCTGGCGAAGTTGAGGTATTCGTTTCGTTCATGGGCAAGGCTGTATCTCTACAGTACCGATATATTATTCGCGATCGCTCAATGAGTTTTATATGTGTGGTTCCACATGCAAGGGAGAAGCATTGCAAGTGTTTCGAAATAAAAGAGGCCGTGCGGGTCTTGGAAGAATTAAAAAAAAATAAGAACATGATCAAACGTCGGCGTCATTGATTTGCTCAAGGATCTGCGCTTGGAGCTTTCTAGTCTGGCGGAGCGCCTCGTCTCTGTCGTCAAGGTTAGCGTCAGCTCCAACGTAAGGCTAGGAAAAAAAAAAAAAAGCATACCTATCAGCCTGAAGCTCGGCGACTTCAATTTGCGCCATGTTCATTCTGCCCACAACATGCTTCATTTCGGTATCGGCATCGCGCAGCGCTTTTTCGAGTTCTTTCACTTTGGCTTCGAGTCCTGAGACTTGAACGGCTTGATTTAGCGCGACGCCAGGCCCGCTGGTCGTGACCTGCAACCGAGGAGAGCGCGGGCCCGAGAATGGAGAGGGCGGCATGATGGGAGAAAGTAATGCCGGGGTTCTCGCCCCGTTCTTAGCCCGCAACAGCTGGGCGCTATGGCTTTCCTTCAAGGTCGCGATTTCCTGTTCGTGTTTTGCAATTTCATCCTCAGACTGCTGCTGTGCCAATATTAACGTGTCCTCGAGCAGTTTTAGCCTTGTTTGCATGTCGTTGATTCTTTCAGCGGAGAGCTTTTGTTCCCGTTCGCCTCGACCGATGGCCTCAGAGAGACGACCGCGAAGTGCGCTATTAGTAGCGACTTGCTTGGTCACGTCAGAAATGAAGGCATCATCCGATGCTAACCTGGAGTTCCTCTGTCGGTTGGACTGTAACTGGGTATAGGCGTGCTCAAGAGAACTCGCCGTGGCGTGGAAATCGGCCGAATCGTTTTCATCTTCTATAGGCGTGACTGCATGTTCGAGTAAGAGAACTCGAAGAGAGGCCGTTTCTTGTTCAGCCCGGTCAAGATCCATCTTTAACCCGGCGAGACCCTTTTCACATTGCCATTTTTGGTCCAAGGCGTCATCAGCGCGTCTTCTGAGGATATTTATTTCTTCTCTTAAGGTCGTGACTTCACGCTCGTATCCTTGTTTGCGCGGCGAAGTTGATTGCTTTGCACGGCCCAGCTCTATTTCCAAAATGCGAATACGTTTCTCGTGTTTTTTGGCTTCATAGGATTGTCTTTCAAGCAAACTTTTGACAGTTTGGTGAAGAGCATCGCGCTGCGTTTCGACATCCTTAACTCGATCCGCCAGCGACTCGCGGAAATCACGCTCCTTGCCGATGATAGAACTGGGGCGCGATAAGGACTCTGATCTTGACAGTCCACCAGACCGAGTGGGCGGAATTCGCGCAAGGGAATTTGACCTGGTAAGGCCAGGAGTTTTTTGAGGAAAGTCCCCGTCCTCCTCGGCGATGGAGTTGAACCTGGTAGGTTGTTGCTCAGAAATCATCTTTCGACTTTGGCTGAGGAGGCTGTTTTCATTTCGAAGGACTTGGATCTCCTGCTGCATGCGGTTTTGCAGCTGATCTCGCTCATTTCGATGTTGTTCTAACTCAACTCTCATTGCAGTGAGAAGGTCTTCGAAATTATCTTTTAACTGTCTTTCTTCTGTGAGCCGACGGCGGGTATCATCTAGAGCAGCTTCAAGTTCCTTGGCTCTAGCACTGGCATTTGAGGCTTCCACCTTCTCGCGGCGAAGCTATATCAAGCATGTCAGGAAAACACAAGCATGGAAAATTGCAAAGAAGTACACATACCTGATTGACCTGGGTTTCCAATATCTGAACATGAGAATCCGCAGCTTGTCTCTTAGACCTCTCCTCTTGCAGCCTCTGAGACAGATCCACCTTAAGCTGGGCCCTCTCCTGCTCAAACTCTCGCTTCATTTTATCCACATCATCTGCTCTGGAAAAGCCAGCGTCACTCATGGGATATTTAACAGATCCATAGCCGGAATCGGAGAAGTGGTCACTGTTTCGATTACTTATCCCCGGCAGGGTGGTCGTTTCTGACTGCAGTCGGTCTACCAGATCTTCTAGATCCATCTCTCTGCGTATTGAGCCTGCCAATTCACAGCTGATCTCCCGGAGTTCATTCTCCATCTCTGCTAACTTCGAAGCCATGTTGTTATTGTCTGTTGGCATCGATTGCGAGCGCGATGGTGGTAGCTTTGGCGATGCGCCGGCAAAGGAGTCACGGGAGGGAAAGCGGGAAGACTGAGCGGAGGGTTGGGTGGAGGCGTTCATGGGCGACGGCATGGGCGACAAGATCGAGTCTGATATCTCAGTGCTGACGGACTCGTTGCCCGGGGAGGCAGCGCTCTTCCAGCCAAAGAAGGAGGTGATCCTGCCCCCCGGGGTTTTTGGCAGCTGCTTGTAGTCGATGGAGCCGGACGATATCTTGCGGGAATTGAGATCGATTCTCAGGGGCGGAGGCCGGGTGGACGGCGGGTGCAGGGCCATTAACGCGGGCTGCTGGGTGTTTGGAGGTGGGAGTGGAAAGGGCGTCTGCTTGGCGAGGGGGAGCGAGGTTCGATTGCTGGAGTGGACGTGCAGCGAACGGTCCGAAGAATAGGCATTGGAGGAACGAGCGTCTGGGGCACGGGCGGGTGGAAAGACAGCAATGGAGTCGTGAGGCGTGTGTAAAGGGGTGTGTCCGTGAGGGAATCTGGAGGCCGCGCAAAAGCAAAAAAGCACATGTGTCAGGGCGCTTGCGACCACGAACCCACTCGAATCACGAGCGCAAGGCGAAGCCAGGGGGGGGGGGAAGGACCACTCACTTATCAAGGTCCCTGACCTCGAAGGGCTCGAGGGGCGAGAAGGGCGGCGATGGGGTGTTGAGGCCGACGGTGGACTTGGAGGAGGAGGTGGAGGAGATGGAGGCCAGGTCGGGGTTCTGGCGGACGGGCAGCGGCTTGCGGCGAATAGGGGAGGACGGGAAGGCGGGCGAGCGAGGCGAGGAGGCGGAGGACGACAGCCGGAGCGGACGGGCGAAGGGCTTCGCGTCGTCGACGGGCGGGTTGGGGCTGGATCGCGCGACGGCGGCGGTGGACGACAGCGCGGACGGGCCCAGCGAGGGCGACATGGCGGCGGCGGCAGCAGCAGCAGCAGCAGCAGCAGCAGCGGACTGGGACCCGGGGCGGCGGCGACGGATCGAGAATCAGGGGCGCGGGCGCGCAGCGACGGACGCTTTTTGGGGAGCGGGCGGGCAGGGCGCCCAGGGGCAATGGGGCAATGATGGGCGCGACTATCGAGGCGGCTAGCGTGGGCGGTGGTTAGGGTGGTGAGGGCATAGGGGGCGGCTGGGGGGGTGAGGAGGGAGGAGGGAGACTAGTAGTAGTAGTAGTAGTCGAGCGTGCTGGGCACTCGTCCTGGCCTGCGTGGTTTTCCGCAGCGGCTGCCGCTCTCGGGCTTTGTGATGCGCGCGCGGTCGAGGCGCCTGCCAGGGGGTGGCCAATCAGCACGCGCAGCCCGGCGGGGTGGCTGCAGGCGGGCGGCCCAGGCACCGCCAATCAGCGGCCGTCGCCCGCCTGCCAGGTACATCGGTGCAGGGCCAGCTAACTGCAGCGTCGCCGGCCGCGCCACCGCACGCCCAGTCCCGTCTGCTGGCCCCCCTGCCAGGTCGCGCAGGCCTAAAACATCGCTCGCCAACCCGACACGCCGCGTGCTCATGCCGATCGGAACGTGAGAACCGCTGGCTGGGGGAAGGACACCACACACTCCCACTCCCTCAGTCCTCGCTGGCCCAGCCGGCGTCCAAGAGCCTGCCGCGTCCGCACAGGGCACGCTCTGTCGCCACCGCATGTAACGCTGCGAGCCAAGCCCCGCACCCAGCCCGTGGGCCGCCGCACCGCCCGCTGGGACTCGATTACCACTCTGTTACGTGAGAAGCGATGATGCCTGTGATTACGCCATGACTTATTAAGTACTATCCTATCCTACGGAGTACGACCGAACCACTCCTCTCCTCCCAACCGCAATAATGCGAGCAAGGGGCGGCTCCCGCTGCCGAACACTCAACACGCAGTCCACGTTCCAGGCGTTCTCCGCGCCAGTTTCACCGCCCGCCCCGCCCGCTCACGTCTCAAACGTGTACCGCAGCCACTCGCCCACCGCCCGCAGGCTCTCCCACCGCACCGCCTCGTCGCCGTCCGCCATCAGCGCCATCACCCGCGCCTTCAGCCCCAGCTTCTCCAGCGCCGCCCGCTGCTCCGGCGCCGCCTTCACCAGGCACCCCACGTCGTGGCACGCGATCGCCAGCACCTGCTTGTCGCCCTCCCAGTTCTGCGCCAGGATCGCCGCCAGCTGCTTCGGCAGCTGCCCGCCCTCCGCCTCCAGGATGCGTCGTGCGTTGTCGCGCCAGAACGCCGCGTTCGTGTGCGCCGGCGACCACCGCAGGTGGCCCGACAGCACCTCCGCCGCGTACGTGTCGAACGTCGTCTGCGTGCGCGTGTATTCGGCCAGCATCTCCGACAGCGTGCTCATCGCCTCCAGCAGGTCGTCGTCCACGTAGTGCCGCGCCTCCATCGTGCCCAGCAGCGCCGGAAGCCCGTTGAAGATCGCCGCCGGGAGCAGGCTCGCCTTGTTGGCGGATAGAATGTTCGACAGCGTGTACACCACCAGCCGCGTAGTCTTCTCTTTCGGCGAGATGCGGAGCAAGTGTGTGTACAACGCGATGATCTCGTATTCCCTACTATCGTTAGACCCCAACACAACCGCAGAACAGACAAGGTGAGGACATACGACTCGAGCTGGTTGCCCACCAAGGCCCCTTCAAAGCTCAGCTCCCAGATCACAATCAGCACATGGTACAGCAGCTGGATCCCTACGCCGCCCCCGATCTTCAGGTCCGCTGTCCGAATGCTGCTGCCGCCCAGCGTGGTCGACCCATTATCTTTCCCCGAGCCTGCTGCGGCCCGCAGTATATCAACCAGCGGCTGAAGCGTCGTAGACCTCTGGTTCCAAAAGAGCTCCCGTGAGCGAGTCGTCCGTAGTAGCTCCGAGTAAGCCTGCACGCCGATATCCTGTAGTCCGGTGTCCGTGCTTTTGGTGAGCGTGGCGAGGTAGGAAAAGAGCCGGGGCAGCGCTTCGTCGTCTTTCGCGCCCGTCTTGCGAGATACGAGAAGGGAGGCCGAGATCAGGTTGGTGAGAAACGAAGACGTCAGGAGGGGTATGGGGTCTTCGGGGTTCGTGGAGTGCCGGAGCAGAGGGAGGAAATGCCGGTAGCTTCCCTGGTCCTGCGCCAACGCCGTCTTGAGCGAGGCCACATCTATCAAAACCACGGGGGGGCGCGCGGCTGCTTAGCAATCTGCTCTCCATCCCAAGCTATCCCGGGGAACCGCTGCAGCAGCACCTACCATTGATCAGATCCGCCGCGAGCACCAGGATATACTGGATGATGTCGGTGCGCCTCGACGCCGACTCGAGGATGCTCTTGCCGGAGCTGCCGCCGGCCAGCAGCGTCGTGTACGCGGCCAGGTCGGCCTCGACGGTCTTCTGCCGCTGCTCCTTGCGCACCTTGTCGACCGCGCGAATGCGCTTCAGCTGCTCGTCGGTGATGTTCCCGGCTCGGACGGCGCCATCCCACGGGATCGGCCGCGCGCGGATGTTGTTCTGCAGCGACGTCAGGTACGTAGGCGAGTCGAGAGACATGGTCGGGGAACGGGGGTATGTGTGTGTGTCTCAGCCGCGCATAGATGAATGGCTGGTCGTCGTGGTTGTTTCTGCACCGTCTTCAAGCTTGCTGTCAAGCTACGTAGTTATAAGTTGGGTTGGCTTGCCAAGAGCCTGGTCGGCTGAAACATCCTCACAAGGCTGCTTGGGCCACGGCCAACGCACGTCTTAGGTCTCTTTTGCCAGGCAGTGCGCAAGTCTTGTCGAACGGGGGGGGTCGTTTCCCAAAGATGCGTCTAGAAGCTCAGTAGCTGTCATTTTTTTTTGTTCCTACTGGGGAAGACAGCAAAGAAAGCTCCACCCATGTCAATCCGAGCAATACCACAAAGCCTCCAATAAAGACCCCGGAAAGCCTCACTCCAATCGACTCAAATGCTAGCATCGGATTCAATGCCGCTATCCGCAACCTGAATTCCGCCTCCTCCGCCGGCGAAGCCCTCTCCTACACAAAATGTCCGCCAATTCGCGGCCCCCGAAGCCGTCGAAATGGTCGGTCGGCTCGCTCCTGCAGCAGGCCGTCACCACCGTCGAGTCTCGATTAGATACCATACTAGCCGACAACGAGGATGACAACGTGTCTACAAAAGAGGAGGAATCAAGAGCTGCGGCTCCAGCTGAGAAGCAAGATACTCGCGCTGGCGACTCCCCCGCGAGGCCTGGTGCGTATGCCTTTTTCTCCCCCCCCCTTTTAGTCCAGGAGCGCGTTAGGCTCACAATTGCAGGCGTATCAAGGAGTTCTTCTTCAGCTCGGACCAATGAGCGCCTGCAAGAACGGCTCGCACGCGCGATGGTTAAGCAAGGCGGCTCCTCTACCAATCTTGCCAGCACCACGCCATCGACGGGCCTGCCATCCCGGACTACTAGCCCCCTTCAACAGACGGAAAGCAGATCAAGTGTGGATAGTATAGCTGGAAACATTGAAAAGTCTGCGAAAGCTGAGAAGACGCCGACACCAGCGTCAAATGGTTCGGATAGCCAACCCGTGGTGGAAAAACTTACTGGTTCAGAGGATGCAGATGGAGAGGAACTACGAATGTCTATAAGCTCGAGAGGGGACGCTGGCCAGCCGGATATAGAACCTGTCGAACCGCAAGGTAGCCCTGTGCCTGCCATTGGTGTCACGTCTCCTCCCCCTGAACCGCCTACGGGTCTCGAGTCTGCTCTTTCCGAGCTGCACGCGGAGCACGAGCTAGCAGAAGCCCGATGGAAAGAAGAATTGCACACATATATCGAGAAGATCGATGCTTTACAAGCGAAATTAAAATATCTGGCGAAGGAGGCCGCGGAATCGGCCAAAAATGCGGCTGCAACTGCAACTCCCGGAAGTCTGGAAAAGAAGCTGCTTGAGAAGGATGAACGGATAGCTGCATTGATGGAGGAAGGACAAAAGCTGTCAAAAACGGAGCTGGACCATCGCGCAACTATTAAGAGTCTGCGACAGTTTATTGCAGATAATACGAGGTCCCAAGCTGATGCGAAGCGACGGATGGAGAAGCTGGAAAAGGATTTGTCAAAGGCAGAAGCTAAAGCTCAACGGCTTGAGCAAGCAGAGCAACGAGCCTTGTCGAAATTGAGTTCTCAGTCAAAAACTGAGAAGGACTTAGAAGCGATTACTGCTGAGCGAGATGCCTCTAATACAAAATTAATGGAACTGAATGCTCGGCTTAGCATGGTGGTTGCTCGAGCCGAAGCTGCTGAGAAAAGAATGCAGTCTCAGACAGAAGAAGCAGAGAGCCGTCGTATCACAGAGCTCAAGGACGATCTTTCGAGCGCCAAGGTCGAGCGCGAGATAAGCGAAGAGAAACTGCGCAGGGAGGCCCGAGATCTCAAGGAGTCGTTAGAGCGGGAAAAGGAGCGTGGCAAGGTGCAAGAGATGGAGCTTCGGGGGGAGTTGTCGGTTCTGGAGAGTAAAATGGAGACTCTTCGAACTCGGGCTGAGGAGGTGTCTTCCAGCGCGACGGGCGATGCACAGGCCAAGCTCCTACGGCAGATTGAGCGGTTGCAGACCCAGTACGCTGTTGCGAGAGAGAATTGGAATGGGATTGAAAGCTCGCTGATGTCGCGTCTGGCGAATGTTGAAAAGGAGCGGGACGAGATCGCGCGAAAGGAAGGGGATTTGAGACGGAAGATTAGAGAAGCGGTATGGTCTACCTGGGGGAAATATCTCTGTGCAAACAAGCTAACAAATTTGATGTAGACGCTGAAAGCCAAGCGTGCTGAGGGTGAAGCAGAGAATTCTCGAGAGGTGATCAGTGAGACGGAAAGGAACCTGGAGGAAGCACGGCAAGAGGGAAAGAAACTGGAACAAAAGCTTGCAAAAGCAGAAGCCGATGTTCTCGAGGCCAAACAAGATCTTGCAAACCAGAAAGAAGCCATCGAAGCGACATGGTCCCAGCGGCTTGAAGAAGAGAAATCTAAATGGCACGAGCAGCTCCCAGCATCGCCTCCGTACCTTAACCAACATATCGAATCTCCAACAGGGCTGAATCGAAGACCTGATACCCTCGGGATCATGCTAGACCATTCTTCGAGCCGTCGATCCCCTGTACCTCTGTTCCCACCGGAGCAGGACACTCCACCTAGGCAAAACTCATATTCGTCTCTCACTTCGGGCCTTAACCTTCGACATCCCTCCCTCGGCGTTTCGTCCACCTCTTTAGAGCTACCTATGCAGACCTCCGAGCCAGAGGAGTATTTTACCGGCTCCCAAACCCCCACCAGCCCCCCAGGAACTGGAGCATACCACTCCAGAGGAATCAACGACATCGTTTCCGCTTCCACTGTTGCCGCAGGCCCGTCCGTGCAACTTGTTGAAAGAATGAGTGCCACAGTGCGCCGACTGGAGAGCGAACGGGCTGCGTCCAAGGACGAACTGGCTTGCATCACGACGCAGCGCGATGAAGCGCGGCAGGAAGTGGTGGAGCTGATGAAGGAGGTTGAAGAGAAGCGGGCGTCTGATGCGCGGATACAAGAACTGGAAAGCTCCGTCAAGAGTCTGAATGAGAGATACCAGACTACGCTGGAGATGCTTGGAGAGAAGAGTGAGCTCGTCGAGGAGCAAAGGGCGGATATCCAAGACCTGAAGAAGATTTACCGGGAGCTGGTGGAAAGTACTATGAAGTGAAGATATATGAATTCAGATCTGTACGTATCACATTATTTTTCATCTGGTTCACCTTTGAGAGGAGACTGTATCTACATAAATTATACACTGCCGTTTGCCAATGGAAGACGCTTTCATAAATCAGGGCAACTCAATTCCCTCATGTTCAGCGGCCGTGAGAATAAACTTCCGGACCTGTGATAACGCGGAGAAGTTAGAAAGAAGGTTCTATAATTTTCCCCGTCACAACGAACATACCTTGATATCTGGGGCCAGATCAATCGCCAAATGGCCATCATTATCTCTTTTATCAGCTTCCGCGCCGGCGCGCAGGAGGATTAACGCAGCCTCTCCATGGCCCTCTGAAACGGCATGGTGTAAAGGAGTTAATCCGTCCGCATCCGAGGCGTTTAGCGGGCTGTTTCCTTCTTTGAGCAGGAGGTTGAGGATCGGGACTGAGCCGATGGCCGCGGCGCGGTGGAGGGCTAATTGCCCGCGGTTATCGCGGAGTCTGGCACTGCATTTGCTGGCGAGAAGAGCGCGGATGATGTCTGTGTTGCCCTTGGATGTTGCGAAGTGGATTGCGTTCTGGGGAGGGAGTCAGGGTCGCTATTCTGGTTCCCTAAGGGGGGAATGGCATAGTTACCTGCCCCGCGAGACTTTTCAAGTTTGCATCCGCCCCTTTTTGTAATAGAAGCTTGACCATGGCTTCTCCTTCACCGTCCTTGAGACTGGCGGCAATCATGAGAGGAGTCCAGCCTGAAGAATCCTGAATGAATGGTTGGAATTAGTGCCGTGTCACCAGCAATCTCACACCGCCATGTCCTAGGATATATCGATAGCGGGCAGACTGACAACAACGTCTGGGTCAAAATCATTATGTGACATCAGTAACCGAGCTATAGGCATCTGATTGTACGCGGCAGCCCAGTGTATGGGCAGGCGATCGTCGCCATCTCTCAAAACGGCGAGCTTCGGGTTTGCCTGTTTAAATCCAATATGAGCCGAGCACATGGCCCCATAGGTAGCGGTGCTGCTTACATTAAGAAACGACTCAACTTCAGAAGCTAATAATCGTTTGATCGGTCAGAGCAGAATGAAGTGAAACAGAGAGGGATTGTATATACTCTTCCCTTCACGGGTTGCCTCGTGAATGGCGAATTTGGCGTGATAGTCAGGATCCATGGGTATATTTTCTATCGTGAAAGAATAGAACTAGATAAATATTGATTGCCATGGAATCGTGGAGGAGAATGCGGGGACGATTTGGGCCTTTTGCGCGCGGCCTTGGCGCTTGGACGAAATGTTCCGGCGAAGCTCTCTTGACCTCAATCAAGATTCGATTCTTCCACTCATCAACTAAAACACCGGGAACTCGTTATTCTTTAGATTTGGAGACCTTCCTTAATCTTATATCGATTTCTGCGCCTCGCGAAAACGCGTCTTATGCCCCCAAACCTTTGATTGTAGTGCATCGTTCAGGGCACACGCCTCACACAATGGAGATCGAGCAATGCTCGCTCACGCCAGAACAGGCCGTTCGAAGCTCTACGAAGAGGACACTTGATCTATTTGGCGCGGACCATCTACTTCCCACGGTACCATCGTCTACCAATGGCGAATCTATCGGCGTATCCTATCGTCGAAAAGCAGAATACGACGACGTTCAAACACTTCCCCCATCCTTAGCAGAGAAACAAGCGAAAGCAGCCGCCGCTGGTCGGGCTAAGCGACCAAAGGCAAAAGCAGAAGGAGGTGCAGCAAGCTCAACCGCCCTTGTGAAAAGTTCGTTGTCGTCTGGTACCCAGAACGGTGCAGGTGACGCTCCAACAAGCTTGGTGAGAAGGCCGGCGGTGACTCAACAACCAAAACCCGACTGGCATGCTCCCTGGAAGCTTATGCGCGTGATATCTGGCCACTTGGGATGGGTTCGAAGCTTGACTGTGGAGCCGAATAATCAATGGTTTGCCAGTGGTGCTGGGGACAGGACGATAAAAATATGGGATTTGGCGACGGGATCGCTTCGCCTTACTCTGACTGGGCATATTTCTACAGTTCGAGGGCTAGCAGTGTCGCCAAGACATCCTTACCTTTTTTCGTGTGGTGAGGATAAGATGGTTAAATGCTGGGACTTGGAAACGAACAAAGTGATTCGCCACTATCACGGCCATTTGAGCGGCGTGTATACCCTGTCCTTACATCCGACCTTAGATGTACTTGTGACCGGAGGCAGAGACGGTGTCGCTAGAGTATGGGACATGCGAACGCGCAGCAATATTCACGTGCTTTCTGGCCACAAAGGAACCGTTACTGAGGTGCAATGTCAAGAGGCGGATCCGCAAGTCATCTCCAGTTCTTTGGATGCTACTGTTAGACTATGGGATCTCGCTGCCGGCAAGACAATGGGAGTTCTCACCCACCATAAGAAGGGCGTTCGAGCCTTGGCTACCCACCCGAAGGAATTTACGTTTGCAAGTGCCAGCGCGGGCAGCATCAAACAATGGAAGTGCCCTGAAGGGGCTTTCATGCAAAACTTTGACGGGCACAATGCCATCATCAATACGCTTTCTGTTAACGAGGACAATGTTCTCTTCTCCGGCGGGGACAACGGGTCTATCTCGTTCTGGGACTGGAAGTCTGGGCACCGCTTTCAAACATTAGATACCACTGCCCAGCCAGGATCTTTGGAAGCCGAAGCTGGACTCATGTCATCTACTTTCGACCGGACCGGTTTGCGATTGATATGTGGTGAGGCGGATAAAACAATCAAAATTTGGAAGCCGGATGACGAAGCTACCCCAGAAACACATCCTCTTGACTGGAAGCCTACACTTGGAAGGCAAAGATATTGACTGGCAAATTGCGGAATATTCCTTGCTTGTATTTCTATGCATTTCACGGCGTTAATGCGTGTGTCCGTTCCTCGTTTGGATTGGTGTTTCATTTCGATAAAATATATCCAGTTTTGTTTAGTAGTACCTTTGTGCCGTACAATCCAATCATATCACCTAACTACACTGTGTATTCTATTGACACCTCCTCTGATTCATATGTTTTTTCCTACCCATCAAATCCGATCCCCAACATTCTTGCCTCCCCATCGTCTCTAAATGCCGCCTTCACATCTTCTGGAGCAATTCTTAGCCTAACCTTTCCGCTTCTATTCCCTCTACCTAGGGCATACCCCATACCGTATCCATTTTTTATCCCCAATTCACCTTCCAAAGCTAGAATACCGGTATTCATCATTTCAACAGCGGCCCACCCCATTGAATGGACACGCGATGAAGATGTGATATATTCCTTCAAGGACTGACTTGCAGCGCCAGCAACAGCTATTGCGCCGTCAGATATGCGCTTGGCCTCGTCAAGAATGTCTCCGAGGGTACATTCGGTGATCCCTGTGCGACGAAGGCGAGCAAGAAGGCCCGAGAGGAAGACTTTAGCAGAAAGCGGAAGACAACGAAGGGACTGCTGAAGTGGCGTGGACGTTGCTTCTTGAATGGCTTGTTTGATCGTTGCAATTGTCACGCGAGGGAGAGTTTCTTGTTTTTGTTCTTTCTTTCCCGTTCCATGAGCTTTCGAAGAACTTTCCTTGATGGTGACCTCCTTTCTGGTACGACGGTTCGTACTCTTACTTGGTGTCGGTGGAAAATCATCATCGGCGTCTAGAGATATGTTGTTGGTCTTCATTTGGGTTGCATCACTGACTTGTTCGGCAATTTCTACTGCTCGACGGCAAATATCTAGCGCACGGCGTGCGTCTCCACTGACAGCTGCAACTTTCCGACTCGCAAACTGTATGGCGTCGGAGTCAACAATATTTCCGGGAACGTTCTTGAGTCGAGAACCAATGATCTCCATAAGTTCCTGATGTTTATAGCCGGAAAAGGTGATTCTAGTGAGGCCAAGACGGCTTGAAATCTTGTTGCTCAGGGTTCGCTCTGGCAAGTCCATAGTGTTTGCAACCGCCAAAACGATGAGATGAGAGTGTCGAAGGGCCGGCCAGTTAAAAAAATTGTACATGACAGACTGGTTTCTGGTTACTAGTTGATCGAGTTCGTCCATAAGTACAACACACGGTACCCGCCGCGGTGATGGCCTCGAAAACTCTCTCTCCAGAAGATCGAGAGCATGGGAGGGCGAAACTCGATCACCTTTTAATGCTTCCCACAATAAAGAGTACGATTGGTGTGGGTCTGTTACCTTCATTCCGTTTATTTCAACGAATATGAAGTCATCCATTTCTTCCGATAATACTGCCCCATTAAGATGTGCAATGACATCTCGAACTGTCGCGGTTTTTCCTGTGCCTGGAGGCCCAGAGATATATATACATGTTCCAGTACCCTCAGTAATCGCAACGCGGAGGCTGTCGTATACAGTGTTGAACTCCACATCCCGACAGGGCAGGGAATCGGGCACCGTAGAGACATGAAGTAAATTTCGGGCTTGCCTATAGGGCGAAGAAAAGTATGAAGGAGAAAGTACACGAGTTCCAAGTGGCGTAAATTCCAGGGGCTTTTTTACTAGAATCCTACGTAAAAGGTCATTAGTTCTTGATGCGCATGTATTAAGGCTCTTTTGTACCTCTTATGAGTCGGTGTTGTAAGCATTTTTCTGCGCTGTGACTGTGGTGTCCCTGCAACGGATGCTGTCTTCTGCTTTTTCTTTGGAGTGGCGGGCGCCGACGTGTGGTCCGTCACCTAGTAGTATAATTTTAGTATCAGTCTGAGTGCCAGGTTAGCCATCTGGACATACGTTGGATTGTTCCGCCTTCCTCTTTTTTGATCTTCTCAAACCGGATTGGATAGTCCCAATCAAACCAAACATCCCTTCTTCTGTTTCATCATATATGTCCTCCCAAATGAATGGCTCAGTATAGTTTCCTTGAAGCTGATTGACGCCCCTTCGACACAAGATGCATTTGTTATACTCAGCCAGGGCCGCCCGTCCTTTAGGGGGCTTACCCTCAGGGTATTTGGCAAAGAAGGCATCCGCAGAGAGTATACGCGCTCTGCCATTGATAGCAGTCAAAGGGTTTATATTGAAATCCATAGTGATGTACTGTTCGTTTGGTAGAGCGTCGGATCTCTTCTTTTTCCTTGTAGATAAAAATTCATCGGGGGATGCGAACCACATGATATTGGCAGATTTGATGGGTGCAGCTTGCTCATCTGAGTCTTCATCTTTTTCTTCGACAAATTCACAAATAATTCCAGCCCAATCCTTGCCCGGCTCTGGTGATTTTAGAAGAACAGCTTGGCCTAATCTGCACTCAAAAGACCCCATTCGAGCTCCTATGATCTTCCTGGGCATCTGGTAGGGACTTGTGACCCTTGAGGTTTTCCTAGCTCGCAATCCTTCCCCAGGCAGCTCCGCTGCAGGACAAGAGTTATAAATCCACTCCCATGGGAGGTCTTCACAACCAAGCTCATCGTCCGAGTCCTCATGATGGACGCCCCCTTTTGTGAGCCAAAGTCTTGCCAATTCTTGAGCCTTGGTTTGGCCAGTCTTTCTATTCTTAGAAGGCATCGTAAGAGGAGCTTCGCAAGAACAAGAGGGTATCACTCACTCAGTACTCCGTATGCAGTACTCGTAAGGTCGTTGACGCGTAGTCTTGGCGCGTCTTGGCGCGAAATAGAGTTATATTTCTATATTTCCATTATTCTATTTAGAGTCTAGCGCATCAACTCCTGTTACTAGTATAATTGAGGAATAGCGTTCCTCGCGGGGAAGAACTCAAGAAGCTTAGCTAAGCAAACAGAGCATCGAAGCTTGCAAGGGAGAACTTAGGAATAATCATTCCACAATGAAAATGTCTGGAGCTTCATCCACATAAACACCAGTTGATTGACTACCTCTCGGCGCAGAGGGCTGTGGATTTTTTCAGTCTGGGATCCCGGTGGTTAGCTATTTGATGATCATCTAATGACACCAGCTACCAATTTCGCTCCAACTCTTTTGCGCCTCTAGACGTGACGACGACGCTCACCCGTTCCCTAAAGTCCCTTTGCACCCGGTTGCTTTCTAATAACCTTCCTTGCCGTCAATATGAGTCAACTAAATGTCCAAAAGCCCAGGCTTTTCGGGTCTGGACTGACCGCCAATCAGCCCCAACAGAGCGGAAGTCTTTTTGGTAACACGGAACAACAACAGAATCCTTCGCCTTTTGGGTCATTAGGTACTCAATCGAAACCGGGTGGTCTTTTCAGTAATCTAGGCCAACAACAGCAGCCGCAGACGCAACAGCAAAACGCTGGACCGTTCTCGGGCTTCGGTTCCAGTACCCAGCAACCCCAGCAACAAAGCGGAGGGCTCTTTTCTGGGTTTGGCTCTACAGCACAGCCACCGCAGCAGCAACGACAGGGTACTAGTTTATTTTCTGGTTTTGGGGCTCAACCGCAACAGCAGCAAGCACAAGGCGGGAGTAATATGTTTGCTAGTCTAAGTACTGCTACTCCTCAAACCCAGCAACAGGCAGGTAGTTTATTATCTGGGTTTGGCTCCACAGCACAGCAACCGCAGCAGCAGTCGGGGGCTACATCATTATTTTCGGGCTTTGGCCAGCAACAGCCACAACAACAGCAACAGCCATTTGGTTCTACTGTTGCTGCACTGGGACAGCAGCAGGCTCCACAGCAATTGGGCCAGACCCTCGGCCAATCTCAGGGCCTTGGCTCTACCATATGGACTCCTGGGCAAGGAATGACCGGTGGTAAGTTTTCTGTTACTTTTAACTATCAAGCTCGCAGCTTACATGAATCTAAGTCCATCGTACCGTTCCAATGCAGATGACGATTGTCAGGGAAAAGTGGGACCCAGTTAACCGAGTTTCTCCATTTCGCGGATACACTTACAATAACCCGGGTGAAGAAACTGCACCTTTCTTCCAGCCCACCGTAGACGATGACGAGAATAAATGGGAAGAGGCGTTACGCAAAAGACCTGGTCCTAATTTCGTTCCAGTTCTTGTCAGAGGCTTCTGGGAGCTTGGGAAGCGAGCGCAGCGGCAGAGGGATTTTCTGGCAATGATACAAACGAGGTTACATGAAATTAACACCGCTCTTACCGGATTACTTTCTCGTCACGATCTTAACATTTCAGTCAAAATAGCTGCCTGCAAGAGGAGGCATCAAGTCTTATACCAACGATGCCTTGCTCTAGCTGCGAAAACACAGCTTCTTAGAAATCGAGGGTATGCAATGGACGAAGCAGAAGAAGAATTAGCAAAAAAGCTGCTCCAACTTGAACGGTCTATTTTTGATCCAACCTTGAATGGAAGGTCCGAGGAAATTTGGGCTAGGATGTTGGCAATCAGAGAAAATATCAAACGGCTGCAAATGGAAGTTGAAAGAACTGGTACTGAAGCCCTGAATCAAGGAGATGATACCTTAAGTGACGCACAGTTAAAGACAGCTAAGAAAGTATGCCTTCCCCCACATTATCGGGGTTTCCCTTCAAACATACTAATTTAATTCTGGTAGATTCTTGATGATTATTCCTCGCAAATACAACACCTGAACAAAGAGCTAGCTGCGATTCAGACAGAATACGGGCGCCTTGAAGTGCCTGTTATGTCTTGAAGATTCATCTTTTTAATTTTCGTATTATCTCTCCTGGTCTCATCGATTGTTTACTTAGGGCCGAAGATACCTTTGGCGATGGCGTTACACTGGAAGCGTGTCTAAGCAGTCATTGCAGCTTTCTTCTCAGACTAGAGCCTAGAAACAAGAAACATGAAAAAGCAAGGCATTTTTTACCTGCTGGTCAGCTATTTATTGTACATGATCAAATTTGATACACCTGATATGCTTTCCTTCTATCCAACTTCAACAACGAATCTTGCCTGTCGGAATATACTTTGAACCAAGTTTAATCTTCTTGGGACAAATCGATCGACGCATTCAATATAGTACTAGTGCATAGGTCGCTTCGGTATCCAAAAAGTCGGCATCGTAAACACGCGGAAGGAGATGGAATAATCTCGCGCTCAAAACAACTTGCGCACAAAATCAATGGCAAACGGAGCTAAGGAAAAAACAAGTAAATATGTTAGTGCTATCTCTGATGTAGAAATTTATACCAACTTACAAAGATACAAGAGGATACTGCCCGCGATGACTCGGTTAACAGTCTGGCGAGCTTCAACTTCTCCAGCCTGAAAAGAATAGCATTAGTATGTATTCCAGCCTTATTGTGTCCGTGGTACGGGAAAACGACTAAAGATATCAATCTGACCTTGATCTCTTCCTTGGAGAGCTGTTCTTGACCTGAGTGAAGTTAGTGTAAGCACGGCTTTGGGAGTCATCAGAGCCTTTAAATACCTGGCATAAACATTTTTTCTAAATACTTATGAAAATTGGTGGGTTGTTGTAGGGAGACAAACGTATTGGGGCGGGTACTTGAGTTGCAAGTCTCTTTCTCCTCAGACTGTCGTCACTTTTTTTCGCGATGGAAGCTTAGACCCTAATAGCCCCCAGAAAGCCCCAAATAGCACCGTTTGGGAGCTAAACCCAATACGGGAATCGGCTCGCCTCGTCGGCGAGAAACGACTCCAAACCTCCGTCAATGTGGAAGACAGCTATATTTCTCTCCGTCACAGAACCATTCTGCTGGTTGTGTGCACCTTTAGTACTCTGATTCTCCTGCTTAATCTCCTCATTTACTCCATTTTCTAGTTACCTGACCTGAATACGGAGCACTTTCCTCCACTTCCTCCTCGTTGACTGGATTCCCCAATTGCTCCGCTCCAACTCTGAACTTGCTGGCATAATGTCAGCCTCGCCGGAGCCACAGGCGGACCTGCCCGTTGCTGATCCTGAAGGCAGTGCGGCAGAGGATGCTCCCCCGGATCACTTAGCGGCTGCGGATCTATCAGATGATGAGTCCGTTCTTTCGGATGTTGACGAAGCACAGTTTGAAGGCTTTGACCCCGCCAACATCGCTATCGATGACCGTCCAGCCCTTGCAATCGACGAAGAGAACTTAAAACTGATTGGCCGTCACAAACGCAGACGAGCAGAGGGAGATGATGATTCATACCGAAAAAAGAAAAAGGAATACAAACGAGAGAAAAGAAGCCGTAGGAAGCAGCAGGATAGTGACGATGCTTTTAGCGGAGGAGAAACTGTAGAGGGGAAGCGCTCAAGAAAGCGCAAGGAAGGTCGAGAAAGGCAGGCAAAAGCGGTACCGGAGATTGATGAGGAGTCATTAGATCCGGCGACACGTATGACATCTGCTTCAATTTGGACAGAATACATTTCCTAACCTCGCGGATTCTAGGTCGCCGTCGTGCCCTGGACCGTTTAATGGACGAGGCGTTGAAAAAGCCTACTAAACGCCGCGTCAGAAAAGCAGATGGCATTGTGCGTTGACTCGCGCCCACCACCACTACAAAAGCGTGCTAATGCTTATCTACAATAGGATCTTGCTGATCAAGCCGATGCGGAAATTGAAGACGTCCGCCGACGTATGACTGACGCAGCGAGGCTCGACAGCATTGCGCGAAAAGAGAATCGACCTGCACAATACAAACTGAAAATGCTTCCAGAGGTGGTTTCGCTATTGAATCGCACTCACTACGTAAACAGCTTGGTGGACCCCGAAATCAACCTTCTTGAGGCTGTCAAGTTCTTCCTTGAGCCCTTGGACGATGGCTCTTTGCCAGCATACGACATACAACGAGAATTGTTTGCGGCATTGTCCAGGCTCCCGATTACAAAAGACGCACTGATCGCTAGCGGCATCGGCAAAGTAATAGTGTTTTATACCAAGAGCAAGAGGCCACAGGTTGGAATTAAGCGTCAAGCCGAGCGACTCCTTGCGGAATGGACACGGCCCATTTTACAAAAGAGTGACGATTATTCCAAAAGGATCTACGAAGAAGCTGATTTCGATCCAAGGTATGTATTGTCTGGGCATTTCTATAGGTTAGCGGTTCATCTGACATTTCTTGCAGCCTCCTCACCGTGCGCAAGCAAGTCACCGCAGAAACCACTGCTGCCGAAGTCCGTGCCAGAGCATTGCTGCCGCCTCGCTTGGCGAATCGTGCGCGCGCTGAAGGCGGTCACACCTCCTACACCATTGTCCCTCGCTCTGTTGCCGTGCAGGAAAGCAAATTTGCGCGCCCACTAGGGGCTAGTGGTGAGGATCGCTTTAGACGTATGAAAGCCAGGCAAGCCGCAGCTATGAAAGCATCAAGGAAATAGGGTTTGATGGCTACCGAAAGAACTGCATTGTTGTTTTTTGATATGCGGGGGATGTCAACAACAGACTGAGTTTCGAACATATTATTTTCTCATCCTCGCATTTTTTTTGTCTCTATATTTCTTAGCCCTCGTTTTTGACGTGTCTGGTTCTTTATTATTGCGTCCCTTTTCGGCGTACCGGGGTTTTTCGGAATTATGGAGCAAAAGGGGTCACGAAATGGAACATTTGGGTCAACGGTTGCTAAATTTCCAATTCTTGATGCTATTTTTGGCGTTGACATATATTAGTTATGTAATTTTTCAAAATGACAATTCACATCCAGCTGGCAGCTCAGAGCAAAAGTCCTAGGGACTGATGTGTTTTGCGGCTTGCGCAAAGGATGTACACGAAGGGTCACGAGGGTGCTCGGTTCTGGGTCCAGAGTAACTACTCCGTACTTGACCGTGACCTGTCTAGTATGTAAAGCATAGCATACCAGAGATGGGAGCCATGGCTGGCTTTCGGTCTCAGAACAGACAACAGGGTATATGCCAGACGAGCTCAACGAAGCCGGCGGCCACCTCCGTGGCACGGCGACGGCGAGTCATACATAATATGTATGAGCTGGCCTTTGCAATCCACGAGATCCCGGTCGATCGCGGAGGACACAGCGGCGCGACGGCGCAAAGGAAAAAACACCCGCAAATACGGGGTGGCGCCATGAGGGAAGACGCTGCCGAGCAAACGCCGAAACGCAGGCCGGCCGGGCAAACCCGCGCAGTCGAGGCGAACCTGGCTGGGCGAGCCACGAAGTGTGTTTTGCAAATCCCGAGAAGGGAAAAAACTGCGAGGAAAAGCCTCGAACGCGCGCGACGTCATCGCCCGCTCGCCATATAAGAAGCGCTGCCAGTCGCACCCCGTCCTCCGCTGCCCACTATCGCATCCTGCATCTCGTTACGTCGTTGTCACCATGAAGATTCTCACCAAAGAACAGGAAGACGCCCACTACAAGTCAGTATACACCCTCCCGCGGGCCACGTGTGCACTCAGAAGCTGACAATGTGCTTGCAGTGCCGTTCTCAAGGGCGGTTCGGTCGGCGGCGTCCTGGGCCTGGCTGCAGGCTATGCCGGCGTCGCACTCGCCTCCCGCCGCTGGGCCACCATTCGAAACCTCACCTTACCCATGAAAGCCTTCCTCGTCACCTCAGCCGGCAGTTTTGCCGCCGTCATTGCCGCAGATATCAGTTCTCGAGATTTCGACTTCAGCCTGCATCAGGAAAAGCGTCTGGTTGAGGAGCGACGAGCGCGCATCCGGCATGAAGAATGGTCTCGCATGACTACAATGGAGCGTGTGATGGACTTTGCCCGCCGAGAAAAGTACAAGATTATCGGTGTTACCTGGCTTGCCAGCATGGTCGGCTCGTTCGTGCTCGTCGGCCGCAATCCATACCTCAGCGGACAACAGAAGCTTGTACAGGCCCGTGTGTACGCGCAGGGCTTGACGTTGGCCGTGCTCTGCGCTTCCGCGGCGTTTGAGATATCAGACCAAAGAAAGGGCCAGGGAGTCCTGGATGCTCTGAAGGCCAAGAAGGCCAGAGAAAATATCAACGAGCAACACGCGTCTGAGGACCTCTGGAAGGACATGGTTGACGCAGAAGAGGAGCGGATGAAGCATAAACAAGACAAGTCTGTCAAAGCCAGGCACTGATTAGACTGTGGGTAGCATGGGCCTTGGCGCCTTGCATTCCTAGGACTGGGAGATAGCGACTGTCTCACCGCATCGTCCTTTGGGAGTATTACTTCTTTCCCTCCTATGGACCGAATATGAACGGACCCGGCGATATTTCATACTTCTCCTCCCCAAACACAGCTACGATATACCCATGGCTGTTTGTTCTAATCAACATTCGTCTTAAACGCATGTACATTATACACCGATCTCCGACTTCGCCGAACGATCCCGTTCCAGTCGCCTTTTTATCTATGACCAGTCCCCTCTCTCATACCGATTTCTTTCGATATTCATCTCTTTGCACATCAAAACGGCGTTGTCAGGCTTTCTAGTATTGTATAGGATATCATGGCGGTTTGGTTGCAGCATAAAAATGGGGTTGTTATTTGAAGACTCGTCCGTCCGTTTGGATTCTAGGAATTTTTAGAGCTTAAACAAAATGCAATGAAATGACCGAATCCCTTATCAATAGTATAAAAAAGTATTACTACAGGACTGTAACTCTCAGCCGTACTTTGCGTATCAAGTGCTGTTCTAAAAAAATATATCAGTAAGTCTAATGGACGAAGTCCAAAAAAGAAAGTCATTGAGTCATTGCAGCCTCTTCATAGAGCTTTGCATCCATGTCAATAAACGCCTGCACGGTAGCCAGCCCGCGCAACCTCTCTAGCTCAATCTTTTCCCAAGTCCACAGCGAGTCATCCCATGTCGAGCGAACTTTCTTATCATTCTCTACCAACGCCTGATCTAAGTTGATGCTGTCGCCCAGTGTCAACACTTCCCTAAGTGCCGACTCTTCTAGACCGTCATCCGCGTTAATTTTCTCCCCACTTGCGGGCGATTCTATCGAAGGTGGAGCGGTCGAGACCTCCCCGTCTGGCCGATCAGGCAACAGTCCACTAGCCCTGAGCACCTTTTCTGGGCGAATAGTCAAACGGCCCTTCTTTGTGACATATTTACTCACACCTACAGCAAGCAAGGTTTTGCCTTCCCCCTTGCGTTTTCCTGGTCGAAAGAAGAATGTGACAACATAGAGCCATTTCTCATCCCAACCGGCGACTTTGCTGCGCATTTCATATAGTTCGTAGGGTTTGATCTCTTGCTTGAAGGTGCAATATACACTTCCTAGCATCACCGATAGCCGGCCATGAGGGTATTTCCTTTTCCCTGCCGCGTCAACTTCCTTGTCCATTTCTTTTCGTAGAATCGCAAAAGCGGGCGTGTAAAGATTTGTAACTAGTACTGTACGGGCAACATCCAGGTCGGAGAAATATGTGCTATTCGACTTGTGCATATTATAATCTATCTCCCATAGAGGGGCGCGGCTTGTCAGGCTCGCAGGTGTGAAAATTGGGTGAAGATGCTGCTCGAGGCATGTTTTATTGGCATTAAGAAGCTTGGGACTGGGGTAGACATGGGGTTGCCATCGAACGCGACGGATAAGGTGGAAGAAGAGGCGAGTCTATTCAGCATTGCAAGCAATTCACATCAGCGACGTTGCAGATAAGCGAATATCGGTTTAAAAGGACGACATACATGCCATGAGAAGGGAACGCATTTCAGATTTAACAAGGCGTATATGAGAATGGCCCATTTCAAATTGGACTGTGAAAAGAACCACTTAATGGTAGAGGCCAGTTCAGGACGTGACAGGACAGCCATTGCCACAGGTGTGCAGTCGCTAATAGATCCGTACTAGGAAGCTTTGTTACCGGAATGTTCACCGCGCAAGAAGACCGTGCTTTGCGCCTGGAGGATTCTCGCAATGAAAGAGCGACGTATGAAGGTCAAGTTTGCGCCTAAGGTAGAGAATCACCCGCACCACGCGAATATGGACTGTAAAGATGCTGAAAGGAAGGAAATAACATATGAAAGAGAGACGGGCCCAGGCGATCGCTACCTTTACACGGAGAATAGCCAGTCACCAGCTTTATATGATCAACAGAACAAGCGTGGCGCTAGGCGTTAGGGTTATTTTCACGGCTAGCCGAGGTCCAGCCACGCTGTACTTTTGGCACTGACAAGAGCTAGAGTTTGGACTCGACACATGTGCAACAGGAAGTCCGCCAATCCTACTGGATATGGGGTCTTCTATATATACCTACGGAAGATATGTGTCCTTTCTATTATGCTGCAGTCCGCCGAGGTTGTGTTTCAACAATGCATTGTTAGGCTGAACGGCGCGAGGTGGGCTCGCCAGTGATGGAATATATCCTCAGGAACCACACTATCACCTGCTGTTGCTACTAGAAAACATGGACGGCATGGGGAGATCGACCATCGTCCAGCGGCGACCCGACCAGGTCTCCTCGTTTGGTTTCTTGCCAGATGCCTTGATATTTTGCGCAATTTTCTCTGCTCTAGACCAGACACGAAGGATATTCTCTCCAACAAATTTGCGGACTTGTTCGTCCGTTGCTCCACGCTCGAGGAGGAGTTCGACAAGCCCTGGATATTTCGAGACGTCCTATTCAAGGTCCTTAGTTAGCATATTGGAATACCAGTATGGGTATTCGATGTAAGTATATACTAACCTCAAGGCCTTTGGAGACATCGAGTGTGCCATCGAAATCACCGCCAACTCCAACATGATCCCATCCCGCCACGGCTGCAATGTGGAAAATATGCTCAACGGCGTCATGTATGGTTGCGGACGAAGGATCATCCACCTTAAGGAATGAAGGCACAAACGTGACCATCACAACTCCGCCGTTCTTCGCGACTTCGCGCAGGACGTCGTCAGGCACATTTCTAAGATGTTTAGAAAGTGCATATGAAGAGGAATGCGAAAATATCACTGGGGCTTTCGTCCTGGACAAAACATCACGCATGGTCTGATGGGAGACGTGCGACAGATCGATCAGCATTCCGAGACGGTTCATTTCGTCAACGAACTCATGGCCGAAGCTGGCCAGTCCAAGGTCTTTACCGCCCGCAGCAACTGTAGATGCTGCCGTCGCAAAAGCATTGTCACAGTTGTGTGTTATGGTGATGTAGCGAACACCGAGATCATACACTTGCCTCAGCGAGCCCAGCGAATTTCCAATTTGATGCCCTCCCTAGCCCATCTAGTCAGCCACTTTGCTGTATTGACAGGAATAGGAGAATCTGTACCTCAATGCCTAAGAAACTACCGACTTTTCCACTCTTGAAAGCCGCTTTAGCGCAAGCTGCAGTTTCACAGTACTGGAGAAGATCATTGTACTCCTCTACAAGTCGCTTTGCGACATCAATTTGCTCCAGTGTATCTCTGACTGCCCACTACACAGGAAGATGTACTTCAGTATCCTACCCTCCCAGCGTTAAACAGATTTATAGTGACAATCACGACGTACCGTTGGATCATCGATATTCGCCTTGGGATCCGCAGGGCATTCGACGAATACACTCCAGAACTGCCCCCCAAGCTTCCCAGTACGGATTTTCTTTTCATCTGTATGGCTTAGCAGTCCAGTTCGAAAGGGAAACGCCCGGTGGTCGTAAATCTTATTTTTTGTCTCCAGCCGGATGAGGTAAGGGAGATCATTGTGCCCGTCGATCAGAGGCGTAGTGGAGAGTATTTGCCGAGCTCTGGCCGGATAATCACGCGGGTCAAGGGAGGGAGATGCGATCTTGAGAATGTCGCGGAATGATAAATATCCGCTCGCCGTTCCTGCAACTGCAGCTACTGAGACAAAGATCGCTGCATTGCGAAGCCAGGTCCGTGGGCTTGAGTGCCTGTGCGCGCGAGTGGGTTCGGATGAGCTTGATTTTGGATTTGCCGAGGCCCGTTTTATATCACCACGCGATGGCATTATTGTATCAAGATTGACGTATTCCTCTTCTACTGATATCACAGGATAGCACTGGATGACGTTGTCTTTGTTTAATTATCGGGTTGACGGCGCCCCGAGGAATTTGAAAGGCCGTTCGTTGTACAAACGCTAGTGAAGAGCCAACGGCGCTCCTCATTCCCGTGATACAAAGCGAGCCGGCTAGCCGAACAAGTTTCAAGAGCCCCCAAAGAGATGGGATTATCGTACAATTGTAACCTCCAATCAACAAATGAGCGAAGCCGGCTATAGAAGTTCTAAGCAACTCTGAATGTCCAACGCACTCCAAATTTTTTCCTTCTATAAATATTAATACAAATACAAAAAGAGCTCTTAGTTTTGCTCTAGCAATCTCAACCAGTGGTATCGCAGTATATCTAATAATTCGTGCTTGATCAAAGTACTCCATCAGTGCTATAAAATGTGACATCCTACTTTAGGAGGGCTTTTACGGTCAGACGCCTCATCGGGCGTCGGTTCTATATCCTTATTCGTTGATTCCTCCGTGGGCTGCGACTCTAGAAGCACCGGAGTCGCATCGATCTTTTCGCGAATGTTGTCAGCTCTATTTTCAGGTGTGGCGAGCGTGAGGTCCTCCTGTTTCTCCAAATCCGATTCTTCTGTTGGTGAGCTTGATGCTATTGATGCTTTACTCTTGGGGTCGCATTGCTCTGATTCGATTTCGCAGGAAGGTTCTTCAACCGCCGCTTTTGCGGACAGATAATCATCCATGGAAACTGGAGGTTCTGGTGTTGACACTGATGGGTCTTCTGAAGTCTGGCTGGCCCCACATATGTCACGGAGGCTGTAATCCTGCTCGCCGATTTCCATATCTTTGCTGAGGAGAGCCTCAAAGGACATCTCCAGCTCCGATCCTAGCTGATCTCGGACTGTTTTACTTCCTTGCATCATGACATCGAAAGCCTTCTGTTCTCTTTGGCGCAACTCCTCGCGTAATCTTCGTATCTCAGTCAATTCCTCTAGATATTGACGTTCCAGGAAATCCACGTGGGTGTTCTGAGTCTTAGTTACTTTTTTTAACCCCAGATGCAGTGCTGTCAGTTTGTATTCTGCGGCGTGATCGCGGAGCATACCCATCAAGAGTATGGAATTACGAATCATCTCATCCATTGCTCGGAGACTGACATGATGCCGATGAACCGCAGCATTTCGGAGCCCGATTAACGAGCCAAATATAGAGTTAATATGAGGTTTATATGTAGAGTCCCACACGTTATCAGGAAACCTTTCAAAGTAAGGGTAAAGATTCCCTACCCATCTGCTCAGCTCAAGAGCTTCAGGGCACTCCCATCCTCTGTGTCCCATGAGCTGGGGAGCCCATTTAGAGGCGAATTCAAAGCAGGTATGCTCCAATATGGACTGTACTCGGCAGAGGATCAAATGCTGGGTGCGGTATGGAAGGTATGTAGGGTGGAGGGACAAGGTCTCCGTACCAGGTATCGTCATGGGAGATGCCGAATCAAAAACGCGATAATTCACTGCTGAGTACTTACGCCGCGATAGGACGGTCTCGCCATTGGACTCTTCGCTCTGGCTTGTCTCTGTTTTTTCTTCCTCAGTTCCATCCTCGGAGGGTATATTATCCACATCAAGGGCAGACGTATCAGAGGGGGGTGGGGCTGCACAATCAGCAGGAGGCAAACCAAACAGAGTCGGAAATTCTTTCTTGGCTTTCTCTTCAGATGCGAAAATTTCCTTATCAACCAGGGATTTCAGGATCCGAACAACTCCTAGAACACCCACTCTGTCAACAACAGCTTGAGCAGGTTTTGTATGAGTAACGACAAAGTGCTTGAGACTTGCAGCTGTTTTTCGAGAAAAGAATTTGCCGTTATGTTGGGTGAAAGGCCGATATGCGAGGTATATCGTTTGTTCGTCGGTGAGAGTATCATTTGTATTTTTTGCTTCTTCCGACGAATAGTACCGAATATTCTGTTGAATCTATTAAAACCTTTGTAGAATCCACACCAGTCAGTTTGGTACTTACTAGGAAGTGAAAACTAACGTTGGGGAGGCGCTGGCGCACAGCTTGTCGGCAACATTGAACCGATGCAGCGATGGCAATCTGGCGGCGTGGTGCGTATCGGCAATGCCCTCGGTATATTTCTGCCAGTCGCCTTGAATAGGAGGATTCACGACTCTGCATGGATGTTTAGCAGTCTTTGAAGAGCAATGAAATAAAAGGAGATAAGCAGGGCAATTTCCAGCCTGCCCAGGCCTCTCAGAGGACTTTCTACATATCCCCGAGGATTTTAATGAAGCATCGAACGCACATAATACACACTAGGAAGAGAGATATATATATATATCACCATACGTACCAGGAGGTATCTCATTTGAAATATGGGAAATCCGCGCATGACACAGTATGCTGGGCTTGTTCAATGTCTATTGCATAGCAAGTCGACAGCACCTCGGCGACGAAAAGCACAATACTTTGGAAGCTATCGGCTGGCAATTGCACCAGTTACGGGATTGAGGAATGCAACATGAAAAATGAAGCCGAAAATTAAGGTTTCTATCTTCCAACTAGACGCCGCCTCTTTCGGTTTAGCGTTTATCCAGATCGGACTAGCTACCATTTAGTAAATCTTGTTTCCAAGCTTACCTGTTGATGCATAACTATATCAGCATCTCCACAGAGAACGAAGTGTGATGGTTGTACCTCGTTAATCGAAGGGCTCTATAAATACCAATAATAATAAGGCTGGCTTGCCTTCCATAAATATGTGCTATCCTAAGCGATGGGGTATATCAAGTAAACTATACTAAAGTACTCCTAGTTTCAAATGACACCAACGCTGGATAGTAGTGGAGGCGTCGTTGTGCGTGGAACCCCATGCGGGTAAATTATCAAGTTAATGTCATGGTTACTGTACCAGGAGCCACTATTATTAGGAAAAACGATCTCAGTCATGCAGTTGTGCTAAGTCTACTAAGCCAGGTGGCTTGTCTCGAACAAGCTGAGGGTTAGCATTTCTTCTGGCGGAGGTTGTAAAAGAAGTCACTGAACGACACGACGCTGGAGCAAGCTTTCCATTAATGGGCAATGCTGCGGCCAACAACGGTACAGCCTCAGCCACGTGCTCTTCCATTTTGGGCGCCAAGGTCTGTCGGGCTGCGAGTCGAGGTGCGCGTTTTGGGACTAGCGCTGGCCCGCAACAAGCATGGGTGCCAGATTAGGAAAGATTTCCACGAAAGCGCAGCATCTCGTATTCTTTTCCAGCTGGATAGGGATCCCTTTGGGGCTGTATTGACCAAACTGGGAATCATAACGGGGGCCATTAACTCTTTAGGATTAGACGGCCTGTGAGGATGCCGACTCAACGGCAATTCAGGTAGTTGATTTCTATTCCTGGCGCTGCAAACGGACTCCAAAATCGGACGGAGAACGCCTCTCTCTAGAGCGGGCGTAGCCAGAGGGCCGGTCCCAATGGGTATAAAATGGTGAGCATGTTCTGCGATATGAACTATCAGCAACACACCAGCTCAGCACTTGGTCTCGAACACATTCTTCTGATCATCATATCATTATCAAAGCCAACATGAAATTCCTTTGCAAATTGATTCTTGTTATTGGCATGCCTTTTGTTGTCACAAGCAACGAATGCCCGACGCCTTGTCACGCCTCGACAACCGCGGCATCAAGCACTCAACCTCTGCTTCCAACCCAAACTATCACGGTCGGCGGGGGAACGAACCTTCGGTTTAGTCCGCCATACCTTCAACGCGTTGTGCCAGGAACGACATTGCGTTTCGACTTTCTCGGGCGGAATCACACCCTTACGGAGTCTAGTCGCGATTTGCCATGCACGAAGCTTCGGTCACCTTATGCCATCGATACCGATTTCCAGAATTTTAACCCAAATGACGTTTCTGGCTTAAAGACGTTTGACCTGAAAGTCACTTCATTTGATCCAAAGTTCTTTTACTGCAAACAAGGGAACGGCACGCCCAACGGACATTGCTTAAAGGGTATGGTTTTTGCAATCAATGTGGCGGATCAGGTGTTTAAGGATTTTCAAACCAAGGCAATGAAGTCACGACCAATGTTTCGAGGCTTGACAAGATCAAAGTCGGTTAACCTTTAATAAATGGCAGAGACTGTTGTGTGAGGGAGGTTAGAGTTGGTTCTTAGCGGCTAAACGGTCTATAATGGATATATATGTTGATATTGAGCTTCCATTTGAATGCAACCTGTAGCTTCTCCTCTCACTATGTATACCCAATCCTAAAAGCAACTATCATCGGTGCCAGAAACGGTTTGTACCGCGTCTTGGCTGTTTCCCCGCAGTACCCAGCAATAAGAAAATAATTAGGGAAGTGCGTTTTCTGGACATAGTTTTCATCTGGCCAGTGCATTTTGGGTGCCGTTGAAGCCTCGATCTAGGCGAGCGATAGGCAAGCACAGTCTCAAGTAGATTGTGTGTATCAAGAAAGCAGTTTCCCCTTCGGGCAAAGGGAAGGATGGGAGAAGTTTACTGTTAAGTTGAAGCTATCTCGTAGTTTGGGCAACTTTATGGAGTTTAAGCTTTAAAAATTGCAGAGAAATATCGCTAGGTCATAAAAACATACCATTACTTGTCCATACACGCCGGTCTTGCACAACGGATGACCAAAATGTGATCTACCTATAACATTCCGTTGTCAAATATCGATGTAATGAGTCCATCGGAGGCTAACCCGCAGACAATTTGTCTGCAATGCAAACTAGTACCGATACCTTGTCGAGTAATCTAAAATAGTCTTGTTAGTATCTGCAGAAACATGTGGTCAAAGGTGCAAGTTCAGTACCTTTCGGGCTCACTACCAAACCTCGGCCTTTTTTGGCTCCCCTATAGATTGCCTCGACGATGTCAATTAATTCTTGCTTATCTTCCAGAACCCAGTTCAGTTTATTGTTGTTGCCGGTGCCAAAATCACACATCATATGTTTATTACGGAAGAAAAACATGATTGTCATCGGGTCGTACAGTTCGTACATCTGTTTGAAATCCGGGACTTGGTCAATGTCGCAGAGATAAATAACGGCAAAATTTTTCACACGGTCAGCGACTTTATAAAGAACTTCATCTTGTGCCATGCCTATAGACAAGTTAGCAAGCCAACTTGAAGGGAGCGATGCCTAGGCGTACAATCTTTGTCCCAGTCTCGTCCGAAACGGATAACGACCAGGCGGTCTTCTTCGGAGAGAATAGCCTGATCCACATGCCAGGCAGTAGGCAGATGTGGAAGAACAACAGAGCCCATTTTGTTAAGATTTCCAAACCGCTTGCCAATAAAGCTGCTGGAGCAGAAGCCTCATCCGAAGGCCCCAACGGATTCGTCACATGATATTTTACGGAGTTTCGTCGGCCCGATATAATTCCAGTTTAGGTAGCTCCAAGATTTTGCTTAACCAAGTAGAAAGGACTGACTGCTCCGTACGGGGTGTGATCTCGCGGATGGTAATGTAAAAATAGGTTGCTTGGATGGATGTAGTACACCGAGTAGTCTGCGCATAAATTACTTTCAATATGGATTGCTGAAGAATCATAAGGCCAAATACAAGCAGAGTAAGTCCCGATATTAAAGTAATATAAGGCTAGGGTTGAGGGGGGGGAGCTCTTTGTTCTGAAAGGCAACCAATGAGTCAGAATATTTACTGTACAGCTTGATATACAAGTAAAAGAGTGGCTTATTTCAAATCAAATATGTATACAACCAATTACCGGAGAAAATACCCCGTTATTGACATGACGAAACCAAAATTGTTCGTATTACCATGATGATCCGTCATCCTCATCCTGCTTATCCCCTTCGACGGTCGTCTGGGACACTTTGACATTGGACATTTCATACTCCTCCGTGCTATTCTTGTACCTAGCGTATTGGCCCGCATCTGACGGCTCAAGAAAATCCCGAAGTCTTTTCTTGCCCTCCTCCATTGCTTGATGGGAAGCTGCCTCTGCCATTTTAATCATAGGGCCCCAAAGATTAAGTTGGTACGTGAGATATGCAGCTACAGCACCTAGGAAAAGCATAAAGAAGTACACAGGGTTTCGCAAGACTGGGATATATGTCAGCAGATGCTAAAGGAGAGGAGTGAAAAAGGCGTTTTGCGGGATACTTAAAAGGCGGAACCTACCGGAAACAATCTCATTCCAGCCCAGCGCCAGCAGCAAAATATAGAAATATAGAGGTATTTGTGTCATGCCTCCAATAGCGCTTCTCTTTGCTTCGACGTATACGCCGTCGGCTGCTTTCTTGAATCGAGCTGTAAGATCTTGTTTTTTGGCGTCACCGAGCATGGTCATTTCTTCCTCCAGACTCTTTCCATCATCATCTATTCCCCCAATCGGGGCCAGGTCCTCTTCGTCAGCTGCAGTAGCAGAACCTGGGGTATATCCAACCCATCTATCCAACTGTGGGGTTGTGCTCGTCTCTTGAAGTCTAAATCGAGACAAAAGCGGAATAAGAGTAAGGGTCGATTCTCGAGCTTTAGTATATAAGCCTTCAATGTCATCGGTAGGTCTCCATATTCTAGGAACTCCAGCCGAGTCATATCGAAACTTGTCCTCGAAGTTCTCTCGCAGTTTGAGAAGCAAATTGCCCTCCATCATCTCTTCGTCGATCTTAGATCGCAGCACTCCCCATGACTTCCGACGAAGTCTCCAAAGTCCGACATCGACTTCATCCAGGCTGGCATCATAGCTGCTAGCGCGTTCAGTGAATTTACGCTCAGCCTCAAGCACTGTATCGACAAAAATGGACCATATCCTATCCCAGATGGTGTTCTCTGACGGCCGGTCACCTGTTTCAGGGGCACCAGAGCCACCTCTACCTGACCCAAGAGCATTGAACTCTACGCCAACAGATTCACCCAGTCGGCTTCTCACCCATCGCTCAACTCTCGTTGCGAGACGTCTCATTTCATCTTTCCGGAGTTGCGCGCTAATACTTTCTAAATCCTTTCGATATAATGACAGTTCTTGGGTGTAACTTCCCCACGAAACACCGTCGATAACAGCCAGTTTTGCGTCATTTTCGAATTTTTCTAGAGCTAGTTTCTTCTCCTTGGATACTATTTCAGCAAAGTCATAGCTTGCGCCCTTTTTCTGCCCTGCTTTCACTGTGGCGGTAACCGCATCTTTGAATTGGCTAACACCAGACTTGTGCGCGGCGGTGAGTTGCCCAGAAAAGAGAACCTTGAGGCGAGTGTCAACTTTCTCCTCAAGTTCCATTTTTTTCATTTGATAAACACGTTTATGGTACCGACTAGCCTCTGTTTCAAAATTCTGAAGTATGGCAACCCTTGCGCTCGTCATCGCTGACCCAAGATCATCAAGGATCTGAGGGTTCCCAGTCTGAATGGCTTCTGCCTGTTTAGTTTCAAACGGGATAATTGCCGCGTCAAAGACCACAAGTACCTCTCTTGATATCTCGTCACAGCGAAACTGGGCTAGCAGTTCTTGCTGTGTCGGCAAGTCGAGATCTTTATTGTTCACAATTTGGTCCCAGATGCCTTCGGCGTAAACCGCAAAGCCGTCCGCTGGAATGCGTCGATGATATTCCGGTAGAAAAATCCCACCTTCCGCCTTGTTTGACTTGAGGGGCTCGCGGTGTCCTTCGCGAAAACGTTTGCTGAGCTTATGCACTTCTGTAACAAATTTTTCGGGCTGAAAATTTTTATGGGGAAGGGCTGCAAATTCAAAGTCAAAATAGTCGTCAATCGTAGAATGTTCGAGGCCTGGAGGTTTTGATAGAGAGGTCCAGATGCGCTGAAGATCTTGCATCAACGTATTCTGCAAATTTTGAAGCGGAGTAGTTCCAAGGAAATCGCGAATAACGAAAAAGAGTAAGGATCGTGGAGTGGACCTTTGTACATAAAATGTCAGACACTACTGTGAAAAATGTGTTTGGTGATGGCATACTTTCTGTCCTTCAAAAAGAGTTGCATGTTGACCTCAAATACGGTTTTTAAAAGTCCCATATTAGCCCCCTGATACAACCCAACTTGATGTTCCCAAATATTAACAATCAGGACTTCGCTGGTAGCAAGCGCAAACAGGGCGCTCTTCCGCTCAAAATCCTGATCTTCCCCGCGCTCTCGTCCATCAGTACCTTCAACATCCATAACCAGTATATTATCGGCCATTTTACACCTGCTATCGTCCTGATCATCGGCTTGGCGCTTATTCTTTGACATCCATATTCCTTTTGTTGTTTGCCGTCTTTCCGTTTCGGACATCACACTAAAGTGTGTCTTGAAGAGGTGATTGAGCAAGGTAGATTTCCCGGTAGATTGCGATCCAAAGACAGAAATGAGATGATAATTGAAACCAGCAGGAGTAACACTCTCGTATGCAAGGTATTTAGAGACGTTAGGACTATAAAGAGCGTGGATACGTTAGAACATTGCACGCAGAGAAGGCTTTTGTCAAAAAGAGCCAAAGAGTATAACTGCATACTTGAACTCCTTATCTTCGTCTACCACCTGCACTCCATGCTCGTAGTTGGCGCCATCGTGGACGTCTCCAGCCGACGCAAAATGCCCGTTGAATACCATCTTGGCAACACCGAATGCGCGATCTCCCTTTGAGAAAGGCAATAGAAGGTACTTGTTTAATAGGTGATCACCATAACATCCAACGAGAATAATATGTATAGGCGATCACGCATAGACTCCCACGAAAAATAGCCCCTGGATATATCTCAAGGGCTGTGGCGTAAGGTGTAGCAGGAAGTGCACTCCAATAACCTATCAAATGAAAGTAATCCCAAAGTTCAGTTTATGCCCAAGTATAGGCAGGAGAGGTGTATCTCCGAAGAGAATTGCAAGCATCAAAATGTCGTGAAGTTGTTTCAACAAACATAAACAGTGGCCGTCATCGAGTCTGCTGACGTTATCATAGGGTTCCGACCACTAAACCTAATGGAAGCATGGCCAGCGCCAAGACAATATTGTTTAGCATTTTTAACTACGGAGTACTCCGTACGGAGTACGGAGTAGGTACCTAGGTAGCCCCCCGGCTCTGACGCCCACAGCACCCCTGAAGGATGAGAGCAACCACTTGAGTTTTAGGGATCAAATGCCTCAGTACGGAGTACACTATGATTATTATTATTATTCACCTTCTTCTTCTTCATAGGCTCTCATGCAGTCCTAGACTATGGAGGCACCTCTCTACTCTAGGCCAGTTAGTTTACAGCATGTGTTATCCTTGATATCTGAGCTTCTGCCACTCCATTCTGTCTAAGTCTTAAACTGCAGTATGTCTAGAAAAGGTTAAGATCTCTTATATAGCCTTTTATCCTGCTCTTCTATTAGATCATGTTCTCTAGGAAAATCCTCCCAAAACCCAAAATGGAACTGATATATCTAAATCAATAGAAATTCAGATCACACTAAGACTGACAAACGCAGTCTGTTAATTAAGTATACTTATATAATCCCTACATTGTTTCCTAATTCTCAAGCAGTCAATGAACCTTTGCTCTTATGGCTACAGAGAAATCTTCACTCAAAGAAAAAGGCTTCTCTGTTGGCAAAATATCCTTTGGGAAAGTGGGATTTGAATCCACAGCCCTCTTTCCCAGATGATTGGCCCCGACAACAGACCATGCCAGAAGGATTCCTGCAGACGTTTACCAAATCCGCCATACACCCTCTCCCTATCGGTACGCTATCGACCATGCTAGCTAAATTAATCATTCTATCGGTGGTGGTGTTGGAAAATCATTTGTTCTAACCCAATCCAGATTCCAGCCTTGATCGAGGCAGAGATCCAGGTGCAGGGAGGGGTCTATTCCCGAACTACCTGCTTCCAATCCCGAAATCCTGTTATAATCGAAATCAGTGTTTGGAAGGGCGAGAATGTTTTCAAGAGCCACTACTGTTCCATCCAAAAGGGAAGCTGGGTTCTGGTTCTGGCCAGCTTCAGATATTATGGGCGTGAATGGGGGTTTAAAAAACAACGGAGTATTAGAGATAGGGTTAGGGAAGGAAGGTTGAGTATCGCCAGCATCGGAAGATTTGGTCATTTGCTCAAAATTTCTTCCCAGTCGAAGGTAGAGAGATCCAAAATACGGAATGGTAATCTTGCAACCATCCCGATCATGATTTCGGCGCTGTTGTCCAGGCTGAGAGAAACCATACAGCATTTCTAAAACATTCGCGGATTGTGCGGCAACGGAACCACCGGGGTTGACGGAAATTTCTCGAAAAATGTATATTGCCTCATGTAGCAGCCGCCGATCTTCCATGATCTCCGTCAAATTGCCGGTGCCAACCAGGTCAGATCTACTTAAGAGATGTATTGCTAAAATCATGGCTGCTGTAAACATTTGGAAGTCGATCATTTTGCACACCGCATAGTGAAATCTGGACGTCTGTCGAATTCTTCTGTAGAACTCAATGCAGTTTCGTGATGACTGAAGAGCTGCATTATAACAATACTGAGACTCTGAGTCTCCACCAGATTTCAAAGAGAATGGAAGGTGTAGCATTGCCCTGATAAAATAATGCATAAAATGGCTCAGAAGAAATTCGTCGTGACTCTCACCGGACACTATATCCGAGCCTTTGAGGGAAAAATTGTGTCTTAGCGTCTCAAGCTCTCGATCTATGGCCAATGTTTTAGAAACGGACAACTCATGCGCGTCTTGATTTCTGTCGATGATTCGGCTAGCAAAACAGCATAGTTTATAGACATACTCCTCAGATGGTCGCATATATCCTGTTTCAACCAGAATCAAAAAATTCGGGAGGAGGAACCGATCAGGAACCATATATGGAAGGCCAAGAATTAGGCTGAAATACCTCTCACAGCACGACAATGAGCACCAGATATATGACTGTCGTAAAGCAAGAATATCTTTTTGATCAATTGGGCGACTTGTTGATAAATGGAATCCACGCAGTTGCGCAAATTCAATGCCACGGCGATATAGTCGCCATGCCTTTCGAGGCTGGCCACTATTCATATAGTATTTTGCGGCAAAGAAAAAGCATTCAATCCCAGGAAGTGTTGATGAAATATCTTCATTACTTGTTACCACATGATTCATAACAGAAAGCACACGATCAACAAAATCTTTTGGTTGAAATGGGGCCTGAAGGCCGCGGAAATCGAATGAAGCAGGCAGCTGGTCAATAGTGCTAACAAGAAAAAGAAGAAGCTTGGCAATTTCCCCCAAAGTTTCTGACTTAGAGCATCTTCTCCAGTTTGAAAGGCTTTTTGGCAGGTTTTCGTTCTGAATCTCCGTATATCGTGTTTCTAGGGTATGATACTGGAGCGGGAAAGCCTTCAAGATAGCTTCTATGTCACGACATGGCGGAAGTAGCGAGAGCAAAACAGATTTTAATGCTGCATTGCTAGATGGTTGGTTTCCAGAGTAGCTCTGGTCTCGTGGCTCCACATGAGGATGTGATCGAGAAACGACATGATTATCTAGAAGTGTAAGTAACGGTGCCTGCTCGGTATGGCCATTCGAATCTGACTCAACAGTCTCAGAGAGTGTGAGAGCAGAGTCAGCAGAGATAGTAACTGGGGTACCTAGTTAAATGTTTAGATATATTTGTAAAAATTTAGACCAAAAGGGGCATGGGAAACCAACGCACCTGGAGAAATCGAGTCCATCCTTTTCCCATCAACCTTGTCTAGCTTTTTTAGAACAGTATCGAGTGTATTCTCAAGAATGGCCACCCTTTCACGCAAACTGTAAACTTGCTCAGTTCCTTGATATTGCGATTTACTAGAGCGCACGGGCGCGTGCTCCTGGTCAATGCATCGAAATCCTCGTGAAAAGCACTCATTGCAGCGGTCTGGTCGCACAGCACTAAATGTGCATCGAATTTTGCGGCGTCGGCCTAAGTGGGCAGTCAGAATACCTCACTCACCCTTCACTACTGAAGTGTGAGGCAGGTGAGTTACATTCAACGCAGCTCTTTGTCCCTTTTCTCATCTTCTTGCGTGTGGTCTCCAGCTCATGGTCGCCAGAGCCCGAGCGATAGATAAAGGAAGCGGAATGTGCCGTGAAAGAATCCATTTGGACAAGGTAACATCCCCAGCTCACGCGGTAACAACTGAGCTAGCTCAATGCTGGAGAAATTGTAGTTTTGTATTATCAGCAACAAAGTGTCAAAAAAAGTGGACATATAACAGAAATAATTGGATCTCCACTCAATCACCAGCTTCAGCTAAATTTCATTCTCTTCCCTGCTGAACTACACTTGAAGAACCCGCGTTTGTTGTACTACGTACGAGTAGGGAGTAGTTAGGCGCTCGATGTCGGCTCACGTGCCGGACGAATTCGTCCGGTGCGGCACACCCTATTATTCAGCAAGCAAGAAGCCAATTTATTCCCCACAAATCCCGAGGTCATTTTAACTCTCTCTTCTACGGAGTACGGAGTACAGTAGAAGACTGCGCGCTTCTCTGCTATTCCTACTAGCCTAGCTAGTAGGCGATTTCTACTATTTTACTAGATAGGAAAGTAGATGATTTTACTATTTTCATGGTTTTTGTAGACTTAAGAAATTTTCTTGAAGGTTCTTTGTATGTAGCTAGATGCACTTGTAGTAGAAATAGCTAGATGTACTGCAATACATTACTAAAGCAAAATACGGAGTACGGAGTACTTTAGGTAGTTAACTAACTAACCAAGTTAACCTTATATATGCAACTAGCGGGTCGAAGCGTGTTGTCAAAAAGAATCAGATAAAATTTACTTCTATTTACTATAATGCTTAGCAACGAAAACAGCCTCGATGGCAAACGCGCGCTCTCAAAAAACCAGGAGCTTTATGCAACGCCGCTCGCGACCACTTTTCCTCGGATGCTGTGCGGCTTGACAAACAATGACGCCATGAAGCTTACTCCAGAAGCGGCGACACATATAAGAAATGTCACCCTTAATCCGTCCATATATGCAATCAACACGCCGTTAAAATCCTCCCCTTCAAATATGCGGCTTAGCTCCGATGCACCAGTAGCCACAACCAAATCGGGACGTACGTTTGGCGCGACCTGTGGCAACCTTTGGAGAAGCCTGTTTACCCACCCAGCCTGAGCGGCAGACACCCAGATGGCACCGCCCATGGTCTGTAAAAACATCGTAATCGCAGAAATACTAGCCAAGTCGGAAGGTTGCGAAAATGCCTGGTTGATAATGACTGGCACCTGGATAGCAAGGCCGGCACCAGTGCCCAATATAAGCTGGTAGCCGATCCATTTTCCGGTTTCAGTGCCAATGTCAAATGTATAAATAAGGCCGCTGCCGATTGTCGCCAAAGCAGAGCCGCCGATCAAAAGATATGAAAAATATCCAAACGCGGTGATCAATGCCCCAGATATCACGGAAAATAAACTAACAGTTAGAATAAAAGGGAGGTTGCGAACTCCGGACTGTGCGGCAGACACGTTTTGGATCGACTGGAAGTAAATCGGCAAATAGTAGATCGACACAAACATTGGACCTGCAAAGAAGAAAGCATATATGGATGCGACTAAGGTATTGCGGTTTTTGAAAAGTCTCGGCTGTAAAAGGGCCCTTTCATCCATCCACCACTCATTCAGCACGAATAAAATGATAAGTAACCCAAATGCAACCAATGTTCCTACAACGTTGCGATCGGACCAGGTCTTGGTGGCCCCTCCCCACTGTAGCGCAAGCAAGTAGCTAATTACAGCGGCCATGATGATCGATGTTCCAACAAGATCCATTTGTAGAATTTTTTCTCTCAATGTTGCCTTTGCGGGCTGGGCCGCTGGTGGTGTTTTGAAGAAAAGTGTCAAAATAACGGCACTTATAGCGCCAATAGGAAGGTTAATGTAGAAGCTATGGGTCCTTTGTCAGCTAAATCCAATATCTCAGCTTTTGAGGGATCCGAGGAACACACCACCAGCGCCAGGATACTTTATCTGTGAAAACGCCTCCCAAAAGAGGCCCAACGACACTCGCAACGCCGTAGGTCGCTCCAAGGATGCCGGTATATGCCGGCCGTTGATGTGGTGGTGCAGAAAATGCAATGATAGTATATGCACCACTCGCCAATCCAGAAGCGCCCGCTCCGGCAAGTGCTCTTCCGACAATCAACGTGGTGCTGTTCTTTGCAACGGCGCACACCAAAGACCCCACCTCAAAAGCAAATATCGATAGCATGAACACCGTTTTGAGGGGAAAATATTTATAACCCTTGCCCCAGGTGGATTGAAAGGATGCGAGAGTAAGAAAAAATGCAGAGCCATACCAACCAACTTGATCTAATGATTTGAAGTGATCCGTTATTTTTGGAATTGCAGTTGCCACAATCGTCATGTCCAGAGCCATTAGGAAAATTGCGAGAATCAGAGCAATTACAATGAAAAAGGTTGCCATTGGGCCAGGATACTCCACGCCAGCAATAGCTGGCACCCCCCCTTGGAGACTGTCAGCGGTATCTTTGGCATCCTGCTGGTTTGTTTTTTCTGGAAATGGTGACCCGGGGCAAGAATCGCCTTGGATAGTACTGGCAGACGATAAGGAACTTGGCGCTTGGGTGTTTGAGGCCGCCATATTTGCCGTCATGGTCTTAACCGCTGGCGGCGAGTGGAAGGGGAAAAAAGATGCAAAATATGTAGCCAAAAGTTGCGATCAGCAGTATGTAGGGAAGAAAGAAGATGCGTTATTTAACGTAAGCCTTCAGGTTTTCCAGACGCAACCACTGACGCTATATGCTAGTAGTGATATGATGGCAGCAGGGACCGCCCTTGCATGTGTCAAGCAAACCGTTCATATCTGGACAATAATAATTTTTCATGAGAAATCACCATGAGAAAAACGGCTAGGTGGGCGAAACTCGTCCCATTCCTCCCTCGTAATGGTTGCGGTTCTGGGCAACACAGAGTTCAAGGTGTCAGGGGCACGGGAACCCAGGTCTTGTCACCAATGATGGTGAACGAGTCATGAAACAGGCCAGAGTAAAGCGTAGCCCCGAACGTATTATTGACGGCCTGGGTTTTCTCATCCAAGAAAAAGCGAGGGCTAGAGGGCTTGCATAATTGGGTTTTGCGCTTGAGGATCATCGGCTGAATCTTGGGCCACAATGCCCATGACAGGGAATGACTCATGTTGAGCAATCCGGAAAGATCAGGCATGTGCCATTGTCATAGGTGCCAACAAATACAAAACCCCGGGACGGCTTTGTAAACACTCACCTTCTTTACCGATATCAATTATCGGTCACAGTTTCCGTGTTTCTTTGATGTGAGACGGGTTGATTCGAAGGCAGCCATGTGGCTATGTCGGTACAAGGTTATATAATCGTTCCGTTCCTTCGGGCCTTGGCATAGGCGGTAGTGTTTCTCCGCACTCCGGCCCAGGCGGTCGGAAAGATAACGACATGACTCGTTGCGCAGGAATAAACTGGCGAGCGAACCGGGAATATGGGCATGGCTCAGAGATGCGGCAGTTGAGTCTGATTTTCTTCAGCCGAGACTACGAGTGTGTATTTGCATACATGACTATGACCCTTTTCGCCCAACATGTACGGACCATCTGAGGCAGCAAAGGTATGCGTCATGCCGCTAGCCTCAATACGAGATGAAAAAGGGAATATATGGATGTGGAGCGGGAAGTCATTATCTTGACTTGTGTAACATCAACGAAAAGATTTCCTTCTGCCTTCTCCCAGGCGCCTTGCCACATCTGACTCGCAGTTCACTACCAGTACCCAAAAGAAGCCGTGTACCCACGACTGAATCCTTGCGAGGTATAGCTCTATCCCGATGGCCACATAGCATGGGTTAAAACTAAACACCCTCTTATCTCGGAATATAGCATTTGCCAAGGAGAAATTTATATTCGGAAGATATTCGCAGCTGGAGAAGCCCTGGAAAATTAACAGCTGGATAGCCATGCCTGTGACCGAACTTGCGCTTCTTCACCTGAAGCCCAGTTTCTCTACTGATAGCCCCAACGTTCAGTCGGCCCTGCGCTTCGCAAGACATTCAATGGAATCCTTCACGGGCTATCCATTTTATCTTTATACCCAAATTGAAGACCCCTCTTACATCTACGTAATCGGTAGCTGGGGTAGCGTCGCACAACACATGGAGCAGTGGATCCCGTCGAATAAGAACCAAGAGATTTTGAAATCCGTTGACGGTATGCTGGACGTTGAGTGGATGTTCCATCTTGACATTGATCAGGTGGCATTGAAGGATGCTCAACAGGGCGGTATTCCATTCTCAGCCCCTCTGATCGCCATCGCGAGACGGGACGTTGATTCAGGGAAGAGGGAGGATACTGTGGCTATGTTTGAAAAAAGCAAGCAGCCTTTGTTGAACTTCACAGAACCATATTCGATTTGCAGTGGATGGAAACTGGATCATGATGCTAACAGCAAAGTCGACAAGGAGGAATTTGTTCTCTTTTCAGGGTGGTGTGATACGGCACATTCCACTGCCTTTTCTCAAAAAGAAGGAGATAAGGAGTATAGAGAAGCCAGGGGATTCCTAGCCACTTTTGAAGTGAAACATGCAAGACAATGGCAGATATAGTATAGGTGGTGATGGATATTAAACTCGTAAAGAGAAGCCAGTGAGTTTGCACATGGTGTATTTCTGCAATAAGAGAAATGCAAACAAGATAGTTATTAGCAAACAGGAATGAATAATTCAATGCACCCAATATTTTGTTCTGGCAGTTTCCTGAACCCATATACGAAACCCTTGCCAAGAATATAGACAAGGGGCTGCAATTATTAACAAGAAAACGATCTTATACTCTGAACTTCATAGAGACTCGAATGTCTGTTCCAAGTACATGGTGAATAGTTTGTCGTCAATGACAGCGCCGAATCTTGAGTTGAAAAATACGTGAGCCACGATCGCGGCCTCATCATTCTCAGGATAGGCATATGTAACTCACCCGAAACACTGAACCTCTTGACTTAGCAATACGCTTAGCTTCTGGAAGCGCTCTACATCCAGTTTATGGAAAGAAGGATGCTGCTTGATTCTATTCCAGGCCTGTACTGGAGTAATGTCGCCGTCGAGATGGAGCGCGCCGGCCAAATCAAGGAGCCGGTCTAAATGGCAAGCGGGGACCTCCCATGTATCATTGTTACGGAGAGTCTTGGGTCCATTAGCGATTAATGGCGTTTGAAAGGTGAAGACGTGTCCAGAAAATGGTGCTTTGGCACAATTCGTCCGGGCATGCTGCAAGCAAGGGTGTTCCAAGCTATATACTCAGGGTTAATAGGCATACCATCTCACAGAGGGGGAGATTGTAGAAATTAGTTACAAAAGAATAAAATCAACTCCAACCTGGGTTGCATCTAGCCCAAGAGGGTGTTTGTTTGGGGGTGTCGTCGGAGACCCCTCCTGGCTATAACGATTCAGCACAATTTCATCCTGGGCGGTTTGAGAAGCGCCTTTCGGCGCATGGTGGTGGGTGTTCGATGCCATGGAGGGCATAAATTTTTTAGAGCTAGGACTAGGGGGGGGAGGGAGTAATCGCTGTATATTAATTGCCCCATCCACGGAGACTTCTAGTCGCTGCTCGGCGCCAGGGTCACCAATAACTTTGACAACGGTCGGCGGTCTGCCAGGCGGGGTCTTGCCAGGAAAGGGGATATCATGCGCGAGCATGATCTCGCGAAGCATTTTATTCTCATTCGCTATGTCCTGTGTTTCCATTATAATAGAGTGCTCTTCATCCCGCAGTGTACGAAACTCAAGTTCAAGAGCTTTGACATAGGTTTCCTTCCTTTCACGGTGATTTCTGACACCATAGAAGAGTTTAATAGTAAGACCTAGGTCTTAACTGAATATTGGATGGTCATGAACTCACCGCTGGGCTCTCCTAACCTGCTCCCGGCGACGCGCATGAGCAGCTTTGGCTGCGTCCAGCTGGGCCTGGTCCTCAACTGTGTCTACCGAGGTTTCAGCGAACATGCGGCGAATATAAGAAAAAAAGAAAAGAAAAGAAAACAAATGATAGGTAAGTAGTTAATGGATGCAGCAAGTAGTGAGGAATATGGCGGAAGTACCACACAGCATAGAGCAAATCTCGATCGCCGGTGGATGCAGCCATTCAGCAATTCCACACCGTAGCACAGCGGATAAGATATGACAGGTATCAAACCCGCTGCTCTAGTCGGGGCCTCACACGGCGCCGGATGGGGGGGTAACTAGGTATGTCGACAGCCAGTGGGCAGCGCCATGACCAGCGAACAACAAGTGGACCAAAGAGCTCACCATTTTTCGGCTTTGATATACGACCGAGGAGCGGGATTTTCTCCTTCGACCGCTGCCACAGCGAGTCGGTCAGGGATGTCGTCGACATGCGCGCAATATCGGGTCCGAAAGCCTGCGTCCCAGCGCGGATCCGCCGGCACGCGCTGGGCTTTGGGGGTGTTGAGTGACCAACTAACTATTGGGCAAGAGAATGATTCCAAATCACCAGGCCCCGAAGAGCGCACACCAGGGCCAACTTAAATTGTACATGCATCCAAGCGCAATCGCGAGAGTGGCCGGGTGAAGAAGTGACGATAACGTGCGAGATCTCAGAGGGTGAGATGTGCGAGTCGCCCTCACGCGAGGGGGATTTGTCGATCAGGCCTGGTCAGCCCATCGACTGCCGATTGGATTGAAGATTCGCCGTCCGGTTCTTAGGAGTCAGTCAGTTAGTTAACTAGTTAGTTAAACCAAGAGCGTCCTGGCGCATCCTTGCTGCGTCGCCCCAAGCCGTTTGGATCAAAACGGCTGCTGTCTGCGCCACTTGTTTCGAGATCTACCGGGCAGATGGTTTGCCTGTTGGCGTTGGAGAATGATGTTCGTTTTGTTGTGCATGACTTGAGGCTGTTCCACGATTTTGCCCTCACTGTTGATCTGTCTATATAGTTATGTGCAGTAAATATGCAACACATGGGGATGTGTGCTTAGTTAACTAAACTAACTATTTAACTGTTAGAACAGACAGACAATGACTAATGCTGAATGACCTCAAAGGTGGTCACCTTTTTAGTCGAGTCGAGTGGCTTGGTCGTCTGTTCTAACACTATGTCTTTACTTGCTTAGACAGCTAGATCTCTATGAAAGCCATGCAAACCAGCATGCCAACTTCCGGTGATCCAAAGATCCATTTACCAGGGCTCAAAGACTGCAGCACGGCTCTGTTCGTGCCCAAGCAGTGGAGCATCGCCCATTGCTAAGGGGTTAATTCCTAGGCTGTCATGCCCAAATTTCTGATTAGGAGGCCAGTTCCTTCTTTGCCATCAGGTCATACACCGGTGCTGTGGGCACCATACTACTACAATACCGTCCTTCCTCCCTTTTCTTTTGAACATAGGCCAGGCATCCGGCCTCAACGACCGTCCAATCGGTTACCGATGTAGAGGCTTGGGCCCATTAGCGAGTAGTTCCTGGATATTCTTCATGCTGCACCTTACTCAGAATTTTATCCTTTCCCAGCTGTGTAAGAGCGTGCTCTGCCCACGTTCGACATCTCCAGTTTGGATCCTGTCGCCGTTACCATCAGAAGGAAGGGTAACCATCCATGGCCAATACGCACATCTTGAACAACCGCTACACTCTCAAGTGATTTGTCAAGCTCATCCCGCGACCTCTCCACCTTACCGATGAGGATTCTAGCGAGAAGCCTTACGGGCTCCGATTTCCCAAGTTGCACGCGCTCAAGTTCCCAGGTTGCCTTCATCATACCATCGCGAAGTTGGATTCGGTTTGTCGCATGATATTGTATGGTTTGGCAGTTAGAGTTCGAATTCTCCTTTGGTGAGACCAGGAACGCCCAATGGTACCTAATGGTGAGTTTAGATATTTAACTTGTCAATGGAGTCATGTAAAGAAGGAACGTACACGTCAGGGCGTGAATGGGCAAAGAGTGCAATGTAAAGGCGATCTTTATTTGGAGGCATTTTGATGGTGAAGTTTTCAGGCAGTTGGAAATTCCATCATTCTACGGAGTATTGGAAGACTTAACAATGGCTTCTACGGAGTAGGGTATGAGGAAAAGGCGGATTGAGTGAAACACCAGCCCAAGAAGCTACCAGCCAACCAGCTAACAGGCCAGCAGACCAGCAGACCAGCACAGCATTCTAACAATTTGGTCTTTCGGATATTTCTCCAAATAGCAAAAAGCACATCCAGTAGATATTATAGCTACATCTGGGTTGAAATCATACTAGCTGGCAGAGAGGTTGGTGTGGGAAAAAGATAACAGCACTGACAGCCTCCACCTTTTTAGCGGAATGGCTAACTAGTCGGCTGACGGTTGAGAGTTCTCGCCTCGCCAGCGTTGCTAACTACTCCATACACCAGGCCTAGATTGAAGGAGCCACCCGCCAAAGTTCAGCCTAAATCTTAGCGGCATCATTAGGCCGAGCGGCCAAAACAGCCGCTAAATAATTGCATCCTTTGCGTTTCTGAATGAACTGATCCTACGGAGTAGATTTTGGTTTTAAACCCCCCGTTCCCAACTATTTTTATCCCGGACACTCGGTATGCCCCTATGTTCCCCGTACAGTAGTAGTATCAAGCCCCTCGTAAGAATAAAAGTGGCACAGCCGAACTCCTTGTGTATAACAAGTCGAATTTAAATTGACTCTGTTATTAACTACCTGGAACGTTGCACTATTTTCAACGTCTGGCCGCCTAAGAGTCTCGGCAGCAAGCCCTAGTCCTACAGACTACAGACACAGATTACTGTACAGTGGTTACCCCCCATCATCTCTGCCTTGCAAAATAGGCCGAAAGCTTTCCAACAGGCTTTCCCAGAGGAAATGCCCACTGATACCTCTCCATAAAGATCCTAATCTCCTCATCCATCTGTACGATTGCACTTTGCCTCCTTGCCAGCGATGTCTCATCATTGTCGTCGACTTGGATCTCCTGTTCCAGCTCCACTTCTCCCACAACATGCCCAAAATCAGTCTGGTCAACCACAATGCCAAATTTCTTGTTCGCCTTCCACATCTCGCGATATGTCGTGAAACGAGCCATCTGCACAAGTCCAAAGTCTTGCTCCATCGAAGGCACCGCGTCGATATTCAGGCGTGTGCGAAGCATCTGCGCAATTTCGCTCGGCTTGGTGAGCTCCTCAAATTGAGAATTGGTAAATGAGCTATGTTTAGGATCCGGTCGAACTTTAGCCTGCCACCGACCGTCGCGCCTGCGAACCCAGATTCCGTTTGCTGACAAGATGTTGTCTCGATCAAAATACGTATCCTCAAAACATTGTTTGCCTAGACTCTCCAAGGGGCTGAATGCTGGCGTGCCTTGATTTGCGCGAAATTGTCTGAGGTGCTGCTCATTACACAAGAATTTCCGTTCCACTTCGATCACAGACTGCCGTAATCGACTGACGTTTGGTGCCCGCATGTTTGAGAGATTCGTAGTTAACCAATATCAGCCGAAATTATAATTCTCAATACCCCTACAAATAGCCGCATTAGAAATTGTGTGTTTGTATGATCGAAGCTAACACAGCCTAGATATCCAGTATAAAATGGAATGAAAGAACTAAAGCAGGCCCCAAGCTAGTTGACTAGTTACATAGCTGATGCTTGGAAAATTCTAGACGCTCGCTTCTCAAGGAATTTTTTACAAAGCAAAAGGAAAGAGGAAATTTCCACCTAGTTTAGAGATTTCAGATTTGCTCTATTGCTGGTGTGTAACAACGTCTTTAATGTCTTTGTATCGTCAAGTGCCAATATTCACCGCCGAAAAGACAGAGTTTTGTAAATCGTTGGTTACAGTTGGTTGCAAAAGTATTGTTGAAATGTGCCAAATTCGCGTTCTTTACATACTACGAGACACCACTGTCTCTAGCTATTTGACTTGTGGCTGGATAGTTAACTATGCCAACATTCTATTCCAGACCGCGTTTCGACTCAGGACATCGAGAAGAGTCTGGTAAGATTCCTGTGTCTCCGTGCTTGAGTCCACCTAATCGGATCAGTTAGCAAGCTGAATCAAAATCATGATTTATCTTCCAAGACTTACTTCTTCGAGAATACCTGTCTGACGATAGCGCTCGAGGATGGGGGTGTTGTTTTTATCATACTCAGCGTATCTTTTTTCAAACATATCTGTAGTGTCCTCTATTCTCCCAGGAAGATTACGGCTCAAATATCTTCGTTTTGCTTCGTCTTTTGGGCAATTGAGATAAATAGCCAAGGCTGGCTTCCCGATCTTTGAGTGTTGTTATTAGCATGTCCGTCTATATGGAGTTCATGGTCAGTCACCTGCTCTTCGAAGGATACTGCCTGGTCGACTTCTCTTGGGAACCCATCAATAACAATAACACGATACCCTCCTTCCCGCTCTTCCTTTTCCAGCTTCCGCTGCAACATGGGAATAATGATATTTCCGGGAAGAAGCGTCGCGGTTTGAATGGCTTCCTGAATGACTTCTGCGTATGAACCTGGGGAGCGGCGAAGATCTCTCATGTAGTCGCCAACAGAGAAATGATACATGCCATACTGTTCACAAAGTCTTCGGCCAAGCGTGCCTTTTCCAGAGCCAGGTGCGCCTTCAGCACATTAGCCCCCTGCATTTACAGAGATTGCTGAACTCCCACTCACCAATCAAGAAAATAATAGTTGATACCATTTTCCAAGTGACCTTGCCTAGAAACTAAAAGATGTCAATGAGATTAAAACATTTTCTTATTTCAATGATTTATCTAGTTTAAACTGATTTCATTAAATTTCCACAGAATGTTCTGGATGGGCCAGGTTTCCGAGATTATGTATCTCAGTAGCTGGGATATGACTACTACTCCCCGCTCATCCCGCCTATTAAAAACACAAACATTCATGCTTAGATGGTGGGCACTGGCTTGTGAATTTCCAAAAAAGATTTAATAGTTAAATCATGTTCATCAGTGACTGTGAATTTATCTTCAAGCCTATTTAGTATAACTATTTTAGTTAGCTACAAGCCAAAGTCCATCAAACATGTTTCAGATGTTCCATTCACTACCATCAAGCATGACCACCGCTTGTTCATATTTTGCCAATCAGATGCCGCTAGACTAGATGTTGAATGGTTTGGTTTGTAATTGAGCCGAGAGGCTGAAGACAACACTTCCAGGATCATGAAGCATACGGCTGAGAATACTTCCGTTCTGATTGCTGGAATGCTGGTAGCAAATATTCCAATACAGGGGCCTTAAGCCTTCCCATTGACGTGTTTGCTTCCAACAAAAAACCAAAAAATTAGCAGGGGTTAACAGAGCCGCATCATAGCTATAAAGAAATGGAAAATTAGAAATAGAGTCTTGATGAATATATAATCTCCGCCAACATAATAATAAGTCCTGATAAGTAGTGATCCAGAGATATCATTTTAATATTATTTATTTGACGTTTGCCGCCAAAATGATCGTGAGGCTTCTATCAAATGCATTCTTGACAGATGTATCAAAATATGGGCTCGGGGTACTTATATTTACGGCGATGCTAGCAGCAGCCGCAGCATTTGTTTATTTCCGAGGGCCGGGTGTCAGCAAAAAATCAACACTTCCCGTTTCAGTGAACTACCACTTCACTCGGCAATGCAATAAATCTTGCGGATTTTGTTTCCACACTGCAACAACGTCATTTAAATTGGACGACGAGAAAGCGAAAGAGGGTTTAGCTCGCCTTAGAGCTGCAGGCATGAAAAAGCTCAATTTTGCGGGGGGAGAGCCGTTCCTTTATCCAAAATTTTTGGGTATGCTTGCGAAATTTTGTAAAGAAGACTTACGTCTAGAATCAGTTTCAATTGTAACGAACGGAAGCTTAGTTGAAAGAAAGTTTCTTGAAAAATATGGGAAATACATAGATATCCTCGCAGTTTCCTGTGATTCTTTCAATGAGCAGACAAATATCAATATCGGCAGAGGCAAAGGTGACCAAGTCACCAAGCTATTTAAAATCGCGGACTGGTGTCATGAATTTGGTATCAAATTCAAGTTGAACACAGTGGTCTGCAACTTGAACTATCAAGAAGACATGAACGCGACAATTCAAAGATTGCAGCCATTTCGATGGAAGTGTTTTCAGGTCCTCATGGTGGCTGGGGAGAATGACTCAGAGAAGACTCTCCGTGACGTTCGTAAATTCCAGATTACTGACGATCAATATGCCGACTTTTGCTTGCGGCATAAACATCAACCCTCGTTTGTGGCGGAGCCAAACAATCTGATGGCAAAATCGTACTTGATTTTAGATGAGTACATGCGGTTTTTGGATCGCGACGGGAGATCGCCGTCAGAATCTATTCTGGAAGTCGAAGTCGCAACGGCACTGAAACAGGTTTTTTGGGATGAAGAAAGCTTTGTTAAACGAGGAGGAGTCTATGACTGGAGTAGAGATCAGGGCAAAGCTGAAAATGGATGCAGTCCTTCTGAAAGTAAGAACTTAGAGTGGTAGTGAGGTCGTTCATGCTTTCAGCTTAGAAGGCAATGTTAGCTACCATTAGAATTGGTAACTTAGGTATTGAAAATTTGGACTCCACTCTGCCACCTTGCTTGGCACGTGTATCCCTCAATTGAAGGCCTCGATCTGTATATATTGCCTCCTCGCCACCATATAAGATGCAGGAGATTTGATTGCTTTGGATTGTCGTTAACTTTACTGTGAATTTGGCATTTGTGTGTGCTTTTTCGACCTTGTAGGTTATCACTCGTCTTCATCACTGATCTCTTCCCCTGCTTCGATAGCGGCTTCACGCTTTTTAGCCAAACGTTCCCTCTTTCTGTCAAGTAACTTTTTTAATCTTGATGCAGTATTGAAGACACCGTTTGTGCCAGTCCCGCATGCTGCACATTTAGGGTCTTTTCTATATCTCTTGAGGGCGCAAGACTCACAAAAGTAGTGGCCACACTTTGTAATGATCGGTGTTTTGTATGCCTGCTGGCAAATTATGCAAGCAAAAGGTATATCCTTCAACATAGCCTCCTCCTCCCCCTCATCGTCATCACGGCCCTCAGTGTTATTGCTCCTGTTAGCGCTAGCAACCACCGTACCGGCTAAATTTTTGCTTCTCTTTGTCACATTCTCCCACTCTCGGTCAAGCTCCCACCCTTGCTTATAGTCACTTCGGTCATGGAGAAAGACACAATTTTGCCCAAACCCACAAAACCCTGTCTTTTTATAATCTTTGCAGACATCTGGGGCAAAATCGGTGAAGGTGGTCATGCGAACATTTGTAGCTGCAACACGAGTTGGGCCGATTTTAGTTTTTATATCCTCATCATACCAATTAGTCGCTTTTGTGGCATCATTCGTGACGAGAGGAAGCTTTTGTTTTGTAGTAGACGTATTATGAGGCTCTTCCTTTTCAATACTGCCGTTATTAGTAGATGCGGCAGCTGCAACCCCACCTCTCCGTTGCCTGCGCTTGGTCCTATGGCCTTGCCGAGAGACTTCTTCTGACGAAGAGTACCCAGAAGTTTCTTTATCAGAGGCCGAGGCTGGCTCCGGGGATACTGGTCGTTTCCTAACATTTTCCCTAAGGCGTGACGCTCTTTTTTTGAAGGAAAAGGCTGGCACCGGAGCTTCCACTTCAACCTTGTGTGGTGACTCCGCCATCTACTCAACAGTCTGGTGTGTTAGGGGCGACTCTCGGAAAAAATAGAAGTAGAAAAGGCCTTCAATACCCGAGAAGCTTACTCTTTAGCCCCAAAAGAATAATAGAAATGGTTGCCGTGCCGCAGAGATGAATTTATGCTGTAGAGCGCGTGCGGCATCATTCGAGTCTTCTCCAGTGGCGACAGAGTTGCTTACAAAGCTTGAGTAGGCACGTGATTGGCTTAACTACTCCGTAGTTGATGAATGAACATTTTCAATGCTTCGTACTGGCATCATAAGTGTATATTTTACGGAGCACATACATATGCAATTATAAGTTTAAATTGATCGGGAAATAAAAATCCAAATATTTTCTACGAGCGAAATAATAATACAAGCAACGCTTTGAGACGGGCTCACATTTGGATCCACGTATTCCCATAGGTTTCCATTTGTGTAACGCATCCTGATGAATTTCAGCCAGCCTTTGTCCTCTTTGCGGGTTCGGGGGCGACTTGTTGAAGTTTGATGGATACAGATGAGGGGTCAAGGGGATACCGACTGACCTGCGATGAGGAGTCGTGTCGCACACCCTTCTGCGACTTGCAATATTGGGATGGTGTCCGGCTCTGCAGCCCACCGTTTCTCAGCCTATCCAAGAAGATCACATATAACACGAATGTTGTGAGATCTTCGAAGAGGCTTGTTACTCTGTATCACGGAGTTCGGGGCGGCTGGCATTGGAACCAAGGTATCGTACCCCCTTCTGTTTCCTTTAGATTATTAGTACTTTGATTTGTGGCTAAGAATTCAGTAATTTCTCACAGTATAGTCATTCTCGGCTAATCCAGATTCTGTAAAACTTTGTGCTACAAGTTTATGTTACTCCTCTATATTCCACGATAACCCCCTTATTCTATTTTGCTACTTTTTAAAATCACCTTGCCAAAATATTTTGATAAGATTGCATAAATGAGACGAATGCCGAAGATTGGCCGTGTTTATGCTAAATAAAAAATGACCTGGAATGAGGATTGCTCATGAACCAGGTATCATCATATATCTTCCAGTTGTTCGATCAGATGTGTGATCAACATTTTCGCCGCTGCTTAATTCAAGACTGGTATCGGGCACTACGTCTGCGGGTGACTGCATACTGGTGTAAATCTATGGGTTGCTCATTCAACGTTGTTCAACTTGGCTTTGAGAAAGGTAGTCGGGTAATATACCCCTTACCTGCGGCATTAGGCTCTTCGGCTTTTGAGTTGATTTGATATGAGGTAGACCAAAAGGTATAAATTGCTCCCTTTGGCCGTCGACGAAACTTCCTCTCAGGAGTAGCTCAAGCACAAACACACATAAAAAAATACGCTCATCTATCCACACACCAGGTAAGATTATCTCTTCGCCTTTCCAGCCCGTCTCTGATCCCTAAACAGATATTATCCGTTCACCATGCGTTTCTTCTCTACGGTCACCCTTGCTGTCGCTGCGCTGTCTACCGGCACATACGCCGCTGAGTGTCATCAACAAAGCGGAGGTCGACGATGTCTGTCCCGCGCCGATGCCAACAGTGTTGTCCTTAGATTTTGCAATGCTCACTGGCATGGTGCTTGCACTGATTGGCAACAATACAATGGTGGTGGTGGAACTGTTGGATTCATCGGCCAAGTCGGCCGATTCTTGAGCCGCGAACAATGTATTGATGCTGGAAGATCAATCGTTAGCGACTGTTATGGCAGGAGAGACGGAGGCTCTTGGACATATGGCCGTGTAAGCATCAACTTCAAGTATTGTGACTGGTGAGCTGGCATCCGGTATACCCTAGGGTGCTGGTAAGCGACCGACTGCTTTGATGACGCCAACCTGGTTTTTCATCATTTCGGCTACTTATATCTGAAGCAATTATATGAACACATATTTGAACTCGCAACTACCAACTGTAATTTTTTGCAAAGGAGTGGTAGTAGTAACGAATTAATGGATGGAAAAGCTGTTTCACAGCATTGGTTGCTGTCCATGTATAGAAGCATGTCTAACTTTTACCCAAAGTCTTCATTCTAGTCACAAAAGTAAACTATATTGTCCAGTCTATGAGAGGATTCCATTCATCATCTGAATACACGCCAAGAAGAAGAGTCGAGAGAAGCTACATCATATGTTACACCGATGGATCCCTTCCCATAGACAAGAAAAAGTTGAACGAAAAGGCAAATACCAAAGAATCCCACAAGTATTAACTTGATGTACAGTCGGAAAACACAGACTCCATTTGCTCAATACCCCCAGAATTTTCCTGCTCGAAAAATGCATGTTTAGAAGAGTGGTACATGAAAGGCATTTTGAGCGTCAAAAAAGTAATGCTGATCCCACATTTTGTCTATTTTATAACACGGGTCACAAGACCAGTGGCCACTGTTCGTCCACCCTCGCGGATGTTGAATCGCTGGCCAGCCTCTGCAGCTACAGGGTGTAAAGTTGTGCAAATCATCTCAACATTGTCTCCAGGCATGGCCATCTTCTCTTGATCTTCTCCTGGCCAGCTGAGTTGCGCAGCTTCGTCTAACGCAGCTGTTAGTATGTCATGAAGAAAAGGCGAGGGAAATAAGATTAAGTATAACATACCAGCTGTGCGGATGAACATTTGTGGACGATACTTGCTGGTAAAACCATATTTACGACCTCCTTCGGCTTCGGTGAGAACGTATAGGGAAACCATAAATTCAGTATGTGCTTTGACGGATCCTGGAACAGCAACGACCATGCCACGATTGATGTCTTCACGCTTGACACCTCGGAGAAGAAGACCAGAGTTATCACCAGCACGGGATTCGTCGCATGACTTTTTAAACGTTTCAATGTCGGTGACTTTGGTTTTGGTTGGCTCGGCTTTACCACCGACAATTTCAACTTCAGAATCCTTCTTTAATATACCCCGCTCAACACGGCCAGATACCACGGTTCCTCGGCCAGAAATAGAGAAAACTTCTTCAACTGACATGAGGAAGGGTTTGTCGGTGTCACGCTGTGGGGTTGGAATCCATGTATCAACCGCTTCCAAGAGTGCATCAATCTTGCTGGCACCGATTTCAGGTTGTCTGCCTTCAAGGGCACAAAGGGCAGAGCCGAAGATAATGGGAGTTTCCTCTCCCTCAAAGCCATAGCTACTCAAGAGCTCACGCATTTCTAACTCCACGAGTTCCAACATCTCCTTATCTTCAATAGCATCGACCTTGTTGACAAAGACGACAATTTTCTGGATACCAATCTGGCGGGCAAGAAGAAGGTGCTCACGGGTTTGGGGCCTAGGCTGTGTTAGCGTCTGGGAAAAGCGGCCATGTATTGAATGTGATTTGCGTACATCTGTCCGTCTGAAGCAGCGACAACGACAACGGCGCCGTCCATGCTTGCCGCACCAGTAATCATGTTCTTGATATAATCAGCGTGGCCGGGACAGTCAACATGGGCGTAGTGCCGGTTGTCGGTTTGGTATTCAATATGCGCAGAAGAGATAGTGATACCACGCTTTCTCTCCTCGGGAGCCTTGTCAATAGCACCATATTCCAAGAAATTGGCCATGCCCTTCTCTGCCTGGCGTTTAGTAATGGCCGCCGTTAAAGTTGTCTGCGATTCTCGTTAGGTACGGTTGGGAGGAGCTTAGGACGGCTCTATTAGACCAACCTTTCCATGATCAACGTGACCAATAGTGCCTTTCATCTGTAAGCTTCAGCTGCAACTGGAGGGTACCATGCAATAACCTACCGACGTTGACATGAGGCTTGGTTCTCTCAAAAACAGTGGCTAGGCCGCGAGCAGCAAGTCTGTCTTGTGTAAAGGCGTGGTGAATGGGATTGATCGCTCTAGGTCGTTGCAGGGAGAGCCTGCTCGTCCTGAGTAGAAAGTTAAGCGATCTAGAAATGTTTGACATGCTGGCAATCCTTTGCGATATGAATATGGTGGAATTGACAAGGCTTCTCTGGAGTCAGAGCTTCTAATGCGCCAACAAAATTTTCGAGGTCGCAAAGCTGTCGTTAGAGCGCTAACCCGTTCTTGGACCGTTATTTAATGTTTCTTAGTAGGTGGTCTCTCGCCAATCATAATGTCGCCCTGGTCAGCGATCACGGTTACATAATTGTATTCCATTATCTTCCACGTGATTAACCATGTGACCCTTCACGTGATCAGCAAGACCGACCTATTAGTGTAGGATTATCAACCAAGCTCCTGTAGAATTTATCTTTGATGATTGGATATGTGGAGCTTTTTTGTAGGGGTTTCAGGTGTCTTTTCCTATCATCTGATTGTAGATTGTTGATCTCCAAATAGCATGATCATTCCGACTAAGGAGATCCTGGGCCCTCATTTAGAGCACAAGAAATTCAAGAAAAATACAATGAGGCAGTATGTAACGCAGGGCCTAAAATATAGGCTACCCTCAGATGGATATAGCAATCAGAAATTGCCCTTCTATAAATTCGATCCCTTCGGTTCTAATTTGAAATAAAACAAACCTAATACCTCCCCTTCAGGCGGTTTCGTTTGAACAGCCCCCTTCTCAAGAATCCATTTTTGTATAGTGTCCACCAGAGCAGTGGCTTGGTCCACCGTAGCCCTTTTTTTGCGGGCTTTTTTTAAAAGAACCAACTCCACAGGCTTCCCCTTGGAAAGAAAGGACTCCGCTTGTTTCAGTCTCATATCCAGATCATTGGGTTCGATAGCCCAGTTGAGTTCAATTTGCTTTCCAACCTTTGGTTTGACTGCCTGTCGACTCATTTGGTATTCTTGCTCGCGTAGAAATCTCTTGCTCACAACTTTGCAAATCGCCCCATATTCCTCGGAAGGAGGCAGTAATAGCACTAGAACGCTTTCTATCCGGTTGAATGTGCGAAATATTTGTCGAGTCGGTATCAATGAGCTTAGTGACCCGTCGTCGTTCACGAGATGTACTCGTGGGTACCTGATGGCTTCGTTTTGAGGGGCGTTTTTGGGTGGGTTCTGAGGGATATCTAACGACTCGCTGATGGCCACCGTCGACGTAGGAAAATTTCGGTCGAGTGGGCGATAAGAGATATGGTCAGCCCTGATTGTATTTATGACCTGGCGGCGTGCATGAAATGGGATTTTGGGCAAAAAGGCGGAGCGGAGGGCGAGAGCAGCGGAAAAGACGGGACGCCGGTGTGCCATGACCAGCTCGCTAGGCGAGAGACGAGCAGAATGGGCAATAGAGAAAGCTGCTCGCCTGGCGGTGGTCTTCGAGTTGTGTCGTGCGAGTATGGATTGAGTTAGTCCAAAGTCCCTGCAAACGCGCCAAGCATCGTCAGATCGCGCCAGGACAAAATCGAGTCAAATTCTCCGCTTGCGGTGGAACTCAAACTTTCGACGACAACAACCCAACCATTCGTGTCGGTCTGAACCAGACAAGCCAGGACACTGTGGACGCGGGAAGAGTACCTGATATCGACGCAGCCTTGGAACTTTGCTCCTTATGCCTCTATATTCTCGTAATCTGTCTTGATCCTGCCACTCGTTGATTCCCCTGAGAGAAACGAGGCCCTCAATCCTCTAGGCCCGGATGTCCGAAGAGACTGAACCCTTTTCTAAACCAGTTTCCTCGCCCTCTCAGCACGCCGATCGCCCTCGCAAGCGAAATTCTACCGCCAGAAAAAACCCGAACGCTCAGCCTAAACCCGCCGACACCCTGGCTAGACGAAACCAATCGCTATCAGAGCTGGCAAGGAACTGCCTTGCCATCATTATGACACAAAGCCAGAGAGCAAGATACCTGAAAACAGGTGGTATCATTGCCCTCTTAATATTTTTCATTTACGTTCTTTCCCCGCCGAGTGGCCCGTCCGCTGCCCTCGGTAACAAGCCCACGACAACAAAATGCTCGAAACCACATGACTCCTCTAAACCCCTTATTCAGTATGCCTTGATGATCGACGCTGGGAGCACCGGCTCCAGAATCCACGTATACCGTTTCAATAACTGCGGCCCAACCCCCGAACTAGAACACGAAGAATTCAAGATGACGGAGAAGAGGAAGGGCGGAGCTGGGCTCAGTTCTTATGGTGCCGATGCAGAGGGAGCTGCGAAGAGTCTTGATTCCTTGATGCAAGTGGCCCTTGACACTGTGCCGGAACAGTATAGGTCTTGCTCTCCCGTTGCTGTTAAAGCCACAGCAGGCCTGCGTATGTTAGGCCCAGAGCTTAGCCAGAAAATCTTGGAGGCGGTGCGGCATCGGCTAGAGACGGTATACCCTTTCCCCGTTGTATCTAAAGAACGAGGTGGGGTCGAAATTATGGATGGAAAAGATGAAGGTGTCTATGCCTGGATCACAACGAACTATCTTCTTGGGAATATCGGCGGACCTGGAAACAATCCCACTGCGGCCATATTTGACCTTGGGGGAGGGTCTACTCAAATTGTTTTTGAACCAATGTTCAAGGTTCCCGACAAGATGGCAGATGGTGATCATAAATACGAGCTGACTTTTGGTGGTAGAAAGTTTACCTTATATCAGCACTCGCATCTTGGTTACGGCTTGATGGCTGCCAGAAACGCAGTCCACAAGGCTATTGTCGAGGCAAAGCACAGCTCTAATGGTGGGAATCGCGCATGGCTCTCTAAACCTGTTACCAATCCTTGCATTGGCCCTGGTATGGAAACACATGTCAACGTTACCCTAGGTGAAGAGCACCCTCTTGGAGAAAAGGTCCAAGTCAAGATGGTTGGACCAAATGCCTCCCCCTCAGTGGCTCAGTGTCGAGGAATTGCAAACAAAATTTTACAGAAAGATGCAACTTGTTCATTAAAGCCGTGCTCATTTAACGGTATTCACCAGCCATCACTCGCTAAGACCTTCGCACGAGAAGATGTGTATATCTTTTCTTATTTCTATGACCGTACCGCCCCTCTTGGGATGCCGGAATCGTTCACTTTGCGCGATCTCCATCATTTGACGGATACTGTCTGTGCTGGTGAAGGTAGCTGGGGTGTCTTTGAAAGCGTTGCCGATGCTCTTGAGGAATTAAAGGGCCGCCCAGAGTATTGCTTGGATTTGAACTTTATGCTTTCTCTTCTTCATCATGGGTATGAGATGCCACTTGATCGTGAGGTCAAGACTGCGAAAAAAATCGATGGTAATGAATTGGGTTGGTGCTTAGGTGCCAGGTAAGAATATTTTTTCTACTCATAGTGCACGGGATTATACTAATCTTCCCTTGTAGTCTCCCACTTCTCAGCCAGGACTCAGGCTGGCAGTGCCGCGTCAAACAAATCATTTAAATGATAGAGCTAGACATATTTTCTTTTCATGGCTCCCCCCTGCCACTTGTTTTATTTCTTCGTACATAATACTAATTCATGACTCTGGCGTCGCTGAAAAACCCAAAAATTATGCATTATGGCATTGGGCTACGAATTGGTTATCTGGTTTTTGAGATTGCTTTCTTCTGGGCTGCGCCTTATCGTATTATCATTTGTTGAAACGCTGCCAATGATTATTCTCATTGTATGGACTTGACCTAATAGAAGATATTGCTTTGAATGATATTGTTTATTATACTCTGCCTTGTTGTATTATACTTGAGCTGTCGGGAATGTATATTTGGGTATCACAAATCACAATGGTGTCGGGAAGAAAATGTATGCCTAGTTATCCGGAATCGAATTCTATGGCGACTTTCAGAAAGGGAAACAGGGCCCGAGCTAGTCCATCTCATGAATCACGGGCTTTTTGACTTTAGACTTGCTTCCCATCAATTTATCCAGAACGTTAGTATCCTTTTCGGGACGCGCCTGGCCACCCTCGTTCTCTATCGGGGTAGAGGCCTCGTCACTGCTTGTTTCGGAGACTTGATCTTGGTTCTGCTCAAGGACTCCTAGGCCAAGGTTCTAAAACATAGCGAGTTCAGCTGAGATATCCAGGGGGGAAGGTCGACTAAGACGTACCATTTCAATGTACTGGCTTTCTGGTTGTTTGCCACCAGTCTCTTCATTGACGCTCTCGCCCTCGTCATGAATTTCTGCCCTGATCAATTTCCCTGCAACAATATCTCTTTCAAGGTCTTCATTGGCAGCTTTGAGCACGGGCAGGAACGCCGAAAGACGCGATGACAATTCGGAGGCGGGTATACGTCGTATTTGTGGCTTGGGCTGTGTAATTGTTATGATATTGCCTTCGACTTCGCTATCCTCATCTTCGCCGGAAGAGGATTGGGGTGGACTGTGGTTCAATGAGACGATATCAGGCGGGTCATCGTCATCGTCATCGTCATCGCTATCACTGGCTTCAGACGGTGCGGGGGAGGTTATTGACGAGGAGGAGCTCGAAACAGCTGGTTCATGAGATGGGGTTGTGGATTCGTCCTCGGACGTGTTTTTGTCAGTAGCTTGGCCTGCAGTTTGGCTAGTCGAAGCTAAGTCAAGCCTTGATTTCTTTGGTGGAGAGCCGGGATGCGTCTGAAGGCGAGACGCGCAAACACGCTTTCTTGACTCGCCGGGCATTCTTGTATCGAGTTGGATCACAAGCACGAATGGCCGCACTGTAGGATTGAAGTGAGGCACGGTTAAGCTTTCAGGCCGTGCGGCTCGCTCCACCCAGGGCCGAACGATGGAACCGTGGCCGTCCTGTCATTCAACTGTCTCGCCGCGCAACCCGTCCTGCAACGCGGCGCTGCCTATTGCCCGCCAATGTGAAACGTGGCCATCACGTGGCAGGCGATCAAACCTTCGATGAAACATCACGACCAACGACGCCGCCCAGGGCTACACCACGGCGGCTAGCCGTGCGTGGCCCCGTATTCAGGTACATACATACATATGCCCGCTGTCAGCCAGGCGATGATCCTCCCAGTGGTTAGCCCTTTGGCAGACTGCTCCAATCTGTTCTTGCGAACTGCTGCCGGGCTTAGGGTCACGCAGTATCTCTCTCAGGTAAGCTCCATTGATATGCCCCTGTTCTTCTCCTGGATTAAATTTGGCCTCCGGTATCGCTAGTGTGAGTACAGCCATCTCTGGTGATACGCCGGCTCAAACGATGCACTGCCTACCGCCAGGTGCTTTTCGGTCTTCCACTTACTGCTCATGCTTTCAGCATATCTGAAGTCCTCATCCAGTGCCATTGTTGCTTTAGTAAAATATCCCCTTCAGAACGTCCTTGCAGCTCTACCTACGACCCAAGAGCTAACGTCTCTGAGTATCATATCAGTGCATACACAAGCGGCAAAAGACTAGTCCGCCCACGCTCTTTAACGAGTAATCCAGTAAAGACATCGTTACTTTTTATAGGAACCCATTACTTCATGCGGTAGCCGATTTCTAGCAGGGCGCCTCGTTCAGCAAGCAAAATACTGCCCTGTCATTCTCGATTGAAGAACCGATGTCTCTGTTCAGCATGAGTAGCCAACCTCCCAGGCCAGCAACTGCAGACCCGGGTTCTCATGATAACCACACAACTTCTCCCTCGACCCGCAAAACCCTCCACCAGAACATCATTGGGAAGCTACGTCCTCTTCCGTTTCAGTATAGATGGGTTGTCTGGTATGAGAAACACATGGACTCTACCAATTACGACGACAGACTATACCTTTTACACGGAGATGTTGCTGACATTGGGATATTCTACCGCATTTATAACAACTACCCCTGGGATAAAGTCAAGTTACGAGATTCGGTGCATATTTTTCGGAAGGGAACCAAGCCCATATGGGAAGACCCTGAGAACATGAAGGGCGGCTGCTGGACGTTCCAGGTTCCAAAAGCTAAGAGTCAGGCATTTTTTCATGAATTGGCCATCCTTTGTATGGCAAATGAGTTACAAGCCGCCGTTCAAGGAGGTAAGTCGTGCATACATTGCCAGTTTTCACTCGCCGAAATTGCTTCTAATTTAAATTCCTCTAGAGCACGACCATGTATTAGGCGTATCCTCTTCTGTTCGTTTCAAGACCCATCTTGTTTCCGTCTGGAACAAAGCGGGCAGGAATGAAAAATCTATCCGCATCCTTGGTGACACTATCATCGAGCGTCTGTCGCCCGAATTACGCCCTTTGTCAACTAAAACGTACTATTATAAACGACATGACGAACACGATGGCTTTGAAGCTGCCATACAAGCTGCACAAAAGAAGAGACAATGTGAGAATAAAAGCATAAATAAAGGCGTTGATGGCTTACCACTCGAAAATCCATGTTGTGGCAGCATCAACGAATAGACAGCCTCCCTTTTTTATTAAGCGTCTTATCTATATTCTTTGTCTATGTGAGTATGATGGTGCGATAGAATTATGTCTTTACGGTGTCAATGAATATGTCTATATATATCACCTGCTATTTCATGCCTTGAAGAAAGGAATTGCATACATATACAAATATACGCCATAATATACAACCATGGTTAGCAAACTGATAATCCAATCTGCTAAAGAGATAACCACATTCGTCTTGACTTTGAAGAAAAAAAAACGTTTTCAGAGGGGCAATCAAGAATACCCTACACTATAATCCTGTAGTAATGAATCCAAAGCGAGCGCCAATCAATGCATAGACCTGAAAACCAATTTTACCATAGCGAGAATGGCCACGACTAAACGCCTAGTTTAGTTATCTGCTTCGACTCTGGCGTCTGCTCTTTCGATCGTCTTTATCCATACTTGATGCTTGCGCGGAGGCTGTGCTCTCACCAACGGGGCCTCCGCCGGGAATATAACGGTCAATCCTACCCCTGTCATCACGATCTCTATCTCTATCCCAGTCTCTGTCTCCATTTCGGTCACGCGATCTGTCACGACGAGTATCTCTCTCCGGAGATCGCGCTCGCCTTTTGGGTGAGCGACTCCTTGTCGAGGTCGGTGGTACGTAACGATCGATATCAAGTTGGTCGCGAGACCTAGATCGGCGAGAGTGTCGTCTGCGGGATTCTGATCGATCTCTTTCCCCCCGGCTTTTGTGTAGCGGAGATCGAGATCGAATCCGTGATTTTGATCTTCGACGTCGGGATCGTGATCGCGATCGTGAGGGTGAATAGGCTCGAGGGCGGTAGTTACGGTCAATGTGGTCCCTGTCTCTGTCCCTATTCCAACCCCTATCTCTATCTTTTCCGCCTGATCGGTCTCGATCTCGACCTCGGTCTCTCTCTTGATCTCTACCCCTATCCCTATCACGGTCACGGTCTCTGTTACGGTCTCTTGCCCTATCTCGCTCACGATCTCGATCCCACTCCCACTCGCGGTCTTTATCTATATCTCGTTCTCTTTCCCGTTCCTTTTCGAGAGGTCTATATGCGTCCCCACCAACCTTTTCTCTTTCTCGATCTCGATCCCGCTCAATGTCCCGGTCGCGAGGTCGATAGCCATCGGGTCCCTTATCCCGCTCCCTATCACGATCTCTAGCCGACGAGCCGCTGTGAGCACGGCTCCTGCGATGTGTCTCAGACCGATCGTCCCTGTCAATCCTATCGCGAGTTGGTCGATAGAGGTCCATCTCACGATCACGATCTCTTCTCTCCGAATCTCGCCTTTCCAAATCCCTATCACGATACCGGGGGTCTTCATAGCGTGACGACCTCCTAGTCCGTGATCCATTTCTTGACTCGTCCCGCCGTTTTGTACGATACTGGTCGTAACGGTCTTCGAAGCCATCATTCTTTGGTCTATCTGACTCTTTGTCTACTTTTGAACGAACGGAAGTGTTAGATTTGGGCTGTGCCTGGTTTACCATTGCTGCCTGATTCTGCGCTTCCAACTCCTCTGCTTTTTCAAAATCGAACTCAGGCCGCTGTCGAGACTTGGCAGCGAGTTCTTTGCCTTCTTTCAATAGAAGCTCTAGAGCCTCGTCCTCCAATGCCTTTTCATCGACGGGTGCTGGTGTAGGGGCCTTTGGAGGGGGTTTAGTGTCCTTTGCATCCAAGTCGTGTTTTTTATCCCGATCTCTACAACGGTCACTGTCGCGCCATCGATCATCTTCCTTTTCCCATTCTCTTTCTCTCTCTCGTTCCTCACGTCTCCTTTCGCGATATTCCTTTTCCTCCTCTTCGCGTCTCCGCCGTCTCCGCTCCTCCCGTTCTTTTTCTCGCTGTTCTTCCATCTTTCTCTCTTCTTCACGGCGCTTTTCACGCTCAGAACGACGCCGTTCTTCGCGCTCCTCTCGCTCTTTCCTCTCAGCCTCCTTCTGTTGTCTCCGGAGCTCTCGTTGCTTCTGGCGTTCTTCTGCCTCGGCTTCAGCACGCTCCTGCTCTAGTTTTTTTTGTAACTCCAGTTCTTTCCTTCTCTCCTCTTCTCTCTCCTGTCTCTTTGCTTCAACTAAACGACCATACTCCTCATCTGTTGTATTGCCTCTCTGCTCCTCGGAGTTTGCGATCTCGTCGCCTGCATCCTGTCGACGAATGCTCCTCAAAACCTCGAGTATATCATCCAGGTAATTAGTCGATATTTTATCAATAGCCCTGTCTACTGTTTTATACAAGTCGCTCCGGTCCACCGCACCTTCAATGAGGGTAGCAGCTTTGCCTCTCTCACGGGATAAAAGTGAAGTGTCACGTTCGATTTCTGATTCCGCCATTTGAGTTAAAGATTCAATGAATGATTTCTTGGCCTCCTAGGATAGTATATGGATAGTTAGCTTATACTGCGCTGTCCGGCGAAGGTGCTGTTTCAGTTTGCGTACGCTTTCGTTGAACTCAGCCCATATTTTTTTGCGCGCATTGTCAAAGCCGCCCTTCTTTTTAAAAGAGTATAGTAGATTGTCAATGGCATTGCGTTGGGCAGATGTGATGGGGAGCTCCGAAGCTTTGAACTTTTTACGATGGATATCTTCAGTCTCTTCATGGGAGCGCTTCGCGCCAATCATTTCAATTTCGGACGCAGGCATCACTGCCTATAGAGGGGAGTAGTCGAAATGCACGAAAGCAGACCGTGCGCATTCCTAAACTATCTGATGGCTCTCTCAGCTTCCCAAGTCAAGTTGCGATGAAGGGAAAACATTGATCCGATCCGAGGACAACTTCCGACTTTCAGTTGACGACGATTGGGTTCTTCAATATCAACGCCAATTGCGTCCTCTTGTGGGAAGAAAAAGAAGCATTTATACCATAATACGCGGCTAAAAACTGTACAACGCCGTTTATATTTTGCATATTTGACTTGATCCTCTGCGCAGCCTACTTTGTGCTCCATACATTCATACATACCTTCATAACAACCTGCTCTCCCACCATGCCTGTGCATAAAGTGCTCTTTTGGAGCGGGTTCGGTATGTATTATTCCTTCCATGAATTTTATCTTCCATCCCTTTTTATCTTTAGCCAGCTCCCTGTGATCCCAACTCTGATTCCCTTCAAAGGCATTGCCGTCCGTCTCTGGCAACTCGGTATCGAAATGCGCCCATTTTTCAACAGAGAATCCTTATGGGTATATCCCCTCTTTGCTACCGTTGGCGGAAGCTTTGGATACTGGCTGGAGGGTGTTGAATCGCGACAATTGAAGATGCTTGCAGACAGAAAAGAGATGCTATTGGAAAAGCGACGGCGAAGAGCCGAAAGAGAAGCGGCCGAGGTCGGCTTGAGCAAGGTAGAAGAGGGTGGACTGCTGGCAAGCACGTCGTGAATATTGATCTAGAGCCTGCTTCCGGCAAGGTGGTATTATCAGGCATTTAATCACACCCGATAGTCTACAACGGCCGGAAGTTGGGGCTTGAAAACGCAATAACGATGAGGATAACACGAATATATTCTTGCTAAAAAGGGAGTAAGGGCAGGTTGAGGCCATTTCTCTGTTCGTAATCATACAATAAAGGACCATTTTTGCCCCGTATGTTCAGTTGTGACTTCCCTGAACTTGCCATGGGTGCCTCAGAATGCACATTAAATACTTATACACACTCAGTACACATCAATTTTTTTTGACATGTATTTCTTATTGCCCCAGTTCTCCAGCTGTCAAGAATTTGCAGCTGGGGTAAATTTCTTCTTAAACTAATTGCTCTTACTGAAACTAGCGCCTCTTTCAGCTTGTAGGAATACTCGTCCTCGTCAAGTTCTGACACCGTTTTCCTTAACGACTGTTTTTATTCATCAACTGCTTTGGAACGTCCGTAATACTGGATTCACTATGCACCTTGCACTCTTTTTTCTTGGACGCGACTTCACCTTGTAGTAACATTTTGTGCTCAGAGAAGGTAGAATTATGCCCATGGTGACATAGTTTGTATTGATGTAAAGATTTTAGATATAATATAGTAAGCATATAATAAACTCTGCTGGGGTATCATATTCTGCTGTTCAGGCCTGCCGGTTTTTCAAAAAATCCAACCAAAACTGCGAAACTTGTCATAGCTGTTCAACATTGAATTGTATGGAAACCTCCCATTTTTGAGCTCCAGTTCCATATCCACCACCAAGCCGCTCTTTGACCATACTGGTAATACGTTCCCGCAGTTTTACCAAACTATCTTCTGTTCCGATGACTCTCAGTTTGAGATTTGCCATACAGAGACCATAGTGCACTTGCCAGAACTTCGCTTCTTCAACTCCTGAGACAGATGGATGGGAAACAATATCTTGCATCACGGCGGAGACTCCAGGTCCAGAATATGACATCAAAAGCATGGATCCGAGAGTGGTCACAAGACGGATCCCCAAAACACACATTGAAATGGCAACAACCAGTGCAAAGGCCCTGTCCATCCAAACATAGATTGTGATTGATAGAAGGGGAAGCAAGATAAGGAGAAAAGAGCAAGAAAGGGTGAGAAAATGGGATGGATTGCTGAGTACAGATGGTAAGGAGGAAATATATGCGAAACGCATTGCTTTGCCAATTCTCGCGTGGTTTTTGAGACCAATCGCAGAAATAAGAGTGGCTGCAATAGCAAGAAGTGCCGTAATGTCGATACTCCCAGAAGAAACACGTTCGTGCGAATGAGATCGATGCGCCTCTGGGCCCGACTCCTCTAGAACATGGGTCATGGCATGCGAGATAAGATCCCCACCCATGAAAAATAGTAGAACGGACAGCGCAAAGCCAGCTACTACCTCTGCTCGTTCAAGGCCGAAAGGATGGCGGACAGTGGATCGTTTCCAAACTTCAAAATTTCCAAGCACATCGACGGCCACGCAGAGCATCGCCCCCAAGGAGTCGAAAAGTAGAAGATGAGAAAGCCCTGTCATCGCCATAGAGCCGTGTGCACTCCAGAGTGTATATCCAGCGATCGTTATATGACAAAGACTCCACCAAAATCGAACCCTCTGCTCTCTGGACATACTGCCACGGCATTCTTTTAGAGTCGGAATCGGCAGTGAATTGGGAAGAGCAAGCGGTGCTCTGGGCGGTGGTTCTAGGAAAAATTGATGGGATATGCTGCTGTGCTTATATTTATGTCCGCGCCGCTGTCCGACCCCCTACAGCGTCTGTCAGCATCGTTCGAGGATAGGTAAAGGTATAAATAACAACGCACCGATTTGGCGACTGGGCCTTTTGCAAGAGCAGTCGGGCGAAAATTAAAAGGGCTTGTTGCATCCTGGCCCGATATTTTATGCGGGTTCCGAGAAGGATCTAAGGGAGCGCGCTGTATCAGTCGCAGAGTCCCTCATTCGTTGCGCAGAAGTTAGAGCCATACCTCCCGAGGCAAAGGTGTCAACCATTGGGGAGAGAGAATTAAAATCAAAAGCAGACTGCATCGGACTGGCATATGAAGAGCCACCTGAAGTCATTCCCGCATCCTCTGGAGGAGGGGTCGGTGTGCGCGGAGGGGCTGGGATGGGGAGATTTGAAGCCATGTTGGCGACAGCCAGGCCGGGGCTGGAAGCTTTTGTATACTTCGGAAGGCAAGCGTAAAATCATCCAGCTGAAGCAACAGGCATTATCAAGGCAGAAAAATTGTATTCACAAGAGCATCTTGCAGGGCACTGCCTGTCCTGCAATCGCCCAGCCGTTGTAAATAATAGCTTTATGATCGTTTCTCGAAACAAAGCATATTTGGCTCTTCACTAACTAGTTAACTAACTAACTAACCTAACCACTCTGTTAGTTAGTTAGTTAGCTAACTAGTTAACTAATTCACTAACTAACTAACTACCTAGTACAGTTAAGTTAGTTAGTTAGTTAGTACTAACTAACTTACTAGTCTGCCGGCACATTGGCCGATCCTGTCACACCCACGAACGCTTTCGACTCCATTACCTCCAGTTCTACCTTATGCTGGGCATGGATATTACTGACCCTGAAACTGGAAGACAAGGCCCCCACTGTCTTGCAGGTGGCCGTACATGGATAGCCGTCGTGCCGTTCTCTTTCTCGTGTTGCTCTTCTTCCTCTTCACCACCCCAGATCCGCACCCACAAGCTCCATTAACAAAAGAGGAGCTCCAGAAGAAAATAGATGAGGAGCAACAAGCTCTGTCATTCCTCAACTCTTCGAACTATGGCGACTTTGACAGCCAAAACGAACGTTGGCTGCCGCTTACGGGGCTAACGAAAGAAGATGGCTTCGCCTGGGGCCTGTTGCCCGAAGTGCAGCACAGAGCTAGGGAACAGCTTCAATCTATCCTTCAGTCTTTAGGGATTTTAGCCTTGGGGCCTTTGAACTCCTTATCGCCCGACTCTAGTCTCACGAATTTGACCCTTCCTGTATACCGAAATGTAACCGGCAGAGTGCGAGGGGACTGGGTAAGATGGAAAGAACCAGAGTCAGCGAATCGCCCACACCTGAATATGACCTCTATTGCGAAAAAATACCCTCTTTTTGTGCGTGAATTTGGTCATAATGTCACCACAGATGAGGGCCGGCTGGTGATTGACTTCCACGAACGGGCCGAGGTTGGCGAAGCCATGAGTGTCAATGGCGTACCGGTTCGCGAAATCGAGGCACATATAATGGTTGAAATGAACGACTCCCTCGGAGAAACATGGGCTATGACAGTGTTTGGGCTGCACTTTGAAGCCACCGGGGCAATGGTGCTGACGACCTCCAGTGACAAATTTGCCGGACTAATGGCGTTGCCTCACATGACTCTATCAAGAGACAGCTTTGAAGTTTCGCGCCAGCTACTTAATAGGTCTCTTCTTAATTCCCTGGGAGAAGATAAAGCTCTACAGGAGCGGTACCTACCTTGGGCCTCGTTATCTCATCCTGCTGACAAGCTACCTTTTCCCTCCCCGAAGTGTGAATACGTTGTGTACCTCCAACAACATCCGGTCATTATCAATAATGAGGTAGCCCAGGAATCTATGATAGGTACAATTGAGAGTGAACTACGGTTTCCCAAGGGGACTCCAATCCCCGACGCACCGCCAATGCTGATGTCTGCTTCAATGTTTTCACCTGACTGCGGCTTTGTCCTAGAATCTAAAGGATCTCCTGCATATGCGCCTAGTGATAGGCTCTATATATCTGGCTTGAAGCGAGAGGAGCACTCCAAATATGCCAAGAGATTCATCGTTATTGTTGCCGGTACTTTCATACTTCAGATTCATTTATTAATGCGCCAGATGAAGGAGTCGTCCACACCATCCACCCGAAGTCGAGTAAGCTTTTTTACCATAGCAATGATGTCTACTGGAGACTACCTTTTTATATCATTTGTACTTGTGAAGCTGTGGTCCGAAGCTTCATGGCTATTGTTGGTAGCCACCTCCTTTCTGGCCTTATTTTCTATCAGCTTTCTGGGTATGAAGTTTCAAATTGAAATATGGACAACTCAGGAGCCTGAACGTAGGACAACCAGCTCCTCTTCATCGTCGCCTCCTTCCTCCCTGCCCATGCCGGCGACTGTCCCCGAACCACGGGACACAGGCGCAACGCCAATTACTCTTCCTCCAGATCAGGATATGCCTGTCAATGGCACTCCGCTGAACACTTTCCAGACCATCGAGGGCGGAGTTAGTGCAGGGGCAATGTATACTCGCTTTTACGTTATGCTCCCTACCTTGTTTCTGCTTTCATCCTGGGCGGCTTTTTGGCCTACTCGACTCGCCGCAATGTACGCCAATATGATTTCCTTTATCTACCTTTCCTTCTGGTCACCCCAGATATATCGAAATATCATGCGAAACTGTCGGAAGGCATTTCAATGGGAGTTTGTCGTTGGAGAAAGCATTCTCCGTGTTTTCCCCTTCATATACATCTATCTCTTTCCACGAAATGTCTTGATGGTAACATTAAGCTCCACTGAGATAACCATTTACGTATCATGGGTTTGGATCCAGCATTGGTTGCTCGTTAGCCAAAATATCTTGGGTCCGAGGTTTTTCATTCCGAAGAGCTGGCTTCCGCCAGCATATGACTATCATCCAATCTTACGGGATGCATCCGCCTCGGGGTCGGGCGAGGATTTAGAGTCAGGAGATACCCTCCCTGTCAGCTCACTTAGGGCCGAGCAGCGCGATGTTCTAGTAACTTCCAAAGAAGAGGATAAACCAGGCAGCAAAGATCGAAAGAAAAAGGTGTTCGACTGTGCCATTTGCATGCAGGACATAGAAGTTTCTATTACTTCAACACCCGGAAATGGGGCTGGAACCAGTGTAGCAGAAAATGCCACCAACATCCTGGCCAGACGTTCCTATATGGTCACTCCGTGCCGCCATATTTTCCATAGCTCATGTTTGGAGACTTGGATGAGACTCAGATTGCAATGCCCTATCTGCCGCGAAACGATCCCACCGATCTAGGCAGTATTTTACGATATTTCATCGCAAGATTTTATTATTGGGAATGTATACAAATATACATAGCTGTGGGAGTTTTTGTGAAAAATCTCCCTTGTCTTTCGTGGATGTAAGCCTCCTACTATATTCTCGTCGCAGAGAATACCTACCCATGGGTCACTGAACATGAAGTGTCGTCTCAGCATCCGGTATTTTGTGACTTTCAAATTCTATGCAAATCCTCTTCTACAGCCGATATGAAATGATGCCCTTTCATCACAGCCATTTCATGGCACCTAGAAGCTCCCAGGTGGCCGTTGAAAATTTCTACTCCTAAGCCAACGGATATCACGTATATAACGGCATTTACGATACATTCGTAGTTACTTGAGCCATAGGCGCACAATTGACATCTTCTGGGACTCCTTGGCTCGAAATATCCAGGGTGTTTCTAATTTAGATACGGCCGATTCTAAACCACCTAAACTCCAGACATGGGAGAGCCTCCACGGTCCAATCCTTGTCCGAAATAGCTTCCGTCATTTATTCTTTTAACATCTCATGGATTGCGTGCATTGATATGTGTATGCCATGTTAACGGCAGGGCGGCTGGCCCCGAGTGACGAGAGCAAATACTACCTCAAACACACCGCCAAAACAGAAAAGGCGACTTGATTCTCATTTCACTAGACCGTTTATGGTGCTGTTGCTTGATGCTATGGGCATTCCAGCACTCAAAGATTCTGGATTATTTAATAACGGGAACGGACGAGCTCTGTGTACTTCGTAGTTTGACGGTATTAACAAACGGCCGTCGAAATTTTACTGAAGACAGATCGAACCCGTTCCACGGAGCTCGGTACATAACTATCTACATAAATATCTGCATTTATGTAAGTGCAGTGTACATACCGTTCCTGGTGTTTGCCGTGGCTGAGTTGGCAATGCGAAAGGTTAAAGAAGTGTTATAGTCCGTATCTGCATACCATTTTGCTACTAGTTGCTATGGAGTATTCCGGAAATGGCGACGCCTTTTCCTTTCCACTTGGCGTAGTGGTTATGGGTTGATAAGGTATGGCTGAGATTCCAAGACAGCTCATAATACTTCGTGTACCCTTTCTTTGTGGGTCGGGGAAGAAGCAAGAGGCTTGATATCTCTCAAATTATCCATAGACCTCAACTTTGGATACTTGCACCATGAATGAACCCCTTAGAAAGTTAAAGGATTTGTCGTTCAGAGCAAATTGCTTCCTCTGAATCGTTGATAGCTGCTGCTGGGGACGGAATTGCTTTCATCCTCCTCTCTTCACTAGCTCGCCTGAGTATAAACACAATGGAGTCGCCGCGATGTCCCGATGTTCAATTCGAAGGTAAATTACTCTGTACGGTTCCCAAAATGTTTCTCTTTCCGAGACGTATGTCCCCCTTGCTCGCATTAGTACGGCATAAATATACACAAATTGATGTTGTCACTGACAGGGGGTTAGTGACAAGGGGTCAGCTCTCGTCGTGTCGAGCTCTCAGTGCGTTTTTCCGGATTCTGCGGGCTGAATTCAATAGCACAATGCTACCATGTGGATAGACTTGTCTCTCAATTGGACGAGTCCCCCCTTTAGCATATTTTATATGCTGGAGGCACAGCGTTAAATGCAACAATAGGCAGGGTGCTGATGGGCTGTCACATAATCCCAAGAAGTGACTTTTTTTTGAGGCTGAGAATCTCCTATTTCTGCAACATACACACGTCAAGCGCTCCAGCTTGATGGGTGGCTATATAACGGGATAGCCGCGATCTTTCTGCTCTTACGTTTGCCTGGTCATTGATATCCGCAAAATTTGTCAGCATGGACTTCTTACTACTGCTTGTGCTTGCGACTATTTTGTACACATTACCTGTGCACTCCGCAAGAGCTCCTGTGGACACTTTTTTATTCCAGGGAAGAGACAATACGCCATTTATCCAAAACCCGAAGGCGAATTTCCTTCAAGGAGGCTATTTGGTTGAATACCATGACAATGCAAAGGTATTTTAATAATTCACAGTGGTTAATTTCGACATTTTTAACATTTCGAAGCAATTCTCAGCCTTTTCTACCGCACTCGGCGGTGCAGGTTTCCCTGCTAAACACCGCTTCGACTTCAACCATAAATATTTTCGTGGTTCTTCCTTTGTTATCAATGATAATGGAGATCAACAGAGTGCAATGGCAAAAATAATGGCCACAAACCAAGTAAAAAATGTCTGGCCATTGCGACTTATTCAACGGGATCCAGGGCAATTACACTCAAAACTTCCCCCTGGAGCAAAACTTAGATCATCAAAGTTACCAAAACGTGAATCTGGAAAAGCATGGTCAACGCATGCAATGACTGGAGTTGATAAGCTTCATGCAAAGGGAATGACCGGAAAAGGGATGTTTGTCGCTATTTTAGACACTGGCGTGGACTACAAGCATCCAGACCTTGGTGGCGGCTTTGGTCCAGGGTTCAAAGTTGCTAAGGGCTACGATTTTGTGGGTGATAACGCGATAATCGGACGCCCTCAACCGGATGCTGATCCTTACGACTCGTGTGGATTTCATGGCACCTGGGTTTCGGGGATTGTTGCTGCCAACCCTGGTGCACTCAATGCCCCTGGTGTCGCTCCGGATGCCACCCTTGGCATGTACCGCATCTTTGATTGTTTCCTGTGGACATCGGAAGACATTGTCATCAGTGCATACTTAAAAGCCTACGATGATGGTGCAGATGTTATTTCTCTGTCATTTGGCTCATACAGTGGCGTCCACAATGGCAAGTTTTCGTGTGAATTTTTCCATTTAACATCTTGTGCTAATTGTTGTTACCAGACCCTCTTGGACGTGTTGTGTCTAGTATTGTTGATTCTGGTGTTGTTTGTATTGCTGTTAGTGGTGAAGTTGGCGGTCCGCCGTTCCAGGCAAACAGCCCAGCCAGTGCCCTGGGCGTCATCTCTGTTGCTACTGTTGAAAACTCAGTCAAACCCATGTTCCATTTTATTGGCAATTACTCAGTTGTGAACAGCAAAAGTGAAGCCTTTGAATATGAACCCACTAATCTGCCCCTCACCCAACGTCGGTCTTTGTGGACCTGGAACTATACAATGGACTTTCAGGACCCATACAGTCTGACAAATTGTCCTGAATTTACTGAAGAAATTCCCGATCTGAAAGAACATGTTGCTCTGGTACCATTTTGTTTAGCTACTATGCTTAGTGCTGTTGGCCTTGGTGTGAAACATATTATGCTGCATGACCGTGGCGAGATCTTTCCGTCCGTTGCAGCCAAAAAAGATAATGACGCTAAAGCTATACTTGGACTTGGGATTGTAAATCGCCAGCAGGGCGACGAATGGCAGAGAAACTTTTTGAGCGGGATGAAGGCAACACTCACATTTACAGACCCAAACAAGCCAGAATTTCGATACCGTGAAACTCCAAACAAGGTTGGAGGCTTAGTTGATATATGGAGCTCTTGGGGGCCAACATTAGAACTTGATTCAACTCCTATTGTTGCCGCACCGGGTACGAATGTGCTTTCAACGCTACCAAAGAGAGAGGGTATCTATGGTGTTCTGTCTCACGCAGGGGGTGCGGCTCCATATGCAGCAGGTGTTGCTGCTCTTCTGAAGCAAAATAACAAAAAAATAGACCCCAAATATATTATTCGGGCGTTGACTACAACGGCAAACTTACTAAATTTCAGCAATGGGCAATCAACTGACAATACCCTTGCGCCTCCCATCCAACAAGGTGGTGGCCTTATCAATGCATTCTCCGCTGTACATTCTGAAACTCTCCTTTCGCCATCACACATAAAAATCAAGGGAAGATATGATGATACAGCCCTGATTACTCTCCGCAATACCGGGCGCCAGGCGAAGTGGTATTCAATCTCTCACAAACCATCGCATAGCGTATACACTGTCTTTTCAAATCTCCTGGAACGGGGAACACTCCCTGAGCTCGAGGCAGCTAGTGCCCGTGTGCTCACGTTCCCACCAAGGATTAAGGTTCCCGCAAGAACGACTCTTGGATTCATCGCTTATTTCATACTTCCACGCAATTTAGCCAACCAAAGAGTGCCCATTTACAGTGGCCATATCCTTGTTAAAGAAGATGATGGCCCTGAATTCTCCGTCTCCTACTTGGGGTCGCCGTCTGACTTAAAGACAATTGAATGCTTCAATAACCGATCTACGTACCTAGCCACTACAGACGATATTAGCAAGAAGGCTGCACCTGGGCGCACCTTTAAATTCCCCCGAAACAATATCACAGACATCGAAGACTTCGACTTACCCATCATGATGGTTGGCCTTGATTTTTACACACGCGAAATAGTAGCTGAGATTATCCCGGAGAAGCCAATAGAGGGATTCAATGGTAAGTTAGGAGGTAACGAGCCATTTGGGCCGTTTCCACCTGGAATAATAATTCCTATCCCGGTTTTTGGAAATCTAGCTTCTGGAGATTTCGCTCCAGAAGGGAAATTCACAATGTCAGTAAAAGCACTAAGGTATCATGGAGAGCAAGGTAAAAATAATGACTGGAATGTATTCAAGTCGTCATCCTTTGGCATTGAATATGTAGGTGGTACAAATATGACGGCTAATCAGTGATTCAACAGGGTTAAGTTTCTATCATTGCAACGGGGGCTGGATCTTATCATCTTAAGTGTGCGTAAAAGGTATTGCTAGATCAAACATCGTGATAATAATACTACTGTCATACCGAATTATCCACGGAAGCTGTTCATGGTTGGATGTGGAGTGAAGATATCTATTGAATGAATATCTCAAGACTAGGCTCATTACACTATGGGGTAGCGGTATCGGTACATGCATAGATCTAATCAGTACAAAGCACAGCTTACATCCACGAAAAACATTGTGATAGACCAGCAAGTCTGAATACTGTTTGATCGAAAGTGTCTGTTGAAGAATTTTGGTGTATATACAGTACAGATATAGGCGGAACGCACATGTTAAAGTCAAACAGCACAACTGGCCTCACCGTTTTTGTCTTTATTGCTTCGGCTCGTAGTAGGTTTTGGAAGATCAGATTATATTAAAGCATGCGGAAAACTGACGCAGTTATATTCCGCGCGGTAAAGGATTTAGTAGCAAGGGGAGAGGTTGACTACTCTTCTTCCTCTAGCGAAGCACGGTAAGCAGCCTCGTCCATCAAACCTTCCAATTCGCTCTGGTCCGTAACCTTGATCTTCACGAACCAACCATCGGCCTCGGGGGACTCGTTGACGATTTTTGGCTTGTCCTCCAGAGCAGTGTTTGTGTCGACAACAGTGCCGGAGACGGGCGACATGATATCTGAAGCGGATTTGACAGATTCCACGGCACCAATGGTCTCTCCAGCGTTGATCTCAGAGTCAATGGCAGGAAGTTCGACGAAAACAACGTCTCCAAGGGCCTTGGCGGCGTATTCGGTGATGCCGATGGACGCTGAGAAGCACGGTTAGACGTCGGAATTTCTTACTAGAGGATCAGAGAGACCATACCTGTCGTGTTATCTGCGGACAGCTCAACCCATTCGTGCTGTTCGGTGTACTTCTTTGCTTGCACTGGGGCCAATTGGGTCAGTTTGCGACGCACTTTGGTTGGGCGAACTGTGCAACAAAACACCCACGGAGCATACTCAGCACGTACAGAAGGCAGACTGCGCAAAGCCTCGTCTGGTATTCCAGGCAGCTTTCGAGGGCACGGTGTAGCGGAGGGGTGATGAGCACACTCGAACCTTGGGGGCCGCAGCAAAAGCAACCCGCAAGGGATTGACGATTCGGGCAGCGGCAGACATTCTCGCAATGCAATTGAACGTGTAGAAGAGCAGCGGCTATAAAAACAGCTTTTTAGAACAGCAATGGGAGTTTGCGCGGGCGCAGGGATGTGCGGGATACAAGCGAGTTTGAGAGTTGGCGGGTGTCGACGATGTTCGGACGAGAATCAGTCCAGACTTCGATTCTCCGACGGGAAACTCAGCGGCGGCCACAACGCAAGGGCGCGTGGCGGCAGATGGTCTACACGGCAGAGAAAGCTGTCTGGCAGCGCATTCTGTCGTTATTTATGCCCATCGCAGTATTTCGCCCGCTTTTTGTAGCTGCGCACGGCCGGTAATGCTGATACTGCTATCGAGAGCTTTGGGTACCTCGGAATGTGTTGCAGTCACTCTGATTAATAAGTCCTTCTCAGCATTGTAAAATACATAAACAGTCTCAATACCACAATCAAAATAATTAAATACACTATCAATCCGTCTTTTCTCGATCTTGGCCATCAACATCGACTTGCACAGGACAGCTCTTCAACCCCGACTGTAGACATGCTATACGAACTAATTGCAGTTGTACGCTCCCATATACCCCCAACTTTGGTTATAGTAGCTTGCTAAGCGTCTCCGCAGGTCCGCCCGGGCAGTATTAATGAAGTGAAGGAGTAAGCTCCGAAGCATGCCTGCACATTCACTCTGTACCCTTTCATTAAATGAAGACTATTGCTTGAACTCGACTAATCCTCGCTACTTGCCTTAGAATTGCACGAACCGCCGGCCTCCAAGTGCTCCGAGCTGGCGGTGTCGTTCGCGGGTTCACTAACTGGGGTACCTTCCGCCTCCCGCATCCGACCACCAAGCACCAAGCCCGCCAAACAACGGGTTATCATTTCATAATGCGCTTTGATAGTTCTGGGCCTGTGCAGCAAGAAGTTCGTCGCACGTTGGGTTTGGATCCGCGAATGATTCGATTCTCAGTAGTGAAACTCGGCACGAAACTCCACGAGATAAATGATATTAAAGGAAAGATCGAATGGAATGATCGAACGAGGTTACAGGACAGCATCTAGGGCTGTAGCATTATGGTTCGAAGGGTGGCGTTTATCCTATCTCGGCATTCAAGGTCGTTCGTGGGACAGTCGAGAACAAGATCGAATTATGACATTGGGAAGGATAATTCCGCCTGCAAACGTTGTATTTGGTGAACATTGGCGTTACGAGGGTATTGATTTTGGTCTAAAGCGGGCTGTTTTCCTCTTTCATGCTCCCATATAAGTGCTGGTCCGCGATGGGCCGTGTATTATAGAAAAAGTCTGCCACATGCAGTTCAAAACTTATCATATCATTGTACTAAAACTATAATTGGACGATGCAGATTCCCATCACATAAGGACCATGTAATCTTGCTATTATTTTAGAGTCTATAATCCAAAATATAAAAGGAAACGGCGTGTCAACAATTCATGATGAAAACCATCATCAACAAAAGCAAAAGCCTGTCAGAGGCAGTCCCCCAACCCATGAAGGGTATGAATACAAGTCAGTGATCAAACCAAGTACGCCAACCCAAATCCAACATGTCCTGGTATATAGTGTGAGGAAAGCCAAAGAAAGAAAGGGGACGAAGACACCGAATTTCTGGGGAAAATTTGCCGATCAAGAGAGTGCTGAAAAAGAACAAAGGCATGTGCATAGTTCAAAAAAGACGCCATCCCTTGCCTCGTTCTTTTGAATTGATATTTCGTTGCTGGGAATTCGACTTACTCCTCCCCTCTAATTGTCTTAAGCTCTCTATCTTTTGCAGTACTAACTCCAGCATCTCTTTCTTTTGAATTATGTCAAGATGTCGACGAATACGGGGATCCTCCCGTGCGAATCGCTCGACTTCTGCGTCAGATAGATGGCGGCCAAGTCTGGAGTCAAGCTCACGCGGGAAATGATAATAAAACTCAGAGAGAAGTTCCACGTTTAGGAAAAGGACAGCTGTAGCGGTGAGTTTGTCCGCAACGACATCAAGAAATATTTCAGGGCAATGGTATTTATTTTTTTTCGAGGCGCATTGCTTGGAACGCAGGGCAAGGAGTCGCATTTTGATGATATCCGCTCTATCACGAAGAAAGGCTCCCTCTCGACCTGCCAGTATAGGTTAACTCATAATCATAGCAAACAAAGTAGGCATATGGTACAACGAACCTTGTTGTATCAAGGCAGCACTAAAGCCCCCGGCTCCTCCGCTGCCATCGCCCTCGATTTGAATATCGCCCCTTCGTACTTTGTCCACAAATGTCACAACATCCTTAAGCTTGCGTTTTCCTACGGTATCCTCAACGTGTTTCAGAGAAGATTGGCAGGCTTTGAGCTCCTCCTTTAATGTCCTACTAATGTTCTCCCTACCTTTAGCCCATTCAACATCGTCTATTTCAATTTCGTACTTGTATGGTTTGATACAGTTTTCGACTTGGTCACTTGTGCTGAAAAAACGATCATTCAAAATGCTCGTGGCGGCATCTGCAATAGATTTCTGCGCAAAGGGGTGAGTGGCGAAGGTGGATAAGGCTATAAGATCGTCAACTTGATTTTGTAATGCGTTTGCTACGACTGTAGTAGCTAATCGTCCAATCCCTAATTTTGTTAGGGCTGACGAGGAGGCATCTAGTTTTCGATGCCAATACAAGGACTCTGCATCAGCTTTTGGAAGCTCTGATAGGGGGTCTAGATCGAGAAGAGGCGGGGATAGGTCATCAATAGGTCTGTTCCAGTACCGTTGGGCGAGAATATCCATGACACGTTGGTCAAGATGGGCTTTTAACATTTCTCGAACTTGCGGGCGGCCAAAATTTTCAGTAAGCTCCTTAAACGAATGCTTGAAGCTATCCAGGCTTTCTGCAAGATATGACTCGGCGCTGAGTGGGCGATCATTATATTGGACTTTGAATTCGTATGTAGCTTCTTCCAGCTCTTGCGACACAGCATCTCGGGTGCTAGCCAAATTTGATGCCATAGTTTGCTCCAATACGCGCATCAATTTCTTTCGCAATGTTGTAGTTCCAACTGAAACTTCGCTTTGGGGCCCAAATTGTTGGTGGCTGTTAAAGTAAGCTGATTCGTTTTTGGCGATTGCATTTGTTATATTTCCGGCTCCTCTTGAAAATAGCCCAGTGGTGGGGGGAATTCGGGACACAATCCCCACATATCCCAAACGGAGGGGATACTTCTTATCCATCAGCATACTGACGCCTCTGTCGGCGTCAACCAGGTCCATTTTGGTAATCACGCCAATCGTACGTTCTCCACGGGGATCAACACGTCGACTAGCACGTAAAGCAGTTGAATTTGCAAGATCAACATCGGCTGCAGATATGGCTAGTATAATATTGGGTGCTTGAATATACTTGTCACAAAGGTCAGAGATCTTCTGTTTCAGTTCTGGTGGTTGATCACGGCCAGCAACTTGAATATAGCCTGGTAAATCGATCAAAGATAAATCCGGAACATGGGGCGAATATATTGAGAGCTGAATCGGATCATCTGCAACGCAGTCCTTCTCCGGTACGCCCATGTTTAATTCAGTGAGAGTGCGTTGTATAACACTGAAATCCGTAATTTTTCCAAGACGTAAAGCCGGGAATTCACCATACTCTGCTTGGGAGTTTGGCGTATTCACTAAGGTTAGTTCAATTGGCCGTCTAGTAACCATGTTCAATCCCTTTGGCAAGAACTCATGTCCAACAATAGCCTCTAAAACCGAGCTTTTCCCCGAAGACTGTGAACCGATAACAACGATCGATGGGAGAGTGAGAGAAGTGGATTGCCCAACACGTTGAAGCATATTTCTGATCTCAATCATTTTTCTTGTTAGTGTCATCATCTGTTCGTCAACTACGCGTTGCCCTTCTGCAACCTCATCATCTGTTGAATCGTATTCTAAAGCAGTTCCAGCCGCTGCACCTGCTACTCCAGCCGCACCAGTTCTGCTCTTCTTTGGGGATCCGCCGCTTCCACCGGAACCCGAAGACCCACCCGACGTCGAGGCATACTCTTCAAGTCGTAGTATTTTCTGTGCCCATTCAGGGAGCTCAAGTTGCTCCGTTGTCCTTGTCCATCCTCTCTTGGTCTGATCTGCCACTCCCTGTACACCCTGAAGGGCGCTTGAAGCGATTCCGCTCGCTGTCTCTCCCGCGGATTTGAAGATGTCTAGGGCATAATTACCCGCCTCTAATAGAACAAACAAACGTCAGCCAAAAATCCGTAGGTAATCTATGGCAAAGAAATGACCCACGAGCAGCTTGGTACTGCAAATACGCCAACCCCGCAATCATTGCTCCTCCAAACATCGCGGGCACCCTCACCAGTTTCATAGCCAGCTTCGGGATGATCCTTGCAAACGATATCGTCCGGACAGCGGGCACATGGTGAATCCAGTTTTGCCCGACGGGCAAGGGCGGAAGACGAGCGCGTAAGTAGTATCCATTGCCTGGAGAACGTAAAAGCCCCCCGGATTGAACACCGCCTGTATGGTGGATTTGACGGGTGATTAAAGAGCTTCTCCGGGATAGCAGCGCAGAGCTGCGGGAGAGCAGTCTCCCACTCATGGTTTTCTTCTCATATGGGTTCGATAATCAGTAAGTGAGTAGGACGCGCATCAGCCGAGAGCTGTTTTTATTATTGGTATTATCTCAAGCGCTCGAGGTATGATGGCAGAACGACTCGCCGCCTTAACTTACCCAGGAGATAGTTAACTCTCTGACTCAGCATTCTTAGGCCAGCACCGATCATGTGGCAGGAGCCGCATCACGACATTCGAAGCTCTGATTCTGCAAGCCAAAGAAGAGTCACTAATACTTACGCCGAGGCGACAGACAGGGATACTAAGGGGGAAATATATACCTGTAGCTGGAGGCTGCTAATCTCCCTCATCTGAAGTGTTTTGCGGCATCCAAGGAACTTGTTTCATCTTGCACAGTCCAGCTTATTGTGTTCTGACAGCTCAACTATATCAGACTCACGCTGCATTAATACAATTGTCATTTAGCCTTAATCAATCATTAATTATTTGCTATCATCTTCTCTTATAATCTGCTCCCAGATTCAATGACACCAAACCTCCCACTCGTCTCATCCAGATCTATATTTTGCATCGCATACCGAGCTCGCTACCTTTGTTCGCGATGTGCCGCTTTCTAGTATGTCACTCGAAAAGCTGCTATTAATAGTCACTAACAAAGAGTAGGTATACAAAGGTAGAAATGACATTCTCTTGAGCAAACTCATCACGGAGCCGTCCCATTCCATTCTTACACAGTCATATGATTCCCGACTCAGATTGGTAAATCTCCTTGCTAGATTGTCATGTCTTCAATAGAGTCTAACTGTCTTCAGGACACCCGCCGCCCTGTAAATGGCGATGGGTTTGGCGTAGGCTTCTACACAGACCCCAAACTCGGCGGTGACCCTTGTATATTTACGTCCACTCTCCCTGCTTGGAATTGCGAGAATCTCGAGCGAATAGCATCGAAAACCTGCTCTTCCTTAGTTTTTGCACATGTACGAGCCACAACCGAAGGCGCGTTGGCAGATAACAATTGCCATCCATTCCAACATAACACCCTCATGTGGATGCATAATGGAAATTTGGGAGGATGGAAATATATAAAGCGGACTCTAGCAGACTCCCTTGCGGACAAGTGGTACTTGGGCGTCAAAGGAGGTACAGATAGTGAATGGGCATTCGCCTTGTTCTTAGATCTGATGGCACGAGAAGGGGTTGACCCAAGTGCAGCACCAGAGGAAGGATTTGGACATGTTTTGCTACGCACAGTCATGGAAAAAACAATCAAAAGAATCAACGATATGATTGCCAATATTCCAGAGGCGGGTAGATTGACTGATTTGGAGACGAGAAGTCTTCTCAATTTCGCAGTCACTGATGGGCACACCGTAGTCTGCACACGCTATGTGAGTAGCAAGACTGACGAAGCAGCAAGTTTGTACTTCTCATCCGGAACAAAATGGAAGGAGGGGAAAACCAAAGGACATTTTAAGATGGAGAGACACGATAAAGGAGCCGATATTGTTCTCGTTGCGAGTGAGCCTTTAACCTTTGAAAGACGTGAGCAGAGCAACCCACCTTCACAGATTGAATGCTCTTAGCTAACCATCTAATTATAGATAATTGGGTCACCGTACCAACAAATTCCATGCTCACAATTCACAAACAAACCGTCTTAATTCATCCCATCATGGATGAATTTTATGATGAAGACCCAAATCATGACCGCTCTGCTGGTTTTGCGGTCTCCAAGGGTCTCGTCAGTAAGGCACCCGGAACAACGGTTGTGCCTGATGAAACAGGATCCCCAAACACATCTGAATCCACGACCCCTATCGAAGAACAGGTCAACGGGCATCAGAGAACAAACGAGCTCCGCAAGCTCTATCTTTTGAAGAAGAAAATGGCGCAAGCCAGTCTTTGATTCTCGCTTAGTTTACGAAGCAGGCATGGATTGACTCTCAGAGAATACTCGCCTTTTGCAGGTGGCGTCTTTTCCTTTTCAAGCTTGGTGTCGGGAAGTTGTCTGATTTCAGATGCCAGGAAGAGCAGGCGTTGCATTTGCTTTGTTTGTATCGGTGTTCTGGCTGATAATCATGATACATTAGCAACCTTCATTCGGGATTTAAGCGCTGTTTCTTACTTTGCTCCTGATTTCTGTTTTCATTATTAGCCTGCGTAACCAATAGTGGGTTGCCCTAGTTGGATACCCTGCTGTGTCAAAGTAGTTATGTATTTCAATTAAGCACAAGAAGCGCGTTCCGTCATACATCTTCCCCTGAAATATTTGCGTGTCGGAAATACTTCATGCCCATCCATGCGACAACAACCCACACCCATGCCATTACGGCTGTTAAGGTAATGAGGGCCGGGTAGTATCCCACTATGGGCAACGTTGGGTCATCTTCGAGCTCGGGCGGCGCATAGGGTGTCTCGCCAACGTCCCAGGCCCAGCTCCACACATCAAAGCAGCTCCCCATTCCCACAACAAACACCACCCAGGTAACAATAAGTATGATCCAGCCCCACCATTCGGTCTCGGAGTAGTCCCAGCCTTCGGTATCTGACGACAATTCAGCAGGCGCTGTGGCTAAAGGTGAGCGGATCCGCTGCGACGGGGCGCGCTGGCGGGGTTGCGACATGATCCCGGGGTCCGTGGAACGAGGCGGTGGGAAGTAAGATTCCGAGCTGGACGACGGGGTAGGAATGGCCAGTGGAAGCCGGCGTGCGGGGAGGAGGGAAATGGCAGAGATGCTGCTGGTGCTTGTTCGACTGGAGAGTCGGGATAAGGTGTTTTCAAGAGGCGGGAAGGAGATCAGGTCCTCGTCGTCTGTGGTTCCATCATCGTGGACGGCGTCTGCTGTTTTCTGATGCTCTGGACTGTGATGTTTGGTAAAGTCATCGGTGCGTTTCTGCTGCTGTTCAGCTCTTTGCACTGGGCGGCTGCTCCAGGTTGACTGAGGCAACGGGCGAACTGGGGGTGTCGGAGGCCGCGGAGTAACGGGAGTTTGCATATTCGAAGCCTGCGAGGAGGTGGTCGCGTCGTCACGGCGAGGAGCAAGCAGAACGCCGGGAAGCCGCGACAGGTCATCGCTGGCCGGCTCTTTGCCTGGGGATGTGTTACGGCCGCCATCGTCTCGAGATATTTCTTGAGCCCGGCTCGACAGCCCCTTTTGCGACATTTTCAGCACGCCAGTGCCTAGCAATGCTGTTTTTCGCAACGACCCTTTTCTCCGTCTTGTCCGTATCTGGTGCTGCAGCGCAGTCGCCATGGACTTCCCGCCTCCGGCTTTGCCATCGGGTAAATTCCGGCCGGTTAGGGGCCCATGGTTCTCGTTCTGTGGCGAGATTTCCTCCCCGCCATTCTCAACGCCAGCATCATCGCTCGGTTGATTCATACGGATCGACGTAAGTTTCGAGAGCAGTGCCGCCGATACGCTCCGTTTATGCGCTGTGCTGCAGGAGCTACCGGATCTGGATCGTCTGCCATCATCATTGCCAGCGCGGGCTGGTCCCACAGCGGCAGCTGTCACAAGCCCCATGGGGCGGAGCTTACTATCAGAGGAACAGGCTTCAGCCAAAAAGGAACAGGTATGTAATGAGTGCAAAAAGAGTTGGCACAGAGCTCCGAGACTATCGAAGATCCCGCTGAGAGCGCTGGCTAGCAGTAAGCAGTAGGTTTAACTAACGAGTTAACTAGTTAGTTAGTTAACTATGTAGGTAGTTAAAAGGCAAGCAACATCACTGTGGAATAACAGCTTTTCATGTTCTGCCCCTCAGCACTTCATTAGCTAGGGAGACTGTACGGAGTACGGAGCACGCTTCGTCCCAACAGCCCAGGACATTGCCACTCATAGCCGCACCAACCATGGCTGAGACCAGTCGATGATTTCCACCTTCAAGTGCCATCCGTTCCCCGAAATTGCCATCTTATCACTACTGGCCCGGTTACATTGGACGTTACATTGCATATTGACGGGTAAATTTCACCAAATAAACAAGGGCCGGGTCTTCCGCCTTAGGGAACCGATGCACTTTCTTAGGCGTGCGGTCTCGAAATTCCTCTCATGTCACCTACGGCCTAAAACCCCGCCATTTTGATAGATCTCACCAAAAGTGAGAACCAGCATGGCTGCCCTGCACGACCACTCAGACTCAGACAACAGACTGCCCAAAAGACCAAAGAATACTAATTAAGAAGATATTGGTTCGATTATCGTCAATTTCATCCAATCACCTGACAGACTACATCGGTACATCTCTGAGGGAGTACGCGTTATCACGGGAGAAGCTGTTATAGCCGCTGCTGAAGTAGCCGACGGGGTAGTCTGTAGCTCTTACTTCGCTCTAGCAGCACACCAACATACGAGCACTGGCAGCTTTTCCTGTTAATGCAGGTGTTGCTCCAGGCTGGGCTACGCGTGATGGTAACCGCATCTGCCGTACATATTTCTATGACAGTAAGTCTATTGATGTCCTTTGGTATCCATTGCAGGCAGCTGCTTTCGATTCCCATATCCAAGCCACTATCTTCATAGCAGAGAAAGAACTGCTCATAAAGATAAGCAGATTAAGATGATGCGATGCCTGCTGGATGAGGGAGCTAATCCAGTTGCACTATATCGAGACCCTCTTGATCGCGCTAGATTTTTATTTGATGAGCAGTTGGACTTTGAAGACAGAAAAGGATTGGTTGAGACCCTTTCAAATATGGCACTCATAGTGTCATCCATTCTATTCTTAAGCATGGCGGGTAGGATTTACTAGTCTTTTATGAGAACCTTGGGCTTGACATCGAGCATCAGGACCCCCAGAGGCGCACTGTTTCGCATTCTGCTTGTCAGAGGGAACTGGTTGCTGATGGCCTTACGAATCAACCCTCATTCGAAAGCATTCTCCCTGAATACCGTGCTATGACTTGTAATATTCAGCCTTCATTGTTTCATTCTCTTTGACTTTGATCTCTTTGATGGTGGATAGAATGATGATGCCCTACTTTACGCCTCAACACACCTACCCCGGCTGGGCTATGTAACCAACCAGAATATCACGGTCTATTTCCACTCCATAAGACTCCAAAAAATACGTAGTGCAGAGGATGAAGGTGTTGTGGAGGCCATTTCTATGCTGTAGAATGGTGGTGCCATGCTCCTTGTTTTTAATAAGAAGACACTTAATACTGTATTCCCTATTCTGGGAGTAAATTATTAAAAACCGAGTACATTCTAAAGCTGGGATCACTACTCTGACGAATTCTTTGTTCTATTTACTGCTGACCTGCAACAGGAGCCGCCTGAATAACCCTCTTGAACACCAATTGCCCGATTGTATACGGAGTACGGAGTCGATCATACCTAATCCACCCTCACCCACTCCACATACCTCTCAGTTCCACTTTGCTCAGCCCCATGGAACAATTCAAACTCTGACTGCGTCGGGGTGTCCTTCAATCTCGCAGGCCACGGGGAGACAATTGTGTGATTCTCCCTTGCCTGGAGCCTATATGCCCTGGTCAACTCAGCAGACCTCGTGTTAAGCATAAAACGTTTGAACATAGCATCAAAATTCCGAAATGCGGCTACTGTTTGCATTATTTTCAGGGATGCTGGTGAGTACTGGTTTCTACTCCCAACAGCCTGAGCGCATCCTGGAATATAGGAAGTAGCACGTGTGATACTCTCACGGCGGCCTGTGAGATAGTCGGCAGCGTTGCCCTCTTTTTCAACGTCGTTCATAAACAGGGCCAGAAGCGTGGCATGCGGGTTGTCTTCTTTGGATTTTAGGAGCGGCGAAAATATGCTGAGGCACGTTTCCACACCTAAATAGCCTCGGTCGCAAATGTTGGAGATCTACACACTTTACGTTAGCATCGTTGATATAGTTTCAAAGTATGGAGTATAAAAACCTCTATCCTGTCAAAATGCTCACCCTTCAGAAATTAGGGAAGCTGCGCCGCATGCACATGAAAAAGTGTGATGTGAACATTCAGCGTCGTAAAATGAAGACAAAAATTGAGAATAATATCTCTAAGATGGAAAAATAAAGCACCATACAAATCGTGCTTTGCTGGGAGCGCGTTTTGCACAACAGTCTTCAGATCCCAGCCGCCTAACGGGACCGAGGAATCAAACATGGGCCAGCCACCACTTTGGAAAAACGTCCTAGTATATACTGTTAGTATTGACCCTTTCTATCATTGGACTCGTACTCACGGGTTCGGTGTATCGAACTCCTCTCGAGGTGAGCCAAACGGCAGTAAAATGCCATCCGTGCGAAATTTAACTTTTGGCAAACGCCAGGAAGGCGGCTGCATACAAAGGGCGCGATGAACATAGTCCTCTCGGCTAGGAGCCATCGTGATCGTACTTCATAGTCCGAGTACCAGGTGTGGAGTATGATAGGAGTGGCTTTCTCTGGTGGTAAATGCAGGGCTGTTAAAAGGAGAATTACATTCCTAGCCACGATGCTGAAGTCAAGCATCATTGAGCGTAGCGTCTACCTTTCCTGAATACCCATCGGGCAAAGCTGCCACAGTCTTGATCAAGTTCCTTGGATCGCCTGAAGCTATAATATAGAGTTAGAAGTCACCAACCAGTATGATATCAAGGAGAAATAAAATACTACCGGCAAGCAGTAGCCGAAGACCCTGGGATGTCTCTTTGCCCTCATTGGATTGCAGGTTGAGCAGATTGAGAGCAGGCATATTCCCCCACATATATTTACTCCCACCATACTGCGTGACATGGAGATTCATGGAAGAAGTGATGAAGCTTGGAACCCGTTGTTCCTCTTCCCAAGCAGGTTTCCACGCATCCTTGCTCATGGGAGAGTGGCAGTAGTGCTTGTGTTCAGGCCAATCAGCCTTTTGACAAGTTTCATTACAGTACTACGTGATCTACCCATTAGCATGCTTCTGCAGCCTAAATGAAAAGGGAATTGATAGAGAAGAAACTGACATGCACCAAGTGGCATGCGCCACAGGCTTTGACACTCCTCGCTTGACAGGGAGAAAATGCGCCATCAGAGCCACGCTTTTTGCCGGAGCATAGAAGGGGCTGAAAGAATTGCGGGTGAGACTCAGCTTCAGCTTCCATGGCGTCAAATGAAAAATATCTCCTGAGCGTCGAAAATGTTGAGTATCACCAAGAAGCAAAGGATTTATAAAGAAAAGTGCTGCAAAGAATGGTTGTATGGGCGTCCTAAGATCAAAAGCAGGATAAATTGTAAATAAATAAGAAGGTATTAAGAGGATAAGTAGAAAAATTTTTTGTGGGAAGGCAATGTATTAAAGTATTTTCCTGCCTTTATGGCAATAAAAATACAACTAACTGGCAAATTCCGAAAGCCAAAAAACAATACCCGCTATGCGTATTATAGAAGTATTGCAAAGTAGTATAGTAGAGATATAGTAGGTGAGAATCAGAGTAAACCAGGTGATTTTGAGTAGAAGACCAAGGAGATGTATTCGCAACCACATTCTCCAAGAAACAGGCCCTAGATATTCACTAGAAACCATATGCAGATACCATTGTCACATAATGTTTTGAATGTGTATCTTGGTTGTGAACAGCTAATAAAGATGCAAAACAAACAGTGAGGGGCCTATCTGCTGGTTTAGATAGAAGTGGTCACGGGAATTTCAATATGCACTGAGATGTGCACCAGTATCATTGGCTCATAGGCAAGTATCCCTTGGGAAAAGGGAAGCAGCCCATCATCATAGGTGGACATCCAGTTGGGCACCATCAATGGTATGCTCTTATTCCAACAAAAACAAAATGTCCTTTCAACACCAGGAAAAGGGGTGTCATAAGAACAGGTGCATGCATGCAAGAATGAATTTGAGAAACTCATAAGTGACACCACAGAACCCTGTTGGAGATGCGAGACACAAGCCAGATAGCATAGAATTCAGAACAACGCAAAAATTGGAAATGACACATCATACGCTACACAGTCAAATCGCTGACGCATCTAGTGGGAAAAAGTAATGGTTCCAAATCAAAGACAGAGGGAGAATACAATCAAAACTGAGAATGTGTCCGTATCCAGGAAAAAGACGAAATTTCATCAGAGCCTTGAAATCATAAGATACTTTTTCCGCTTTTTAATTCAGTCTCAGATGCACATAGCTTATGAAGGAAAGAAAGACAACAACAAAACGACCATTTGAAACAGGGCCATCGCAATGAGGATTTGGGAACAATCTGCATAGTAAAGTCGAATGAATCCAAGGGGGTATTGTTCCTTTAATTAAACAGAAGGAGAATTTCATTCGAAAAGTGTCAAGGCTAGGCAGAACGATCAAAGCAGAATGAAAATGCTCTCACAAAAACCCACTTGGACGTAGCAATTTGGAAAATGCTTGAGGGAAATCTCGAAGAAATATCGTAATAAAAGGCTGTAACAGGCATTCATTGCGTATAGAAGAGAGGCACCGGCAACAGAAGTCGTCAAAATAGAATCCAGCTGAAAACAACCTTGAACAGGGTGATTGGAGGTGAGATTATCGGCAAGAATTGTGGGTGAGATACTCGTGAGACAGGGATTTTTAAGCTTGATAGCCTCCGAAGCCATTACCAAAGTTACCAGCATTAGGCTGAGCCCACCCGGAGTTGGGGTTGTTTTGGCCGCGGCCGTACCCACCGGCTGCGGCTCCAGGAACTTGGCCGTAGCCTTGGCCAGGCATTCCAGGACCAAAGTTAGCACCCGACTGATCCCAGCCACGACCGGCAGGGTTGGGACCTAGTGATTCTCGAAAGGTCAGCTTAGAGTTCAGCAGCGATGGTGCCGATTCCAATTGATATGGCTACCGACCTTGAGGGGTCATAGGCCCACCAGGACCACCGTATTGGGGGAAATATGGGGAGGTACCGGAATTAAAGGCTGGGTTCGCGCCTTGCTGAGGAGAATATTCAAACTGGCCAGTTGGGGGGCGATCTTTGCCCCACTGTAAAGGCAAACCCGAATTAGCTTCTTGAGAAGGATTCAGGTGCAGAAGCTGGGCAAAGCAAAAAGTAACTTACGCTGCATTTCAGTGCGCGACCGTTGACATTGTAGCCATTTAGCTGACAGATCGCCATTGCAGCATTTTCGTGAGTGTCCATCTTCACAAAAGCAAATCCACGGTCCGCCTGGAATCTGGTTTCAACAACATAACCAAAGTTTTGAAACAATGGGACTAGATCATTCTGAGTTGTGTACGGTGTTAGGTTACCAACGTAGCAGGTTGTCTGCCACTGCGGAGTCTGCTGAACAACCATATCATAGCTCTGAACTCCATGGGTGGGGAAGTGATGATGCCCAAAGGGGGTGGTAGGGGTCATGCCCATAGCAGCCATTGCTTGCTGTTGAGAGATAGAGGGCTGTCCCTTTTGGTTCGCCCAGTTGCAGCGGATTGCGCGCGAGCCGAGCCATTCGCCATCCATAGAGCTCAGAGCTTTCTCAGCATCACCACGTTCACGGAAGGCGACAAACCCATAGCCGCGAGAGCGCCCTGTTTTCATGTCCCACATGACACGAGCCTCAGAAACAGATCCAAAAGCGGAGAAAGCTTGAAGCAGGACCTCATCATTTACTTCGTTACTGAGATCGCCAACAAATATATGAAAGTGACTCGAGGTGTCTTCTTTATTGTTGTTGTTGGACTGGTATGCCCAGTTGACACGGATTTCCTAGACAAATGGACAGCGTGGTCAGCGGACACCTGGTGCGGAGGTAGAGCAGATAAGGGCACGTACAGATTGGTGGACTCGACGGCCATTGAGCGTCTGCATTGCGCGTTCTGCCGCACCAGGATCGTCGTACTCAACAAAGCCGTAGTTCAAACCCTTGCTCTGAAGCTAAGTGATTAGTATAAGTCACTGCTCGAATTTTGACGCCAGAAGGCAAAGTGGTGGCTGATGGGGGTCGATGAGGAGGAGAGGGAAAGACGTCGGGCGCGAGAACAAAGAAGTGCGGGCTGCCCGAAACGGCAAGTGTGAAATGACTTACGTTTTTGTCGGGAATAATCTTCACGCTCTGCACATGGCCGGTCGTTTCGAAGATTTGTCGCAGGATGTCTTCGGTCACACGAGCATCGAGTCCGCCAACATACAGCGCGCGCTTGTTGGGCTCTGGGGCAGCCCGACGCACGTATCCCCCGGCACTGGTGGGTGACATCATGTTGCCGGACATGGGTGAGGTGATAGCGGTCGGGATGGGATTGGTGTTCTGGGGAATGACAACGGGTGGCAGTGGGGGCGGAGGCATGTGTGAAGGATTACCCTGGCCGTTGCCCTGAGAGCCGTCGAACTGCTGCTGGCCGGGCACGCCTGCAGAGGCCTGGGGAGGCGGGGGGAGGGAGGACGACGAGGTGGGGGGAGCGTTGTCAGCCATTGAGTCGGGAGAAACTGGAAAAAATCTAGCAAAAACCAGAAAAATTAAGCCAGACGCGAGTCCTCGAGGCGGTTCGAGGGACGCAGGGGAGAGTAGGATCTCTTGTTTCTCTTTTTATTTTTTTTTTTCTTTTCTTTTCTTTTGGACCAGGATCCTGCGCGGAGAGGTAGAGAGCGGAAGTGTTACTACTGGTGAAACGGGATCTGTCACTATCACTGATCGAGGATCACTCGGCGGTAGCGGGAGGAAGATGTACGCACGGGAGACAGCTGGTTGCAAACCGGTCTGGAAGTACTAGAGCAAGCCGATAGGCGCAGAGTGCCTCGACTATTGGTGCGTTGATGAGAGCAGCTTTGGGAATGTGTTCACGGATTTGATAACTGGCCCAAGCAGACACCACTCGTTTGCGATTGCCACAACGCTACAGCTAAAAGGCACAGCTTGACAAGGAGAAGTCTCGCAGCCGTCAAGCTCGAGGCGGAGAACAGTTCGCTAAGTAGAGCAGGGAGAAAAGAAGCGACGAATAAGCTGCGAGCAGGGGAGAGAGAGGAGGCGGCGGCAGCAAGAGGAGGTGCAGCGCACGCAACAGAAAGCAGCAGAGGCAGGGTAACAGATAGCCAAAATGATGGAAATTGGTGGAAGAGGAGGAAGAAGAGACGAAAGAAGAGAGTTGTGAGACGGTGAGGTGGAGGACAAGAGAGAAAGAGAAAAAAGCAAACGGGAAAAACAATCCAAGCCAACAAGCCACGAAGCACGACTTCTTGAGCAAGCAGCCGCAGGTGCAGCAGCTATATATAAGGATATGGAAACCACAACCAAGGAAACAGATGCGCACAAGACAAAAGGAGGGCAAATGCAGGAACAGAGAAGGAAAACGACGAGCTGGAGAACGCGGGTGTGGGAGGGGGAGAAAGCACAGCAACTCACACAAGCTGTTGGGGGGCGACGCGCTAGGCTGGATGGGGGGGCCTAGCCGCCTTACATAACTACGGCCTGCGCAGCTCCTGCGAGCCCGCCCGCTGCTTCGTATCGCCGCACCGCCAGCAGCCAGAGCGATGGCCGCGCCCGCGCAGCCCGGCGAGCAGTCGCTCGAGACGCTGACCGCCATGGTCAACCAGACGGTGAGCCGCCCGGCGCCTGGGGCCCTGGAGAGAGACCGCTGACCCGAACCCCACAGCTGATTGAGACCGGCCGCTTCTTTCGCTCCTCCGGCTCGCTGCAGTCACGAGCGCAGCTGAAGAGGAACTTCCCCGACGTGCACGAGCAGTATCAGTCTGCCCTGGACGCGCTGTCGGAGCAGATTGTACGTTGGCACGCCGATCTCCCTTCGTGGCGGACGTTTGCACCGTTCTTGGCTGACTGCGTGGCCGTCTATGTAACAGTTCATCGCGAAAGCGTTTCTAGAAAAGGACTACGAGGCTATTGTGGCCAAAAGGGCGAACCTGCGAGGCACGCGGCCACAGGCTGCACCGCCCGAAGACGGCCGGAAGGACAGCCCAATGAAAGAAAGCCCCGTTGGTCAGGCCTCGAGTGCATCGTCCTCGCAAAACCCATCAGAATCTACCGCCACCCTCGCAGATACCGCTCCCCTGACGTCAACTGTTTCCCCAACTCCTGCAACAACAAAGCAGGCTTTGTCCACGACACCCACAACCACCAATGCTGGTAGCGCCCTTTCACTTCCCCCTACAAACCCCGCTCCCCCGCCCACGGCGATCAAACAAGAACCACCGTCCACTGTTGTGCCATCAGAGCAGGACGCTGAAAATGCTCCACCTGATATAAACCTCTCCAGCCCGGACTTGAATATGACTGGCGCAGAGGGCCAATCATTACCGGCGGAAAACCCCCTGGACTTTGGTGGTGCCTTCGGACCGATTCTGCCGGGGTTAGAGACATACGCCATGGCTGGCACAGACGAGGCGGCAATGGACCTTTCTGGCGCGGATCAAAATGCACCTGAATTCAGTGCCATCAAAAATGAGCCTGGGGATACCACGGACTCGTCGACCAAACCGCACATGCCTGCACACGAAGGAGTGAGGGCCGACATATCAATGGAGGATGTGCCACATGCTGAGTCGACTTTTGATGATTTGTTTATTGGATCTGCCCATTTTGCGACCGACGGAGATGATTTACTACTTCAGGGAGAGGATATTGGCGATTTAGATGATTCCTGGTTTTCGTGAGTGATACTTGCCTAGCCTACGTGATAATGGCTCTTAATTACAGGCAAATTTTCCACTGGATCTCAAAAGCCTACGCAATATTTAATGCTGCACGATTTTACTTTCCGTTTGCGCTGTAAGTTTCAGCCTTTAATATTTTAGCATCCATCAGAGCTATGCAAACATCGGGTTAATACACCCTCTTATCCACCCAGTCATATCGCGCCATGCGTCCTTACTCTAAAGCTACCATTGTTATTCCGTAGTCTTTCTTCAGCCTGTTCATACACCCGTAGTATGGCGGCAATAACTAAGCTCCCGCCGAGGGATCAACCTGGAGCTTGGGCCCCATGCTGTTTGCAGTGACTATTCAGCCCTAGATTCGGGTTCCCCCAGACCTTGTGGCGTCTCTTCAGCCCTGCCGGAAGCAGTAAATAGTCCAACTGACCCGTCCAATGTCGACCCTCACTCTCTTCGCCTCCCGCCGTCCCGTTCTGTGGGTGCGGCCGTCACTAGTATCCGCATCACGTGACTACCCGTTTTCGGCCTGGCGTGTTGAGTGAGACCACGCTTCGTTCGCAGCTGGCTTCACACCAGCGCGGACTTATTATACTGCGACAGAGGCCTTCGCTTTACCTGGCTTGGTTCTTCTTTTCTCTTCTCTTCGTGTTTCTTTCTACTACTTCCCCTTCCCTCCGCTTCTCCGATTTCTTTTTTTCGCCTATCATTTTTTGTAATTCGTCAGGTAATGCGCTTGTGAGGCGCTTTTTGGCCCGCCCCTTTTCTTGGAGTCGCTCCAACCTCCTTGTTTATGAACCACCTCCACGCCTAGAAAAACTTCTGTCGATACAGCCGGGGTTTCGTTTTTACCTAGAGAGGTCCGTTGGGACAATTGGCTTATTTGGGGAAAATATAAGTTTAATATTCGGATTCTTATGAGCCATTGGTTCATTGTCCCCTCGTTTCGATTCGACGCCCATTTCTATCCGACTAAAACTTTTATTTTCGTTTCAAAATCTTACGCATACTGAATATTCCTTTGATCCTCGGTGATTCTTCATTGCGTACATTATGGCGACCAAGGACGCGGCGTTGACTACCGGCGCGTTTCATAATGCCGACGCTCGAAGAAGAAATGTTCCCAGCTCGGGGAAGGCGAGCCGTGGGCCTGACATACCTGAAATAGTAGTTGATGGCAAGAAGTTTGCAAAAGTAAGCTCGAGTTGCTCTTAATAACCCCTGCAGCGCTCATTGCTTGCTTAATACTTGTGTTGACATGGAGCTACGCGCAAAAAACGAAACCTGGAAACAACCTGGCTAACATATCTTGGCTCTCATAGAAATCATCTTTTCTAGATATTCTCGATGAATGGGAGTTCCTTATCGCCCCAATAATATTTACAGCGTTGGCATTCTTCACCCGATTATGGCGTATCGGTCTATCGAACATCGTGACGTGGGACGAGGCTCAGTAGGTTGCCCTGATGTTTTGCCGCATGTATCCCATTGACTAACGCCTGCGCTATCACACAGCTTTGGGAAGTTCGGCTCTCACTATATCAAACGCGAGTTTTACTTTGATGTGCATCCTCCTCTGGGTAAAATGCTCGTTGGCTTGTCGGGATACTTGGCTGGCTACAATGGCTCCTTTGCATTCAAATCCGGTGAAAAATACCCTGAAGATGTTAACTATGCATTTATGCGAGTATTCAATGCTTTCTTCGGCATCGTATGCATACCGCTGGCCTACTTTACTGCCCGACAACTTAATTTCCGCCGTACAACTGTCTGGCTCATTACCCTAATGGTACTTTTCGAAAACTCCTATGCCACGATTTCCCGATTTATCCTGCTAGACTCGATGCTTCTTTGTTTTACCTTCACAACTGTTCTCTGCTGGTCCCGATTCCATAGGCTGCAGAACCAGAGCTTTTCTATTGAATGGTTTTCGTGGTTGATTTTAACTGGCCTTAGCATCGGGTGTGTCTGTAGCGTGAAGATGGTTGGCTTGTTTTGTACCGCATTGGTTGGACTCTACACTGCGGAGGATCTATGGAACAAGTTTGGCGATCTAAAAATGCCTAAGGTAACCCATTCTAATGCGCATCACCTCAGAAGCTTTTGAGTTCTAACTTCCTAATAGACTGTCCTCGCCCAACACTTTGTTGCCCGTGTCATTGGCCTTATAATCATTCCTTTGCTTGTCTACATGTTTTCTTTCTACATACATTTCCTCGTGCTCGAGAACTCTGGCCCTGGTGACGCTCAAATGAGCTCCCTCTTCCAGGCTAACCTTAGAGGCACTACCGTTGGAAAGGATAGCCCATTGGAAATTGCTATTGGATCCAAAGTTACCATCAAGAACATGGGATATGGCGGCGGTCTTCTTCACTCTCATGTCCAAACTTATCCTTCAGGGTCCTCGCAACAGCAGGTCACCTGCTATCACCACAAAGACACTAACAATGATTGGTTTATTTATCCAAACCGCACCCAACCCGATTATAATGGCACGGGTGACCTGAGGTTCATTGGCGATGGCGATGAGATTCGTCTTATTCACGCTCAGACTGGTCGCAATCTGCATTCGCATGCTATCGCTGCTCCAATCACAAAGTCGCACTGGGAGGTCTCTTGCTATGGCAATACCACTGTTGGTGACGACAAGGATCATTGGGTCATTGAAGTTGTCAATGATGTAGCTTCGAGGGATAGATCCAAAATCCGAACGTTGACAACCGGGTTCCGTCTTCGACATCCAGTTCTTGGCTGCTATCTCCGTGCGGGTAACGTTAACTTACCGCAGTGGGGGTTTAAACAAATCGAAACAACATGTGTGAAGGATAGCAAGCCATATGATGTTCATACTCACTGGAACGTTGAGTCTCATATCAACGAGAGGCGTATGTTAATCTCTTACATCATACCTGGTCATTACTGAATACTAACTCTTATTTAGTACCTAAGGGCGACCCAGGGGTCTATAAGTCTCCTTTTTTGAAGGACTTCATTCATCTAAACGTTGCAATGATGACCTCCAACAACGCACTTGTTCCAGATCCCGATAAGCAGGATGATCTCGCCTCCCAGTGGTGGCAGTGGCCCATCCTTAACGTCGGTCTTCGTATGTGCTCCTGGGACGACAATACTGTGAAGTATTACCTCCTTGGAAACCCTCTGGTCTACTGGGGTAGCACAGCCAGTTTGGGAATCTTCGGCATGATGATCGCTTGGTATCTCATTCGCTGGCAGCGCGGTTACACGGAGCTCAGCCAAGCTGACATAGATCATATTCATTACTCGGGTCTCTATCCGCTTTTGGGCTGGGTGCTCCACTACCTGCCCTTCATCATCATGGCTCGTGTCACCTATGTGCACCACTACTACCCAGCATTATATTTTGCTATTCTAACAATGGGATTCTGCGTCAACTGGTTTACACAGAGGCTCAACAAGGCGACGGAATGGGCGGTGTACTTTGTTTTGTACGCCGCTATTATTTCGCTGTTTATTTTGTTCAAAGACATCGTCTTTGGCATGGAAGGATCAAATGATAAATGGCAATATCTGAACTGGCTCTCTACCTGGCGAGTTGCGACCCCCAAATAGTCTTCTTATCTTCCCTCTAGAATGATGCCAGTTTTGAGTCATGTAATATTTTGTTTTTCCCTTATCTATTCTCTTTTCTTTTTGCATATTTCCAGTTCGACTTGGGTGTTGACGAATAGATGCAGACTCAAGGAATACACGGCTCCCAGTTTGTGTGATGTTACTTTGGATTTGGGACGGTGGATGACTTTTTTGCTTATGTACCCTACCATCCGCACAACTAAAAACGAAAAAATGGGATGGCTGTACGGATGGGATGTCCCTCTTCTCGAAAATGATCCCTCGCCCATGTATTAGTGTCAATTGTTTCTATGTATTTTATTGTATTTCATTCCAGTCTAGTATCCGCTAGACGTAGAAATGGGGTTTCACGCATTTAATATTGAGCACACCACTTGAAGTTGAACACACTGTCCACAGAGCAAGTATGTATATAATTATGAATTTATATCCTAGGCGTGTGCTATATAAACACTAAGGACTGCGTGCTCTTGACTTAATATATATATTCAAAGGGTGGAAAAATATCAAAAATTCCACCCCAACAACGCTAGCCATGCACCAAAATACCCGTCCCAATCAGCGATTAAAATCGATAATATCGTCGCTTAAGAAAAAGTACAACATTGTTGAAAGGTAAGAGAAGAAAAAATATTAACAACAACCTCCCGCCCAGCCGCCTCCTCTCCTTCCCATCGCATCATTAACCCCTAGCGTTACTGTTCTCTGTAATCCACCTCCGGCGGCATTCCTTGACGCGCTCGTGCTGCCGTAGCCCTTCACGCCGCTGCGACGATCATTCAAATCATACCGGCCGGCCTCGATATTTCGATATATCCGCTCCGCGACCTCGAGAAACGCGCGCTCCACGTTCTCGCCGGATTTCGCACTTGTTTCGACATAACGAACCACGCCATTGGCCTTGCACCACGCCTCTGCCTGAGTGCGCGTGATGTGCTCGCCCTCGGCAGCGGGTGCCGTGCCGGCGCCTGAGGCAGCGCCGTTCGCGGATTTGTGGGGCAGAAGATCTGATTTGTTGCCGACGAGGACGACAACGATGCCTTCCTCGGCGATTTGACGCAAGTCCTGCAACCAGGCGGACAGAGAGGAGAAGGTCGATGGGCGGGTGATGTCGAAAACGAGCAGGGCGCCTGACGCACCGCGGAAGTAGGATCGTGTTATTGATTTGTATGTCTCCTGGCCGGCGGTGTCCCAGAGCGAGAGCTTCAAGCGCTTTTGGACGGCAGGCGGGTCGGGTTTCCGCTTCTGAGGAGGCGGAGGGAGACCAGATGGCTTGCTAGGGTCCTCATCGGTGCCGATTGGGGTCGCAGGCCGCGTGGAGTGTTTGGAGGGCAAGGCTTCGGAGAGAGGAGTGATAGGGAGATTGGGCTGGGGCTGGGAGTCGTCGTTCAAGACAGTATCAAGGGCGTTGCTGGCTGGGGGTCCAACGGGGACAATGCGCGAGCCGAACTCAACGCCGATGGTGACATCGTGGGTAGTAGTGAAGCGGCCTTCGCACAGCCGGATCGTGAGCTGGCAGACCAAGTTAGTGATGGGCAGCCGTTGTGGGATGGGAGACGAGGCAAGCCTGGGGGCTGCATACGCTGGACTTGCCGGTGCCAGAATCACCAATGCAGACGAGCTTCGCGATGTAGTCCCATGGCGGTTGGTGCGACATGGACGCTGTGCCGTCCAGGCAATCGAGCTCGCTCTCGTGCCGAAGAGGCGCTGAGCATAGGCGGGCAGGACAGAGAAAGATCCAGAGCGGTGTCGAACGTCTGCTCGGCCGTTGCGTCCAAGCTTACAGTGCCTGGCTGAGCTGGCCGCAGCGGCGGCGTGTGGTGGCACCAAATGCGGTTTGGCGACGCTTAGCTTTAGGCGCCGCTCCAGGGCGCGTGCAGGGATGGCCGGGCGAGCTGCAGCCAGCCGGCGTACTAGCTGTGTAATGCGCTGTCGTTGTGCGTCGTCTGCTCCACGGTGCTGCCCGTCGGCCGTCCGCTCGGCTTTCCTCACACTCCTCTACTTGATGCGGTCTTCTCTTCACCGTCTTCGTCTCTCTCGCGTGCCGTCGCGCTGCCGATGATATCACCCCCGTAACGGCGTGTACGGTACCAGGTCACGAGCCGTGCGGCCCCGGACCCCCGCGTGTCTTGTGACTGCAGCTAGGCCTCTTCTCGCCTAGCGTATTTGCCTAGCGTCGTCACGTACCGTCACTGTACCGCCTGCCTGTCACTTGCGTCCGTCACTCGCTCGCCGTCTCTCGATCTTCTCTCTGTGCGTTTTTCTTTTCTTTTCCTGTCGTTTCTTTGATAGACCAGAGCGAGAGGTCTCTTTACGGCTCCTGTTGCTTCTCCGCTGTTTGCTGCCCCTACTTATCTTGCATGAACTCTATCCTGCAATGAGTCTATCTGCTGGCTGAGGAGCTTGTGTCAACTACAGAAGCACACCACCTTAATGCCGTCTCTGTTGCAGCCTATCCACTTCCATCACTAATATACCTTTTCAAAGTTCTCCCAAAATCTTCTGCGCCTTCCAGATACACTACAACCTGCTGTATTCTCAGAACGTAGCAGCGTGGCGGTGTGTGAGCTCTTCACCGCTAGTCCCGCCCTTCAACCTGCAACCCGTGTGAATGACTTACCAGCAAGATGTTCTCAGAATGTGAGATTCCCCTGTCTGCTCTGGATATTACCTGTGTGTGGCCCTTTGACTAACTGACTTAAACAGACGCATCGCGCTTTCTTTCCCAGTCGCAGTCAAGGGTCAACTTCGCTCCCGATAATACTCAAAATGGACGCGAAGCCCAAAGACAACGAGACCGATCCTCTTCACGGTTTCCAGCTTCAAGATCCTTTTTAAATCGGGGACGAGGCAATCCATACCAACCCAGCTCCTCCCACTTGCAGTTGCCGTTTGGGCGGGGATCCATGCAACAAGCCCCACTCTTTCACAGTACTGCCGGTAGATTCCGCGAAGAAGATGATGAGCAGGATCATGAGCGAGAAATAGCGGATCATTATGCCCTCCAGCGGTCTAGAAGGACTTTTGATCCAATCCAGTTGGAAGAATCATCAGAACTGGAGGGGGAAGATGAGGGGCGCAAGAGTACGGAAAACTCATTTGGAAAAGCACGGGGAATAAGGAGCTCCTGGAAAGATAAAAGATCCAGCCACGAAAAGTGCCCTAAACCTTCTGTGGACCCTGTGCACGAGCAGAAAGGCGACCAAGACGATGGGGTACAATCCACAATAAGCAAGGGAAAGGGCAAAATGGTCGATATACGCCTCGAAGACTCAGTGCCAAACGACATGATAAATATCGACCCTGAATTGGCATCCGACTTCCAAGATAGTCACCTCTCTTCTGAACAATTCAGACGATCACCCTATCCAAACAATAATTTCCAAAACAACTCCTTCATACCCCAAGAAACAGATAAACAAACCCTACTGAATCACCCTCGCCCCCCCAGCCCTAGCGAGTCAGAACGCCTAGCTTCAGTGGGGGCCGAACCTGAGCCTCCTATGCACGATGCTTTTTGGGGCCACTTCTTCTTACTCTCGGTAGCCGGCCTTTTTGCATCAGCATTCATGGTTTACCTCCACACTTCGGCGCCATCGGGTAAACCGGGATTAGGAGATACGATATACTCTACACTTCACGCATCATTCTACCTTCTTGGCACATATACTATGATCTCCGTTTTCGTATCTCTGCTGTGGTTGGCCCTCCTAAAGTCATATGTCAAACCACTGGTCTATGCAATGTTAATTGCTGTTCCTATAATCCTCTACTCATTTGCTCTTTATTCGTTCATATCTAGCTTCAAGGGATCGTGGCATGGCTCAACTCTCCAGGACAAGGTCATGCGCTGGGGATCATTGGTTCCGATGATACTTGCAACGACGTGGGTATATTCTGTGGCTAAAGGCCGCCACTCCACTGGAAAGGCGATCGGCATTTTGGAATTTTCTTGTCGAATTCTCACCGCAAACTCCCCTTTACTCCTATTCGGATTTGCCACCTTGGCAGTTATTGCCGTTTGGACATGGGTGTGGATTGCCATGTTCACTCGCGTATTCCTAGGAGGACACATGAGCTCGTCTAAGTCCATCTTCATCATCAACTATGAGAGTTGGTGGCTAGGAGCGTTCTTCATTCTAGTTTACCTGTGGTCCCTTGGTATTATTTCCGGAATTCAACGCTCCGTGACTGCTGCCACCGTCAGCCAGTGGTATTTCCATCGTCGTGCGGTTCCACAGGTATCGCCTAACCAAGTAGTTCCTGCGGCACTCTCTTTTTCTCTTACTTCGATGTTTGGAACGATTTGTCTGTCCACATTTCTCTCCCTGCTCATCCGTCTACCATTAATTGTGTTACCCCGACGGCTCTCGTCTTTTCTCTCTCTACTTGCCTATTCTATCGTCCCAGCGCCTATTGCGGCGCTAACAAACCCCCTCACCCTCACATATGCCACTATATTTGCCCAGCCTTTGGTTAGCTCGGCACGATCCCTTAGCCAGCTTACCTTTCTTGCGCCCTCGTCGGCAACGACAATTCACCCACGGTCATTTTCAAATGACGTTGGGAACGGAACATCTACTCTCGTTCCGTACCGTCTCGCCAAGCTTCTCCTTCATGCGACACGTCTTATAATGTCGCTTGCCCTTGGTTTTGCAGGCTGGGTGTCCAGTGCTAGGACACTGCAACTACCTGATGGTAGCAGCTCAATCCGCGGCAGTTTATATGCTTATGTTGTCGGCATGATTGCCGGTGCCATTGGATGGGGAGTTCTGGCCGCAATGGAAGGTGTACTTGCTTCCGTTTTAGATGCAGCTGTGGTCTGTTGGGCGAGCGAAGTGGGAACAACACGCAAGGAGGCGAGGTACTGCCGAGAGGCAGGTTGGCTCTTTGGTGGAGAGAGGGAACAATATACAGAAGACGTATAGAAATATTTGACCTTTTGAGAGTCTCAGTCATCATTTGGGCAAACGCTGTCCGCTACATGCATCAGCGGAATACCGCTTCTTTTCTTGGGTTCCATATCTGGGCGTGAATCAACCATAAGCCTATGGGCTGGGAGTTCGATCGTTTTCTGTAGCGAGGAGCTTGGGGATAGAAAAACGGCGTTGAATTTGCTTTTACTAGTTTGCTGACCAAGTTCTGCCTTTCTTGCGTGCCTGCAAGTGTTGAGCATTTAATTAACTGAGTTATTTTATCTCTCTGGACTTGTTTGTTGTTTCCAACAGTATATTATAGCCTCGGCTTCATACATTCCAGCAACTAATCAACCAACTATCCAACTCCTATTTACAAGCGCAATCCAGATATTTTTAGATTTTACATATGATCCTTACTGCTGAACAAGCTAGTATTCGCGAGGCCGATTCTTCACGGTGCTCCTCCTCATTTATATATGCTTTAAGTTTAGCGGCTCTATGGAGTATTCCCCGCAACTCTTCCCACAAACTTAAAAAGTATATTTTGACCCCTAAACAAACATCAAGTGAAGCTCTGGTCTTTGCTACATTATACCAGGTGAATTCTGAACACCCAAGCATTAAAAGTGAAATGTAGGAAATAATGTGAGCAGCATACTCTAAGTTCCCCCTCCACCTTGAAGTGAATAAGCTACAAGGCGTTGAATCATTGATTACTGAACTAACTAACCATCAACCGGCTATAAAAGCTTCAGATTCTTCTCCATTCCTTCTTCTACCTTCATCTCCTCAACCATGAAAACAGCAAGCATCTTTGATGCCATTAAAGCACATCACCATGTGTTGCTACTGCTCTTACTCAAAGCCGCCCAACTACAATTACCCCAAAAGGCTTCATCTATTGCAATATGACTATATCAAGAGATTAGATTTAATTCCATTCCCAAATCCTTCGACTATATCTTGCTACGCTACTTTATTCAAAATTGCCTCTTTATGTTCAGAAAAGAAACCTCTGTAGTATTCATATCATTGAACTTTGAGCCTTTGATGTAAAGTTCAATGATATGAATACTACAAAGACCACTCTCTTCTTGCTGAGGATCTGAATATATATACCATACAGCGGATTTTAAAATAAATAAGACCGCATCATTCTTTATATCAACTATACAGAGTACTCAACGCGTATTCATAAGAGATATTTTGCGCAAAGAGTTTACAGACTCAGGCATCCTCCACGTTGCTGCGTGCAAGCATTGTGGTGGACTGATACACCATTGAACAGTCATGACGCATCTTTTATGCGCTGGAGCTTTAGATTATCTACAAATAGTCGTTTGCTTACTGCATACGAGGCGTCGGACAATTTCAGGGTTATTCTCTTTAGCAACAGTTTACAAGGTTCTTTTTTAAACGAAGTTCGGCCAGGTCATTCTGCGATAAATTCAAAACCAAAGTTGTGGTTAGTTCAATATGAACACTTCATCTGCAACTTCTAGTGCCAAAAAAGACTTCGAAAAAGCGACAGTCAGTGGAGGAAAAGCAGCCACAAACCCTAAAAACGTGTGAAATTGAAACCTGAAAACTGAACTGTCGACTGTTGCCTGAAAAGCCAAAAGGATTACTCTCCAGAAAGGCTTCACTAAAGAGTGTTTCGTATGAATTTGAAGCAGCAATACATGGTGCAACAAAACAGTTCATGGACCCGGCAGCACAATGTCCTTATCTTACATGTGACTTACCACTAAGTTGCGCGTCATGATATTCCATGTAAAAGGTAAGTGGGTAGCCTTCACTAACAGAGACTTTACTACTACTCCACCCTCTACATTAGTAGAACCAAATTTTATATTGAAGACCAGCTACTATGGTGCAAATATCAAGACCAAGATCTTCTATGTATACCAAAAACACTAATACCCTCTATAAGAGGATTAGCACACAGCCCAGCTTATTCCAGCATTGAAAAAATCTTAGCAAGACTACATGAACTTTTCATCCACCAACTTCAGCACATGTTCAAATATATATTGAACACTATCAACAATGCTCCCACATTCACTCAAGGCACCGCAAATCATATGGGGATTACCGACCAATCCTCACACCTAAAATATATCACCATACTATTACTATGGACCTTATACAAGGTTTGCCAGATGGCCAATACAACATGCTTCTAACCATAACAGACAAATACACTAAACGCATTGTAGGTTAGGCATGGCCACCTCCTCCGAGCATCGGTCCATCCGGCGTGAGGTGCAGCGCCTGGCTGCTCTTACCGCAAGGCAGCGTAGCGAGCGTGCGCGTGCAGCCGCCATGGTCGGCGTCGAGAGACGTCGGGCCCGTGAAGCTGCCGCCACGGCCAATGCCAGGCGCGAGGCTGCCGCCCGTGGACGGGGGCCCATAAAGTGAGGCTAATTGGATTTAATAAAAGATGAAGACATTGTGAGAGTACAGCTAAATGTTACTGAAGTTACTAATTACAACTAATAGATGCTGTTCTGCCAGCTCAGCTGCTGAAGCTGATAGTATTTAACAGCAAACTTCAACATCTTCTTCTGCAACTTTAAAAAATTATAAATAATAAACAACAAATGCCCCTACACATGTTTTTAGGCATGATAATGATGATCATGCAATGAGCTGACTACAGCCAGGCCTTTCCTGAGAGATAGATGCTAAATGATCAGGAGATAACTACCGGGAAACCAGAGTCCAAGAACCTTGACCTCTTAATAACTATACACTTAAACATACATCTCTGAAAGGTCAAGAACACAACTCTACGCAGCACTAAAGAGGGTTTATTACTTTCTATCTCTCATATAAAACCGCATGCTTTTTCAAGCTTTTAAAAGTGCTCAAATTGAGCTTCAAAAGCAGCTCCTTTGAGACTTCCATTATATATACAACCTTGAGTTCTAGTAACATTCAGCAACTTAACCTGATTATCACGGCAGTTGAGGATTGATGAGGCTTTATAGTCCCAACGCATCAAGAAACAGGAACACCTCCTTCAAAATGGCCTCAATTTGTTGAAAACATGGTCTCCCTTACACCTACTATCCATCCACCAGTGCCACCCAGTAGGACTGTTTAGCCTTCAGTCCTCGTCATTCCATTCCTTGTATATATTCAGCTTCACCTTGCTCCTCTCTTACACATACTACTCATCAGCATATGGAGTCATGGGTCCCTCTAAAACCACCCTCACCACCTCCAAGGTCACTTCGCTGATTCCGACCCCGGCTCCTCTCCTGCAGCTAGCCCTGGCATTATCTCTGTCGTCGTGGCAGAGACCAAGTCTGAGGCCTTTGTATCCTTTCATTGTGATTGAGAACAATGCGATAGCATTGAGGGCTTAAATAACCAACGCTCTACAATAAGCAACAACATCATGTCATATTCAAAGAAAGAATCTTTAAGTCATTGTCACTTAATTTACATTTCCTTGTCTGAAAAGAGAAAATGTGGCAGCGTGATTGATTTTAAAATTCCTATACACTTAAAATTGGAACCAGATGTGTCAGAGACGCAAATAATGAATATAAAAATGGGGGGGCATTTCTAAAACAATGGGAATCTAGGCTCCTAGAACTAGAATACCATACCTGCAAATATTCTAAATCAATTCCGTCCATAAAAACGAGGGCCCCTCCATGGCATCTCACATTGGAACCTTGCATCCACATATTGGCACGAAAAAAACAGGCCCCGCCCAATTAAAGAAGCTGATCAACAGCTCATTTGTTGGGCTTGAGTATTTTCTCCTCTATATTCCGTACTCATGTTCATTCAGACTATCAGTACCGAGTAGATACTACTACAAGGTATACATCCTTGTTGCTAATTGACACTTTCAACCTCTTTACCCTCGCCAAAAACATGGTGTGGATCTAATCTGGGAATGGGAAAATGGTCTTTCTCGTACGATCCGGCCGTAGCTGCGCTTGGATTGCTACGCGCTCAACTTGCAAGAGTTGACAATCCCAGCCCATACAGGATAATTCTTGCATCCTTGCTGCAGTTCAGCCAGCTCTGCCACAGCCCACAGAGTCATGCTCTGCTCACACTGTCAGACTGTGATGTTGAGTTTGTACATGAACAGTTGAATCTTTTATCAGATCATATTCCATCAATTCTCATACATCAATGAGATTCTGATCAACTCTCATGAAAGAAAGCTGCAGATTGAGTCAGAGCTTCTGATCTTATATTCTTTTCTCAATACTATCATACAACAGAGCATTTTGACAGAGCATGTGATAATTGCAAGTGGCACAATCATGCAAGTCATTACTCTGTATAGGAACTATCAGATAAACTTCTAATATATAATTTAATGGAGATCTGATCTTTTATATCTTCCAACATAGCTCTCGCTCTCTAACTAATGATCATCAACTCCAGCTTTCAGTCTCTGGTGTGACTGTCAACAATCTCATCATACTTGACTAATCTTGTATGATCCAGATTGCACCTAATCTCATATAATCATAGCTATAGTGAGCTAGTGTTCTTTGCTTTCTGTTGAGGTGTGACATTTTCTCTTTTATTTTTTTTGTCTGAATGATGTACAGTGTTATCAGCATAACTCATTTGATGTTTTTTTTTTAAATTTATCTAGCTGTACAGACTCTGTGTGCACCATTTACGCAAATAACTGTATCTCTATATGATGTCTGAGATCAGTAGCTGTCGAATGTACATTAGTAGCAGACGGTACTTGGATAGAAGGCAGAATCTCTGCCCCCATCTCTCCACTGTTTTGAAGAACAAAATTGCATCTGGTTTAATTTTGAGTGCCATCTAACTGGATATGATGCACTTTGTAAAATCCAAAAAGTAAAACTAATAAAAAGGAGACAATAGGGTATCGTTAAAGAAGCATAGGAATAGAAGAGTGCGCCAAAAGGGTTTTGGGGGGGGATATACAGGAATAAAGGGCCCATACGAACGCTGCAGGATATCATACATGCATCCATATGCTCATCCGGCATGCTGGGAAAATCAACAAACAAAAAGGAAGGAGGAAGGGCCGTATAGCTTGTAGATGACAGAAAAAATAGAAAACGGCAAAAAAAAAAGGAATGAATGCATGCCTTGCCTCCAGGCACCAAGAGAGATCCCAAGTCCGGTGCAGTAGCAGTCAAAAAAAAAAAGACTAGATAGAACCAACAAAAAACAAAAAAAAAACAAAAAAAGAAGTTAGGAAAAATACCAATAAACCGTCCAGTGGACCTTCATAATGTCAACTTCGCCAGCCATGCTACGCCTTCTTTTTCGCTCCATTCTTGCAAAAACACGGAGGCAAACCGCACTCCTTCGATGGCGCCCACGGTGCCCGCTCCCGTTCCCATACCACCATCTCTCGCGAGCGGCAAGTAAAAATCTCCACTGTATCTCCCGGGCTTGAGCACCTCCCTGCCTCTGTCGGGGTGATTTCGACACCGCCGCAGCCACGTAGCTGGGTATTCTCGAGCAAGCACCGAGTCCGGCAGGAGACGGCTGCCTTCGAGCCAGAGGCGGTTAGACTCGCGATGCGACTCCACGAGACGTGTTCGCAGGTCCGACAGATCGCGGAAGAGTTTGGAGTCTTGAGCGAGGACGGAGGAGGAGGGAGATGGGTGGTCGGGGTCATGCGTGCCAGGGGTGGAGACAATGGTTTTGTCTTTATTGTTAGTGCTATTGGTGCTTCCAGAGGAATCGCTGGGGAAAGCTATGGTAGCCAGACGCTCAAGGTCAAGCGTGTGGATAGCGGCGTGGGAGATCGCGCCTAGGAGTAGGCAGAGGCCGTTTATGTGCGGGTATGGCGCCGTACGATTGGCAACAGCCTGCCAGTAGGGAATGAGCGAGCGCCAGTTCGCCGAGTCGCCGATTTGGCGGGTGAGAGATTTGCACTTGTCTTCGGCTATGAAAGCAAGGATAAAACACAGAACGCCTTCCAGGGCAGTCACTGCGCTGAGCTGTGCTTCCGGCGATGGATGAGAGCTGGCCATTGCAAGGCGATCTGACGCATGCTTCACTTCTCGACCAATATCCTTGAATTTCATCCACTCGTCGCGCCATGCCCGCCAGTCAGAAGAATCGTGCGATTTGTTAGATTGACTAGACAATGTAGGAGATGTTTTTTCACTCTGCTTTTCATCATGCACATAATTCATTTTGGCCGTTGGTGTTTTCAGTTCGCTATCAGAGGATCCAGTGCGTCGCATAGCAGTGCTTTTGCCGTCAGTTTTCGGCTCCTTTCGTGGAGCAGCAAATTGGGCCTTTGGTTGCTGACCAGCAGCTTTAGATGTAGAGGATACGCTGGGTGTTGGCGGGCGTTCGGACGCAGCAACTGCTGTAGTCTTTGGTCTCTTGAGCGCAGGGCTATCTGCCAGGCCGCCGTCAGAGGGCTTGGGGCGTTTATTGCCAATAGAAGTCTCAGAGTTGTCCTGAAAAGTCTTGGGCGCTTTGGTTTCCTTTCTATTTGGGGTAACCTCTTGAGTCCTTTGCTTTGCTGGGGGCTTCTCGACGGACGGTTTCCCACGCTTGGGCATTCGCAGCAGGGCCTCCACGCGTTTTTTGTTCTGGCGGCCATATTTGAGCTTGGCGATGAGTTTGGGCTTGACAGGAGTAGCCGGCACCGACTTGCCCGCGGTGGAGGAAGGCACAGGCTTGGCCTTCGCGGCTGCAGGGACGACGATTTTCTTGACGGGCCGTTGCGCGAGTGGTGGGGGAATAGGCGAGTTCTTGACGGCGGCCTTCGAGGTTGATCCGTTCAGTTGTTTTGCTCTCAAGTCACCTTTCGTGGCCGTACTCGAAGCCGATGCCGATCGCCCTCGACCTAGGTCTAGTTTTGTTGATTTTGCAGAGCCATTTGGAGCAGCTACTGTAGGTTTTGGTATGGTCTTTTTCGCTAGGCGAGGTTCGTCTTTTGTTGGCGACGGGTCTGCAAGGTTGAGCAGCTCCTCTTCAAGCTCGGGGGGAAGAGTCGGGGAGAGCAGCGGGGGTAAACGGGACGGACTGCTGGTGGCTGGAGGGAGAGTAGGGGAAAGTAATTCGGGAACGGCTGGCGAGTTTTTTGTTGATTTGGTGGATATTGGCTGTGATTCTTGGTCATTGTTGATATCTTGACGAGGCCTTTTGATGGGAGGAGGGTGGGTTGGTTCGGTTGGCTTTGATGGTGATTTCTTTGCTTGAATTGCGGAGGGGCGGCCGACAGGCGGAGCTGTATCTCGCTTTCTAGAGTCTGTATACTTTGTCGAGATGGCGATTGAGTTTGGCATTTCAGCCCTGGGGGCTGGTATAGCTTCTTCGCTGTGTGGGGAATGGCCCATTTTCCCGTTGGTTAGTGTGGTAGGGGTGGGCGGTGCGGGACTCTCCAGAGCTTTCCTCTTATAATCATTAAAGGTAATCTTCTTTTTCTGCAGGCGGTGCGGCGCAGTAGAATCGGGAGGCGGCTTCTCAGGCTCCTCGGCCATGATATTCCCGTTCTCGTCCGACCATCCCCCCACGGCGACGAGCAGCGTGTCCTCTGCCTGGCGAGACAGAAAGGTCAGGTACTGGAGCTGCTCCTCCTCCGGCGCAAACAGACAGCCGTTCCCCACGGCCCAGTTGGAAACGGTCTGGGAGCCCAGGCGGTAGGGCCGTTCGCTGGGGACGGTGAGGAGGTAGGGATGGTAGGGGAAGACGTCGCTGGTCAGGTGGTGGAATCGCGAGTCGATGTCGGACAGGTACTGCGCATAGGATCTCTTCTTGCTCTGGACGGGCTCAAGGACAGTGAGGCTGGAGTTCCGCGGCGAGTCGAGGGACATGATAATGACGTAACGGCAGGGACGGGAGAGCGCGGGGCAGCAAGTGCAGAGGCGGAGGGAGGTCGAGCAGGACGAGGTAAAGAAACGGTCAAAGGCACAGTCGTTGTAGACCGGCATTCACGCCATCTGATGGGCGCGAAGGAGGCGTGCAGGCGGCAGCGGCAGCAGTGAATGCGCCAGACAGCGCATTCACGGGCGCAGAGCTGAAGGCCTGCAACAATAATAGACGGGCCACAGTCAATAGCAGTTCAATCAAGCTGCCCACGGGCGTGGTTAGGGAGCGTACCGCAAGCGCTGCACGACGGCGGTCAGCCAGTGGGCGAGGCGGATTGCGCGCCGGACGTGCGACCGAAGCGCCGACGCGGGCCCGGGGCGAGAGACGACAGGCAGGGCAGGGCAGAACAGGGCAGGGCCAGCGAGGACCAGGCGGCGTGCCAGGCGTCGAGCAGGCAGAGGGCGCCGCGAGCAGGCTGGCGGAGGCGGGCTCGGGCGGGCTGGGACCGAACGCACGATCGGCGACAGCGTGGCCGGCTCGCATAGGCGCGGACGGTGGCTTTGGGGCAGACGCGAGCGAGCGGCACGCAGCGTCGACGGCGAGACGGCGGGTGGGTGGTGGAGGTGGAGGTGGAGGTGTTGATGGAGAGATGGCGGTGGGCTGGGCAGCAGAGGAGATGAAGAGCATCCGCGAGGCTCGCGGCGACGCAGCTGGCGACGACGGGCGATGAAGCGCTGCAGCCATCAACCAACTAACTAGTTAAGTAACTACGACTCCACGGCGGCGGCCAAACTCACGCACCCGCCACGCATTCCTGCCAGATTCACCCAGCGCTGTGGGCGTGCTATGTATGGATGGCCTTCCTCCACGCCTGTGCTCGACTGCGCGCCAGAGCAACCGGACGCAGCGCCGACCACTTGATTCTTTGCATGCGAACCGGCCCGGACGTGACAGCCCGCCCCGTGGGGGTGTCATCAGTGTGTGTGCATCACCCTCGTGTTGCCCTCGTCCCCCGGATTGGGTCTCTGGGCCCTGCTGCACTGGCCGATGCCCTGGCCTGCATCCTGAATGGCTCGCGTCGAGGAATCCCATCCTGGTTTTGTGCATCAGCGCCTCGTCGTCGCTGGCAAACATGGTTATCTCCGTCCTTCGCAGCTTTGTCCTACAGCCGTATTTCTTTCTCCGAGCGTGACGAGGCCTCTCATTCGAATCGAGCCATGCGGCCATTGCCACGTATATTTCTCCCCTGCTCCAAACAGCACATTCTACCATCGTTCTTCTGAAAAGGTGGAAGTACCGTCCATCCCCTCTCCACTAGGAAATGACAACTAGCAAAATAAATTTCCTGCTTTCACATTTTTAGTGAAAACAAAGTGCAGAAGAACTGGAGAGGTGAAGCCATATAACAGTCAATGGTAATCTATTGACTGTATTCTATCTAGCTATATGCATGGGCATAAAGTTATCGATTTCAATTTCCATCGTCAGCTTGAAATATGTTTTACAAGAAACCACCATCCACCCCAAACCTACAAAACAGTGTAAATTACACAAATGAATACTGATATACTGCCTGACAACCCGATCCAAGTTTCCAGCACATGGCGGCTTCCATATCAACAAGTCAGATTGCCATTAGTGTTGGTAAGGCCATTCAGTGCAATATTATCCATTTATGGCTTGGAACCAAGGAAATAATGGGCTTGGAGGTTAATACGTTTGGGAACGTCACAGTAACAGAGGATTCCAACAACGCCTCCATTGTATCGATAACAACCAGTACAGGTCTTACCATAGTTTCCACTAGACAACACAAGGTAAGCACTATGTGAGATATGCATGGAGAATATCATCATACTTTTTGGCGCACTATTAGCATTTACATTAGATATGTTTCAATTTCATTGATACCATCTTCTAAATAACGGCAAATGATGTAGAACATGCTCACAATAAGATGCCCAAGCCTATTTTCAAGGCATTGGTTGAGGTCAATGGAGCTGGTTTGACTCCTATTAGTTCCAGGGATCAAACAGTCTGCCCTGAAGATAGTCCCCGAAAGCTTAAAATTGTTGCAGGTTTGATCGATATTTGCACCCCAAGCAAGATGAGCCAGAGGCAACACATACAGAACCGACCTCTTAACGCGCATTGTCTTGAAGATTGAGATGTCAAAGGATATCAGATAGTATCATGCAAGCGTAAATCAACAAAAAGATGCTGACTTTGAAGTACCTTTCTAAGGAGAGACGATGAGGGTTCAGATATCCATAAGAGAACATTGGGCTGGCTTTTATGCTCAAAGGAGGCTCCGAGAACCTTGACCCTGTTGTATGGCTTCACAGGCACATGGTATGCCTTTTGGTAGCCCCCGATTTTGGCAGTGTTGTGTAAGGTAGGATTCTTGCACAACTCTATAAGCTCACATGGACAGGCACTTAAGAACCAGTATAATAAGGCAGTTATATTAGGAATTTCCATACAACTTCAAGCTTTTATCAGCAAATAACAGTAGCCTGAGAGGGGAAGAGATCGCCTGCTTGTGAAAAATAGTGCTGTTTAAGACCGATCATCTGCAGCGAATTTCTCATTCCAAAACACCCGGTAATGTTTCTCATCGCCTAGTGTCTTAATCTCATTGACCTCCTCCGCCGTCAGTTTGAACTTTAGGATCTGTAGATACTCGGCCATCCGTGATTCTTTCGAGCTGGTTGTAAGAACAACCACGCCCTGATCAATGCCCCATCGAAGCAAAATATTTCCCTCCGTGGTGTCGTACTTTTTAGCAAGTCTCTCCAGAACACCATCCACGGGCCCTCCTTTGGCCCTGGTTGCCGGTGTTAGAGGGGAATACGCGGCAGCGGCAATGCCTTTCGATTGCTGGTACGCCAACAGCGGGCCATGCTGCAGATAAGGGTGATACTCAATCTGGTTGATGGAAGGGACGATCTTTGCGGTTTGGGAGATCGCCTCGAAGTGTTGCGGCAGCCAGTTTGATACGCCGATCGACCGGGCTTTGCCTGCCTCCTTGACCTTTTCCATATCTGCCCATGCTTTCTGAAGGTCTTCATCGGAATTTGCAAAGAAAGGAGCGTGGATCAGGTAGCTGTGTATCTATCAGTAACCAAATTCCTATACACGCTGCCAAAGGGAATGCAGGCATACAGGTCAACATAATCCAGCTGTAACTTTTCAAGACTTTCGTCAATTGCTTTTGGAATGTTGGCAATATTATTCATGACCTTCGTGGTCACAAACAATTTGTCTCTGGATACGCCGCTCTCTTTGATAGCAGCTCCCAACTCTCGTTCCGTTCCATAGACCTCGGCTCCATCAAGATGATAATATCCTAACTTGATGGCAGACTTGGCGGCTTCGACAAGACTCCGATCGATAATTTCGTGGTCACCTCGTTTATACCATGCGGTACCAAATCCATATCCCAACTAGAAGTCGTTAGTACGAAGCCATGGGAAAGTAGTACAGCGGGGTACGTACACTTGGTATTGTGGTACCATCATTGAGCTTGACGAAAGGTATTTCTGCTGCCATGGTGTCTGATTGATACGTTTATTCTAGGAAGCCGAGCAGTATAGCGGGGTGAAAGGGACCAAAGGGTGGGTTTGGGGTACCGCGGGTTTTATAGACGTGGGGGAAGCGGGTAACTAACTGGTTATTCCGTAGTTAGTTACCGAGTTAGCCAGTTAGCCTTTCTCCCGTCTAGTTATATGTTAGCTGCAAGATGCGTAAGGTGGAGCGACCGCATCGCGTTCAACAGTGATCCGTTATGCATGTAACTATGTTTGTACATATGCACGGGCATGTCGGCAGGAGCTTGACCACTTGGGTGAAGCCTTCGGCTAATCATCCTGGGGATTCCTTTGGGGCCATAAGCTTCGGTTAGTTAACTAACTAGCTAGTCAGCGGGTCGCGCGAATATCTGAAAGTGTGATCCAGAACAATGAAGAGCGCAGGGATCCGACGCGATGCGGCTTTTTCTCCTCAATAGCCACTGCTGGACGGGCTGTGTTGAGCGTGTTTGGTACACAGCCAGGTGATGTCATCGCTGATTAGATAAGATCGTGTTTTCTGCTCAAGATCAGCGAAGATTCTGATACAACTCGTTGCGGATTTCCCAGACAGGTACAGACCTCGCTAGTTAACTAGTTAGTCTGTTGCATGGGCCAGACCAGGCCCTGACTGTCTTCGCTCCGAGATTCCCGACCACTGCAAACACCCACGCCGACGCCCAGGCCTCCCACCCGCCCGCCAATGCTTTCCAGAACAACATCAGCAACCCCTCACCGCGCCCTGTCGTTTCTGCACCCTAAATTCATTCGAATGGCATCACATTTTTCCAATAATGGGTCTCTGGCCGGGAATACGCCACGATCTGGTACTTCCTTAGCCGATCTCCCTAAGACGAGTACCTTCACAACTAAGCTCCCACCTGATTCTGCATTTGAGACGCCAGACGCCTCCCATGCTGCGCCTCGAGAGGCCCTGGGCCCTCGCTTGGTTAAAGGTGCGCTATATACATATGTTAGACCGGAACCACAAGATGAGCCGGAACTCCTGGGGGTGAGCTCCCGTGCCATGCACGATATTGGATTGAAGCCCGACGAGGAGAATACCCCGGCGTTTAAGGATATGGTTGCGGGGAATAAGATCTTCTGGAGCAAGGAAGACGGGGGTGTATACCCTTGGTCTCAGTGCTATGGAGGTTAGTTCGCCAGTGACAGTATTGCTTAGACGGCCTGAGAGCTAATGTGTATGGTTATCGAGGCTGGCAATTGTATGTGGGAATCATTTGCACCCGTACCTTGCTACTGAATTCGGGTTGATTAATATCTATTTATAGTGGTTCGTGGGCCGGCCAATTAGGTGATGGTGTGCGTTGTGCTCCCTTTTCCAACATTTGTCGAGAAGCTCACACGTTCTTTAGCGTGCGATCAGCCTGTTCGAAGCCATAAACCCGGATACAAACAAGAGATATGAAATTCAGCTAAAAGGTGCCGGCTTGACGCCTTACTCGCGGTTCGCTGATGGTAAAGCAGTGCTTCGCTCCAGCATAAGAGAATATATAGTATCGGAGGGTAGGTGTACCATAACCCTCAATCTAAAAATTGTCAAATCGGACACTAAGCAACACACAGCTATAAATGCCATTGGAATTCCCACTACACGAGCTCTTGCACTCACCCTGCTGCCGAATGTTAGCGTTAGGCGAGAAAAAATAGAACCAGGAGCTATTGTCACTCGTTTTGCCGAATCCTGGCTTCGAATCGGCACTTTTGATCTCCTTCGCGCCCGCAAAGATAGAGACTTAACCAGAAAATTAGCCACTTACGTTGCCGAAGATGTCTTCCCTGGCTGGGAGTCGCTCCCAGCTGCGTTGAATTTCCAAGAAAACAACCTTCCTCCTGCCGATATAGATAACCCACCAAGATGTGTTCCGAAAGGCGAGATACAGGGAGAAGAAGGAGCAGAGCAAAACAGATTTACCCGGCTATATCGTGAGATTGTACGTCGTAATGCGAAGACAGTTGCGGCATGGCAAGCATATGGTTTCATGAACGGTGTGTTGAACACCGACAATACCTCGATTTTTGGCCTATCACTTGATTATGGCCCGTTTGCTTTTATGGACAATTTTGATCCCAACTATACGCCAAATCATGACGATCAATTGCTACGCTACTCATATAAGAACCAGCCCTCGATTATATGGTGGAATCTCGTCCGCTTAGGAGAATCATTTGGGGAACTAATGGGCGCGGGAGACAAGGTTGACGATGAAGTTTTCGTGTCTAAAGGAATCACAGAGGATTTTGCCCCGATTCTCATAAAAAGGGCGGAGACTTTGATCGACAACGCCTCGAAAGAATTTCGAACGGTGTTTTTGAATGAATATAAACGGTTAATGACGGCACGATTGGGGTTAAAGACCCAAAAAGATTCAGATTTCGAGAAATTGTTTTCGGATTTACTTGATACCCTTGAAGCACTTGAACTGGACTTCAACCATTTTTATAGAAAACTCTCGGGACTTGCTGTCAATGACGTGAGCAGTGACGAGAGTAGAAAAAGGACCGCCAGTATATTTTTCCATGAGGAAGGTATTGGTGGCGTTGGCAATACTGATGAGTCTGCTAGAGAACGACTTGCCGGCTGGCTCTCTGCATGGAGAGAGAGGGTAGTGGAAGACTGGAGCATGGGCTCCGATGTCGAACGGCAAACCGCAATGAAGGCGGTAAATCCAAAGGTAGAAAGAAACAGACTACTATTTTACATCATGAAATGGAAACTTCCGCTAACTCCATGATAGTTCCTTCCACGGTCCTGGGTGCTGGAAGAAGTGATACACCGTGTTGAGCGCCAAGGTGACAGAGAGATACTTGGTCGTATCATGCATATGGCTCTCCATCCCTTCCAGGAGGAGTGGGGGTGGGATAGAGTGGAAGAAGAGAGATTCTGTGGCGACGTACCTCGCTTTAAGAGAATGGCTATGTGCAGCTGTAGCTCTTAAATGCCATAGCTATGTTACGTGCATTTAATTTTCTTACCGAATGCTTGGTTTGTGAGTGACTCCCTCTAGGTCGCAGTGATGAACCTGTACATAGTTTGCGACAACAGATTTCACTGAACAATTACCATTGTAGGGAACTGTTTACATTCTGGCCTTCAATGTATTTTAAAACATCAAACAACGGCCGCATCATTCTGTTCACTAAGTCTGCAAGACTTAATCAGGGGACACAGACACAGTAGCAGCCCATCAGTGCTTGATCAACCATACCCTTTGATTTCTTTTTAAAGAAGAGCATATCATCTTTAAGATGGATGAGGATGAATATCTTCGTCGAGCTCTTGAAGAGAATCTCCGCATTACAGAGGAGCGCCAGCGGCGGATTGAGGATGCCCAAAGGCAAGCACGGGAAGCGGAAGAAAGAATAATTAGGATATCCGAAAGCGCTGCTCAACGAGAACAAGAAGCTACTGAGAATGAAGCCGAAGAACTGAGATTGGCGATGGAAAGAAGTGTAGCAGAGGAGCAGGCCAGAGAAAGGAGGCTCGCGGGTGAGAGAGACAGACTCTCTCGCATGGACAGAGAATTTGGAGACAGATCTACCGTTGCGCCGGATGCTCAAAGCCACTCAGCTTCGCATACGAGTATGCCAGGCGCATTTGTCGAAGATGACGGAATAACGGCGTCTCAGCCGGGCCCGATTACGAGCCATCCAGCGCCAGGACGCCGTCATACATTGCGCGAGAGCACACCGGCCCTCGAAGAAACCAGGCGTCAACCACGCCGTCAGAACAGCACGCCGTCATCCCGACCACCCCCTGCTGCTGAGGCCACTCCACTGCAAGCCAGCACCATCTCGCTGCCCAGCCGCATCGCTGCTGCGGGACGGGCTCTCCCCCGACGGCGCTCCACGCAGACGAGGCGCACCTTGACGCCGGACCCAAACGCGTACTTCCTGGCCGATATCCTCGCGCGCTCGCGCGCCGACGCCTTCTCCAGAGGGCCCTTCCGGCCCGACGACGCTGACCCGGCGTTCGACGCGGGCTTGCAGGCGGCGATCAACGTGTCGGCGAACCAGGCGCGCGATGAGGATGAGGAGGCGGTGCAGCGGAGTCGTGGAGTGCCGACGTACGACGAGGCGTGCCGCATGCCGCGGTACCAGGCGCCTAGGGGAGCGAGGTATGTGTTTCAGGGGCCGAGGGGGCCGGGTGCTAGTGCTGAGGGCGCGGTGAAGATTGTGGGAGATATGGATTTGAGGGAGGCGATGAGGGTTGCGAATCAGAATGTGAACAGGGATGATGAAAGGAGATAGTTAGTAGGGGGTGTTTGTATGTAATGGATGGGCATGACAACGGATATGGCTGGAGTTTTTTTGTGGTGCTGCTGGATATTGGGTATTAGCGTTTGAATATCTCAATACTGATTGCTGCTCTTGGGAGAGTTGATATACCCACAATGTTCTCACAAGTCATGGATAGCAAGTTCACAAGACATGCCACATTGCACAACTGACTACGACTGCTAGCAAGTTGGGATGTCCCATAACGCAACAACATAAACCGCCCATCGACAAGGCCAGTCTTGCAAAGACAAAAAACCGAGAAACAATGCTCGATTTGCATAAAGGGAAAAAATGAAATAACTCTCAGAAAACTAGCAGCATTGCAAGCATGGCAAGGAGCCACGCAGGCAACGTATTGGAAAATAAGTACTGAAAGACCCTGGTATAATTTGCTTCTGCTCATTCCTTAAAAAGCACGGAAAGATTCCCCATATCTCCATTTACAATTCCACTTGGCTTAGCAACGCCCATTTGCACAGTTGTTTTTGGTATGTAAACTTCCCCATGGACCTTTGAACTTCTTTTTCCTTTTCGTCTCCCACCTCCGTCGCCTGTGCACCTAATCGACAGACGCCTTCAATACCTCATTCCTCAAGGCACGGGTCACCGAGGTTTTAATTTTGTCGGACAGTGAGGAACGAAGTGCACAAAGGGTACAGTACGGTGTGTCGGCAGATAAGGCAGCAAAAACAGGACATCTGATGATGAAAGAGGACGAAACAGTCATGGCGTACATAATTTTTGTCGATGTTTCAGGTTTCGAAAGATATTTTGCTGAACAAATGGGGGAGTGACATTATTCATGACCAAGATTCAAATTTACTATCTTGTCCCATGCTAGAATTCCGAATTAAACGTCTCAATTTAGTTGGTGCAGGCGGCCTGAACGTGACCAGGCTGCTTGCACTTGTAGCAAACACGCTCTCCTTTGCCTTCGGTGGTGCAGTCGCGAGAAACGTGGCCGTGCTCACCGCCTGTTGAGGGGGAAAAATGAATATTAGTCATTATTAGGGGGTGTGTAAGATAATGGGCACATACAGTTGTAGCATTTCTGACCCTGGGTGCAATCGCGAGCCATATGGCCATACCCACCACAAGAGTAGCAGGTCTGACCACGGCCGCCATAACCGCCGCCGCTGCCACCATAAGAACCACCGCTATAGCCGCTGTATCCGGATCCCTGGTTGCAGTTGCGGGCAATATGACCGACCTGACCACACTTGTAGCATTCCTGAGATCTAGTCTCTCCGGATTCGCCGCCGCCGGACTGGGTGCAATCACGGGAAATATGACCGGTCATACCGCAACGGTAGCAAGACTTCTCCTTGGCGGGTTCATTGCAATCGCGGCCTACAAGTTAACAGGGTTATAGGGTTAGTAATGGGGATGGTGTACACTCGGCCTGCCCTGTGTTGTTCCCCCAAGCGAAACTCACTAAGATGTCCTTCTCCTAAAATTCAGAAATGGTAAAGTTAGGGAGCAGCATACTTCAAAGCGCAACGTCCAAGAGTGGTGACGCGATGCTAGACATACCACCGCAGTTGTAGCTAGGAGATGAGTCAGTAGGGGTGCGATAGCATTGGGACTGTGCTCCGATAGCGTTCCGGGTTCAGAGACATACCAAACAGAGGCTCCTTTCTTAGGGCAGTCGCGGGCCTATAGGGAAGAATGATTAATGATATCCCGCCACGAATAGAGCACACAATCTATTGACCTGGTGGGCGGAGTCGCCACCTAGTAGAACCGTTAGCCGCCAATGTGGTTCCAAGTGAGCTGATGTGCAATAGACTGTGCCGTGGTACAGGGAAATCGAGGGCCCCGAGTGAAATTTTTTGGTCAAAAAAAAGAGGGCAAAACAGCACACAAAACGCAAGACAAGGACAGCGAAGACTGTCTCCGCCATTCGGCATGATGGCTGCAAGAGAATAGGCGAAGCGACGGCCGATACGGCCAACGAGACTGCGCGACGAGGCAGGAAAAAGAAGCAGGCTGACTCACAGTTAAAACATCCACGTTGGTAGTCCATTATTTGTTATTTCGAGGTAGAAACGGTGTTCGTCGATCTAATAGCCGTTTGGCAGGTCAGTAGCAGCCCAGACACGAAGAGACTGCAAGAGAAGCGCGCGAGGGGGGCGAGGCGTCGCGAAACGAGTCGGCGGGCAAGAGGAGGGGTATTTTGGAGGGGAGAGGCCAACTCACAGAAAGGCAAAGCAGTGCAGGTTGCAGAGAAGAACTAGGACACAGAGATGGGAAGTGAGAAGCAGAGCAGAAGCGCAGGTGAGAGGCACAGCAAGATGAAGACAGTGGTGGCAGCAGGAGAGAGAGAGAGCGGGAGAAAGAGTGAGTGAGTGTTTGGGAGAAGCGAGGTGGAAGAGGGCGAGACGAGACGAAAAACAGGAAGACGCGAGCAAACTGGCTAGTGAGCAGAACGCACCGGCAACACGCCAGACACACGCAGATTACAGAGCTGGCTCGGGGGCGACAGAGGTTGTTTAGACAGCAGATTTGGGCCTGGTTGGTGCTTTCACGCTGCCTGCGATGCGATCGATGGCTTTGTGTGTGGTTTTTTTTTTCGCCCCGGCGTGCCACTTTAGCGGCGCTGCGTTTTTCGCCTCCCGCAACTCTCTGCGCTGCGCAGCCTCCCAATCATCGAGACCCAATGATGCGATGGGCGCGCGCGCGCCGTCTATTTTGCCTTTGGACCTGTCCGCCCCCTGTAGCACGGCCATGCTGGCGCCAGGCCCGCTGCAGGCGTCGGATTTTGAACTATCTGCCCTCAGCCCCGCCAACGCCAACACGCCGGGCGGGCAGGGCGAGCAGCAGCCGGCGGCGGCTTGCCGGGCGAGGGGGGCCCAGGAAAACCAGCGTCGCATAGTGGCAAACTGAGGCTGGCCGTCTCGTCTGGCGCTGGGCGAAGGTTCGCACGGTGGAGGCGGGCGCTGGGGAAGATTCTCGCCGGGCCGCGCGACCAGCCTGCCCCCGTGAGAAGCGACGACAAGCGGCGGGGACAGCGAGACGGCGAGGCAGAGGCAAAGCCAGGGAGCGGTTTCACGGCCGCAAGAAGCGTTCCGGGCGCAGAAGGCCGCCGTTGTCGCGCGTGAGCAAGGGTGAAACCAGACCAGACTGTCCTGGATGCTGGGCCGGGCACCAGATCCTCACCATCGTGGGCCGTGGTCATGCGAGCCCGGGCACGGAGCAGCAGCAGCTGCTGCTGCTGGCGACGACAACGACGACAACGATGATGACGACGGGGGGGCCGCCGCTTTTCTAGTCTTGCTGCGACGCTGAGGCATCCCTGTTGGTGGCCGGCGGGCGGGCGCCGGCGGAGCCCAATCGGAGCACAGCGGCGGCCCGTCGCCAATGAGGCCGGGCGAAGAGAAGAACAAGAAGACGAAGAAGGAGAGGAAGATGGCGACGACGGTGATGGACGGCTGCCGGGGGCCGCCAGGGTTTTTATATGGATTGATTAAGCAGGGCGGGCTGGGGACCTTTGGAGACGGACGCGCCCGCACGGCTTGGATGCGGGCATCCAGACAGCATATGTATGGACATAGTTGACTACATACATAGTCCGCACACTGGCTACCTACCTAGTTACTCAACTAACTAGCTAAAGTCGTAGCAGTCGAGCAGCGGCGCGCCGCGGCCCTGCTCGCGGAGCACCACCACCTGCTCGTCGTCGAACCCAACCAGCCGGGGCATCTGCGCCGCCTCGCGCCTCGCCAGCCCGCCGCGGCGCTCGACCTCGCACAGCAGCAGCTCCGGCCTGGGCTCGACGCTCACGCGGATGCTGCGCTCGCGCGACCGCCTTGCCCGCAGCGACCACAGCGACGACACCAGGTCCTCGAGCTCCCAGATGCGCATGTCATCGCCGCGCGAGCTCACCGACACCGTCTTGCCGCGGTCGCCCACGCGCACGCCCGACACGCACGACGTGTGGCCCCAGAGCCGCCGCGGCGGGCTGATTGTGAGCCCGTCCGTGGTCGACACCACGAGGTGCATCGTCAGCGTGTTGTCCCCGTGCCCTGCCACCAGGTACGGGTGCGCGTAGGATAAAGACGTCGGCGGCTGCGAGTAGGAGATATGAGACAGGCGTGTGTGGTGCGGCTGCGATGCCCGTGCGGTGTGGCCTGCAGAGCTGACGTCGTGGAGGTCGAGAGGCGTCGCCAGGTGAGAGCCCAGCCGGGCTCCGGCTTCGTTCCAGCGAAGTTCCTGTAAGCCAACAGACCAGCGGTTCCCAATCCGCAGGAAGCTGTACGCTATCGATGCGATTACAGTGGTGGCCAAAATCCGTAACGATAGCGTTAGCGGTGCCCGGATGTTGTGGGTTTGTAGACAATCGACCAGTTGAAGCGACGGTTTGGAGGTCTCGCGGTAGAGCGAAACGGTTTTGTTTCCGAACAAGACGAGCAAATATCCGGGACATGATGCGAGCGCAGTGACTTCACCGTCGTCGGCTCGTGAGCCTGTGACCCGGCAGACGATCTCCTTCGCTATTTTGTCCAAGGTATATAGAGAGAATGAGCCACTCTCGAATCCAACAGCCACTGTAAACTTGTCAGACGAGATGCTATCAGGACACACGGTCAGAGCCGTCGGTTGCCCGTGCTGGAGAGCATTAGGGAGCTTGAAATGGGCCAGATCTGACTCCGTATCTTTTAACGAGAAAGCACGAAGCCCATTTCTTCCATCCACAGTCAATGCGATTCCATCATGGAGGTTCACAAGCACGGGCGGAATTGGCGGCTGTGCCACCTCTAGCTCCCTAACACGACAGCTACCCTTCGCCCAATTGTGCTGAAGCCGGTACTCTTTCATCCAGTTTATCTCGCGGCCTTCCCGCCACGATCGCCCATGATTCAGCCATCTCACCACTCTCGAAGAGTAGCTGGTCGCTTCACTCGGCACGCCTATGCCCGAAAGTTGCGGCGCCCGTCGGGTTCGAGGCAGGATCCAGCGTAAATAATATTTCCGCTTCCAAAGCTCCGAGTCTGCAGCGAGGATGTGGAAGCGCCGGGATATACTAACAGTGTGAATCGGTCAGCCAATGGAAATCATTTAAGCAGCGGCATAGGCTTCTCAGGTACCTTTGACAGGTTAATAAGGATTGTGTGGGTAGAAAACTTAGGATGTGGAGGGCGAGCTCATCGCTGAGAGCCGATATTCGATCGGGTGCGCCTGATTGCCGAGCTCGCTTGGATCGCCTTTCGTCGGAAGGGGAATCTTCTTGTGCACGTTTCGACATAATGCCCCCGCAAGGATCAAGAGACAAATTGTCAACACACCTTTCCAACCTTCAGTTGGCAGCCTCTTGAGATAAACTCTGTGCACAGTTCGTTTTCTTTAGCTATCCATTGATGAGGGATGCGGTTCCTCGTCTTATCGTGGAGATTGATAAGCTTCGCCGATAAGAAGCTTATCGTCACGTGTCATAGACGCGTCGCGTCCAAACGACTCGGGCGTTTGACTGCATGAAAGGCTGCACTCCGTACGGAGTACAGATATCAAGTTTCTTTATGCTAGCCCACTCAACGTCTCATCCAGTCTTTCGTTTCTATTTTGGCGCTATTATGATAGGCTAAATGGCGTCGTATCAAAAGCTGTCCGACCTGGTTGACGACTTCGCCCATGATTGCAAACGCCATATACAACTACAACAAGACAGAATTACAGAGCTAGAAATCGACCTCGAACTGGAAAGAAATCGCGTAGCTCAGGCGACATCAGCGGTTGCAGTACTGAAAGAAGAAAATACTGCTTTACAAAATCAAGTCGAGGCCTTACGCAGAGACAATGCAGCCGAATTGAAGCATGAGGACCTCCTTGAAATTATGCAAAACGCAAAACCGGGGAACTTTCATACCAGTGACGAAGTTGGGTGCAAGAACTGTGATCGGTTGCTCGCATTTGATAGTAGGTATCGCGAGTTGTATAGAAGCTTCTCTATAGCCATTAAAACTGTGTCTTCCGCCCGCATCAGACTGCAAGAAATGCAGGAGAGGGTTGACCATTGGAAGCTGTTTTTCAACCAGTCATCCTTTGAAGTTGATGTTGATGGGGAACTCATTGCTTTCCAGCGGGTCGGAGCTTATCCTGCCCCCGCAGTGCAAAGTGAGGCGACAGGAAGCCGGGAATCGGCAAATCTGCCCACGCCAAACCACGCTTCGGACGAAGCAAATATCGATACCCAGCTACCTTCTGATGACCCAGAACTCATTTCAACGCAATCCCAAGACCCGGCCTATGAGACCAATGACAATCACCCTTCACTTGTCCCCTCCTTGGGTAGCCCAGTATTCATGTCTGCCAGACCAGTGAGAAGGAGAGACATAATCCAGAATACATCGGCACAAGCAACTCGCAATCTGGTTGAGACCGGAAGTTTCATGAGGCCTGTGACGGTAAAAAGCGAGCCGTCTTCAGAGAATTCAAATCACGCTGAAGTCAATATGGGCCGGGATTTGAATACTGAGGGAAGACAAGGGCTTCCTGAAAGGGTGGAGGCAATCTCTGGGAATTCTGTGGAGAAGGCTGCCGCACCGTATATGGCTCCCATTGGCTCTGTGTTTCATACCGGGGGCATGCGTCCTGTGTCGCCTAGAGGGAAGCGACGGCAGCCTCTGCGCGATATTGACCGCAATATTCCCCCTTCACCGCAACGTGAACTAGCAAATGGAAAACGAAGAAAGTTTGCTTCACGTGGCGCCGTTTCCGTGCCTTCAGTTGCCGAGGACGGCGAAGAGGAAAATTATGGGACTCGACGGCTGAATCGAGCAGTAGAGGATCAGGAATTATCTTCCCACAGGCAGCAGAAGGGTGCCCAAGGCCTCCGTATCTTAGATCTCCTCGATACGCCTCCACCTCCACGGCCTGTTTTACTAACAACCCCTCGCCGTGCCGGTTTTCAGGCATCTACTCCGGCTGGAATCTCTGCGAGGAAGAATCTTCGACGAAGCATTGATGCCAATAACTCCATAGATGGCGGGCCACGCCGGGGCTCCCTCCGTTCCCGCCCATTGCGAGCACTAGGCCTTGAACACTTCAAATTGAACCCAGAAAGAAACCATGGCCTGGATTACGCGTATGATGAGGTAGTCCGGGATAAAAGCGCCAGAAAGTGCCTTCCTGGCTGTCTTGCACAATCATACTGTGGGCCGACATTCCGCGCCATGGCGCGCAGTGAAATTCCAAAAAATGTCACATTTGATACGCTCACACAGGAATATCGCCAGCTGTTGGAAGAATACCATGGCGTGGAAAAGAGCAAACTTCAGTCTCTCCCAGACGATAGGATATACAACCTTCTCGTTGAAGCGAAAGCATGGGAGTTTTCAAATAGATTTGGGCGACACAGGCACGCTCACGCACGGGAGTCATCCCCGCCTGGTTTTTGGCGTACCGACATGCCTACCACTCAAGAAGAGGAGGCCGATCGGCAAAGGGCCTTGGAGTTGGAGCAGGAGAAGGTGTATGAGCGGTATCAGCAGGCACTGCGGGGAGATGGCGTTTGGAGATTCGCAGATGAATGACCATCCCACTGGTATATAACTAGAATCCGTCTCTCTGTAGACTGGATATACTTCATTCAATTGATGTGTAATTAGTAGATTCAGATTCGTGAGCCGCATAAAATAGTCCTGTAGTTCAACCTCGGCCAATCGATCACGTGCAGGTGGCTGCCGTTGAGGTCGCGCATCGCATCAACAACATCTCCTGAGGTTTATCTTGCGAGCCCACAGCCACATCTTGTTCCTCTTTGTACTCGATATGGCTGGAAGCTGATTGTGACAACATGATGCCCAACATGGAGTCAGCCCAGCGACCCCCGAGCCAGCTTGCGGCGGCCTTCGCGCAGCCGTCCAAGCTGGTAGAAATGTACGAGGAGTTTGTCACAAAGAACTCCAGCTCTGTCAGTCAGATCGAAATGGCATTACGGTCGTTGACATATATGATACCTGGTTAGTACCGTGACTTGCTGGACGTTGTGAATGTTTTGATAGCTAACAGGTCTATTTGCAGGTCGGTTTCGAGAGTCTGACATTGCTTCGGAGTCAAGTGAGTTACACACTTATATCAACGTGAGAAGCAATATCTAACTGCTATAGTCCACTCTGGGGTTCAGCTTCTCTCCCTATACCATGACTCTCTCGTTGCGCGCGTCATCTCTCGACTTCCGCTCACTATCCCGCGAGCACCCCCTACGCCTCACGCCCGCTATACCAAATACTGGTCTTCGAGTTCAAGCCTATACCACCGCGTCGCGCTGGTCTTACAGGTGATCAAATACACAGAGCTACTCTGGGAGATGGTTGCTAGGCGTAAAGGAGAGAAAATTCGCTGGCGGGTCGTCGTCTTCATCGAAGCGCTCAAAGCACTCTGTCGCTTGGTCCTACTTCGATTAACCAATTCTCGACCGCTAGTAAGCCCTCCTCTACCAGAACGGGAAGTGGATCCACGGCCGGCAGAGGATGATGACGATGATCTTGCTGATTGGAATGGGATGGACACGCCAAAATCTGAAAAGTCTTCTGACGCCAGCTGGGCGATGCCGAGAACAGGCTTTTCTCTGCCGAATTTGCCGGATACCGGTGATGTTTCGAACTATTTAATCTCAAAAGTGCTTACTGCAGACGATATAAAACCTCCCAGATCGCTGTTACATCGCGTTTCCGGAATGGGCCAACTAGCGGAAGTCTTATTTATTTTGCGACCCTTGGTGTATGTTCTTGCACTACAGAAATGGAGCGGAAAGAAAAGAAACTGGACCCCGTGGTTGATCGGGTTTGGAATGGAGTACGGGTGTAGGCAGCTTGCGAAACGTGATTTCCGTGATCGTGTAGCTGGTGGTCTTAGAGGTCTGACCGGTTTGGAAAGGGATGAGCTTAGAAAGAGAGGCTGGAGTATGGGATGGTGGACGATGAGAGGTGCTTTCTATGAAACCGTGACAAAGTACGTTTCCTTATCCTTAATATTCTGGTCAGTACTCTCTAACTTGAGCAATAGATCGTGGTTACAAGGAATGACGCGCCGTATGAAAGGCAAGCCGTTGCTTGACCTCGTGGGAAGTGTCATCGACGACTACGAATATCTCTGGGATAATTACTACTTCTCTACCGCCACGCTTTAAGCGGTACCTATCATTTCATTTGTCCTTGGTTGGGGTCTGTTAGCATTTGATTATCATTCACATTGGGACCCTTGGCATGTATTTATGTATTTTCATTTGGGCTTGAGGTGGTTATACCCGGAGGTGGTGCTGAGGGCATCTGGGCACTAGGTTGGGTTCTCCTTTTATTCGCGGGTATATTGTTTCGATTTATCTATATTTGCCCCCCTGAGGCTTAGATATTAATGATTTGCAATTGCTAAAGGTCAAAATATCTCCTTCGGCCTTCGCCCGAACCAATCTCGCAGTTCGTCTTGTACTTCATTATTTTCTGCTGATGCAGCAACAAAGAACTGCGACATCTTCATAGTATCTTCGTCCCCATCCGCCGGCCAATCCACTCTGGTGCCTGTGTTTCCTTCTATCAATTCCTTCGCAGTGCCCCAGCTAAACCGACATTCGTTCCCCCACCCAAATAAAGGGTGCATTTCCTTTTTCAGCCATGATACACATTTGGAATCCGATGGATATCCGCTGCCCCAACCGTCTTCCATGTGCTCCATGCCGGCTCTGCCTTGCCTCTGCTTCCTCAAATCCTCGAAGCAAACCTCCAGCGCGGCATCTCTTGTGACTTTCGCACAAACACTCGCTGCGCTAACGCACGGATACAACGAGTCAGCTTTTTTCGCTACAGTGATTTTCATGGTAGGAAATATTCTTTCTAATTTTTTCTGGTATGCCTGTGGATTGCCAATTGTATCAATATACACCTCCTGAACATTCACCCCACGCTCCTCGGTAATGTTACGAATAAGCTCAATGGTAGCATCCATTGCCTGAGCGTTTAGATTGTATATTGCCCCCCTAGGCCGTTGCATTCCCGAGGAAATATCTAACGCTGACAAAAGCTTTATTCCCCATCCACAAGAATTGTATAGTGGGTGATCAGGTGTGCAGAGAAGGCGCATTAGATTTGAACGAACACCGGGTGTGAGAACTTTGCTATCGTTGAAATGGTGCTCCTCTGCTAAGAGGGAATGATGAAGAGGAATAGGAAGATAGAATGCGCTGTAGACCATCGGCCCCAGTACGGGACCACGTCCGGCTTCGTCAACCCCAAGAACACATGGCGTAGGCTCAAGAGGCGAGTCTGACTGGAAAGAAGAGCAGCCAGTAGTATCTGTGGGTATTATTGCAGCCGGACATTGGGAATAATGGGCGTAGGAATGGCCTGAAATGAGGGCGGAGTGATGAACAGAAGGCGGAATATAGGTATTTGGCGATAGTTTGCTTGGGGGAATTTCAATATTACTTTCCTGAGGGTCTTCCATTGTCATAAACAGCATCACGCCCTGGTTGCCTGTCCATCACGTCTCTTGTTATCTTTAAGTCACATCGCAGAGTGACGTGACGAGACGCGTCGGGTCCCAACGGCTGCAGCCGAATTAGGTTTAGCGCCATCGCGCTTTGTGGCTGGCAAGCTTCATCGAAACAATGTATAGGTCCGGAGAACGGAGTACCGTATACATTGTCGCCTGGATCAAAGCAGCTACATCGCGGCCAGCGTAACATCGCAAGAACTGAAACTTGTGATTGCCGTACTTTTGTGCTTTGATATCCTCAGTGCCCCCGAATCACGGTATTGCAAGACCCTCAACCCGCCTATGATTGAGCACCATGGCAGCACGCAGGCTCCCTCCAAAGACCCGTGAGATGGATTTCGGCAATGTAGGAGTTGCTGGAAGGTAAGCCTGTGAAAAATCGCGTCGACATTGCCGCACAATGGACTGAGATGTTAATTCATGCCTGTTGCTAGACGGACCGGTGTCACCCTAGAGAAGGGCAAGATTGACGAACATGGCATGGAAGAAATCGATGGGATGTTCTCGTCGCCAGAAAAATCCCCTGTGGGTGCAAGCGCCAATGGGTTTGGAAACGACACGACCGTGCAGTCCGAAGACATGGAGACTGGAGGGAGTATGTTCTTATTTCGCCTGAAGGAGGCGAACAGGGCGCTTCATCTTTTGCTCTTTACTACAAACGTGCTAACATGATCCAAACATAGGTAGTAGTATTCCTGAACCGGCAGACATGCTTACTGCGCGTCGTAACGCTCGCGACCGCTTTGTTCTTCCTCCCCGTTCACGATCACCTATCAAAACTTTCTTAAGCGGCTCCCCTCGCAGAACCCCTGGCATACGCTCTTCGCCAATCCCTCAAAGCGATCAAATATCGAGTCCTTCCTCGCGCACTGTCGCCAAGAGGACGCTTAATTTCTCCAAAACGCAAGATCAGCATAGCAATTCACCCCTGAAACATATCCGGTCTACATCTGCTACTCTACACGTTGGGTCTCCAGAAAGTAGAGAGCACCCTGAAGAAGCGCCTATCCACCTGGAAGATCAAACTGCAGATTTCTCAGACGATGGAAGCCATTTAGCTGAGGAAGCTGAGGAAGAACTTTTCGTAGAAGCACATGGAGATTATCACGAAAGTAGCGGTCAAGATGGGCATGACCAACATGCAAATACTGACACCAATGATAGCGAAGAATCAGAAGACCAGGGTAACAATTCAGAAGCACAACCGTCGCCGGTGGTTGTTGTAAAAGCGACCGGCAGAGGAAGAAAACGAAAGGAAGCCCGAGTAGAGTCAGAAGAGATTATCCCAAAAGAGAACTCCGCTGCCCCTAAAAAAAGAGGCAGAAAACCGAAAGCGACCCGAGAAGAATTCGACGATGTTAAGGAACATGTGGAGCCATCGAGACCGGCAAAACGAACCAAAACAGATACGTCTAGAGTAAATACGGCTGGTCTGCAAATGTCGGCTGAGCAGGAGAAAGAATTAAATCAAGTCATTAACAATATCACAAAGCGAGATGGACCCTTGCGGCAGCGAAGCCTTCACATTCTCAAGAAGGAGACTCCGTCAGATGATACCGTCCGACATACCCGATCCGGCCGGCCGTCGGTTCGGCCACTGGCGTTCTGGCGCAACGAAAAGTGCGTGTATGGTACAGGAGATACCGAAGTTGGGCAGAGGTTTCCTTTGTCAACCATCAAAGAGATCATTCGAATAGATGACCCTGAGCCTGTTTTCTTGAAGAGTAAGAAAAAGTCAAGTAAAAAGAAGTCTAAGCTGAAAAAGGAACGCACAGAGTCTTCTGATGATGAGGCCGAGGACGTCGAGCCCTGGGAAACTGACGTTGGCGTGTTCTATGGACCGGTACACGTCTGGGATTCTGAACTACAGGCTGGAACCCAGGAAGAAGAGATAATGGGTATGCATCTGAATATACGCACTAAAGGTATATACTTAACTAATAAACTATATCAAGATATTGCCTATGCACCCCTAGCTATCCAGACGCAAGAAGTCAAAGGATCGAGTTTTCGTTTCGCCAAAATTCTCAGCACGCCATTTCTAGGGTCGGGGTTTGTTGAAATGCCGCCAGGGGCAGTTAAAAAACAGAAGAACTCAAAGCGAATGCACATGGTATTCTTCGTATACCGTGGCAGGATACGTGTTAATGTATCCGGATTGGAATTTAGTGCTGGGAAAGGCTGCGTATTTCAAGTGCCACGAGGTCTGTTTATCTCAAAAGCTTATGGCGCGGCAAAACGCTGAATTCAAGGTCTTTAGGGAATAATTACAGCTTTGAAAACGATTATGGCACACCAGCCGCGATCTTCTTCACTCAGGGATGCATTCCCCTGGATGAAGAAGGAAACGTGGATACCGGCGCCCCCGCCCCGCCTCTACTAGACCCATCACAACAACCGCCGCAGGAAAACCAAGAACAGCAGGAACAGAACGAACAGCCTGCGGAGATAGCCCAAGCAAAGGGGAAAAAGGGATCTGCAAAGCCTGAGAAGAAGAAGAGAGGGAGGGCGAAACGCAATGCATAACTGACTTGATAGGGAATGGCGAAGTTTTTTATATTAATAACTGTACGGAACAAGAAAATCCCAGGCATTAGTCTATGCTTTGTGCATATGTGGTCTTCTTTCTCAATGTTCTTTACGAGCAAGTTGAAGAAGAGGTGTTTTGCTGGCTCAGACAAAGCCGTCTATGTTATGAGTCGACTTATATCACTTTTGCGCGCCTTTGTTCCTACAAATATTTTCACCTATTACCCCATCTCATCATATGTCTCTTTCCTGATCCTGATAGCCCAGATCAAACCAGGCCATGCTTGAATACTCGATGTTAAATGTCTATCCTTTACCAAGTATGGTTTTTTTTCCGGTCGCTAAAAATGCCTGCTGATGTTTACCGTCCACCCAAGCACATGTCACCCCCGTAATTCCTGTTACTTTGTTCCCGCCCAATTGTGAACAATAAACAAAAGGGTACAGCACCTATATATAATCTTTAGTTCACTTGGACTTCCGAAAGTCCGTGGTGTATTCTTAGTACTTACAATCCGAAAATTGCCCTTGGAAAAATATATCAGATCTCTTCCATATTTTCATCCAAGTCTAATCCCAGTGGGGGAAAATCTCCAACCTCTACTTTCTCAGGTTTAACAAAGGCCCCGCATTTGTCTGGGCACGTAAAATATCTTCTCCCACCTACACTGCCATCATTTTTTCCGGTTGGCTCATCAAGCTCTATTCCTATCCACACTGGCACTAGTCCGTCAGAATCGGAGCCAGCTCTTGAGGTACCAGAGGGTATTGTTGGGGCAGGGCCAATAAAGCGAATTGTTCCTCTGCGAATATGAGGTGGGCTGGAGGGTAATATGATTGCCCGCTTTGAAATTTCAATACCTTTTTAAAGGGTTTCAGCTAATTAGGTCAATGAGCCTTCAGACGCACTAGTCAAAAATCACATACCTCTCTCTTGAATATCCTGCCTGTCCTTGTCTGCTTGATGCTGGGCCAGCTGCTCGATAGTGAGTGCATTGGGGTCAAAGCGCCCTAACTTTTGTGCCTTTTTCCATGCGAGAACGGTGTTAGGCAAGGATTCATAAGTCGAAGTGGGGAGAGTGTATTTTTCAACAGAAGAAACGTCTGTAAAGTTCGGGCGCGCAGAGGGCGGTCGTAAGTCATGAATCTAATATTTGTCAATCCTATGTCCTAAAATGACATTTCTTGCGTATATTATATTAAGCCCTTGATGGAAAAATATTTGATATTATAGAGCTCAATACCAAAGGGCAAAAACAGGAACAATGTTAAATCATGTCCGGAGGTAGGAAATTAAGTACTAACTTCGATCTCACAACCCTTTGCCAATGCCCAGTTACCGATCGGCTGATCGCCATCATCAAGCCATTGATCTTCACGGCCAGGGGACTTTAACCGTAGCCTTTGACAACTCGGGGGAATTCCACACATCGTTTCTAACTTGCTTCTCAGCTGCGAGATAGTCCATGTTGGGGTAATTCGACGCTCAGTTGCAAAAGACGAATGGTTTCGCCCAGCATCAGCGGCGATGCTGACCACAACAGAAACGTCCGCAGGAGTAGCTTGGAAGTCCATTATGGGTGACAGTCTTGCTTGGCGTATATGCTCTTCTAATTATATATAAATTCAGACTTTCAGGTTGAACAGCACACCCCGCCTGCCGCCTTACTCCTGAATAATGTAACCAAGGGGCTGAAACCCTACGAAAATGTGGAATGATACCCTGACACGCACTGACGTCCTTGACAAACACTGTAGATAAAACGAACAAGAAATAATTCTCCCTTTTCCTGGACGGAGACGCGTGGCAAGGGTTTGATATTGCTGGAAGACATGTTCAGTTTCGAATTAAGCAGTGGTCTGTGCGCTGCTAGTCCCATAGTAGAGGGTGTCATGGTTTTCCGCCCGAACCAGCTGAAGACGATCAAACTAGCAGGTATAGCCCTGTAAGTATATCCTTCACCTACCAGTATATTTCCATGCTGCTATGACCAGTCGTCTTGCGAGGCCAGCAAGGCCTCGATATATACAACATTTTATTATATAAGCGAAAGTAGCGCCGACACGTGAGCGGCTATCGGCCCCACAACCCTAAGCGCGTCATCTCAAACCTTAAGCGGCGAACAGCTTCATTTGTCGAGCTGCAGGTGGACGAAAGCAACAGCAGACGACGGCCCTCACAACATCGCTGTCTCTGAATCTGTTCTTCCTAGGTGTATTTAGTGCGGAGACGTCTCTGGGTGCCTTTCGTTGCACTGTCTTGGGGGTAAAAATGGCCGACGTTAGTGACAACGCGGCGACTTATGAGGAGGAACATGTTCACCGGGTTTACCAGGAGATCGCACATCATTTCTCTTCTACAAGGTATAAAGTGAGTGAATTTTCGATGTCTGGTGGCAGTTGGATTTGGGATACTTATAACTGACATGTTATTTCCCAGCCTTGGCCGATTGTTGAGCGATTTCTGTCGGAATTGCCCCCTGGCTCACTTGGCTTGGACGTTGGCTGTGGCAATGGTAAGTATTTACCTGTTAATACCGATATCTTCATAATAGGCTCAGATAGGTGAAGAAGATGCTCCTTGGCATTCTTGAATTATTACTGACTCCGGATGAACAGATCTGAAGCCCTTGTCAGGATTGCGAGTGAACATGCACCACATTCCGCCGTGGTAGCCGATAGTTTGAATCTCCCTCACCCTAATGGGCAATTTGACTTTGCAATTTCAATTGCAGTGGTACATCATTTGTCGACCCGCGAACGCAGGGTCAAAGCCATCGAATCTATTCTTGGCACTTTGAAGTCACCCCGTTCGAACCAAGTAGGCGGTAAAGCCCTCATATATGTTTGGGCACTCGAACAAAAGAATAGCCGCCGGGGCTGGGATGCAGGCGATGAGCAGGATGTGATGGTGCCTTGGGTGAAGAAAGGAAAGAATTCTGATAACCACCAAGAGTCGACGCAGACTTTCCTTCGTTATTATCATCTCTACCAGTCGGGGGAATTAGAAAACGACATACATACCGCCGGTGGCAATGTTTTGGACCACGGCTACGAGAAGGATAACTGGTGGGCTATTGCAACTCCGCTTTCTCAGTGAAAGAAAAATCCACAAGTTGCTATTCAATCTCGAAATATTTGAAATCTATCTCTCGTGACAACGCAATATGATAACAGAATTCATCGAATTGAGAAGAAGACCAAAAAAGGAGATCTCAGAAATTAAGGTTTACATAATATGCCGTTTCCAAAAACCTCGTGTCTACCATACCAGATCCTGCATTCTCCAACCCGCGCTATGCATGTATGCTAAGTATATAAATTCCTCTTCCTCCAAATTCTCACCTCCTAGCTCGAGATCTCGATCCTCTTCGGCCTTGTACCGGATTCGATTCAGGGTGAAACATTGGGGAGCCCATTGCAAACGGAGGCTCGCCCGTTAAATGTGGTGAGTACGCCGGGATACCAGCTGTCAGTTCCGCCAATGAAGGTAGCTGGCTAGTGCTTAGCCGGTCTCTTCGAGAGAGTGTATTGCGACGAAGTCTCGGTGAAGTCTGTGGGGGAGTCGAGAATGAAAACGGCGTGACCCCTGCCCGTTGTGCCATTTCAGTTTCGCCCAGCTGCCAGTGCATCGCTTCCGCTGCCCTCCATGGTATGGCCATTTCTTCGGCGATTCTTGACCACATTTCTTCCTTGAATCTAAGCTTGATCGTCAGTCACCCTGAAAGTAACTGACTTGCGCGCAAGATCATTATGTGACTCACCTCTCATAGAGCCGGGCCAGTCTGTTTTTTCTGTCTTCATCCCATTCACAACGCCGTTCAAGATAGTTTTGATAGTGTAGTCGGCAACTTATAGGGCTTCGCCCCGGGATCCTTTTGCTGATGTCGTCCCACTTCATTCCGCTTCCCCGAAGCTCGAGAATCAGCGCATTTTCTTCAGGAGACCACTTTGATTGCTTTTTAGCAGGGCGGCCTCTCGGCGATACATCGGATAGCGGCCTCTTCGTTGAAGAGCCGGGCCGTGCGACTAGCGGCTCGCCTTGAATCTCCGGCGATGCTGTCGATAATAAAGGTCTAGGTAGGACTGCTAAGTCCGATTCTGATGGCCTGGGTGACACCATTGCGTCCCCACCTGTTGCCGCGCTTTTCGCTTCTTTTTCCTCATCGTGAGAACCCAGGAGCAATGAGATATCCAACTTGTTGGTGGTAACGGGCGGAGGGAGGCGCAAGATCATATGGCTTTGCGCCGCTGATGTCAGTTCTCTAGTGACAGCGGGCAGTGCTCGAGAATGGCGACGGTGTGACTGTTCTTTAAGCGAATGCGTTTTGCGCGGGGCCTTGTCGTCGACTGATGCAGACGAATTCGGGTATTATATTAATGCGGGTTCTGTCTAGCTCTTCCTCACACCGACCATTCGCAGAGCTTGATACCAAAGTCGGCTTTCCAGAAGCGGTTTGGTGGGTCTTTGATCTGGCGGCGAAAGCTTTATTGTCGAGCCCGCCCCTGTGCCTTGCGTCTGCGCTGTGGGACGCTGAGAGACAGTCAGGTACACGTTAGGAGATTGCGGGAAGGTTGCAAGAGATCTGGAAGAATAATCGAAGCAAAATCAGATTAGACCGTCTCACGAACGTGGTGACACTGTCGATCCGGTCTTTCAGTGGGTTGAAAAATGTCAATCAACCAAAACAGGCTGCACGAGGGGAGGAAGGGAGAAATGGAACGGGTACAAATAGTCGGTCAACCGTGTCTGTACCCTTTTATTGCGGATTGTCTTTCGCCTCCTTTCGCTGACCAATTGCCGGCCTCGAATCCTTAATCGACAGCCAGCCAATGATTGAGTTGACGGCACCCTGTTCTCAACCACCAAATCTTGATACACGCTGCGTCTGCTTCTAACTGTGATCTGATGATTGTGTCACCTCAGGTAAGAAGCAAGGGAGTGAATAGAGAGCAGAGATTAGAAACTCAGGAAGGGATATTGACCTCGCCCCGTGCCGGGGGGGATATTCGACAGCACTTATGCCACGAGGTATGACACGCACAGACAATATTGTATTTTAATCAGGAGCAAATGGGTAAGTGGGGTGGAAGAAACTGGAACGCCAGGGGAGCTATTCGTTTTCCTTTTGATCCGACTCAAGCACAATTGACATTATTATAATGGGAAACTGCTGCATGCGACAAGTTATTATCAGGTCCTGTCAAATCAAAACCGACGAGTACCAAGTGGGAAAAAAATAATATGGACAAAATAAGTAAAAGAACCTAGACGGGCCTCTTTTTGTTTTCGACTTTACGTCCCGCAAGACCTGACAGACACCGTTTATTATTATTTTTTCGCGTCCTCGCCAGTCCTGCCACCCATCCAGTATTTGTTGCTTTTTTCGGCGTTCTTTTTTCTGCGCCTGGTGCGTTGCTTACCTTATTTGACCACTTTTGTGTGGCTTGAGTGCATATGTGTGATAATTCTTTTTTCTCGGCGCTGTTATATGTCAAAGGCCAAGAGGGGATTTCATCGGCAGGATGGAAGGAAAGTGTATCATGAAACACACAGGCTTCGGATTTTGCGCCTGAGCTTCGACCAGAACGTAATCAAAACCGGGGCGAGGTCAAACGGGCGTCAATGCAGAGTGCAGGGCGGCCGATACCGACAGAGGGACGAACACATATGACTACGGCGCGCTTACAGGCTACTGCAGAAAACATGGGTGGGCACCAGTGATACCCTCGGGTTAGTGAGGCGTTGGAACAGGCCCTATGGATGGATAACAAGTAACTAACGATGGCTAAGGATGGAACCGGAGCGCAGCCATGTCTCCCAGCACCCACACAAAACGATCTATGACCAACGGCTTGCTAATGAGATGCTATAAAAAGCAGAACATGTGGATATGCGGATGCGATCTCCGGCGTCGGTGGCAGATTTTACTTTTCCCTGGAGTTCGGGACGAAGATTCGTCTCTCGACGAGTGATTCCGGGGCGCGCACATCCGTGCGAGGCCGCCTAAAGGCCCTACCAGAGGACTGAGAGTGGCCGCCGAAACATTTGGCGTGGAAAAACTGGATCCTCTGACCACCTTTCTACGCCTCAACGAATTTTTGAACAAGGGTTCCTGGGCTTGCATGAACATTCTCCATCCTTCGATACTAGATCGGTTTGGTCACGTCAGACCGACATTCCCCCGAGTTCTTGCGCCTGTCCAGTGACTGTCGAATAACGGCTATCGAAACCGCCAGCATAAAGCCCCGCGACGCTGGACACGGCTGGTTCCTTTGTGGGATAATATCTGGAGCGTGGAAACCAACCGCCCTTTTCTTTTCCCGTGTAGAATCTGTTAGTCAGACTTGCTAACAATCGTCTAACGCCAGACGCGTCAGTGATGTCATGGGGCCCTTCTTGGTAGGGATCTGTTAATCGTATCGGCGCGTCGTTGGGTATCAAAACGGGCGCTTGATATCGCAGCCGGTAATATCGTACAGGATCACCTGAACGGCCAGTTGGTAGTTTTGGAAGTTCAAGGATCTGATTCGAAATATTTGTACAATAATTTTGGAGGGGCTGTGAAGACCCTTATTTGATTTGAACCCTATTTATGAAATCAAACGGCTGGAGATCTAACTAGCTTGAAGCTAAGATCGAATTCCCTTCCATCTTGACTTTTTCATGCTGGCGAACTAACTGCATGAGGTTGGATGAGAGCCTTCTTCAGGTGGCTTAAACTCCATGCAGTGTGGGCAAGGGCCTAGACGTGCTTCAGGAATGAAACCTGGGGGCGTTTCTCTCCCCATCCAAGAAAAAGCATTGACCAAGAAACCACTGCAACTACTCCGTACAGAAGATAATAATAGCACCTCATAGTCCTCTGCCTCTTAAGTTTCTTGTTCAGGGTCCCTTGAATCGATCTTCCATACTTCGTACATCTTAGGAAACGCACCCATGCCAATACGTCGAAGCCTTTCGCACGAGTGGTCCAGAACACACGGCGTTCGCAATCCGCATTGTGGCAATTTCCGCCATGACAAATTGTTCTGTCTATAATTCTCCTTTTTACGATTTATCACTTTCAATCATTCATGCATTGTCGGGTTCCTCCTGGAGACACTAAGCATGCATGGCTACGGCATGACCCAGAGGATATGAATTTGCGGTGAGAAAAACGAGACAGAACTCCTCAGGTGCAGATAATTTCATGGCCCTCTTCATTATGAATCATGACACGGAGCAGCGAAAGCAGTTTACCAGGTACCGTCTGCGGGTCTTGCCATCAAAGAAAAGAACTAAAACTGACACATACATACATCCATCATGCGAGGTAAACTGACGATCATTTCCTTCCAGTGAAATCTCATTCAAAGCGTTATCCTATTTGGGCCGTTGCAATCCCTCATTATTTTTGCATGGACTTGCCTAACCTTGGTGCAATCTCAGAACAGCCTACCCGTTTGGCCGATCATACGGCGAGTCCGGGTGAGGCGAATCCACGAGAATGAAATCGGGGGTAAAGGCAGGACCTCTGTTTGGCTGAATAATGTAACTATGCGTGGTTGTCAATCAATCTGCGATATCAGGGACACAAACCAGCAGTACAGCTCTCTATTCGACTTCTTCGCAACCCACTTCGTGTTGCCTGCGCAGACCGACCATGGTTCAGAAAGAATAAAACAAAGAATTGATTCTTGCGCTTATGCATGAGGTCTGCCGGTGTGCGCGAGCAATTACTTGGAATGGCCATGATGATACAAAGTATTTCACACAAAAGAGTCTACAGCTAAAAAAGAAAACAGGCGAGAGAAGCTGAGATGGTTACATTTCCTGTGGTTGATAGTCACACCAAAGCGTGCAAAGAACTCTGTGCTGGGATTGTCATCCCCATCCTCCCTTGAAAAAAGGGGCCGTTTTGTTGACGCAAGTGATGGTAGCACATAACTACATACTACAGCCATCCCGTGCTCCCTCTCGCGAATTCTCGCATGGCCGATCTTGGCCCCAGTTTGCACCCCTTTTTTGGATGCGATATCCAGTCTATCTCTCAGTTGGGTCGCATTGGTTACGCAAAAGAGATAGTCACTAGGTGTCTGGCAGCAATGGACTGGATTTTGATCCGTATTTTTAATTTTTAATTTTTTTCTTTTTTTTTTAATGCATTGGGGTTGGAGAAGGGGCCGGTGAGTACGTAGGACTAGGCGGCGTTTGATAGAAGCAAACATGGCGCCCAGTTAGTTATCCTATCTCAGAACCTTGCAAAAAGGACTGACAACGGCTCGGAGTGTATGTGCAGTAACTACTGTATAAGCAATTTCTTTTGGTATGCATGTGCTGCAACGCCCAGTTTGCTCTGGGACTTTGCGTATCCCGTATATCCCCAAATTAAAGTGTGGATCTAAGCTTGCTACGCCCTAAGTGGCAGCGCACGGTGCAAACAATGACTACCGATCTTCATGGTGCCGGGTATCAAAAAGCGAACATGCATGAACCGTGGTGTTGGGATCCCAGTAATTATTGTCGACGCCAATAGCTTGTTTTCCATGTTTTTCCGGTAAATACACTCTATTTGGGAGTTTTGCTTACTCGTCCATGTGGCATTTCCCGAAGTCAGAAAGATTTTCAACCCCTATTTGTCAAATAACGTCTTGAGCAGCAACGAAAATCTTGGCTATCGAACAGACATTCGGTGGTCGTCGTATACAACTCTATGCAAGCAGAGCTTGATTTCAGCGGTAAGGTGACCGCCAAGGCAGTCTTCAAATACGCATGTCTATACGCAGTGTTGCCAATAAAATGCACTCCATACCTTAATGGTATCTCACAAGTATGTCGTACTTCGTAACTTGACTGTATTTCTCAAGTCTATGCCGGTATTCAGCACTTACCTGTGGCCATGAGTGGGCTTGCCCGGGATAGTACCCCGAAGAAGATGTGTCAAAATTTATCATGACGGGCCGATATCATATCGTGATTGAAGGGGTGAAATGAATAGTCATTCTGAGAAATTAATAGTTTGTTGGGGTGCCTGACTCAAGAAAGATAGCAGGCACCCGTACGGAGTAGATACGGTGCTAATCAACTTGAAATCGCGCATGAAAATCGCCTACCCTGTTTCGAGCTGTCAAAATTTGGCGTTAGGACCCTGAAAATGATCTCCTGTCGAAGAAATATGCTATCCAGAGATTTTCTTTTTCCTTCGAAAATGCCCGCAAGACACTTCGCTAGCATTTTCCGAAGAACTATGCCTA